ACTAGAAATAATAAAGAGACATCAGGAGAAGAGAAAGGGAGAGGGACTTACAGGAATTCCCCTATTATTTAGGAGATAAACAGGTCGCAACCGCGAGTTCGACCTGTACAAAACTATACACGATGTTAATTGGGTGACTAGCGATGGTAGTGCGGTTTTAATGCGGTTTTAACGCGGTTATCTTGCGGTTATCATGGATAACCACAAGATAACCGCAATGGAAAAAAATCACCAAATTCAAGCAATTTGAAATAGAAACCTGGTTTCTCCTGAATTTTTAAGTAAATATACTAATTTAAAGTAAAATATAAGTATAATAGGCTCTTCTGTATTCTTTAGTAATAATTTTTATCTATAATAGCCTGATTTAGTCAACCTACGAAATCTTATAAAGTTCATTCAGTGAGTGTACTAACTTCTGTTTGTATAAAATATATATTTTACAACAACATCCTGATTTCCTTAGTAATCTTAAAATCTCAGACAAACACCACTTACTAGCTACGTAAAATAAGAGGCGATATATCAATATTCGGCTCGTTATTTAAGAATAAGGATCAAGGTGAGCGGTAAAGTAGATATCTATATATATTACCATGCTCTATCGCCCTCCCACGACCAAATATAGAAGATAAAATAAGCAAGAAACTGCACAAACCAACATTGCAAACTAATGCTACAATAACTCATGCGTTGCAAGGAAGCAATATTACTTGCTGACTTTGGTGAATAGTGATGCTACGATCGGGCCAGGACCTCACGGCAGTGATATAATGCCATGTACCTTCTTGGTTACTTATAATATACCAATGGTCTAGTGGTAATGCATTAGATCTAGTAATCTAGAGGTACTGGGTTCGATTCCTAGTAGGTGCTTGTGTCTATATTAGACCATCTGTACTGCAGCTGGCTAATATAGACTCGTCCAGTGCCTAATCCTATGGAGGACCTTTAGATATTTTTATTATTTTCATGCTTTTATTTAACTTTTAGGGCAAACAAACATACTTTAACAGGCGAAATGCCTTGCTATCTAATAACTAGATATAACAAAGAGGAATCGTTAAGATAAAGAAAGTAAAGGGGAAGAATTGTGTGTTCTTATACTACAAGAGGTTATATAACTGCAATAAGCGGACCAATCATGTGCGCCAATTGCAGCGAAGGCGAATAGGAGTAATATACGGGCGTGGCCTGCAACACATTCCTTGTCTTTAAGTTTTCGGAATAGCTTATTATCGTACACTCCCAGGAGCATATTGCCTGGGTACACGTATATAAAACGTTAGAGGAGCTACAACCAATAGGGGCAATAGGGACAGTAGGGACAATAAGAACAATTGGCCTGAGAGGTTAACCGGGCTCACTGTATTAACCAGAACAGGTGTATTTTCAAATTAAAAACAAGAGTATGTAAGCTGCATAAGTGTCACCTGATATGCTAGAATTGGTTAAAGAAGCGAGAGTTATGCTAGTGCGGTTTTCATGCGGTTATCCATGGGTAACCGTGGTTAAACCACAAATCTGCGGTTGCGGTTGCGGTTTTCAAAGTGATATCCAAAACCGCAAATCTGCGGTTGTGGTTTTGACTATGATACCCAAAACCGCGGTTTTGCCGCAGTCTAACACGGGGTATCACCTTTCGCATGTCAAATGGACCCCTACCGCAACCACTGGTTTATACCGATTCGGACTAGGGAGGTCCTCATCATAATCGTCGGTCAGTATCAGGCTATATTGTACTTTTAGCCGGTGCCCCGATATCATGGCGATCTGCCAAACAAACATCAATTGCCTTATCATCCAATAAGGCAGAATATATGGCGGCGTCGGACACAGCTCGGGAAAACTAATGGCTTCGTCGCCTACTTAACGAAATGGAGATCTACCTGCGCCTTTAGACCCCATTGCATTCCACGTTGATAACAAAGGTTGCAAGGATCTCATCACTTCAACGGTCACCACCAAACGCTCTAAGCATATTGATATTCGGTATCATTATACGCGCGAGCTCGCGGCGGACCGCATTATTAACATTCGGCTATGCCCTAGTAAGGAGAACGCTGCGGACGGTCTCACTAAATTGCTTCGATCCGAAGGATTCATGGCTTTTCTTGATAATATAGGTTTAGCTTAGTTTTTGGCTTTTTGCTTTACACGCGATTCTGTATGTAATGGTGCTGGGTGAGCACGCTTCGGCCAAGGGGGGGTGTTAGGGACCTACCATATTCGGTATGGTCACGTGGCCTCACTTAGTCACCCATCTAGATAGACAGCTCGCCTGAGCCCCTTGAATTCAGAGAATTGTGCCTCGCGAACACCAGGATGTATGGTCACGTGATTGGATAGGGCTGTTAGGGACCTACCATATTCGGGGGCGCCACTATTTGCACAGGTCAAAATTCTGCCTGCACAGGTCACTAACCCGATTAGGAAACATCTATTTGCACAGGTCAAGACTATACTACATTGGGACGTATCATGTGACCCACAACCTTGAAGGCGTCATAGTATTAATGGAAATGCTTTTTATTCGATTCTCCATATAAAAGTGCAACATAGCATGACGCAATTATTAGACATTAATATACCAATTCAGAATACAGTTTGACCAGCTAATCAGAATGCAGATATCAAAATTCCACTGACACCCATGTTAGATCCCCAGATCGCCTGCCCGCTTGCCCCTCCCTCTACCCTGTCCCCGAGGCATCGCCGGAGATATTCCTTGCCTTGATGCTTTATTCAATGCTTCAAGCGGTGCCTTGTTTACTGCTTCTTCAGGTCTTGCCTCCACAGATATAGCCGCTGCTGCAATTGCTTTAAGTGCCTCACCTTTCTAAGCAATCCGTACCTCCCGGTCCACTCGCTCATATAATGACAATCCTCGCTTGTTTAAACGGCCGCCGAAGGAAGGCTGTATAAGTGGATCCATTACTAGAAGTCAAGGATCAAGTGGCTCTATTAAATAGCCTGTAATCCACCACTGGCGATGAAAGTGGTCCATATTTAATGGCCTCTGGGCATCGACATATTCCTGAATGATATGAATGCATGGAATTCCAAGTGTTACCTATACTGATTTAGTACAAGGCTTAATTAGCCTCTTGCCAGGGCCTTTCGGAAGGTAGTCCTTATAAATTTTATAAACTTTAAAGAGTGTAAATTAGGATATTTTAAACTTCACATCCCGATAAAGAGGCATATCAAGAGATATAGGCCATCTTATCTTGTTTTTGTAATCTGCCTCTCTATCTCTGCATCTCTATCAAGCACTGTTCGTTCAAGAGACCGTGTCACTGTTAAAAGGTCTCCTATTAAGGTATTTAGATCCCTTTTAATATTATAATGCGCGCCTTTATTTCGAGATGTTGCAGTATTTCCAAAATAAGTATAGGAATTGGTATAGCAATGGAGGAATTTCCTTGCAGTAAAATATTGAAGCCATTCCCACTCCAGATAGTGTATTAACTCCGGAAAAGAGCTATATATCTGTTTAAATTCTTCCTATCTCTAATTCTTCTCCTTAATTGTTGTTGCAAAGATAACTTGTGTCTATTTTCTTTCTAGGCTTTGAGTCTGCCTATTAATCTCTTTAATCCTTTTTTTTTGTATCTTGAATTTGAACTGTACGAGCGATCATAGGCTTTGCTTTTGCTGAAATATTCTTAAGAATATGCCAGATACAGAGAAGATGGCTGCTTTCTGGAAAGAGATGCATAACTGCATTTATTAAAGCCTTCTCTTTATCTGTAAGAATAGCAAGAGGAAGTGGAAGCTGGAGAACCCGGTATACTCTTCGCATTAAAGCTAGAATAAAAGAATAGGTCTCCTCTTGTTCATCACTTAAAAAGCCAAATGCAATGTAAAATATACTTCTAGTAGCTGATACACTAACAATATTAAGAAGAGGCATTCTAAACCAGTTGGTTTTATAAGTGCAATCCATACAAAGAATATATAGATTCTTCTTTAGTTGCTGAAGGCACACTTTATAAGTAAGAAATAGGCAGAAACTCGACCATTTTGAGTAGCAAGCTGCATTATCCAACTTCCTTCATCAGGTAAAATAGAAATTAAGGCCTGCATGGGGCTTCGTCCTGCAAGAAATTGCTTATATATTGCAGCCCGGAGGTTGTATATGTCATGGCGTTGGATAAGAGTATTTTAATCTTCTTAACAGAGTATTCGAATAATCTCTCTCGTTGGTATACCAACTTTAATTAAGGCCTTAATTTGATCCCCTTTTTGCTTAATCTCCTCTCTCCGAACTGAAGGATGTGCAATGGCTGATGATGCCTTATAATTATAATCTTTATTCCGTACAACTAAGGTCCATCTAGCTGTATGTTTTGAGTAGCTAATTCGAATGCTAAAAGGGCAGCCAATTTTTCGAGATTTGGCCTCGCGCTGGCCAGTGGATGTTGAAGCACGCTTTTAACCTTGATCACAGCTAAGATAGACTGCTTCAATAATACCATTGCGGTTCTTGTTGCGTCGAACAACTACTACTGCATAGCCATATTGTAGAGCATGTGCTTTTGCGGCCTTTTCTGCCTCTAAAGCAGTATTGAATTGTGTGCCGGATTCAGGAGAAGGTATTTAAGGAGTATTATTATATAGGAAATAATCCATTTTGTTTGTAATAGTAGTATTATATTTACTTTTATCCCTGGTTTCAACACTTTAAGATAAGTACATATTTCCTAATTGGGATATGACTGGGGGACCTGTGTAAATAAAATCCACCCCTTGGTAGAATATAAGCTATACCTATTTAGGTTTAGTGACCTGTGCAGGCAGAATTTTGACCTGTGCAAATAGTGGCGCCCATATTCGGTATGGTCACGTGGCCTCACTTAGTACGGGGTGTTTCACGTTGAAGGCCGCGTCCGGCAGTCCAGCGTGCGTTTCCAGCAACTGGGTGATCTGAATCCACTCGATCTGCCTTCATTTAATCCATTCGTTCAATCTTTCCTTTCCGATCTCCTGTCTCGACAATGGTACCTCACTCCGGATCTGTTGGACCTAACAAGAGCGAGGGTCAGATCGAGAGCCATTCCAGTTCCGCCGTCAGGGAAATATCCCCGGATAACGAGGTGACTCCAACAGCGGCCTGGAACTCGACAGTGAGGAGCCTAATAACGACAATAAACAGGACTATGAGACCTTTTAACAACGAGGGCCAGTTTCCTCCGGAACACTATCTAGCTGAAGCAGAGAACCTGGATGTCTCCCAGACTCCGCAGAAGCGGTACAGCGACGGCATGCAGGCTAAACTGGATCAGACCCGCGTTTACTAGGACAGGTGAATAAAGAACCCTCTCCTTAAGCTGCAGTATGTTCGTGGGCTGATTAGGCTTTCCATGATAGGTACTGTCGACATATCGGTCGAGACCCAAATCAGCAGTGGTAGTGGATCTCGGACTCAGACGAGACGGTTTGTTTTCTCTACGGATTTTTTAGCTGGTGGTGCGACATTCGGCTCGGTAAGAACCGGCGAAGTTGCCGGGGTATCATCCCAGTATACAAAAGCTCGCTACAGTTATTCTGGAAGGGGTGGCGTCTCGTCCTGAAGCAGGAGACAGCGATGGGGTTGAGTAAGGAGATAATAATAAATGTACAAGATGTGAACAGATAGCATCTCTCTGGTCCGATCAAAGATGGGAGGACTGACATTTGGCTACAGATTATTGCCACTGTGGCCGGGCAAAAAGGCTTGGAACTCACGCGGCGACCGAAGAAGAATCTGATGTTGAAGATATCGCTGAATTTACACAGGTTCTCTCTCTTAATCGCCACTGGAATGACGTTTGAGTGCGGCCGAGAATGATTACTTGCCGGCAAGTCCACAGCAAGGAGGCGATCACGCGGTGCATTTAAACTAGGCTGGGAAATACGGGTTCTGGGTATAGGAGGGTTACTGGTAACCTTGTCTGAATTGATAGGGGAATAAACGTGGTTTCGTACAGAATTGGTTTATAATAACGCTTCAAATAAAACTGCCGCTGCTCCCCTTTCATCTCACCATCTCAGTCCCCGCTGACGGAGGACTTGGGAGGTGCACATTATTATAGCGCGTTGATCATACGTCTTTTCTCGCGCTCAAAACAGTTAAGACGCTTGTTTGGACTCCTCTCCAGGGATCCGACCTCCCGTTTTCGTATAAATTGGACATACTGGTTACTAGGTATGTGTTTCCCCCCTCTCCCCCCAACTTTCCGGTTGACTGTTGCTAAGACTACTAAATAGTACCACAGAGTACTTATGCGACTTCTTGTCGAGGGCACTGCTCCTGAGAGGTACAATACGAGACACAGTCAATGTCTCGAGCTCCACAAGTCAGGCTGGCTCATTGGTAATTCCCAGTACTCTATAATATCAGTCTTTCCTCACCCGTATCTCCCTCATCACAGCCTCTATCGTAGCCTCTTTTGCAATCTGGTTTACTAAAAGTGTATGTATGTACAGCAGAATATCAATCGGATATGGTATCAGTTTTTAGTTCCTGAAATGACCTCACCCTCAGTGTGTGCCGCCCTACCCCCGTCATCGTTCAGAAACATAGTGTCCAAATCTTCATTATCTTTTTCAAGGTGACCCATGACCGCCCAAAACAGTGGCCCTGAAAGCCCTAAACTCACTGCCAGTCCGACGTCCATCCACAATACCTTTGGATCACGTGAAACCGGACCGAGAGCTATACCGATAGCGCTTCCAATGCCAGCACTCAGCTGCCTCATTGACTGGACCACAGTGCGCATATCCTTAGGTGCCTTACTGTAGCTATACTCACTGAGGGTGACGAAGCCGAATATTTCAGACACGGCTAAGATCACATAGATAGGCGTCTGCACCCAGACCTTGATTTTATTGGGCAAGGCGGGCTGTCCGACTCTTTGCGCCGCCGGACAAACCAATGGAGCCTCGTAGCAGGGACCAGAATTGTAAATCATCTTCTGCACTCCAGCAGCGTAGGCGAACGTCGCTGACATTGTAAAGAAGGCCATCGTCATGCGCATGAGGGGGCCAAAGGGGATCTGGTATCTCGCAAGTGTTGGGTAGAGTAGTTTCTGGATGACTGGGCCGAGTAAAACGCAGGCGATTGGGTTTAGAACCTGAATCCCGTCGTTGGGAAAGCCGGTGAGTTGCATTTCGCCTGCCTGCGAAACGAGGTTGTTGGTCATCTGGTTGATGCCAAGATGGAACAACACGAACCAGGCCCTATCCGTCACACGGTCAGTACACTCTCGTGTCCCATATGCCCAAAGGGAGAATTCCAAGGGAAAAAACCCACATGACTTGACATGCACGGAGGCCACTTTGAATCTCTGTGACGAAACGATCCGTCCATGGGACTACCCGATTGTGCTTTTCTAATTGGTAGCGTGGTCGTGCGGCATCGATCTTGAACTTATCGTGGATCGCATAAGCCAGAACCTTTCCGGCTTTTAACAAAACACCACCTTGAGCTGGATACCGTTCTACAACTAGTCAGCCACACCTTGGGGCTCTTGGTATGGGGGACGCACCGAGTTCCTTGCCAAATATAGCAAGCAAGGCAACCCCAATCCAGGATGAGCACAATGCAAGGACATTGGCCGCCCAGAAACCACGTTCCTTCTCGAGATAAGTCGATGCCAAGATAGAAAGTGCGGCGACATTGGTGATCCTACTATGGGTCAGTCTGTGCTAACCATTGATTATTAGAGGTGCTAACCAGTAGTAGACGTTGTACACATACTGTAAGGTCAAAGTTCGATCTATGATCACGCGTTCTCCGGTTTGCAGGGTCTTGACTTGTGGAGACTTGACCGGGTATTGATCTCCTAATGCCTTTATTAGATTTATTCAAAGATAGGGTGCTTAACAGGGTGAAAGTACCGATGAAGGGCGTGATTGCTGCTTTTGTTCCTCCAACACCGAGACCTATCAATATCATAGAGAGTGCAAGACCCGCCAGGCCTGATTCATAGTGGAAAAGTGAGGGTAGAGACGTTATAAACTGTACGAGCGTGCCACAGAAATACAAGCTATATTGTATTAGCAAGCTGGCCAATTCTAGGTGTCGTGACAAGTCAACACGCACCTCAGGCTGATACAGAGAACCGCGTATCGCCCTAGCCATGCATCCGACACAAGGGCGAAGGGGATAGGCACCAAGTAATAGAATAAGTAGAAGGCGTTGAAGATCATGGTCGCCCGAGACTGCCCAAGCCCAAGAGCACCTGGCACAGCACCATCACCCGGAGCATTCTGTATGTAGTTCTCTGCCATTGTGTCTTAGCAGTATATCATATCATGCCCTGTCATATCGCCGTGCACTTACGCCACGGAGTTGTGATTGTGTAGTATGTGAAGCGCTCTGCTCCACTTACGAGCAAGGAGACCCAGACTTTTCTGGGTAGCTTGTCAACGACATGCCTCAGAGACCCTATCTCTTCATCTGTAGCATCTCGAGGCGAGAGAGATTCGTCATCAATGCCCGCAGGGCCGCTTCCAGCTTCAACAATCCTCGCCATCGCATTCGAGAATGGTGATGGCGGGTGAACTGTTACCAACAATGGACGTTCCCATGATTACCTATATATCATGCGAGCGAGAGGGGAGCTGACTAACAAATCAGATATGTGGGCCCAACAAAGTTTACGCCATCGTTAGTGGGCCGATCAACTCCGGACCAGAGATGACAAATCTAATGCGGTGAGGTAGGTGCTGCTTTGTTCCTGTCCGACGCCAGTTCCGTTTAGTAGCCCGTGTAAATTTTGTAAGCTACCAACTTCTTCCACTGTATTTTTACAAAATTTACTGCTTATAGCTAGGGGTTATGTGCCCTGGAAAAGGCTGGAATTTGTATGGGTAACAGGGTGGGTGACAGGGCTTTTCTATGGGGCTTGGCGCCCGGGTGACGAATAACCGAAATTTACATGTTTACTATATCACATATTTAGTAAAGGAAAATATGCCTTTAAAATAAATTTTAAAATCAATGAGTGGATCTTACAATTACATTAAGTTATATATAATTGTTAGGAGCGCTCGGAAGCGCGATAGCTAGATCCTTAACTAAGATGCTTAGTCAGGTGCGAAGTGTTTATATTCGCACCCGCGGGCCTGAACTCTTGAAGGCCAGCGATTAGTTCTGCAATATACGTGGTTCCATCTTCTCTCCCATATAGACACTCCCTTTCGCACCGTAGCGCCCCATTCAGCTCGTTACCGACCCCCACGCATAACAATAATATCAAAAATTGCACTGCATTTTTGGTATTTTTAATCAATTTTGAATTTTTCTTATTAATTTTTAATTATATTATTGTTAAGCCCATTGTATATTATATATAAAATTTTGGACGATGGTTTACAAATAATTTTTTTTGAGATATCAAGATATTAAAAATGGCTATTTTGTATGGATTACATGGGTGGCTGGGTTGCTTGTGTGGCCATTCGTTCCGCTCTAGGAAGGCATAATCCAGGTCCACTCATACACCACCAACCATAGGCCAAATATACAAGGTGATACGTGGCTTGCCGCGGAACGGGCGGGCCGGTGAGAAAGTGTGCGATCTGTGCCACAAGCCCATTTGTTCTGTTCCAGGAAGGTATAATCCAGGTCCACTCATACACCACCAACAATGCTTGTTTCTAAGCTCATTATCTACCCAGTAAGATAAAAGATATCAGGGGAAATATAGAATCCAGGAGAAGAAGACTGCAGCTAAAATCTTACTTAGTGCTCTCCTAATAGTATCTTAACTAGTAGCCCTTGCTAGCTCGCTTATACTTGCCTATATATAATTTGGTAGAGTTACAATCTTACTCTAAGGGTTACCTGGGGCAAAAAAAAAACCTACTACAAAGTAACCTTAGTTAACTCCCTGTTCTCTCTAGATTGGTGGAAGATAAGGTGTATATTATTATACAAGCATATACACAGCATTTATATTTTGTTTACAAAGTATTTAATCTCTACAGGTGCTGTAAACCCGGCGCCCAGACTTATATACCAAGTATTGTTAAAATTTATTTATAATCCTCGAGCGTGTGACCCAATGATGTCATACCATAGTGCCATTGCGTATAAGATGTTGAAAGAATATGAGCAAACCATGGAGTTTGCGAAGCACCGCACCACCGGAGTAGATCGCTTGTCAGACACCGCAGAGAATGTCGTCTACTAGGAAAATACCAGTCCTTGATCTGAAACTTGCAGAGGATCCCTCAACGCGAGGACTGCTTCTTGATCAGTTGCGTGATGCATTATTCAACATCGATTTTCTGTATATTTCCAACCATGGAGTCTCGGAAGAGATCATAAGTGCTTTGTCAGAGAAGCTTCCGACGCTCTTTCATTTGCCGCTAGAACGGAAGAGGGAGTTGTCTAAAACTAAATCCCCCCAGTTCCTTGGTTTTAGTGACTTTGCCAAGGAAACCACTCAGGGTAAGCGTGATTTGAGGAGCAATACGACATTGCCACGGAACTGCCCGAGGTCTACCAGAAGGATGCAGTCCCGAATGACCGGGGAAGAAATTTTTCAAACTTGTACTGGAGGCTCAGGGGCCCAAACGTGTGGCCGTCAGAGAATGAAGTGCCTGGCTTTAAGAAAGCGGCTAATGAGTAGGCACCTGCACGACGATGAGTAGCAAGTAGTTTGACTGACATTTCTACATTTTCTTGAATGCTTTCGCCGTATTATCCTACAGGTTCGTGCATCTCGTGGAAGAAGCATTTGGCATCCCAAGAGGGACATTCGATAGCTTCTTCAACGAGGATGCCGCTTCCACCGCCGCCGATTCCACCCCGGAGAGCGACTTTCTTCCTCCTCAACATCGGCTTAGACTCATCTTCTACCCGGCCATGCCGCCAGAGCAAGAGGGCCAAGCTGTAGGCCCGCACAAGAATATGGCTGGATGGCTCACCTTTCTGATGTCGGCTCTGAATGCGCCCTGGATGTGCAAGGCAGAGACGGCAGCTGGATTTCCGTCGACCCAATCCCAAACACTCTCGTTGTCAACTTAGGCTACGCCTTTGAAGCGGCCACCGAGGGTGCAGTCAGAGCCACAGTTCATCGAGTAAGGGCACCTTCACAGAAAGATCGATACTCGATCCCCTTTTTCATGGGTTTGCCACTCGAACTCAAGCTATCAGAGGTGAGGAGTTTTATCCCAGAGTGTCAGGGCGATGAGACGCAAAGAACTGGAGAATAGCGAATGGACCATAGACAAGAAGATCGAAACCTTTTTGGACCCGAGATGGGACAGCATCGGTGAATCCATACTGAGAAGGTCCATTAGAGGATACAAGGAAACAGCTCTAAAATTCTATGGGCAGGAGGTGTATCAGTACTATACTCAGTGAAGTCGTGTGGAGAAGCTGGCTTATGCTTTCATTGCAAGTCTGGATAGTGATAAATTGACGAACTTAGCGCGAAGTTGAATATCTACTGAACCAGCGTTCATTCAATTTCGTACGTGAAACTCCTTCGTACTTTCTGTCCCAGCCTGAGACAGTCCTCTCTGCTCCTCCTACTGGCCACGGAAAAGTATGCTAGGTAGCTGAATACTTTGGCCTTTGGTCCGAGTAATTTATCCCCCTTTTTCTTCATCGTCTTGTAATCTACAACGGCCAATCGTAGATCTTCATGCCGCTCCAACATCTCTTTACCAGCGTCCGGACTTTTCATCACGCCACTTTTGTCCTCCGGAATGATGATGACCTGAACCCACCATTGTGGGCCATGGCGGAAAGGTACGCTCAGCGCACGACATCGATCAAAGTCGCCGAGGGCGGCCAGTATGTGATTGGCATAGTAGTCCACACCGTACGTCAACAGCGTAGCAATACTCACAAAATAACCACCCGGTCGAGCATTGATCTCGTGCAGGTAGAAGGAGGGTTCCTCGTTGCCTTGTAATCGATCGCTTGGATACAAGTCAACAATGCCATCACGCGTATCGTACGCTTTGGATGCATAGCGAATTCGCCCCTCGCAGTGAAAGACGCCGGTGCGGAAGCCTTGTCGCAATAGGGTTTGATGAAGCGAATCCTTGGTAACTTGAATTTCTTTTGGGGAGAGTCCTGTCGGGAGAACCATATCTGTCTCCATGAAGGAACTGTTCAACGTGTTCCCAGCTTCTTCGCCAGCTTTGGGGAAGTCGTCTGCAACCTCAAAGAAGATGATATCCCCTTCGATCAGAACAAAATTAGCATCAACTTCGGGCCCCTCGATATACGGCTCAATCATCACATCCGACCGCGGGTTTGGTCCGTCACTGTGTCGACTTGAAGCCCGCGCGACTGCTTGAATGAGTTCTTCTTCGGTCTGCACTTTCGAAACACATTCACTACCCCACCCCATACAGGGTTTCACGATTACAGGGTATTCAATGGACGAATTCGTCTTGGACCGCAGTCGTGAGTGTAGCTCATCGACATTGAAGATCTTGAATGCTCCTCCGTTATCGGGTTCCATCTCTCGCGTCTTGAACTTGTCTCCAGCAATGATGTATGACTCGGGTGGCGCAGACCGGAACCCCAATATTTGACAAGCTCGTGCAGCGCCGATTGCGCCAGCGTTGTTGACCGTCACAAGCGCGTGGATAGGCTTGTCGTAGCTACGCACCGCGGCCACGATGCGGTCTACAAACCCCTGGTCAGCGGTGATATCGGTTGGAATAAAGGCTTCTCGTAAAAAGTTCCAGCGGTCATCGTCCTTCTGAAACCAATGGCCGTCGTGGTCCAGAATTACAACCTTGATGCCCAATGATCGAGCGGCTTCCCATATGCGCCTCCCGCTCTCCAGGTCCTCTTTGCCTTTGATCCATGCGATGCGCTTCTCTTCAATTGGCTCAGGCGAGATCCATGCGAATGATAACCTGTTCGCTAACTCGTCCTCCAGACTGGCTAGGCGCTGTTCACTCTGGACTTGAACGGCCCCAACAGCATGGGGTAGAAGATCAAGTAGGCTCAATGGAGATTTACTATCCAGGCGTCGGAAATCAGGAGCTTTAATCTCTCCTCTTGGCGTCAGAAAACTTTCAACACTCAGCGCATGCTCGTAGCCTTCCAGACGCCGCTCAAGGAAGTCGGACCTGACCGTGAAGCCAGACTTTACGGGTAGAATGAACTTGATAGCAAGAACGGAAGATGCCGGCAGCTGCTGATGGAGAAGACGAATGAGAAAGTTGGACGCTCGATCGTCCGATATTAATTGCAAGACACTAAGTGCGCTCGACGTAGGTAGCAGCGCGGTATTATTACCAATCGACAAGAGATCCAGTGTCACATCTAGAGTTCTATGTAGAGATTCTCCAGGTGCAACAAGATTGAGTTGCCACAACCCGTCGACGTAGACTACCAACAACGTCAGTGTTCAGTGAGAGGCAAAAGTGCAGCGAGGCTGAATACCATCCTTCCCTTCTACCTTGTATTGGAACTTGCTCGCCTCCGCACCAGGCATAATGAATCGTAAGGAGATGCTGATTCAAATTTGATGAAGATGGTACGTGTGAGCAAGAGGGGTACGGTGCTCTCGTCAAGCATCCCCGGGGGCAAGCGGCGGCGCTTTAACTGTTTAAGTGGTAGAGTCTACTGGTCACATGTTGGACACTGCGCATAAATCAAATCCGACTTTTCATACCAAAGCCCACTTTATCGGCTTAGCGTATACATATCGGCCAACTAGACTAGCAGATCACACGCCTTCTCACTGGTGTTTCGCAAACTCCATAGTTTGCTCATATTTTTTCAATTTCTTATACGCAATGGCACTATGGTATGACATCATTGGGTCACACACTTGAGGATTATAAATGAATTTTGACAATACTTGGTGTATAAATCTGGGCGCCGGGTTTGCAGCACCTGTAGAGATTAAACACTTTGTAAACAAAATATAAATACTGTGTATGCACTTGTACAATAATATACACCTTACCTTCCACCAAGCTAGAGATCAGGGAGTCAACTAAGGTTACTTTATAGTGGGTTTTTTTGCCCCAGGTAACCCTTAGAGTAAGATTGTAACTCTACCAAATTATATATAGGCAAGTATAAGCGAGCTAGCAAGGGCTACTGTTAAGATACTATTGGAGAGCACTAAGTAAGATTTTAGCTGCAGTCTTTTTCTCCTGGATTCTATATTTCCCCTGATATCTTTTATCTTACTGGGTAGATAATGAGCTCAGAAACAAGCATTGTTGGTGGTGTATGAGTGGACCTGGATTATACCTTCCTGGAACAGAACAAATGGGCTTGCGGCGCACTGCATGGGGCTGGATGATGTTACATGATTAAATTAGCTGCCAGCCCCTCCAAGGAGATTAAGATCGGCATTGGCCTGGGAGCACTATCTGTCATATGTCATATGTATGCTCTCACCCTTGGTATGCAGGGCAGAGCAACCAACAGTACCAATATTATAAACATCAATTTAGACTGAGTTCCAAACTAGCTCTATATTATGTTAGTATTCCATAAAATGATAGGTGCATGGATAGTTGTACAGCACAAGTATCAAAACGAACAGGAATAGAAACGTGACCCACTTCGACCTCAAGTATGTTGGACACTGCGCATACTCCGCATGTGAACCACCCGCGGGGGCCCATTTCTGTAGATCCTTTCCTAATAAGGCAATTATATACACTCTTAATAAAATACAGACTTCTAATACAGCAATATATTTATATTATTATAGGTAAGTAATATATTTACTGTATTTTATCTCTTGGCAACCCGTGGGCCACGTAGGGAAGTAACCCGGCCCATTCCTTGGCGGGTTGGGCCGGGTTTCCTGGGCTGGGCCTAACAAGTCTATTCCCGAAGATTCGCCTGGAGCCCCTCAGTGTTGTAAAGACTATCGTCGGATCGGACTTGCCTATCGCCGCGGCAAAGGAGAGACCCATGATGCAGCATCCAGGGGCACTGCTCATACAAGGACCCGAGGTGGCCCCTGCGGTCTGAATAATCCCCCTCCGCCAGTATTCATAAGCACCGGCAGGCATTCGGCCCATTGGACACGCCCGGCGGCGTCGGCGACAGGGGTGTCGGGGAGATCAGTGGGGCCGCTCGCCGCTCCCCGCTGGCTGACTTATCGCTCTCTTGTTCGATCTCGATCAACACCCCAACAGAGCCTGCGGCTTGCCGGGGTTGCGGGTGATCATCACGCGGCGGCCAGCTGCCCAGGGCCGCCGCCATGTAGTTCCCAGCGAAGCCGTGGACGATGAGCGCGTCGCAAGACTGCTCGGTCGGGCAGTATATAGTCTCCCTCCTCGCCTGCCCATCGTCCCGTGTGCATCCGCCGCGTCCCCAGTGTCCCGACTAGGCCAGACAACAAGCGCAGCGACCGACCACCACGACCACCATCACCGAAGTCTTCCAAGCGCAATGTTCGGGAAGAAAGAACAGACCGTCGCCATGGCTCCGCAGGCTGACTCCGAGAAGCACCACAACGACTCCGAGTTTCCGAGCTCCCGCTCGCCGACTTCGTCAGCCTCGGCCGATCTCGAGAAGGGCTCTGATGCCAGCGATGCGCTAGCGCCCGTCGAGGACACAAGGCCGGGCGCGAAGGCCGGGCGCGAAAGCCGGGCTGTCGCTGCCCCAGTTCTGGAATGTTATGCTTGGGTATGTCTCTACCCCGCCGCCGGCGGGCCGTGATCAACGTTGCTGATATGCCGCAGGTTGAATATTGGCATGTTGCTCGCGGCGCTGGACTTTAACATTGTCCCGATTATATCGTCCGAATTTAATGCGTACAACAACTCTTCCTGGCTAGGAACCGGGTTCCTGGTGACCTTTGCTGGTGCTGCCGCTGTACAGCAAATTAGGCGACATCTTCGGTCGTCGGACCGTGTTCATCGTCGGAACGGTGATCTTCATCCTCGGCAGCGGCATCTGTGGCAGCTCCAAGAGCATGGACATGCTGATCTGGTCCCGAGTGGTGCAGGGGATCGGCGGCGGTGGGATCTACGGGTTGGTCAACGTGATATCACGGACTTGGTCCCCCTCCGTGATGTCGGCAAGTACATCTCATTCACCGGATTGGTCTGGGCCATTGCGGATGTCGCTGGGCCCCTTCTTGACGGTGCGTTTTCACAGTACGTGACGTGGCGGTGGTGCTTCTACAGCAACCTATGCATCTCGCCTATCAGTCTTCTAATCACGATCTTTTTTCTCCGCCTCCCGACCCCCAAGTTCGACAAGGAACGTATCAAGGACTTCGACATCCTCGGGACCATGGCCCTCATCGGCGGCACGACCTGTCTGCTGATGGCCATCTCCTGGGGTGGAAACAACTTCCCGTGGGTGACGCCCGCGTCATCGGCTGCTTGGTGGGCGGGTTCGTCCTGTTGGTCGGTCCTCTTTGTTGGTTGGGAGCACTTCACGAAGGACCCGCTCATGCCGCCTTTATTCCTGCACCGACCCGCCATCATCGCCATCTTTATCGCCGAGTTCTTTTACGGGGCCAACCTCCTCGGGATGATGTACTACGTGCCGCAGTTTTTCCAACTGGTCTACAGTGACTCGGCCACCATCTCTGGTGTCGCGCTCCTGCTCATGATGCTGGGCCTCGCGATCGGAAACCCCATCGCTGGTTGGGTCACCAGCAAGTGGGGCCTGACGCTGACAAACGCCTGGGTCGGGGCGGGCCTGACCACGCTGATTAGCGGCCTCATCACCCGCTGGCACGCGGGCACCGGCTGCGCGGAAGCCATCGTCGAGCTGATCATCATCGGTATTGGGGGGTACCGTCATGAAGGGTCCTCTAGTTGGATCTCAGTTTCTGGCGGAGCCCATGGATATCGGCCTCATCACTAGCATGGTGATCTTCCTGCAGACCGTCGGCGACATTTTCGAGATTGCCACCTACGCCGCGCTGTACCAGAACAAGCTGCGCTCCAACCTGGCCCAGCTCGCGGGAGCGTTGACCCCGGAGCAGATTGGGGTGATCCTGGCCGACGTGCAGAAGGTCAAGGACGAGTTCTCCGGTGATCTGTACTACTCGATTATCGAGGTATACGCCAAGAGCTTGCAGAATAGCTGGTGGTGGTTGTTTACCTGTGCGGCTGCTCTGTTGATCAGCTCTTGTTGTGCTAGGCAGCGGAAGTTGTAAATCGCTCCAAAGGAGCCGGAAACGGCTAGGGCAGCGATGAACAGGCTCGAGGGGTGGGTTCGGAGGCTAAATAATTGACGGATGAACGGCTACCATGGAGCGTTGTGCCTCGGTTGATAATCTCCTTTTTTTGGATCTTTTGTTCCTGTTTCCTTTGGTCTAGATTAATATCTATAGAGGCCCAAATGATGAAGAGTTGTTATGGGGAAAACCGTGACCCTCCAACGAACCCCAGACAAAGTAACCTAAGATCTGCGTGGGTCAAGTCGATCGTGTTCACGGGGACACATTCTGCGGCAAGCCATTAGGAATCACAACAAAAATAATAAGAAGAATAATCAAGAAGAGCCCAACCAGCTTAATTCATTCAAATAAGACCTTTTTACCATCCCTACTCTATTTCCTCTCCGGGACTAGCCAAATATCTGAGAGGTACTAACTTCGTATTGAGAATTCGATAATTTAGACACTGCTCTCACTCACTCCCTCCTTTTCTTTAATTTTTGCGAGCAACCCAAGAATTCTCCCCCGGGAGTTCTTTTATTCCCCGCAAAACCGGAGAATATACGAAAAAGTCTGTCCATTATCAGCTCGGGAATAACAGGCCGACGCAAAGGAAGATATGACGTCGAAGTATCCGAGACTATAAGTAAGATACCACCGGTGCTCGATGCTAATAATATCGCTTATTAACTACGCTAGAAAGGCCATTGGTCCCTAGATTCTGCGTCGTACACTGTAACACGGCCAGCTGGTGACCACATGCCAGCTTACCGTATTGATATACCAATAAGTGCACTCGACAACGGGTTTCACAATAACCTTAAACGAATGTATGACTACGTAGCTGTTAAATATATACCACAGAAGCTCACCTACCCTCTATCGGCTATCGCCTCGAACGATGGGAAAAGGACGTCACCCTATTATATACACTTGTCTAGTAATCACCAAGAACTGCCCACACGTCCAGAATCGCGTGGTTATATAAAGTGGATATTACAGATCATGTACCTTACTGTGTGTTATTTCTGGTTCACCGTCTGTTGTTTCTAGGTTAAACCCAAACCAGCGATCCTATCCAAAGAGGAGACTCTTGGGCAGTATTTCGAAAGAATCAGGTTGCCCGGCGTTTCAGCATGAACTATTTATTACCACTCATGTCAAATGCTACGACCCGTTCGTATGACGGCTACTCAACTTTCCCGCCATGGATGCTATTGACCACACAAGTAAAACTTACCGACAGCCGAACTATACTGTTGTTGGCGGCGTTCAAAATGTCCAAGCGAAGATTTCCCAAGGGCAAGACGTAAGGTTCGGCGCAACCGTGGCCGCGGTCGAAGATGTCGGTAAAGTTCGACTTACTTGGACTGATTCCAATAGCAAGCAGGTTCATACTAATGATTTCGATCACGCCATCATGTGGTTGCCCCTAACGTCGTCGGTGCTATATATTTAATGAACAGTTTCGGCAGATTATGAGCTCCATCCCCGTTTCTGTTGGGGAGTCATTCATAGCGACACGTCAACCTCCCAGACTGCGGTCGGTCTCAATGTACATCTGCTCCGATTCTTCATCTACGGAATCAATACATGAGCATCCTTCCCATGTTCTAGTGACAAATTTTCCGATTACCCCTATAGCTCCTACCAAAATTATCCATCGCACTCAGTTAACCAGGATTTTGTGAACTCCGAAAAGCAGGAAGATTGTTAGTTAAATATTTAGTCATGAAGACTGTGAGTTTGAGCAGAAAGAGTGCCTCTGGCGCAATGGAGATGGAAATGTCTGGCTTGCTGGTGCTTGGTGATAGGATGGAATGGAGCTGCTCAAGGGCTGCGTCGTGTCCGCCACGCGAGTCGCAACAAGCCTAGGCGTTGAAGTGTCGTGGTTGTCAGGGGAGTGAGATATATTCGAAACTGCAGCTTACTATAGATCGCTATCTTTGTGTGATTCGCTCTAGAGATACTCACCGGGGATTAACAAAGCTAGACATAACTTTCGTATCTTTGCTCCATGAATGGAAGTCAGGTACTCCCTGTTGCTCTTTTGAATGCCGTCTTTGGGCCAAATTTCCTTCATAGAGAGAGTTCATTTTTGGTTCTCGGACCAGCGTGCCACTATCACAAACCCTCTTACAGCTCCACTATCAGCCCACCAGTCAAAAACCTTGGCTGGTCCTCTGAACTTCCCCACATGCATACCATATCTCCTCAGCTCTCTATCCTTACTCCATATATACCCTGCGATGCCTTTGAACACATATTCCGTGATATCTCTCATAACAATCATATTGCAGTCATACCCGGCCTCGACCAACATGTTTTCGTATTCCTTTCTGCTAAGGAAATTTGAATAAGGGATCCCCGTCACTAGGCAAATTGACCTCAAGATCAACTTTTCCCAAAAAGTTGCGCGATCGGAAATGATGAGGTCAAAGGCCATGAACGAAGCCCGCATATCGCGATATGCACACCTGAGCAATGGTTTGCGAGACGGTTCGAAATGATACAGTGTATCAAGGGCTAGCAGCCATGTTTGCCATTTTTCTTTCTTGGATCCACAGGTTTCAGCGTAGCCTGTTCTATGCTTGTTGGTTATTTGTGGACCCCTGTTTTTGTCATCCACAACAATATCTCTAAGTTCTTGGCCCCATAAAGCAGGTCTTGCCGCATCGGCGGCGAAAATTCGTATCTCTGGCGTCCACTCTGGCGAACCATTGCCAGAGGGATTTCTCTTCAAAAGCCTTTCCCGAGCAACGTCGGCCTGCGACTGTGCAATGGTGATACCCACATACGAGTCAAAAAGGGGTAGGCTTCCCGATTCAACTAATCTTGGTCTTTCCATATCCTCACTCTCACCAGGAGCACATTCTGTATCAGTGAAAGAAAGCCCGGTATGAGAATGGCAAGCAGGTCTAGAAAGTCGTCTGGTCAAATAAAGGGCCTGGTCACCACAACCAATTCCAACATCGACTAATTTGATCTTGTTTTCTCGTTGAAGTTCATGCCGAGCTTCAAATCTACTGCTTCTAGTTGATGAGGAGACGGTTAAAGTACTTGGCGCGCCTGGCGTCCTACTTTCACTCAGAAGGTCTGCCGTGATGAGGACCTGATCTAATAAGGCTTCACAGGCATCAGGGAAGCTGTTGGTATGCTAGGTACCCTCTCAGTGGGTCATTCAAATAAAGTAAGCAGGTGACGGGAACACATTGTAGGATCGTTCGCGAACCATACCTTCCAATATCCCATATTCATCCACATACTCGTTGGGGGAACTTCCATATGAAGAATCGAGTGATCCAATCCGTACAACTTCTTCTCGTCGACACCAATTACTGATCTGAAAATACGAATAGCCCATCGCAAAATTTTTCCTAAGATAGCCATGTTTCTTGTCGCGTCCACACACTTGTTGGTGGTTAATCTGCTTGTGGTTGTCGAGCTTTCCGGTGGTCCACGACGAGGGACAGATGGGAGGGACAGAAGAGGACTTGACAGCTCCCTTCACCTTGATAACCAATTCGCTCTTTTTGCAGTCCCGGTTTACCTGTTCAGATTCCAATGTAATGGTTTGCTCGAGGTGGAAGGGAAGAGCACTTCACGTTAGCCTCGGCCCGCTCGAGTCGGTCAAGTGTTGGAACATCGGGATATCCCTCTGCTCCGGGTGCCGGTCTGCACTGAGTACACAGGTGGGGTGACCTCGTTCAAATTTTCAGAGGAATCGTTAGGGTAGTCATGTGATACACAATGATTCCTGTGACTTTTAATGCCCAAAATAAAATACAATTCTTATATACTTTTCATCCCCATTACCATATCCACTACCAATCATCCCTTTCCCCTTACTTCTAATTAGTTAACAAGTAGCTACTAAGTACTTGGTAACTATTTTATAAGTAGTTAGTTAGCTACAACCTAACTCTTACCTTAGCTTTTTATTTTCTTCGGCCAAAATATCTTTGATATCTTCTCCCCATGTAATAAAAAGCTCGCTGTGTCTATTATTCTGATGTAAATACTTGGGGTGGTTAGGAAGTACTTGGAAACGGCTTGGAAAGTACTTAGGAGGTACGTTTAGGATTTAGAGAGGTATTTATGGAAGAAGAATTAAAATTAATTTTCATAGGAAGGGATATAGTATTTAAAAGATCGGAAGAATTGTTGGTTGTGCCAAGACCCAGGACGGGTCTTCCGAGATTTTGAACGATTCACAGGACCTGTAACCTGGTCTGGAACTGTCTTAGTCAGCATCTGTTATGTATTTGTCAAATAATATGGCCTTTGGTGGACCAGAATCATGTGACTAGATAGGGTAAAAACCTCCGCGGAGCACACAACGAAAACAACAGAAGAATCAACATAATCAAGAAGAGCCCAACCAGCTCAATTCATTCAAATAAGATCTTTTTACCAATCGTACTCTATTTCCTCTTCGGGATTAGCCGTATATCTGACAGTATTTAGCCTAGTTCGTGGGTGTCTCCGTACCCCTGAATCCCAGACTCCTTCATGCTTCCAACAGGTTATGAGCCCTCGACTCCAGCTAAACAAAGACAATTTTGTTAATTAAAATACACAGAATTGCTTTTACTCGCACTGAGCTATCTATTGCATCTTTTCCGTCTTTATTCGATCCCTGTTGCTTATTCTAGGGGGGGTTGAATCTTTGTTTATTATTTTGTTTGTGGATTTATTCCTAGATTCGCTACCAACATCACGGAAGCAGTTTTTCTGTGGATTATCATTGTGCTGGGATATCTACCACCAACAACCTGAGAAGATCTAGTATTGTTGCTTCGGCTATACATGCTAGATAAGGATGTCTCCTTGCTTTTAAGTTCACCGTTGCAGCAAGTATCAGTGGTGTAAGTGCATCAAGGGAAAGTCATAATCGACTGTTACGTAACGCACTTTACCGCCTGCCGCCCGATTTTCCAACACGCTGGGGGTCGCTGACACCTTCCCCCCCGCCCGAATCCACACCGAATGATACCCAATACGGTAGGTCTCTAACATCACATTGGTAGTTTAGTTGAATTGGAGATTAAATTCTATGGAGGATCAATACTTGCGAAAACGTATATTTTTTATGGTCGACATGGGTTAAGTAGTCGGGGTGTGAACCCCGCATATTAGGCAACCCCCTAAGATGCAGATTATTACTTAAGTGCCACGTCCCAAAAGCTTCTTGCAAGATACTGGCAGAGACGGCATGCTATCAAAAGAACACTATCAATCCTCACGACATTCATCTAGAAATCAAGCGCCATTTTCATCCGGCCAATCGTAGAAACCTGACTGGCCCCGACCGATGAATTGGAGCAGGAGATCGTTTCAGCCCCTTTCCTCTTTCTATCTTGATCCAGGGAGTAGTCAGCAGTCAGATTGTTCACTAATCACAAAGCATCAGACACCAGAAAAGCAAACACACGGGGTAACCCGTAAGACTGAAGTTGCATCTTAGCCCAAAATCCCCTCCGATCCAACTCGTATTCTCTGCATGCTGTCGCTGATCAGCAACGAGGCGGGAACGTTGGTCTCGGATCAGAGTTGATTAAAACAAAATTGGAATGGTGGGTTGCCGGGCAGGCCAATTAAGGGCAGTGAAAGGGGAGAGCCGCCTGTCACAATAACATTTTTTTGTTCGTGCTAATAACCTTCGTGAGGTGGTGGATAATTGGGTGGTGTCTGTCAGACTCGACTTGGACCTATCTCCTACCTAAGTGTTTCATTCCTCTCACTTGTGTGGCTAAGTCTGTACGGGATAAACCGCTTGGATCTCTGCCAGTTCGGTTGCCTGGTCCATATGTACCTTCGTTGCCTTCCTATTATTGATTTTCCACCTTTATCCCCTAATTATTCATACACTCATGGAAATCCATGAACATGTACCCTTCTAACATCCTCCCAGAGGGTCTTTTTGACCCAATCTCACCTCGACAACTGTCAGTGGATAATTCTTGCTGGGGTGGAGTGGGCCTGGGAGAATGTATAATATCTTCCGGATGTAAGGGCTCTTTCCAGATATTATGTCTACTAATAAGAGAGAGCGATTGGGCTGATATGTTATATTCTAGGCAAGGGAATCGTCTACACGAATCAATGTTTAGACAGCCCTGGCGACGAGGTATGCACGCATTTGGTATACAATGCCACGCTCAATGGGATAGGTCTAACGATAAGGACAGTGCTGTCTTCACCGTCAGTGTACTGTCCCCGAGGGGACAGGATATTGCAGAGATAAATCGAATCAAACATGCGATGGGGGCAAGTTTTTCGCCGGGTCACCCGTATGCCTCCCTTCTATTTTATTATATATATCCTGTTAGTCAAGATAGATAAGCTAATAATAATATTAACAATCTAGCCCTGGCCCTGTCCCGGTTTAAACAACATCCAATGCTGCGTGCTATACGGGAATATGAGCAACGGCACCACTACCACCTCCTCAACACCAATTTCCACAACATCAATGTTAACATCAACGACATCCTCTACGCCAGTAACGAGCTCAACATCAAACGCAAACTCGAATGAAGGTCTCACTGGCTCCCAAATAGGAGGAATAATAGGCGGCGTGATCGGAGCAGTCTTCATTCTTGCCCTGACCGCGCTCATCCTCTTCTTCCGGCAACGACGTCAAAAACGGCTCCCAGAAACAGCAGCTCCTCCGAGCCCTAAACCTGATGTTGAGAACGATGCTGATAAACGCGATACCGCTACAATTACAACATCCGCCACGGGCGCCGAAGAGGATAAAAACCTCCACATGTTAGGCGGGCATATGAGACAGGAGATGGATGCGCAAGGGGGGTGTGTTCGACACGAGATGGAAGGCGTGAATCGGGGATATGCTGCTGGCGGATATATACCGGTTGATGAGAAGGAGTTGTTGAAGAGGGGAGGAGTCCCGGAGTTGGAGGGGAATATTGGGGCTGTCGCTGAATTGGATGGAGGGTCGATAACTCCGTCAGGGAACGCAGATGTGAAGATTTAATTTGCTTTGGAGTACTGGAATTGGGCTGGGACATAATTGGGCTGTGTGCAAGTATGCATGGATGTATGCACCTAATTTTCAAATAGCTAATAGGTTGAGATTTATTTTTATGTACTAAATTATCTTTTGTCTTGCATCCTATTCTTTTATTGCTACCTTAAAGGCGCTAGTATTCTCACCCACGCAAGCAACGTTGCCCATTTTAGAAGTCCTACACCAATACTAGTTGATAAAATAATGATCTGCGTCTTAGGTGGTGGCCTAATATGCGGGTTTCGCACCCGCGAGTACTTAAAACCTCTTTTCCTGTATTCTTGAGAGGCGCGCGAGAAAAACCATCCTAGGAAGCACGGTAGCTATTGTGGTTTAGGATATCAATATATCGTTCAGTATATTAGGCAACTGGTTGCGTGAAGCTGTTCGATGAGCTTACTGCCTTCTTCCCTCCTGAGTCACATCAAGTATACTCGGATTGATCTCGGGCTTCTGCCTTAACTGGATTGAGAATAACCTTACCAGCTCTAAGGTTGCTATTAAGATAGGATGCAAGAGACTCTGTGGGTTGAGTTACTGTGATTCCTGGACTGATGACATCTACTGCTTAAGTATACTAACCAATGCAATACTTAATTTTTACTAAAAAATGAAGCTTTTGCGTATTTCGAGTGGATTTCTTTTCACCGATCGGGCACTAGTATTACGTCAACTGACTTCGTTTCCGCCGCAGTCTTTGAGAAACAGTGTCTTCCTGGTTAGACAATTGCATTCTGTGTAGCTGATCAAATACCTAACTGCCCTTGACGTCTGTGAATCGCTTTAATCTATCGTTGCGTTTAAGTCAATCTTCAATCTCACATCCATAGTTCCCATCACCATTCTATCCTTACTACTTTCCTACTTTCTCGGCGAACCATCCCACCAGATGGCCAACGGTGGGATGACTCCAGCTCAACGTCGAGGGAACCTTCACCTTAAGTGTCTGCTGAAGTTGTCGTCGCAGGTTGACCGTCATGACTGAGTCCACTCCCAAGTCTGACAGAGCGGCCTTGGAATCCACATCATCAGCGGCCATCTGCAGCACCTTGGCAACGCAGCCCCGGATCTTCTCATCTAGATACGCCTTGAGTTCGGGCCCGGATGAGGGCATTACGTCTGAACCAGTGCCACTGCCGCTTCCACCAGCTGCATCCGCGGCGCCTGATCGCTCTCCCACACGACGAACCGCGATATCATTCAGGATCGGAACGGGAAGGGGTTCGCCCTCGTCAAACGCCAGGCTGCGCAACACAACGCCGTGGTCGATATCATACCGGGTCAGATGCTGCCAGGCACCAAAGGCCTCGTCGCGCGTCACATCCGTGATCCCCTTGGACTCCAGTTCCGCGTTGATGAAATCCGTGCTGGCGCCCATGCCCATTCCCCGCCACGAGGTCCACTGGAACGAGACGGCGGTGTCGCCCTGTCGGGACCGGTGGGCGGCCAGAGTGTCGAGGAAGGCGTTGCCGCTGCCGTACGAGGCCTGGCCGGGGAACCCGAAGAGGTTCCCGCAGGAGGAGAAGAGGACGAAGAAATCGACCGTGTTCGAGGGGAAGACCGCGTGGAGAGCGAGGGCGCCATTGATCTTCGGGGCCAGGACCCGGGCGAAGGCGTCACGGGTGGTTTCCAGGATAAGTTGATTGTCCAGGACGCCGGCCGCATGGACAACGCCTAGGACGGGCGGCAAGGAGAGACGTTCCAGCGCGGCCGACAGCTGTTCGGCGGCGTCTGGGCTGCCGATATCCAGAGCCAGCACATGGACGGTGGCACCCCGCGTCTCCAGATCTCGGATCTTCGCGATGGCGGGTTGAAGATGCTCGGGACTCTGGTCCCAGGTCTGGCGGGGCGGCAGCGTCCGACGGGAGATGAGGATGAGTCGACGGGCTCCCCTTTCGACCAGGAAGTCGGCGGTTTCGAGGCCCAGAACACCCAATCCGCCGGTAATGAGATATGTTCCCTCCGGCCTGGGGAGCAGTCGTGGGGGTTGGTTGTCGGAGCGACGCTTGTTGCGTGGAAGACTGCGCAGACGTGCCGTGCGAGCCACCCCATCGCTGATGCGAATGACGTCGGCACCCTGGATGTATTTTATCGTGGGCAGGGGAAAGACGGTACTTTCTGTATCAATCAAGCACCCGAGATCCGGATGCTCACTGGCAATGATTCGGGCCAACCCGAAGAGCGGTGCCTGAGCTAGGGCGGTTGGAGTCTCACCGTCGGCCACGTTGGAGGTCAGGATAAACATTTTGAGAGGGAGCGCGCCTTCGACGATGAACTTGACCAGCTCCAGCACCTCCCAGGTAAACGATTCAGACGCGACAGGAATCTCCTGGAGGGATCTGACCTCGCGGGGGATGTAGGCAACCGCCGTGGCTTTGCTGATGGGTAGAGATGTGGAGTCCTGGCTAATAAGTTCCTGGACCGTCGAGAATTGGAATGATCTGATTCCCCTGGGAAGAGTGTCGGCGTACCGGCTCATCGTGATGGGATCCGACGAGACCAGAATGACTGTGTCAATGGGCAGGGGCTCTTCGGCAGGAGTGGCTGGCGGCCATGTCAGTTGGTGCACCAAACTCTCCATGCTGCCGCTGACCCCGGGGGTGCCTTCAATCTCAGAGAATCGCATCGAGGTGAACTTAGCCACGACCTCCCCGACCTCGTTCAGCACACTCACGTGGGAGGTAGGGGCGGCATCGGAGGCCTCCTGGACGTACAGCCAGCCGATCTTTGGGGGATCTTGCTTGGTAAAGATCTCCACGCTTTCGATCTGGGCTGGCATCCGGAGGGCCGCCGTACTGAACACAGTCGAGCCCACGGAGGTGGCTGCGTCAAGGATCGGGGCCCACGAGGACGAGTCCCAGGGCAGTGACCCATCCCCTGTGACGGCGGGATTGACATCGACACGGGCGATCATCTCGTTGGTGTTGCGGTAGTGCTCCGTAACAGCCCACGGGAATCCCATGGCAGAGACTCCCACCTGGTCCAGGTAGTTGATGGAGAAATCATCCCGGATCCGGGTTCCCAGCCGCTGTTTGACAGCGGTGATATCGATTCGGTCCTCAGAGCCCAGTACGTCCCGCGCCCAGTAAGCTGTCGTATGGGTGACCCATGAGGAATCGTCGTCTGTGGCCTGTTGCTCGTCCGGAACCAGACGAGACATGATCTTGACCTGGTCGTCCTGCACCACAATTTGGACAGAACGTGGTGCGCTGATGGCCACGGGGACTCGGAGCACCACATTCTGAAGCATCCTTCCACCCGTGCCTTTCATGAAAGTATTGATCAAACCAGCGGCGGGGACGATCTCCGTGCCGTGCAACGGATGACTACCCGGGAATGGCTTGGTGTCATTATCCAACCGTGTCGTGTACACCGTGGTGTTGGTGCCTGCAATGCCGATGCGCTGGCCGAGCAGGGTATGCTTGTCGACGTCGTGGGTGAGGCCAGTATGAAGCGGAGGAGTTTCGATCTTCCGCCAGATGGGCTTGTGCATCCAGGTGGTGGTGGGCAGGCCATCTGCCCAAGGGCCAGGCAGCTGTGTCTTCCAGTTGACCTCGGCTCCGCGGCGGTGCAGCTGTGCAATGCCATAGAGGAGGTGCTTCTCTGCAGGTTTCTGGCGCAGCAGAGTCGGGATGACGGCAAAATCCTCCAATCCGCTGTCCATTAGCGTTTCGTTGATGGAGTGCGAGACAACAGGGTGAGTAGAAACTTCCAAAAAGAGCCTGTATCCGTCCTCGACCGCGGCATTGACGGCGGAAGTAAGGCGGACGCGGTTCACCATGTTGTTGGTCCAGTAGTGAATATCGCGATGGTCCTGGCCCCGGGGATCAACCAGTGAGGTGGAAAACAGGGGTATAGCTGGTGTGCTTGGAGACAGATTATCTGCGAGAGCGTCTGCCAAGGGATCAACCAGACTATTCAGTGTGGGACTGTGGAACGCGATGTCGGTTTTGACTGCGAAAGTCTTGACTCCCCGTTTCTTGAAGCTCTCCGCAGCCGAGGCCACGACATCCAGATCACCAGCAACCACGCATGAAGAAGGCGATGAGTCGATGGCCACGACCAAGTCCTCTCGCTGGCCCAGTTCCTGCTCGACCTGGCTGGCTGGGAGGTTGACAAGGATCATTGCGCCCTTGCCCATGACGCGACGATATAAAACCGCTCTCTGCGTCACGATCAGCGCTCCCTCGACCGGCGTCAGAGCTCCCGCTACAACGCTGGCGGCGATTTCTCCCACGGAATGTCCAATTATGCCTTGAGGGAGGACTCCTTTGCTTTTCAGGACGGCGCTGAGGCCAATCTGCATGACGTAGGTTAGGATCTGCACGAGGTCGGAGGAATTGAAATCACCCGTCCGGAGCAGCTCGATGGGCGACAGGCCGATCAAAGACAGGACGAGTTCATCCAACGGCTGAATTGCCTGATAGAAGACGGCGTTGTTGAGTAGCTCCTTTCCCATATCCGCCCACTGCGCCCCGTGGCCGGAAAACACCCAAACTACGTCCTTGCTGGTGTCCGTCCCAAGCACTCTGCCCTGTGCGGTGAAAGGATGATTGTCTCCTTTGGCCAGGGCCTCCAGCGCCGTTTCTGCATCTGCCTGGCTCTCGACCACGATAGCAGCCCGGTAGTCGTGGTGATCCCGCCGAGTGGCCAAAGTAGTAAGAATGCTGGCCAAATCATGGTCTCGTCCATGTTCGTGGACCCACTTCTGTAGGGTTTCGGCTTGGATGGACAGGCGCTTTTGCTGGGGACCGGACAAAAGCAGGATGCCTGGTCCAGTTGGCGACTGCGTCGCCAAAATCTCCGGCCTGGACAGCGGAATGAATTGCTCAATCACTGCGTGTGAGACGGTGCCACCGTACCCGTAAGAGCAAACCCCCGCGCGACGGATGGTATCCGACTCGGGCCATTTGGTGGCCTCTTGGACCACCTTGACTCCAGCCTTGGCCCAATCAATCCGGGTGTTGAGCTTGTTCAGGTTGGCCTGCGGAGGCAAGACACCTTTTCGGATGGCCAGAGTCGCCTTAATAAAGCCCATGGCCCCCGCGCCGGCCTCCAGATGGCCGATGTTGGGTTTGATAGACCCAATGAAGCACGGATCTTGGGGAACCCGTCCGGCCCCATATACACTGGCGATGGCGGAGATCTCCGTGGGATCTCCTAGTGGTGTGGAGGTGGCGTGGGCTTCGACATACCGGACCGTGAGGGGATCCACGTGGCCGACTGCCAGAGCATTCTGGGCCACCAACTGCTGCGCCTTGGCGTTGGGGGCCATGATGCCGTTAGTTTTTCCATCCTGTGCAACTGCACTGCCTTTGATTGTGGCGAGAATGCGATCATTGTCGTGTATAGCCTGGTGGAGGTTCTTCAAGATGATGGCGGCGGCCCCTTCACCCCGGCCGTATCCATTGGCCTCATCATCGAAGGACCGGCAGAAACCTTCAGAGGAGACGGCACCTGCCTTGTCCAGCACTCTGGTCAGGCCCGGGCCACAGAGAGCGTTGACGCCGCCGACAATCGCAATACTGGACTCGCCGAGCTGTATGGTCTGAACGCCATGATGGATGGCGACTAAGGAGGACGCGCAGGCCGCATCCACGGCCGTACTGGGACCCATGAGGTTCAAGTGATATGAAATGCGATTGGGCACTCCACAGTACGCGGTGCCGATGCCCATCCACGCTTCGATATTGGGCAAATCCTCCAAGACCAGTTTGGAGTAGTCGTCCGAATTGACCCCCCAAAAGACGGCCGTGTCGGTCCCCGACAGGCTTTTGGCGGGAATTCCTGCATCCTCGAGCGCCTCCCACGCCACCTCGAGCGAGATCCTCTGCTGGGGGTCCATCTGCTCCGCCTCCTTGGGCGAGATGCCGAAGAACTGACTGTCAAAGTCCTCGAGCCGATCCAAGAAATAACCCCGAGAGGTCGTCTTGTTGAGTTCTTTGGCGTTCCGAGGATCTCGGCGATAATAAGGCTCCCAGCGCATTGATGGGATCTCGCCTGAGGCGCTTTTCTTGCTCAAGAGGGATTGCCAGAGTTGCTCAGGGCTGTGGTTACCCCCGGCCACTCGGCAAGCCATACCCACAACGGCCACGTCGTTTGAAAATTCCTAGTGCCCCGTCAGTTAATGTGGTTGAGCTTGGCGTGTCATTTCTTCTTCTCACATATTGACTGTGCTCAGTCACTGGGGTATCTAGTTCAGGGGGAGATGTTCCCCGTGAGGGATGTGAAGTTGCAGCGGAATCCATGATTGTGCTTGGTTAGGTTTCCCTGCCCTGTGCAACTGTCTGGAATTACTCGGGCTCTTTATAAGCCATTCTTCAGCACGATCAGCTTTCTCATCAAGTGTACTGAAGGGAACTGTCAATACCTATTTCCTAATTGGGAACTCAGGGTCTCTCTCCCTTGATTGTGTTTATTATTGTACTCCTTCGGAAGCCTGGTAAGCTTGGCCCTTGGGTGCTAGCATTTAATGGAGATAAATGGCGTGCCGATTGGATATTCCTTCGGTCCACCCATGCTTATCAGGCTGACGGCGCCAAAATCCTCCGCTGTAGGGCTCGTACTGCCGACAATCTGACATCCCGAGGATTTTAGTGCACCACTCCAACCCCAAGGAGTAACACAAGGCGATTTCCGCAAGGAGTGCTGCGGAAAAAGATCCATCACCCGTTACGAAAGGATAGCCGCATCGGACAAATTGGGATGTCCGGGAGTTGAGCAGTGTGAATGTGACTTGATAGAATGGATCAGACCATCTCTGCATCCCACACAGTCTCGAGTTTCAGGGGTTGAACTGGGTTCATGCATTGTCTCGCACTCCCTGGGTGGATTTTGAAGTATATAGATCAGAATGGATGCACTCACTCTGCACACTCGGCCTCGTAAGTTTTAAATCAAGTATTATTCTGGTAGAAATCGACTTTGACTGCTTTTGTCTTTATTTTGGTTTGCCTCCCCCCCGACTATTTCTCTTATAGTAAACACCATGGCTCCTTTTGTTCCGTACCACTCCTCCGCCGGCCAGTCGACCATTGTCAAGTAAGCACATAGCCATCTCGCTCATGAAAACAAAACAAACAAACATTAAAGCTAAACCCAACTCTCAAAAGATTCGGAGGTCTTCTCACCACCGAATTCCTTGAACCCCCTCCAGGACGCTGCTTTCTCTTCCGTCAAACATACCGCCACACCATTGAAGGCCCCATTCCCGAAAACCTGCGCAAACTGATCAACAGCCCTGACAGACCCAAAGGTCCTCCGCCCCACTTCCACCAGTTCCAAACAGAGTACTTTCGTGTGGAGAATGGAGTACTGGGCATCGAGGTGGACGGGGTCCTGCGACGCATCACGCCCGATGATGGCGAGATCTCGGTCAAGGCAGGCAGCGTCCATCGATTCTTTATCCACCCTGATTCTCCCGAGAGCATGACGGTGTACCTGAGTGCGTCGGATTCCGGGAATGATTATCAACTAGATCGGATTTTTTTTGAAAATTGGTACGGATACTGGCATGACGCGCTGCTGCACGACGGCGGTCTGGACTGGATTCAGTTTTTGGCGGTATGAAAATCCTGCTTCTGATAACGATAATGATGATATTTAGACTCGCTAATTGATGGATTGGGAGACTGATAGATCCAAGACGGTGGCGACGCCTATACTCCCGCTCCAGCGTGGGTCCCGTTCCGTCGTCAAGTCGGATACTGGACCTGTGTGATTGTGGGACGGTGGATCGGAGGGCTGCTGGGGTACAAGCCCTTCTTCCGAGAATATACGACGGATTGGGATTTCGCCGTCGCCAAAATGAAGGGATCGTTTTTCCAGCGGCATCTGGTGCACGAGTCCTTTGCAGCGGAGAAGTCGTGGAAGCAGCAGGCCGAGCTGGAGCCCAAGGTCAAACCTGAGAATGCAGAGTTTGAAAAGTGGACGGAAGATCTCTCGCCTACTTCGCTGGCGTTGGGGCCGGTGGCGTATGAGCATGGGGAATTCAAAGGACTGCAGAATGGCGTCGCCAATGGGGTCAACGGCCATGCCACGGGGGTCCAAACGAAGAAGACGCAACTAGGGAATTTGACTCGGAGATGGTCCGGAGCGGAGAACAAGACTTCTGTCGAGGCCTAGAGGGGAAGTAGCTAGTCATTTTGGTCTATTTTGGAATGCAAGACCTATGAGATCCATGTATTTACTTCTATCCTTTGGTAGTTATCTGTTTCGGGCACGGACTTGTAATTTGATGATGATGAAGCTACTAACCAAACATAAACAGTAAGGCTGCCACAGCTCCTTACCTTCCTCCAAGGGGAAAAATCAACTCTAATGGAATTTGATACTCCAATGCCAAAAAAAAAAAGAAATAAAAAAAAGGGCCGGTGATATCGTCTTGGTCGAACCGATTGAATTGACAAAATTAGGAGTTCACTATGGAATAGCCTAATCAGTGGTATACACGGAATAATCAAAACAGTTGCTATTTATTCCATGGGATATGATGTACATCGTTCATACTCCGAATCTCCTTTAGGAACCACATGTAATGGGCAATAGAGCGCAGATTCATAAGATGCTCACCTCTCCATGATGAAGCGTGTATGGGAAAATACGCTGCCACAGGATGGATTTCGTACAACCGCATTCTCTGTATATTGTAGCGGTGCTGCTGAGCAGTACTAGCATATTGTACTTTCTCCAGTATCTCCTTCGTTCTGGGTACCGGCCACCTGGGCTACCTGACGGTATCTTCTTAGATAAACAGATTGGAGAATCTCATCTAACAAGTTCTTATAGGGCCTGCCACAGTTCCTCTGTTTGGAAATGAGCTTCAGGTCCCAAAGGCAGATGCGCATTTTAAGTATGACGATTTTTTTTTCTTTCCTTTCTATCCTCCCTTTTTCCCGGGTCAACAAACTAACGGACTGGTAGATTCACAAAATGGGCAAAGCAGTATGGGGGAATATTTACCCTGAAGAGGTACATGAACACCACCATTGTCATTACGGATCGAAAGCTCGTCAAGTCACTCCTGGACAAGAAAAGCAACATCTATTCCCACCGACCAGCGTCGCGTGTATCACACTTGATCACCCAGAGCGATCATCTTCTCGTTATGCAATACGGGGAGCAATGGCGCATGCTCCGAAAGATCATCCACCAGTACTTCATGGAGCCCAATTGCGAACGAGAGCACTGGAAAGTCCAAGAAGCCGAGGCCAAGCAGATGCTGCATGACTTTCTTACCGTGCCAGAAGACCACATGCTGCATCCGAAGCGGTACAGCAACAGCATCACCAACTCTCTTGTGTTTGGCATTCGCACCAAAACCGTGCATGACGAATACATGGACAAGCTGTTTTACCTGATGGACAAATGGTCCTTGGTTCAGGAACTGGGGGCCACTCCTCCCGTGGATTCGTTTGGCCTGCTGCGCATTTTGCCGCAGTGGTTACTCGGCAACTGGAAGAATAGAGCCCTGGAGGTGGGTGATCTCATGCAGTCCCTCTACAAAGCGGCGCTGGACCAGGTCCGGGAGCGACGCCAGCGCGGAATCCACCGAGATTCGTTTATGGACCGTGTCCTGGATAATCTGGATAAGACGCCGCTCACCGAGAATCAACTGCGGTTTTTAGGCGGAGTCCTCATGGAAGGAGGATCGGATACTTCCTCCTCGTTGATTCTGACCATCATCCAGGCGATGACCAAATATCCAGAGGTTCAGGCCAAGTATGATCCCCAACATTCATTCAATTGTTTTCCTAGAAAAGTAGTAACTGACCGCGTAACACTAGGGCTCATGCTCAAATTGACGCTGCCGTTGGATCAGATCGATCTCCCGGTTGGTGTGATTTTGCTAAAATGCCGTACATCAACATGGTCATCAAGGAGTCCCATCGGTGGCGTCCGGTCAGTCCGCTCGGCGTATCACATGCTGTTTCTGAAGGTAAGAATACTTCATCCTTTGGGGGGGGGGGAGTCCAGCTAACGAATCACTCAGACGATCACGTCAATGACAAACTAATCCCTAAAGGCTCCACCATTGTCCTTAACGTCTGGGGTATGCATCATGATTCCAACCGGTGGAAGGAACCGGAGCATTTCCAGCCCGATCGGTTTGAAGACTTTCCTGCGCTGGCATCGACCTACGCGGCGTCCGGGGAATGGGATAAACGGGATCACTACGGCTATGGGGCAGGTCGGCGGATTTGTCCAGGCATCCATTTGGCTGAGCGAAACTTATTCATCGGGGTTGCCAAGCTGCTGTGGGCCTTTGAGTTTAGTGAGCCTCCAGGAAGCAAGAGTGATATCTCTGCGGAGTCCGGAGCCAGTCAGGGATTCTTGCACTGCCCCAAGGATTATGGGTGTGTGATCCGACTGCGGTCGCCGGAGAAGCGCGAGACGATTATGCGGGAATTTGCAGAGGCTCAAGAGGTGTTTGCCCGGTTTGATTAGATTAGATTAGTGAGGTGCTTACTATTACATTTATCGTGATGAATATGGATCGGTTGTATCCTCCCTTTCGGGCTTAGGACGAGTAGGGAACCATTCATGATGCCGAAGTCGGAAAATTGCATCTAAAATCTGACCTGCATGATCCTACCGGATTGAGCGAAGACGGGCTGCCCGCTGAATGAGATTGCCTTTGTTTGGAACTGGCGTGCTGAATTTGGATGAGCTCTCTATTTGGACTCCAGATCAACTCCGGCCTGACAAATGCCCTATTTATAAGCATTACTGTGTGGATAACTAACTCGAACTGGATTATCGCCATGCTGAGATCATATTGATCAGCAGCGATGCTTAGATTGCAGATTACTACAAATAGGTTTGAATCACGGATGCCACTCCGGTTCCTATTTGGGAAGTCAAGTAAAATCTCCGATGTCAAGTACTGAAGTTGGGATTCAGACTCCACTCAAAAGAGAGGATAAGCAAGATAAGGTGAAACAATTCGAATATGGTATTCCCGGACTTCTCGTATCAGGTCTAACCCTCTGTAAACTGCGAAAACACCTCCTTCGTAGCTGTGGTAAATTCCCTCTCCATAGCAACCCGGATGGTCTCGTTTCGAACCACCGGTTGACAGGCGTAGTCCTTTGCGCAGTAGAGAAATCCATTGTGGTATCCAGTAACCGGATCACTGTCGATCTTCCCCTCCGGCGGTTTGAATTCAAACGCCCACAGCAGCTTGGCAATGGCCAACAACATGTTTCGTTCTGCCAGGTGGATTCCCGGGCAAATGCGCCGTCCAACTCCATATCCGTAGTGGTCCCGATTCTCCCATTTGCCCGCAGCGTACTCGGGGGCCAGTTGCGGGTGATCAGCGTAGCGCTCTGGAATGAATTTAGCCGGGTCATTAGGTTGGGAAGGGTCCATATGCATTCCCCATGTATTGATCACCACAACGGTGCCCTTGGGGAGGAATTTGCCGTCCACCCAATCGTCTATATACATAAGGACATAGAGGTTAGCGGGAACAGAAAAAGGGAAAGAAAATCACTCAACCTTCTCCTAGCGCATGGGGAAAACAGAGCGGTAGAATCGGCCTCCACCGATGGCCCTCCTTGACTATCATGTTGATATACGGCAGCTTCTCCAGATCCTCCCATACAGGAGACCTGTCATGACCCACGACCGAGTCAATCTCCGCATGAGCTTTTTCCTGAACCGCTGGGTTCTGGATCAGCGCTTGCACGATGGCGAGGATCAGACTGGAGCTGGTATCCGAGCCTCCCTCCATCAGCACGCCCCCAATAAATGCAAGCTGGTGCCAGGGCAGATTGTTTTTTTCCTGACCGTCCAACACGCGATCCATAAATGTGCCCAGATTCTGTCCCCCGTCGCGCCTCTTAATCACCTTGTTCAAAATGTCCGTGTAAAGAGTCTCCATCTGGACGCCAATGGCCTTGGCCCGGGTGACGTAGTTGTTGAACATCCACTCGGGCAGGAGTTTCATCCATGGGAAGAGGTCCACCGGAGGAGTGGCGCCGGTTTCCATGATCTCGGACCACTCCTCCATAAGTTTGTAGAGACGTCTCATGTTTGATCCGTTCCGGTGCGCCGTGCGGATTCCAAATACTTTGTTTCGACTCAAGAGTCAGAAGACGCATGGAACGCACAGTGCCTGCAACAAAGGCACTATTCATCCGGAGGAGAGACTCACCGATCGAGTTGGTAATGCTGTTACTGAATCGCTTCGGATGCGCCATGTGGTTCTCTGGGTCCACCAGATAGTCTCGCATCAATTGGATGGCCTCCGCATTGACGATCTTGATATGCTGGCTGTCAACCATCGACTCCATGAGATGCTGGTGGATTAACCGGCGGAACATTCTCCACTGGTCGCCATAATGCATCACGAGGAGATGATTGCCCTTGGTAATAAGTTCGTGCGAGACAAAGGAATGAGGGCGGTGGCTGTAGATGCCGCTCTTGCGATCGACGACTTCCTTGACCAGCCTGCGATCGGTAATGACGGCCATATTCCCGTTGCCAATTTTCAGCATGTATAGTCCGCCATATTTGGCGGCCCATTCGGTGAATCTAACAAGACATACAGTTAAGGATCCACTAGGGGGCCATCAGTGGAGGATACGTACTTGATGTGTGTATATTGCTTTGGAATCTGATGAATATTACCGATAAAAGGAAGCGTTGGTGGACCTTACCTCACTCTGAGCAACTGAGGAACATACGAGGGAGGTTCAGATACCCACCTGGAGCCATCTTGCTGGTGCGATGGCCGTAGACCAAAGCGCATCGCACCAACAGGAGAACGGCTACGGCTATTAACACCAGAAGTAACATCGGCTCCATGATCCCGTCGATATTTTCCTTATTATCCTTGCTTAACTGCAGAAGCAGAAGGCGCCTCACAATTTGGGCAAGTCGGGAGGGGTAATGGAGTACCTGTGCCTTTATGGAGTCCGCTGGTGGGGAAGAAGAATACAGACGGCGGTTATCAAATTGTGTTTGCTTTAAATTTAAGAACATGGACAGGAGCAATGAAATCGTTCTCACTTCTCTGTTATTTATTTATAAATTTACTAAGATCATCTTCAGCATTACCAGTTTGCGTCAGGGAGAAGCCTAACTTGCAGCAGAAGCGATGATCATGATTGGCCACAGATTAACTTTCTCGGGCAACCGTAGGATATAGCCAAAAGGAGTGATCCCCCAGGTTAAGAACCATATCAAGCTCTCCTTTGAGAAATATTACTTCTAATAGCGACTGTGGACTTCCTGTTGGGAATCCTGACCGGGGATTACCTAGAAAAAATGAGAGTTATACTGCCTGAATTGTGATCTCCGGCTGCCTTTTTTTTTTTAGAAAAAATTCTATGCTGACTTGTGTATGAACCCTACTTTTATCAAGACTCATACACAAGGCTTAGTTATCTGACATGTTAAGAGACATAACCATGCGAGTAAAGTGTGATTCAGAGCCGGGTTCGAGTGAGCTGAGCCTGAAGTCGAGGAAGCAGTTCTAATGCAGCCTCGCTTTCCACCTGCCGTTTAGTCTGGTCAGGTATTTCATACCTCTCCAGAAACTTTGTAAATTGCGTGATCGCACCCTGTGGCGCATTGGGGAAGTCACTCCCAAAAAGCACATGCCCCGGCTTCGCAAATTCAAAGAGTGCTTTCAAAGTGACCGGATTGGCGGAAATGGCAGTATCAAAGTAGAAAGTACGCGCTGCTTCCACAAGCTCCTCTGTCGACATGCCCAGATTACGAGGCATGAATGGCAGCATTGTGGCTGCGCGATGAATCAGATACGGCAGAGTGCCACCCGCATGGGAAAGGATGATCTTGCACCCAGGATAGTCCCGGATGATACCGCTAGTGAGTAGATCCATTGCCGTTCGTCCTGTTTCATGCGGATAGTCGAACATGGGCTGTGGCATCCATTGGTTGATCAACCGTGTATCGACTGCATGAGTGGGGTGAATGAAGACGACGGCGCCGCGTCGGCTCAGCTCAGCCCAAATTGGACCGAATCGCTCATCCCCCAAGTAGGAATGCCCGTCCCCATAGCGGGTGTAGAGTGTGATCCCGTCCGCACGGAGATTGGTGAATGCATACTCGATCTCCGCCAGCACGGCCTCGGTATCGAACAGAGAAGGGACTGAGGCAAAGAAGCCGTACTGGAAGGGTCGAGCGTCCCTGATCGCAGCGGCGTGTTCGTTACAGCTGCGAGCCAACGCCGCCGCTTTCCCTGGGTCTTTCTCGATGCAGGGCCCCGGGGCGGTTACGGAAAGAATCGTGGTTTTCACGTCGAGAAGGCGTATAATCTCCTGGTCAAGATCCAGATTCCATGCCGGGATGTGCCACCCGGATGGATCGCCCCCCGCTCGCTCAATAGCTTTCAAAACAAGGAATAGTTAACAAGTCTCTCTTGTTGCACACAGAGATTAGATTACTACACACCTTCGCGCAAAGGTTTGGGATAGAAATGATGATGCACATCAATCTTTGCCATGTTAAAGGATGGTTGACAACGACTATAACGCAAGGTCGAGAGTTTTCTTAGAAAGTCTGTCAAACTGTTCCCTGACAGGCTGACCTACCACGCTCTATCTTGCTATATAAATGTCCGCATAGTTTTGCCTTCCAAGAGCTTCATTTTCAGTGTTGGGTTGCTACCCCGCCCCTCACCCTGCAGGATGAGCAATCGTTATGCGTCACCGATGCTTCTCCCATGGCCACCCTCCCTGATCGGTAGACAAACACTCTCCGTGCATGATTGGGGGAAGATATCCATATCTCCTTGTGTGAATATACAGAGAAGAATTGCCTAACTGGGATCTGTGCAGTTGGTTGCCATTCCCCTGCAGATTCGCCGCTTTGGGAGGGCAATCTTTTCGAATGCTGCTGATAGCAGGGGTTGCGATGACTAGGAAGATGTCAAATTTTAGAGTTTATCATAATCTCTGCTTTTTATTTATACGAAGGATCAAAGAGATTCTTTAGCCGTTTTCATTACATGATTAGTCTTTCTGATATGTCTTCCAGTGTCAAACCATATCACTTGCGCGCGAGAGAACTGTCAGAGTGGCACGTGACTGGTCCCGCCTAATTAAGCCTTCCCAGCTGTCCCACAGAGGTCTTTATTAGGCTGCTTAGATACGCAATGTGACTCTCTCCTCATTCTCCTGGCCATAAGCCTTGACAACTATCTACTTTAATAATCCTTTTTTAATCCGATTTTCTTCTGTGGATCCCCATTCCGCCAGTGGCCAGTAACAGGCAACTTTGTATATTTTCCTGTATTCAGGGTAGCTTATATGATGAAATTAATTACTAATGGAGCAAAAGGAGATCGGAGCTACCCTCCGAAACTCCTTTCGTCCAGTATCCCTTCGTAATCCAACAGCCCTAGATCAGGACTAGCGCGAACTACCCATTGACTATCATCATCGAATTTTTTCAGATCCACGTGGGAGGCTTCACTTGCAGCGCCAAGAGTTAGAACTGATGGATATGAGAATACTCTCTGGACTCTGTATACAGAACAGCACAGGACTATGTGTAGCATAGATTCATCCTCCCTCCCTAGTCTGGAAATTATGCGATTGTTGTCCCACCCTGCGGATTCGACACATATTCTTTGGTGCTGTTATCCGACCAGAACGAAGAAGCCGTCGTAAAGGTATCTTCCATCCACTGAAAGTAAAAGATCCGATTCTCATTATTGACCCGAGCTCGAGCCGCCCAGGGCGAGATGACTGTCTTCCCCAGCGTGCGCGACGTGGCTGTAAACGACCCCCAAGCTGTCACATTGCCCCCATCGCCGAAGATATAGTCGATGGAGAACGGGCCGCGTTCCCAGTACAACCCCACGCGGGTGAAGATGTCAATGAAGGCCTGCGGACCAACGTTGGTGTGGGTACCCGCCCACGGCATAACGCCATGCAGGATTGGGTTGTCGAAGGTGAGGGAGACATAGGTGCAGTCGTACGTGACGAGCTCCTTGAGCATATCATAATCCGGGTCGGGCTGAGTGTTGAGGACCTTGAAAAAGACAGACAGTGGATTATGCTCCCAGTCGCTTGGTCCCAGGGGAGGTGGACTGGATTGATAGTTGCCAGGGAATTGATCGATGGGAGCCGCTCGGGTGAAGCTGAACAGAGGGCCGAGGAGACCCCCAAGAAGCACAGTAGACGGTCTCATCTTGAGGAACCGGGGAGAGTGACCTGGCTAGAGAATCTTTGTGCGAGGGAGACAATTCGACTATACTTATGCCCGTTGGTGGCACACCGATCGTCTCTGACCAGCGGCCGGCTAAATCGGGAAAATCGACAGACTTCCATATCTGGTACTGCAAGAGCTCCAGAGGGCCAATATGAGTCAATCGCCGATGTCTCCGGAGTTAGCAGCGAGATACCGTGAATGAAGTAGTATTTCTCGAGATCATTTTGTCTGGCATTCATGCAATGATACAAACACCCTATTTCACCCATTCTTGCACTAGATGGTCGTTAATCCAACGTGGCTGAATCCTTCAGCTCCCAGATCCACTTCGTTATATACTCCGAAACTCCCCAGGTCTCCTTTCGGCAGCTTTGCGGCTCACCTATGCATACCAAGTTCGATGGCCTCCAAACTTTCCTCGTATACTTGCCACCTACGCCATATCTCATCCAGTCTCCATAAACAGCACGTCAGCTTAGCGGGACAAAGGAGACGAACGGACGATGTTTCGCAGCAACCAGAGAAACACCGGAGTCATCCTTTGGCGGTTTTTTTTTTTTTTTTTTCTCTTTTTTTTTAGCCCCGGAATGTGGAAATCTGGGTTGGGTATTTAAGCAGTTTTCTGGGCTGCTCGAGAAAGTACTCTAGTTTGTGTTGGCTACAGCTTGGAATATTGCATGTCTTGGTCATCAAAATGCGACTAATTCCAAACATCCTCAGCGCTATCGGAGTCTTTTCGACCGTCACGACTGCTGTTCCCGTGCAGTCAAGCAGCGATGGCGGAAGAGTTTCCCTTCACGCTCGGCGTGTGTTGGGTTCCTCCTTTGGAGTCCCGGGAAATCAGACTTTTGACTACGTCGTCATCGGCGGTGGAACAGCCGGGCTGACCATCGCAACAAGATTGGCAGAACAAGGCGCAGGCACCGTAGCGGTAATTGAAGCCGGCAGTTTTTATGAGCTTGACAATGGCAACCTCAGCCAGATCCCGGCAAACGATGCCTACTACGTGGGAAAGGATATTGACGATTGGCAGCCAGGGATTGACTGGGGATTCCGCACGATCCCGCAAGCGGTAAGCGAGGCCACCTATCTACAGCTGTCCTCTGACCTCGGAAGTTGGGATCTGGAGCTGATGAGAATTCCTCGCGTTTGCAGGGCGCCCATGGACAGGTCAGCCATTATGCCCGGGGAAAGTGTCTTGGAGGCAGTTCGGCCAGGAACTACATGGCGTATCAACGAGGCACTAAATCCGCGTACAACATGTGGGCCAACACGGTTGGGGATGCGAGCTATACTTGGGAGAACTTTCTTCCTTACTTCGAGAAAAGCCTGCATTTCACGCCGGCCGATGATACACTGCGTGGGGCCAATGCCAGTGTGGAATATGACGCGACAGTGCTCGGTAATCGACAGGGACCACTGTCGGTGACCTATCCTCACTACGCACAGAGCTTCGCCACGTGGGCCCGCAAAGCGTTCCAAGAAATGGGATTGAAAATCCGCAAAGGGTTTCAGAGCGGAGAGCTCCTAGGCCAGTCCTTCGGGTTGTACACCATCAACGCAACGACCATGCATCGCGAGTCTTCCGAGACCTCCTTTTTGCGACTCGGGCTCACGTACCCCAATTTCCTGGTCTTCCAGTCGACGCTGGCGAGACGGATTCTCTTTGACGACAGGAAGCGGGCGGTTGGTGTGAAGGTGGACACGCAGGGATATCAATTCACTCTTTCTGCACGAAAGGAGGTCATTCTTTCTGCCGGGGCCTTCCAATCGCCCCAACTGCTCATGGTGTCGGGAATTGGCCCCTCTGCGATTCTGAATGAACATGGCATTCCGGTCATCGCAGACCGGCCTGGAGTGGGTCAGAACATGCAGGATCATATCATCTATGCACCTTCGTACCGGGTCAGCCTCGTCACGCAATCCGCCCTGCTCGATCCGGCCTTTGAGGCCCAGGCCAACAAAGACTACAACGAGAGGGCCGCGGGCATCTACACCAATCCCACCTCGGATCTCCTTGCATGGGAGAAGGTCCCCGAACCGATGCGATCAGACTGGTTGTCCGACGAAACCCTACAGGTTCTCGCGGAGTATCCGACGGACTGGCCTGAAGTCGAGTTCCTGACCATGGGTGCCTACTTTGGGTATCAGAAGAACTACATCCGGGACAACCCGAGAGACGGATACAACTATGCTTCGCTGGCGGTCTCGCTCTGCACTCCTCGATCGCGGGGAAATGTTAGCATCTCCTCTGCCGACGCTGCAGAACCTCCTTTGATTAATCCCAACTGGCTTACGGACCCCGTGGATGTGGAGCTCGCCGTCGCGGCGTTTAAGCGGACGCGCAACTTCTTCAATACCAGTGCGATTCAACCGGTCCTCCTCGGGCCGGAGTATTTCCCTGGACCTCAAGTCGCAACCGACGCGGAAATCGAGGACCATGTGCGCAAGAGCTTTGATACCATCTTCCACGCCTCTTGTACGTGCGCCATGGGGAAGCCGGATGACGAATACGCTGTGGTGGACTCCAAGGCTCGTGTTATTGGCGTTGAAGCCCTGCGGGTGGTGGATGCATCTGCCTTCCCGTTCCTTCCTCCTGGTCATCCTCAGTCTACCATCTGTGAGTCCTTCCTGTCTGCCAAATTTCATGAGTTGGATTATATAATGCTGACGATAGCTTCAGATGCGCTGGCGGAGAAGATTGCATGTGACATTTCGGGTGCTTGTTCAGTTACAATGTCTCTGTGAACTCAAAAAGGGAAGCCATGTTCGTAGTATATATAGTATATTCTGCGAAACTGCATAGAACCAGAGAGAAAGAGAGAGATCCCATTCCCATTTCCATCCCCTTTTGAATGGCCTCACATTCTCTACATTGGCTCCAAACCATGTACAATAATCAAACCAATGTCTGCTGCTACTATCAAAAGACTTTTTTAGCCCATTGTGAGAACTGCGCGGAACCGCACACTTCCATCCATCATCGCCGCTGTAGAAATTGAGACAAGATGTCAGCAAAAAAAAAGGGTCCTCTTAAATAGCGCACCAAAGGGCTCATACCAAATGCCTCGTTGCACTTTTCCAGTGGGAATTCCTGCACCATGCAGTCAACTCCCTGAAGTTCCGCAAATGCGATTGCCTCCTCTGAATCCGTGGCATGACCACTGGGCCAGCTCCAAATCGATTTGCCTTTTCCGACCTATCCTCTCGATTAGTTGGCGGGCTCCGAATCCCAATATCTCTTCCGATCGAATCCACTTACCAACAAACCAGAATGAACCTCAATCCCGCCCACAACTGCAACGCATGTCAGAAAAGAAAGGGAGAAAAAAAAGAAAACAACAAAAAAAAAGTACTCCATAGCCAAACAACACAGTACACTAAAGGGAACAGAGAAAACGTACTTGACAAGATCAACAGCTTTCCCAACACCCCCAGCCCCTGAATCAACGGATTGATGATGTCCGGACTGGGTGCCGTCGACACAATCAGAGACGCACCCCCAAGCTTCTGCAATGCTTCGACCGGGTCCTCCTTGCTCGTGTCAATATACACGTGGGCGCCCAGTTTCCGCGCAAATGCTTCCTTCTGCGAGTCACGGGACAAAGCAACGACACGGTAACCGAATTTGTTCGCATACTGGAGTGCAAGATGACCGAGACCACCGAGACCTTGGATGACCACTGTTTCACCGGCGGGAATATTCATGTGACGGATGGAGTTGAAGACCGTGACGCCTGCGCAGAGCATGGGGGCGTATTTGGCTGCGTTGACGTGCTCGGGGATTCGGACGGCGGCTTCGCTGCGGATGAGACAATATTCGGCATCTACACGTGAAGCATTTGGTCAGTTGGTCAGTGGGCCTAAATGAATGCACGTATCCTTCGGAGAAGCACAGCAAAAAATGAGCCCGACGTACATCCTCCATCCCGTGTAATGCCGTTGACTTGCTCATTGTCGCACATCTGGAAGAAACCCTTTTTGCAAGCTCCGCAGGTTCCTGTCAGAAGAGAAAGAGTAAGTATTTTTGTCAATGTGAATAGACAGTTGCATAAATGGATAGATAGATATATTATCTCCATACCATCATGCGCCCCATGCCACGCACCGCCAGCGCGGTCTCCCACTTTCCAATACGTCTCCCCATCACCCACGGCAGCAACGCGTCCTATAATTTCATGGCCAGGGACGCGGGGGCTGAATATAACCGAATTCTTGAGTCAGCTGACACCTTTTCTACTTTTTCACTATGAATCACTTACAACCCCCCTCCCATGAGATTTGTCTGGGCAAAGTGATCCGAGTGACAGACTCCACAGGCTTCAACTTTCAGCACAATTTCACCACGCTGGGGACTAGTCAATTCGACCTCTTCCAGGGTTAGATCTGCACCCTGTTCATTGAAGACGGCGCGTTTGTAGGTGTTGGGGAGTGTGGAGCCCATTGTGAGATTGGGAGGGTGCGTGCAGAATCGTTGTAATATAGATCGGAGAATCTTTGTTTGGTGAAAGAATGTCGACAGTGAGAAGCACAAATGAAGAAGACAGAGGGAGAATAAATAACAGGCAATGCTCGTGCTGCCTCGTTATACTATCATATTCCTTGCCTAATTAGGGAGCGGAGTCGGAGTTGCGGAGAGCGGTCCCTTATTTCCGGGTCTGAAGGAAATAAAGCCTGTAAGCATCACATCGCCAGCCGCCAATTGACTTGTTCAAACGTATTGGGAGAACACAACCATTCCTAAACAAGCTCATAGGCCGATATTACATCGCTTGTATCTGTCAGACACACGCACAACACCATACTGGTAGTCACTCTTGGGATTATTGGGACAAGGAGGCCAAATCAGGGTGCATGAGAATAATATTAAAGGAGGATACATAGTAGGGTTTCCCCCAAGGATCATTATCCATCACAAGTTCTTATCCTTTCCAACTGCCTGGAGACTTGCATCGACCAGGGGGTTGAAATAAATCTATGACGAGGACGGACCAGTGGATAACTGAGCCTCTAGTCACAATAAAAGAAGCCCTGTGCAGAAACATATCTAATTAAGAAGTATTTTCCTTCACGCGCCACTTCTCTCTACAGTAACAACAGCTCCCACTCCAAAAATTCAGTCTAGAATCTACGCCACGGGAGGAAGCAGGACGCGATCACATAGAGAGCGCCCGCAGCAATCGCCATAACATAGACATCATCGATACTCTGCACAATCACGTCAAGAGCCTTTGGCTTCAGATCCGCAGGAAGCTCGGTCAGAAGGCTACTTTGTGCTCCCGCGATGGCACCCTGGATCTCATTAAGGGAATACCCCTTGTCCGCCAAGAGCGAAGTGAGCCCACTGAGCGTTCGGCTCTGGAAGATGGCACTAGCTATGGCCAAGCCGAGGAGCTGACTCTGACCCTGGGAAATGTTCATGAATTGAATGCACTCCGCCACAAGGTCGGCGGTGACAATGGTCGGACCAACTGCGTAGGCCGCCTGCGTGGTGGTCATGCCGAGTCCCATCAGGATGGAGTAGCCGTAGATATTGGCGGCCTTGGTATCGTAGCGGACGGTGTACATCAATGCTGAGCCGACAACCATGAATATTCCACTAATCAGGTACCAGAGGATATAGTAGCCGGTCTTTGGCATGAGCCAGCCACAGAGGAGAATCGTGGCGACATAGAAGCAGATGAAGGGCAGCAGACGCACAGCAGACATGATTCCTGAGTCGCCATGGACAAACTGGAAGTACAAGGGGATGTAATAGACCGCGACAAAGAGGGCGGCACCACCGCAGGCCATGATGATATAGAGGAAGATCAACGTGGGGTTGCGCAGGAATGTGCCAGGGAACAGGCGGTTCTCCTTGGTGGTGAATACGCAAAAGTACTGACTGAGAGCGAAGGCGATAAGGGTGACAGCAGCGACAACGTAGAGAGCGATATTGCGGCCATCAGTCCACGGCCACTGCACTCCGCCAAAGACGATAAACAGGATGAAGGAGACGTGCATCCCCGCCGAGAGCACCGTGCCGACCCAGTCCAATTTCAAAAATCGATCGGCGAAGCTGCGGCCCTGGCCGGCCGGACGGGGCAAGGATGGGAGGAGGAAGATGTAGATGGGCGCCATGATGCCAAAGATGATCAAATTGATGTAGAATCCCTGTCCTACTGTTAGAGAGCGGAGACGTCGAAAAGTAAGGGAGACTGTGAACTTACCCATCTCCATGTCGCCGAACTGTCAGCAAAAGCACCGCCAATGATGGGTCCGAGAATACAACCGGTTCCGTAAATCAACCCGACCAGACCAACATAGACCGGTTGCTCCTTGGGCGTAGTTAGAATGGTGATGAGATTCAGATTTCTACCCAATTTTATCGTCCGGTTAGTATTTCAGACGTCTCTCACGCATGATTGTTGAGGTTAGGGGGATAGCTGACGATACTCACCCTAGGTACATCCCGGCACCACCAGCACCAGCCCACACGCGACCAATGATAATGGCATTCATGTTAGGGGCACCGCCGCAGAGGGCACTCCCCGCCGCGAACATTGACAGACAACCGATGAAGAGCCATTTCGTATCAAAGATCGCGTAGGCCTTCCCCAGCGGCAAGATGAAGACAACGGAGCCCAAGGTGAAGCCTACACCCAGCCAACCCAGCTGGGTGTATTCATTGAAGGTACCGGCGACCGCGCCCTGGATGTCGGCCACAATGGTATTATCTAAGCCATACAGTAGGTTGGCAGAGAAGACGGCAATACAGATGAGTAGCCATCGAATTCCTCGGACCGACCGTTGCTGTTCCGGTTTCTCCTCAATGCCTCCTAACGGGTCTCCCAGCGGGCCAGAATCGTCCGAGTGGGCGGGAATCGGAGTTGCCCGCTCTTTGTCATCCAGGCTGGTGGTTGCTGGAGTTGTAGAGTCCGTCATTTTAGCCGAAGACGTAGTTTGGGGCTATGAAAAAGAGGGGAAAAGTAATTTCGTATTACAGAATATCGTCCGTGACCCCGTCGTATCATAGGACACTCACAATTGATCCAACGTTTGGCAGTCTCTCTCATCATGCTGTCAGTCTTCAGAACCTATATAGTATCGAACCCCAGATGGGGAAATGTTTTCGGTCTCCTTTTGGTAATCCTGAGGTTTGTCATCTACCACTCTGACCAATCAGAATGCTCCTATCTCCGAAACTCCTTTGGGAAGTCCGTATGTGACAAAGCCGTCTTATTAATTTGATCTACATAAAGAGAAGAAATCAAAGATCATTTGCTCGAATCTTCTCATAATAAATTATATGTAATCCACATTGTGGATCGTCATGATCAGCATCATCACTAATCTGGGCAGAACCAACTTATTTCGATCGAAAGCCCGAGGAACGTTATTATGCGGATGGGGAAGACACACCGTTCTTAGAATTCGAAGAACATTCAACTCCGTAGTGATCTTTGAACCGCCTTTCAGTTACCTGTCCAGAAGTCTTGGCTACGTGTAGTACTCCATAGTAGTAGTAGTAGTTCATCAATGGCTCAGAATCCAACAATTCAAAAACGTCGAATATCCTAATTTTAAACGCTGGGAATTAGAGAACCTGGTAGCCTCCAATGCTTTGATAGGCCATCATGTTGCTCACAGTGTCGCTCATCCTTTTGTTGCCTTGGGCAAGTACTGCGTTGGCAGATCTGCCCATTGTTGACTTGGGCTATCAACGCCACCAGGCCATTGCCTTCAATGTGAGGGGGAAATAGACTTTCTGTGAGAGGGTGGAGGCTGATATTATGATAGTCAACTGGTCACTATTACAGTTTTACCAATATTCGATATGCAAAGCCTCCCTTGGGAGCTCTTCGATTTGCTCCTCCCGTCCCCCCAGATAAGCGAACTCGAGACGTTGTCAATGGGACTGGGTTAGGATACATATGCCCACAGGCCCAACCGTGTTGGTCCAATGTGCAGTATCAGTTTGTCAGCGCTGTTTCAGCTGGCACACCCTTTAATTTTAATGCATCCTATGAGCAGGTATATATCAATGACTCCTGTACAACGCCCCCGCCTGTAGCAGAAGCAGACCCTCGCTCGTCGGAAGATTGCTTGTTCCTCGATGTGCATGTTCCTAAGGCTGTGCTCCTGAACCGGTCACACACTCTCTATAGACCTCGTGCGCACCAAAAAGGAGGCGCCCCTGTTCTGGTTTACTTGCAAGATGGGGCATACGTATCAGGGTCCAAGTCGGATCAGAATCCAGCGGGGTTGATTGCAAAGAGCCGTGAGGACGGGTCACCTGGGATCATTTATGTGGGGATGAACTATAGAGTACGCTTGCCACTCATGCTCCCTCCCTCTATGAGTATTGGTGCTGACCATTTTACAAAGTTGGGTGTCTTTGGATGGTTGTCTGGCGGCAAGTTTCGATCATCTGGAGGTACGCCAAACCTAGGGCTGCATGACCAGCGCCTGGCATTAGAATGGATACAACGCAATATTCATCTGTTTGGTGGTGATCCCTCTCGCGTCACAGTCATGGGTGTATCTGCTGGAGGTGGCTCTATTACAATGCAAATGACCGCCTACGGACGTGCGATTCCTCCGCCGTTCGCTCAAGTCATTGCTCAAAGTCCTGCATGGGAACCCGGAACCAAGACCCCCGAGATCGAAAACGATATATTCGACACCTTCCTCGCTTCACTGAATGTCAGTCGCCTCGAACAGGCGCGCAGCTTGCCCTCACAAGCGTTGATCAGCGCAAATTATTTTTTAGTTGCATCACGTCCATATGGAGGTGGCTTCCTCGGACCAGTAAGTTAATCTTGGAATAGCATCTGACTACATTAACTTATTCGTTGTTTCTTTCCTTTTGTCTTTTTCCTCGAATGACAGGCTATCGATGGAGACTTCGTACCTGATAGCCCCAAACGTCTGCTTCTCCAGCGCAAGGTAGTCCCAGCCGTGCGAATTCTCACCTCGTACACCTCCAACGAAGGCTTTGCTCTTGCTCCGGCGAATGTAACAGATGACGCCTCTTTCAAACGATATGTGGACTTGATGCTCAAATCCACCAATGCCAGTGTTCGCTATCACACGGAGCATGTCCTCTACCCGCCCATATTCAACGGCTCAATGCCATATCGCACTCAACACGAACGTGCAAATCTTTTCTGGTCGGAACTCATTGCCAGTTGCAACACACGCTATCTCCACTTCGCTGTCAATACTCCCGGATATGCCATTAAATATAGCGTCCCCCCCGCGATGCATTTGTCAGACACACCGTCGGTCTTCTACAATGGGCCCGTGTCGGATTCTAGTGTCAATGCCACCATCGCGGAGCTGATGCAAAGGCAAATCGTTCGTTTTGTCAAGACGGGGGATCCTAACAGCAAAGGGGATCCCAAGGTGCCTGTCCATGAGGGGCAGGTCCTTGACTTGGGCGATTATGGTGTGAAGGTGGAATCCGACTCTACTGCAAATTATCGTTGCGAATACTGGCAGACTGTGCAATTTTAAGCCTAGACAGAAGCTTGTAGGAGAGAATGGGTACATAGTGGTCTAAATCAAAGTCTCCAACATTGTCTGCAGAGTTTCTCCTGGCATTAGTCCTATGCTACAACGCATTTCTGTGTTCGCATAAAACTCATAGCAGAAAAGCATCTAAGAAATGCAGCTACAATATATCCTAATCTTGGAAGATGTTCCTTTCTCCCCTCACATTATTGAGAATATTTTTCAATTACGTTTGTAGAATGAAGCTTCATGACATGAGACGAGACTCCATATACTTTTGCACATCAATATGATCTTTCCTTACTTACTCGTATCACAACTTCAGTATCTACAGGACTACCAACTTGACAATATCCTCTCGCCCCTTACATCACCATCCATTTAGAGCGGTCAACCTAACACTACCTGCTCCGCTGAAGGCGGGCATAAAAACGACTAGTGTCCCCAAGAGGAAATGAGAAGAGAAGAGCATCTTGACACATTAAGTGGCCAACCGTGTACCAGGCCAGCAAACCCGACACAAATCCAAAAGCTCCCGCGGTTTTCTTCAGTGCTACTCCTGTTGTAGTCTTATTATCTGCCATGGCAAAATAAGACGCAGCCAACACAGTATATGTGATCTGTGACGTTCCAAGCATTGCAGTGTATACCAGGTTCCTGTATTCCAGGTAAGTTGAGAAGTATTTTAGATGTGGGTGACACTGATACTGACATGGGCATTGCAGCAATTGTGAAGAAGAGGACAAATATGCCCCATACTGCCTCAGTATTAGTATGGTATTCTGCAAAAAGGTTCATAAATAGGATACTACCAAGCAGAAAGTACCCAGTCGCATTGTTCAGGGCAGCTGGATCGTTCTTGAAAGCATCTGCCACTCCAAATGCAGGTGCATTGATGGCTCCAAAAGCGAGATTAAACAGACCTTAGTTTTGCTGGTGTGTCAGAATCAGGTCATCCCCAATAATCTACATATTCGAGTCAACAATCCTCTCGCACTTACCGAACCCTCCGAAAACAGTATGTCCAAATGAGTTTCCTCGGACGAGCTCCCACTGCGCCACCAACACCAAGCCAAGACCTGCAGTGAAGAAGGCATTTCCAATGTATGCATTTACGATAGCTGCCCTCCGCCACTCCATCAGACTCATGGAGAGTGTGGTGAAGGCGATGGCGAATGCTCCCATACCCAGGGCAGTCTTTTCTCAATGAGCGGGGATTAGAGCCAGAGTTCAAGTGAGATGGGAACGGGTGACAAACTGGACTTCCAATCGGGACCACTGGCTGAGGCACATGGTCCTTACCGGTTTCGTGCGAAGATTGGGCAGAGGCATTGTAACTCAGCCGAGTTCCTTCGTTTGAGGTATCCATGACAGCCTTTTCACCCGACATTTCGTTGGACAAGGATAAAATTGAGAGACTCGCATCAGATAAAATAAACTTCAATCTGCCTGAAGAAAACCTCCATGGGATTAAGCAAATTTTGTACCACCCAGATCCTCGAAACTCGCGGGCGAATGGGAAATTGGATACCGGAGTATCTCCGATTTAACACCCTGCTACGGAATACTCCATGGAGTAGAGAATATATTACTCAATGGGGCAGGAAAACGGTGCAATTCTCCGTCATTTGTATTCACTTACCTGCATTCTCCAGCTACGCAAGCCCAGACCAGCATAATGCTAGGTGCCTCACCGGGTCTGAGCCGAGAAGTTAAGACCAGATTATAGCAATATATCTAGGCAGTTGAATAATGTCATCCCCACCCCTCTCCTCTATATCACAGAATAGACCGCAGAAGTTAGACAAAGAAGATTCGTGTAATCAGACTGTTCTCTTAATACGAATTTAGTCTAGGTGATTTCTAAGTCAATTTACGTGCAGAAGGTAGCGAACGGAAAGAACGACGGGACGAATAGCCAGGATAATATATGGACAAGAATCGCAATGAGTACCAAAAAGCTGGCAGGGAGGGGAAAAAAAAGGCAACTAGCACCAAGTGACAGATAACCAACTCCAAACGCACGAATCATCGCTCATTACAAGGATCATAAGCACCGTTACAGATCAGACGTGAAGTCAGTCCATGAATCAAGGATCATAGCGTTAGCTTGCATCCAATGCACTTCACTGCTGGATATCACGTCCACTGGCACTGTGGTAGAAAGATGAGCAGAGTGACTCTCCGTGGTAGTCACCAAACGCGGTGACAACTCAGTTGGAGATGTCGATGAGGTCATCTCCAGCGATGGCATGTGCTGAATCGACCGATTGCGCGCCAACTGCAGGGAAGACGGCGGAAGAGATTCCGAAAGGGCCGGAGCGGAAGGGGTTTGGTTCGTGCTGGGAAATTGGACCTGAGACTCAGGAGGGGTCAAGTTCTGCGCTATTGAGGATGGGCTAGAACGCTGCCCTTGCCTCCGGGTCAGGCTTTGACGGAAGCCGTCGATGAGCCGATCCGCGCGGCAATTTACTTCGCGGACAACCTGTGCCGCATTCATGGCGGCGGGAAAGTGATCCCCGACAAGTTCTAAAGTACGAATGGCTGTCTGCAGGGACTTGCGGGCGGATGGCGTTGGCGGACAGACCGGATTGGCGAGCACAAACCCTAGCGTACACAGGATGGCATCCCACTGGTACTGGAATACTGGCGACCATCCGCGCAGGACGTCGGTTTCGGACAGGACTTGGTGTAGGATACTGGTGATAGCCATAGCATGATTCAGACAGGTGATGTTATGGTTGTCGGCAAGAGGGGTCAGAGACGAAGCCACAGGAGGAAATCTGAGGAAGGGACGGAAAGTCGAAATCAGGAGATGGTGATAGAGAAGTTCCAGGAGAAGTCGTTGGCGCTGGAGCCAGAGAGGACTATATAGATCCAAGTTCAAAGCCGCCCGTTCAGTTGAAAAGGCCTCCCTAGTTCCTTTGCGGGCATTCCTGAGCGACCGAGGGACATTCTGAACCCATTTATGAACCGCCGTCATCTCATGGCCGAGGAACTCGGCCAATGCTTCGCTTATGCGGGGGTTGTCATAGATATCTTGGACCTCATCCCCGCTCAATAATTGAGAGCATTTCCGCTGGAAGGCGGCCTGAACGCCCTGGACGGCAAATATGAGCTTGATGCATTGGACATGAAAGCTGATGCAGCTGATGTCTTCATGACCTGAGAGGAGCATGGTGCCAGACATGCGGATATGCTCTCGATCATCTCGTGGAAGACCACAGCTGACTTGGGAGGTTTGGATCAGCGGAGGCCGTCCCAAGGTCATCGAGAGCTGGCTATCAAGGCGGTAAAGGGTCCACCAGATGTTACGGTGAAGCTCCTGCTCCTCAGGGGGCGTCCCATCCAAGGGCTGGAGATGCAGTCGCAGAGTGTGGGCAATCCGCAGCGTCATGCCTAGGTGGATATGGGCAGTATTCAGGAGGGACACATTGTACAAGTAAATGACCGAATAGAGATGACTCTGCAAGACCAAGACGGATGGGTGCTCCAGCTCACTCTGCAGGAGTCTCTGCGCCCTTTGATAGAATGAATGACCAGCCATGTTGGAGTTTTCAGAATAGGACGTGTCCTTGGTTCCGTGGCCATCATTGTCACGGATGAGGAAAGTGCTGCCGTACTGCATGCACACAGCAAGGAGAACATCGACTAGTGGCGATGGCTTGCGGGTCGCAGTCCCATCAGGTGAAGTATTGGACCACAACAACTCATAATATTTGCGAAAATCCGCTTCAGAGAGAATAGGATATACGCAGTGGAAGGACTGCCAGAGTAGATTGAGAAAGTATTCTTCCTGAGAGCGGGTTAGGTCTTCCGTATCGTCTGCACCGTCAGGATAACTCTCCGCACTGACCCGGCCGGCATCCGAACGAGAAGGTCGGTGTGAAGGGGTCCTGTAGTCAAAGCGTGCCACGCATGCCTCTATCTTCGTATCCATCAACGGCTGGTTCAGCACCTGGGAGAGATAGCGAGTGATTCGAGTAACAAAATACGTCGAAGACATAGGACCGTAGTAGAGACCCCCCTGTGGTTTCCCCTGCCATCCTTCCTTGGTATTTGAGAGCAGTTCGGCATAGCTGAACGAGCTATTGACTGCATCCGATAGTGGCGGAGTCGCGTATCCAGTTGGTGCCTGGATTTGAGCGTGTGCCTGCGCCCGAATTTCCGCTTCCTCTTTGGCTGCCCTGATCTGCTCTTGAAGGTCTTTGACTTTGTTTCGCAAGCGTTGGATTTCTCTGTCACCACACACATCATTAGTAATGCGAGCCTGAATTCGGCGGATGACTAATCCATTCTGGAGACCTGATGCAGTAGGAATGAGTCCATACCGGTTTGCGGCAGGCAGTGACGTCGCCTCCAACAGTTTGGTGTTACTGCAATGGCCACCTCGATTCTCACAGTTCTGGCACGGCTGCTTGTCATCACATTTGATTCGATTTACACGACACCAATCGCAAGCCCTGGCGACCTGACTCCGTTTCGGTCGCGGAGCGGCGACAGGAGTCGCGGACTTCTCTCGGGGGCCATCTGTGATATCCAAATTGGCGGAGAAGGTGGAAAACATGATGATAATGATGATGATGATGATGATGATGATCGGATCAGATTCAATGGGGAAGATGGGAATGGCGTGTTTGTGGGACCATGTGCTGACTAATTAAATCACTGGAAGTCTGAGGACAACTCCCAACAGAATGTCTATTCGAGCAGCACGACATATATTCTTGTTAAGCAGGCGACTTTAAATAATTAATATGGGAATTTCACAAGTTTTCAGCGCCGAGGAAATAAAAAAAAATAAAAATAAAAATAAAGAGAGAGACAGGGGGCTATGAGAAAGGAAAAAAATGCCGGGGGAAGGCCGGGGTGGAGAGGAGAGAATGCAGAAGATGATGAGGCACACTGGAAGAGTAGTCGAGCTATTTTTTCGGTAGGGAAATACAGTTGACTCATACAGGAAGATGGACGGGAAACGCTGACTGGCTGAGAGCGGATCGACAATCCCGAGTGTACATTAGGGCTTACTACATTTACTGTTTACCATAATGGATTCGTTATGAAGAATTGCCCGGCTACAACGGTCCGGAGGCTCGTAGAAAGTAACCTGCTGGATTGGTGTGTGCTACGCCGTTGTGTAAGGATCATTGTTCTTCTAACTAGTCAGTGCGAACAGCGTATGAGGTTCCTCCTCCTGACTACTTAGTGATGCCCGCAATATTCCGGATATCAGACATATGAGCCGCACCAGTCCGTCACCAGGAGCCTACAACCTAGAGCTTAAGTACCGTTCCTGGTTCTGGACTGCAGATGGACGGTCTTCAGGGCTGCCTGAAGTCCGGCAAACTACTGCATTGTTTTTTTGACACATGTCTTGCATCCCTCTTATCGAGATCTTTGGGGTACTAGTTTAGTCGAAACCGCTCGTTTATTCCCCGCGCAGCAATTGGACTAATTGGCCTCTGCAGATGTCATTGGTTCCATCTGGATTCTTCCCTAGTTCCACTATGGGTCTCGTCAGGCCGCGATATTCATTCCGTGTTCTTCATTCCGCAGGTGGAGGGGTCAATTGCGTCGCGGATTCGTATTTTGTCCTTGTCGGGATCGAGTCGGATTCTTCACAGGACCCGCTCAGCCATTTATTTCTCCCCACCGGATCAACTTGATAAGGCCCGGACCGTGAGCTTATACCAGTGCCACAAGGATGTAGCGGAGGAAAAAAAGAAAAAGAAAAAAAAAAGTAAACTTCCAGGGCGGCGAATGAAAGCGTACCCTAACATAAGCCCATTATAACAGACTGAAGGAGCGTTGCCATTCTGTTTCGTGTTCGACCCGTGGATCAACATGGTGTTTAATGCCGTCCAGTCGCCTAATAACTCTTTAACCGGGAAGCGAATCCTTTTAGTCTTATCTTATGCACTGGCGAGGGCGAGATTCCAGACTTAACTGCTGAGGACCAGCGGTCCAGATATATTAGTTATGATGATATGGGCTCTAAGTCTCCTACTCTGCCGAGATTGCCGAGGGAGAGCGAGGCCAGGATTCTGTAAGTGATCGAGTGTCCTACCACATCGGGAAACGGAGTACGGAGTCAGGTCCAAACAGCCCCCAGATCGGGTTATGCAGATATAGACCAGATCCAGAATAGCATGAAGAATAATAGATTATTTTCACTCGGCGCATAAACATGCCGAATGAAGTCTCCGAGAGTCACTCCAACTGGCGAATACCGTCGACGATATGCTTTTCGCGTGGTCACAGGAAAACCCCTGCTCTTGTTATAGTGTGGCCCTCCGCTAGCAAATCGCAAAGGCCTGTGTCTTGTGATACGTCCTTCAATCCTTCATCAGCCTTGTGGTTAGCTGAAACCGGTTCGACAACCGCACCTCAGCCATCACACCGTCACCTTCCATCCTCCACCTCTCTGCCCTGCGCTTTTTGGTCAATCACCTTTTAGTTGGTTCTTGGCATTCCTATTTGGGGTGTCTACTAGTAAAATTAACGGTCTTAGAATTAACAGTGGCAGTCACATGATTTAATGTCGATGTTGGAAGCGATGGAGTCTGGGATTTAGCGTATGCAAAACGTTCGGAACTTCTCGGGGCGCTGCAACACGAAAATAGCACATCTCCGTCAAAAACCTCGCTTCTATCGTAGAAAACTGATTCCTCCATGACTCCAGCGTATTCTGAAGCTATTCAACAGTTAAAATTATGCAATGTGATTGTTTAACTTAGAATATCTCGGTATAATACTAATTCGCGCCTTGGTCAGCTCCTTGCCCCGAGGTTCAGCCGTATCAACATTGCGGTGGCCCTGGCCTCGCGCCTGACCAGAGCGCTCAAATCCTGCGCTTTCTCCTCCGCGGTTGGAGAGTTGAAGCCATTACAGCTGAATCCGTACAACAGTGTTTAATATACAGTCAAATCTCCTTCGGTACAGCTCCACTAGGAAGCCGTATTTTCGTCAAATTGGCCGAGCCAGGAAGCTATCTAAAGCCAATAGAAATGCCCTGTTTGAATACCTCCTTTCACAGGGATGGCATCAGCAAACTGAGTTGGTCTGGTTGCTGTTTCACGAGCGTGGTATGCTGGTCAGTCAATCTACAATATAATGGGTGTTAAACCGGAGGAGTTACGGCGTATATCTCTTAACCGCAGCGAATCGCTCCGAGAAGCACATATTGAAGATATTCAGCGCTTCACGGCGCAGGACTTGATCTTTATAACAAGTCTATATTCAACGAGAAGACTGGCTGGCGCTATCATGGTTACACTCCAATTAGTAATAAAGCTCGATACAACGTCCTCCATTTGCTGCAAGTCCAGAATAGGCCGATCACTGCGCGAAAAAATATCCCTAGCACGTGGTGGCCGCCGCCCTTGTATTTTCCCTTGCCTTTGCATTCTTCCAAAGCACTGTATCACCCCAGACTGTTGCCTTCTTCCTTATCTGACCTATGTGAGCAGTCGTAGAACGAGGAATGTAATTACCTGCAGGCCTGGATAACAAGGATCCTGCTTTATGAGGCGCTGAAATCTGTGGAATATGTGTTCCCCGGAGATCGTACAGAACCACGCGCTCTGTCGGGGTTGCGCGCGTGGCCAGGGGCTTCGCCCGCTTGGGAGGCATTCTGGATATAATATAACGATTCTTACCGTTGAATAGCTTCAATTTGGCCGTTTTGGGCAGTAAATTGGTTGTCTCCAGGTCTGAATACGGTGCTTTTTGATGGATATCGAGTAAAATCGATGTTTTTGACGGAGATGTGCTATTTTCGTGTTGCAGCGCGCCAAGAAGTCCTGAACGTTTTGCATACGCTAAATTCTAGGGGTACAGTAAAACACGGATATAAGCAACGCCTAATATCAGAAACTCTCCAATATAAGCAATGGGACACGGCGTCCAAATTGATTTTACATAGAAATTTGCTTACTACTACAATATAAGATCATTGCATAATTTTTCAGCTTCTCTCATACAATTTGCTTATATTAGAGTCACAAAGAAGCCGCGACGTGCTATCTCAAATAGACAGAAGGCTGCCCTTCGAAATTAATCTAATGTAAAGCCTTATGTCTCACTAGCGGAGCTTTCTAGGTGGTTTCAAGAGGCATATAACAGGCCAATTGACCGCTCCTCGATTAGCAGAGCCCTCTCCTCTTGCTTTGCCTTCCTTGACGATATTAAAGCACATCAAGAAGAAGATAAACGACACCTTACAGAATCCTGGCCAGACCTAGAAAGGCACTGTTTAACTGGATAATATAGACTGAGAGAAAGATAATAATATCTCAGGAGGTAATTCGTCAAAAAGGTACGGAGTTCTGGCAGGAGATCTATACAGAAAAGGAGATGCCACAATTTAGTAATGGCTGGCTTCGTGGCTTCCAGCTACACAGTAATATTAAGCAGATAAGCCTATTTGGGGAGGCTGGAAGTCTATCTAAAGATACTGCTACTAGAATAGTTTTAATCCGGCGCGTCCTTAATACATACGCGCCTCAAGATATCTTCTATTGCGATGAGACAGTTCTATGTTGGGAAATGATCCCAGACCGGAGTTTCTGGGATCGGAGTTTATCTACACGCTCAATTCCTGGCCGCAAGCAAGAAAAGGCTCGAACAACTGCATATGTCTGTTGCAATTCAGATGCTTTAAACCATTTTCCAATCTGGTTTACTGGGACAGCTAAACGGCCAAAGGCCTTTGCTACAGCTGGTATAAATATTAAGAATCTTGGCTGCCATTAGCGCCATTATAAGAAGGCGTAGATAACTGGTGATATCTTTAATGAATGGCTTCTCTAGTGTAATGAGAAAAATGAAAGGCTAAAGATGCTTTTCTAATGGATAATTTTCTGCTTATAATACTGCGTTTGAGGAAATAAACCAACAACTACAGAACACAGTAGATATAGGTTTCCAGTCTGCTTAACGTCAAGATATCAGCCGCTTAATCAAGGGATTATACGTACATGGTAGGCATATTTGAAAAAGTAATTGATGACAATATGATCGTGGTTTTGATCCACTGTCTACCATGAGTATTTTACAAGCAGTTCGAAGGGCGATTTCTAACTAGGAACTTGATCTGTATAAAGATACGGTTAGAAACTCCTTTATAAAGGCCCTTTCTAATAAAGACGCTGATGAGCTTATTGAGTAGCATCTTATTAATAAGATAAAGCAAGAACTTCAAAAATCTCAAGCACTCAAATAGTATCCATGGAATTATGTATATTAATCAGTTTTTGAATCCGGTTGATTACAGTCTTATGGATATTAATTCTGCGGTTTTATGTCAATTTGCGCTGGCCAAAACTCTGGATAGATATAAGGATGGAGATATACAGCCTCTACCAATAATTACAGCTACGGAGGCATTGGAGGGTTTAAGTAAATTGCTTCTTTATTAGGAACAACAGTTGATGGAGATAAGGGTCTTATAGTTATAGCCAAGTTCAGTATCTTAGCTATTCCACTGGACCAAAAGACCACTATACCTGATCCCAGTGGGATCAGTTATTCCTGAGCACCTTATATAGGAGCACACTGTAATGTTAGGTGACGTACCCACACCTAACATTTCTACCCCTTTAGAGAGTTGAGCACCTAAGAGACTGTCGACCATAAAATATACGCGTATTCGAAAGTATCTATCCTCCATAGAAAATTAGGTCTCTGATTCAACTAAACTACCAAAACATAAATAAGTTAGTCAATTTGTTTCAAGCCACGATAATATTAAGTTAAGATATAATCGTCGATATGACTACCAGCAGGCGAAGCGTGAAGATCCATAGATTATTTAGGGCTGGGTTTACCAGTTCAAAATGCTATACAAAAATATGGTATTTCAGAATAAGATATTTAGAATATAATAGATCTGGATTCTAAATAGGTGCAATACTAGCAGCTAGATTGGTCTGCGGTGTGGAAACACGCAAATTTAATACTAGATTAATCAAACCAGGCATTAGAGAATAGAGATTTCACCAATTGTAACTGTTAGAGCAAGTGGTTGGGTTTTACTCCCTAGATTAGGTACGTTGCTGGAAAACAACATTAAACTCAGTGGTATTGTCTTCTACCTAAAGCTAATCGATTATGTATTAGCGAAAATGGCTCTGGAGTTCTTGGTTAGCGGTTGTTGCTCTGTGGAAAAAATCACCATGTATTCGGTCGATATAGAAAATTATCTCCCCAGGATTTTGCGTGGGGATTATATACTTCACGTCTTCGTACGAATTTTCTAGCTCACCAATTATTTCTCGCACTTAGATCTGGATCAAATAAACTAATCTAATGCACTGCGGTCGAATTTTGAGCCTAGGATGGCCACGACTCTGGACGAGAAACTGAAACCAACTCCTATAGGGCAAAGAAATCCGACCTCACTTTACTTATTTTCTTGCGCCCCAGAAATTAGCGGTATGGTATAAAGTCGAAGTGTCACCACCCGCTCCTCCATAATAAGCTTTAGATATATATACAGATAGTTCATTTTTAAGTAGAAAATCCGGCTAGAGGTAGCATCCAACGAAGCCTATCATAAGACTGCGTGGCGCGCTTTTAAAGGTTCTTGTAGGATCAGATTCGCGCGATAGTCTTCTGATTATCGTACACCAGAAAAAGCCTAGAAGCAAGTACGTCTGAGTCCTTGTCAAAGCCATATTGATTGCCGAGTATCCCGAGTATCTCATGTAGAAATGCAAGGTTCCCAGCATTAGTCGACTTATTATAAAAGACAGCACCCAGTGGAAATCGGGCAGATTTAAGGAGAGACAATATTAACCACGGACATCCTTGGAGTATCAGTATTTGAATGCCTAAAATCAAATGTTACTGCATCTGGTAAGTCCTCTAGGAGTGCCTCGGCGATCAAGTAACGCCCTGTCTGTTCCACCTGATCAGATGATGTCTTCATGCTCGACCTAACTCAAACCTGCCTTGGGTTTGATATATAGAATCTCTTGCAGCGCACCTGCTCTGGCTCTAATCACAGCAGGATTAATCATACCTTGTGTCAAGCCGTTCACCGGTATTCCTCTTCCATGTAAGACTTCACCAGCAGTGACGGAATAGAATGTGCTCTTGTTTGAATACGCTGTTCTTGGACACCTTTCATCTGACCAAAGTTATTAAAAACTTGTGACTGAATTTGACGCATGCCCAGCTTCGGCCACGGATTGGGTTGCCTTTTGAGAGAGTGTTATGACAGTACGAACAATTGTGCTATAGTAGTTTACGGAGACTCTGCATTTTGCAAGTAGATCGGTCACTCTGCGACGCACACCATTAAAGTGAAAGTGAACACCTAAGAAAGTTTGGATGTTATTACAACTGTTGTATATTTATATCATCTTCATTCATTCCCCCAGCAAATCAGCAGGTGCTTCTGGAATGATACACAATGTCACAATCAATAATCAATGCTAAGTCCGCCTAATATTGCTACTCGTCGATAAATGCTTGGCATCAGACGAGGGGATCAAAACAACAGGAAAACGGCTCTTCGAAATCCAGACTAGCTCGATTATATTTGAGGCTTCAGCAGATAAGAAGGGGAGAAAACGAATGAAAAAGAAAGAAAATGAAGAAGTAATAATGATAATTTACAATACTTAACGACGAACCTTTATGATATAAGTCATTACAAGGACCATGGTAAAGTTGAACGCGATAAACCCGATAAAAATGCCGATATTGGGGTACCGATTGGCAAAGTCGTATCCATATTGTTGGTACTACCCAATAGTTAGCTTCGAGTCATGAAGATCCTTGTCTTCAAAAGCCACTTACATATGACTGTCCATCACGGTACCGACAGTATTGGCAATCAGAGATGCTGTCTGGATTCAGCAAATACCCTGTCGCCCTCTGTAGAAAATCCGCCGCATACTGGCCACAGGTTGTTCCATTGCTTGGTTGAAAGATCGACACCTCGGACTCCTGACACCGGAGGGGCAAATCCTGGAGCACATCTACCGTGACGCCTTCACCCAGGTAAAATAATGGAGATACCTTGTAGTACCAGCGCCAACCCGATGGGGTCACCGGTTTGGGAGACAGCGTGCCAGCAAACGTATTGCAGAACATAAAGAAAAACCCATTGGCCGCGAAGGCAGCCTCGATATTGGGCATAAGCGAGGCGCATAGCTGAGCTAGGCTAGTGGCAAACACCCCGAACAGCTCATACATGAGGAAACTATATCCCGCGCGCGACGGCGTGTAGAAATACCCAACGGGGAAGTACCACAGCAGCCAGTATAATAGAGTGGTTATAAATGTGTAGGGCAGCTCGACGATCACCCCCGCGAAGACAAACGCCAGCCAGTGATAAGTGAACCCCTCACGTTCCCGGTGGATAAATATGTCCCGAAGCGTCACAAAACGCGGCTGGACCTGCAGTCCGAGAGGAGGTCCCACGATGAGTGACATGAAGGCAGAAAATACCCGGTTGTAGGCCCCTCGCTGTGTGTTGGGGGACTGCAGGTACGTGAGGGAGTTGAGCAGAGAGTTCCCCACGCTCATCCAGAGCTTTGACATAGCATATTCGGGTTCTCTCCAGTAATAGAGCCAGGTTCTCTGGATCACCACCCCGAGTTGGACATGAAAGGGGGCTGCATAGAGGGACTGACGCTCATGCTTCGACTGTGCTTGGCCATCTGGTGGGATGAGGGCTTTCTCTTCCTTTTCTCTGTCCTCACGTCGCTTACTTTGCCGCCACAGGTTGGGCCAATCTTCTTGCGCCTCATTACGGGTTCCAGCACCAATCACATCTAGGAAATATTCCGCCGGGTTCTCTCCCTGCCCACACGCTCTACTATGTTGCTCAAAGTACTGAATTGCCTCGTGACAATGGGTCCCCAGCAGACCATCGTAGACCAACTTCCCACCTTCACCGAGAAGATACAACTCATCAAACTGCTCGATCAGCTCAGAAGCAGGTTGATGGATGGTGCATATGATCGCTTGATGCGAGTCCGCCAATTGACGAAGCAGGCGAATAATCGAAAAGGCTGATTGACCATCTAGACCAGAGGTCGGTTCGTCCAAGAATAGAATCTCCGGTTTTGAGGCCATCTCCACGCCAATACTTACTTTCTTCCGCTGTTCGAGGTTGAGTCCCGCACCGGGAACCCCGACCAGGGCATCGGCAATGTTCTCCATATCCAGCCACTCAATGACTTTCTCGACATATGCATTCTTCTCCTCCAGCGGGGTTGATTCGTCACGCCGCAGTCGGGCAGTCATCTGTAAAGCCTCACGAACCGTCTGGGTTGGAAGATGGATATCCTGTTGCTGGACATAACCCATTCTGCTGCGGAAGAATTTGGGAAGCAGTTCACCGTTCAGCGCCAGTGTTCCTGCCAGAGTTCCGATGGAGGAACGGCCGGCGAGGGCATTGAGAAGCGTTGTCTTTCCTGCTCCTGAGACTCCCATCAGGGCCTTGAGCTGACCACTCTTCACGCAGCCAGTGAGGTTGTCGAGTAGACGTCGGGTACCATCCTTAGTTTCAATGTCGAGGCATAGGCTGGTCCATGCAAGAGTATGGCTTTTGTCTGGTTGTGGACTATCGTTGAAGTGATAACGATCTGCGCTCTGGGGTGGCGGCACAACCGGAGGAACATCGTTGTGGGTAGATCCTCTCTCACCGTCTGCCTGACTGTTCCTGATTGATGGGCTGCCCTTGTAGAACACTGTTGCTATTCGACCCGCAGGCGTCTTCAACCTCTCCATTCCAATTCTATTAAAATTCAATATTAACGTATCGTCCTCAATGAATGGGAAAGATCATTTGATCGGGCACTCACCCAGAACAAAGGGCAAAAAAAAGGAATAAGGCAGCATTGATTCCAACATTCCTCCAGAGATGGGATCTTTCAAATCCGTATTGTGCTTGAATGTATGACATCCCGGAGAGGAATGTCTCTCCGGGACGTGACCCGAGGACAGCGCAGACCTGGTTGGCGATGTCTGTGTATCCCGGCCCAGAAGGGACGAGATCAGATGGGCTACACAAATAGCTCAGATTTCGGAATTCATTGACTATCACCGACTCAAAGGCATAGTATAATGGCTATGAAAGCCTACGTCAGTATAATTTTCGAAGCCAAATTTCTTAAAGAACCGATGAACTTACGTTGAGGTACCGCAACCATCCAAGCCACACCTGCATCTGAGGCACTGGTACGTACAGCCCCGTATACAGCACGTACATGTTAAAGAAGATACCCACCGGAAGCACAGCCCGATGCATATTAGGCGAAAAGACTGCCACAGACCGAAAAAACATGGACAAAGCAAGATGCTCCATGTAGACAACGAAAAACCATGTGAAGAAATTGCCCGCAGTTCGTTGGAACCCTGTCAGAAAGTACAACGGGATATTGTAACTGATAGCTGCAACCTTCCATATAACGTCCGTTGTGACAAGACCCCAGGCATATGCAATCGGCCGACAGAGGCGGTATCGCTTCTGCTTGAGAATGAGCGGCCGTTGAGCGAAACCATTTCCAAACTCGGCCATGGACTGCAGGGCTGGGACCAGAACCGAGTAAAACAAGGCGGATGCGAAGATGAACAGGGACTGAGTCGTTTGCTTTTGGTCTCTAAACAGGGTTCCGAGCACCAGACTTTGCAAAATGATTGTAGCTGGTTCCACGGCCCAGAGGCTGTAATCACTTGTGACTATCCGGAATTGACGACAGGCGCAGTACCAAATCTGCTGGTAGAGTGGAAGGGCGAAAGCCTGTCCCTTGGCCAAGGGATTGGGGCTCCTGGTCCTCGTCCTTGCCGTCTCGACCGATCTCTGCAGTTCCTGGTAGAGCCGACTCGCACGGAAAGCAGTTTCAAACTCATCCGAAGTCCGCGGGACCTGATTTTGTTTGCCGTCCTGCACGCGGCGCACTTCCGGATCGGCTGACATAGAGTTCAAAAAGTTGGAGAGGGTCGTCGTCGGCAAGCACTCAAACCCAAGGCCCTCGAAATATGCTTTTGCCTCTTGGATCTTGCCGTAGAAGACCTGGCGGCCCGAATTGATCACCAGCACCTTGTCAAAGTACGGCATGATCGCATCGCTGGCTTGGTAGACACTCATCGCAGTGACACAGTGACTTTGGTTCGTCCACTCTCGCATCAGCTCAATAAACTCCAATGCGGTAGAGGAATCCAGTCCGTGCGTTGGGTTATCTAGACAGATCAAGCTACGACCGGCATTAGCCGATTCTTTGACAACATTCATTCGCATAGTTGAAGAAAAAAGGAAGAAAAAAGATAACTTACCTGGCACATGTCGCCAGAGCTTCTGCCAAAGAGACTCGTCTTCTTTCCCCTCCACTGACACCTCGAATATATGCATCTCCTACCCTGGTATTCATGACTCGGCTGAGGCCAACAAGCTTAGCGAGATGAGCCACCATCAGGTCCACCTCTTTTGCTGACGCCTCTGGGCCGCATCTGGCTCGGATCGCAAAACGTAATGTCTCCGCCACGGTTAGAGTAGGAAAATGGTCATCGGACTCGGCTTGAGATTGAATTCTAGTCAGTTCCGAAATTTGCAGGGTCATAAATATAGAAAAAATCTCACCACAAAAAACAATTTCCTGAGGGCGCTTCAGCATCAGTTCCTGAATGGAGTGGCCTCCAATACTGAGCTCCCCATGAACATCTTTGTACTCATCCCACATGTACGAGAGTGTCTTTAGGAATGTTGTACATCCGCTGCCAGGTTTTCCAATGACCAGAAGCATCTCTCCAGCATCTATGCTACCCGAAAATCCGTTAAGGATCGGTCGGGAGTATTCTCCTGCCAGCCGATGCTGTAGGGGACTCAGGATTCCAAAAGCTGACTTGGCAGCCGACAAGATCGTTGGTGCTGCTTGGGACTAGATATGTTTAAGTCATCATTCTAAATGTTCAACTAGGGCAGTATTTCCCATGGGTGATGGTGTAACTCACCCCTGTTCCACTACCCTCGACAGAGATGTTGTCAAAGACCACACTTGTTTCATCCTGGCAGGCAGCATTGCGAATCTTAAAGAACTCCCTTATATTTTCAGAGATGAGTCCCGGTGATTCTGCTGTCTGAACCGATTCCCCAGAATGCCCTTCCGATAATTGAGCTGTCTTCTCGATTAAATCTGACCTCTGGACGGAGCCAACAGACGCTGTTGGGGTCTCAGTCCCATCGCCGAACAGCTGAGGACCCTGATCAGGCAACTCCGTTACTGGCTGAGTATTCGGCATGGTGATTATTGCCTGATATTTAGCACGTATGCTTTGCCTTTCTAAAGGATATTTTCACGGACTGCGAGAGGATCTCATGCTGTGTACCAGGAAGGAAGGATAGGAATTGGCGGGCTTGGAAACAATAGAAAAACTCACCCCTTTTCTTATCTCTTTTTCATCCCCTTTTTAAACACAGGCTGTGGCTCTAGCATAATGAGAATTTCACGTAAGAGAGTTTTCTAGTCTCTGATTACTCGTTTGGGTGTTGTCTGGCTGAAGATGGTTATGTTCATCTATGTGGTGGGGATTGCCTAAAGGAGATTCGGAGTTTATACTCCATAAGGGAAGATGGATTTCCCAATCGGGTAACCCGTACAAGATATGCTAGCCCTTCCTTAGGGACAATATCAACCGTGGAGCAAAACAGTCTCGCTCAGCTCCTTTTAGATCCAACTCAGTTTATCAATAATTGTTAAGATATAAAACGGATGCCACCGCGAAGAGAGTTCTGTGGGTGTTGGCCCTGAACTTATCTTGCGTATTCAAATTATCATTCCTTTTTAAATACACTACGTTATTTGTGGTGACCATGGTACTCGCAACCAGTCTCAAAGGCGCCCATGTCCTCATCACGGGTGAGAAGTTTCTTGACTCCGATTTGAATGCGCCAAAATTTTACTGAACAATGGAATAGGAGGCACCCGGGGCATGGGTGAGGCAATGGTGCATCAATTTCTTCAAGAAGAGGCCAACGTCTCCTACTGCGCCCGTACGGTCACCAACACCGAGTTCGATGAGTTCTACAAGACCCTCCCCGAAGGAAATACTGCCCGCGCAGTGGGGACCGCTTTGAATGTGGGCAACAAAGAAGCCATCACAAACTGGGTCAAGAGTTCTGCGGAGAGACTGGGACGAATTGACGTGGTTATCGCCAACGGTTAATCCATCTAATCCCTCCCTTGAAAAAAAATTGCTCCCAACTAATTTCCTGCGTAGCATCTCCAATGCACATGGAAGGAGAGACGGAGCACTGGCATGAAAGCTTCGCGATCGACGTGATGGGCTTCGTCGAGCTGGTCAAGGCGGCAACTCCCTACTTGGAAAAATCCCCCCAGGCTTCCATTATCGTACAAAGCTCATTTATGGGCCGCGAGTTCTATCGCAGCCCTCCGGCGGCATACGGGCCCTGCAAGGCGGCGCAGCTGCAGCATGTCCAGGAGTTATCCCACTGGTTGGGCCCCAAGGGCATCCGGGTGAATGCGATATCCCCGGGACCGATTCTTTGCAAGGGCGGCCCGTGGGAGAAGTACTCAAAACTTATGCCAGAATGGGTGGAGGAGCAGCGACTGAAGATCCCATTGAAGAGACTGGGGGGGCCAGCCGAAGTGGCTAACGTGGCGGTGTTTCTGGCCAGTCCTCTCGCGAGTTTTGTGACAGGCACCAATGTGATGGTCGATGGTGGTATTCATGTGGGAACGCAGTTTTAGATGATATGATGATTGATACAGCTCTGTTTATGTAACAAGAGAATTTTGCATCTCTAAATAGACACATACGTTTCCGTTAGTAGAACACTGAAAGGAAGCGATCACATGTTTCAATCTGGTATGGCCGCATCAAGATAATCTTACCGGGTCAAATCTGGAAGAAACATCCCTCTGTACCAAAACGTATCGAAGCAATTTTCTCTTCTAGTGTGATGGTTGTTATTCCTCCACGCTAACATCCAGGGACTATCGGAGTTGGCTTTCGGAGCCGGAACGGGCATTAAGCAGGCACTGCAGTCAGATCTTCTTACCTTCGCTTTTTTTTGTCTTTTTGATGGACACTACAGCCCAAATCCCCAGTCAGAGAAACCAAAAAGGGTAATTATTTGGGAAAGGAATGCTCCTGGAGCCCGAGAGTGATTCCGAAAAACAGTAAAGTACGAGTGGGTACAATGTGCAGCAAAAATCCCAATCCCATTCTCATCACCTAATATGGAATTCGGTGGACATGCACCTTGCCCATCAGACGGTCCATTGGGTCATGAAAGTTAGACATTATGTTCGTCACAGGAGGTGGAGCGGACGATATAAAGGGCTCAGCCCAGAATGCGGGAAGAACAGAAAGAGCAGGAATAGACTCCAATCACGAGTTTTGAACTTGGCAATGCGTCTCAATATAAGCCCTTCTATTCTCCTCCTTGGCATTTGGTCCATTGGGCAGATAACCGTCGGCTTGCCATCCGGGACATGTCGATGCATGCCCGGTGATAGCTGCTGGCCGTCCTCGGCTGACTGGGCACGCTTCAATGCATCCGTCGGAGGACGATTGGTTGCTACTACACCTTTAGCTCAAGCTTGTCATGACCCTTTTTACAACAAGGACGAGTGTCAGTATCTCCAGAAGCATTGGACACAGCCAGAGCTACAGTAAGCCCCAGAAGTCTAATGTTTCCACCGTCCTTTTGAATTCGGACCAGCTGATTCCATATAGCGATGCCTCATCATCCTCCATCACGGCAGCCGCGGTGGCCAATGAAACCTGTGATGCTTTTACTCCTAGATCAAAACCTTGTACTCCTGGCGATATGGTGGCATATGCCGTCAATGCGAGCTCCGCGGACGATTTCTCGAAAACCATTCGGTTCTCCCAGGAGCGAAATATCCGGCTAGTTATCCGAAACACGGGCCATGAGTATGTATTTGATATGGAAGCAAACGGTAACTCACTAACTTGTTCTTAAATCTAGTTATCTTGGGAAATCTACTGGTGCAGGGGCGTTGTCTATCTGGACGCACTACCTCAAGGACATAGAGTTTCTCAATTATACCAGTTCATATTACAACGGACCGGCTGTAACAATGGCCGCCGGTGTCCAAGGAGCAGACATCTATAAAGCTGCCGATCATCGAGGGATGGTGATCGTAGGCGGAGAATGTGCCACCGTCGGCCCTGCAGGCGGCTACACTCAGGGAGGCGGTCATTCAGCATTAAGCTCAATCTTCGGTCTCGGTGCCGATCAGGTCTTGGAATGGCAGGTTGTGGATGGAATGGGAAGATTCCTGACCGCTTCACCAACGCAGAACCCGGATCTGTACTGGGCCCTCAGCGGAGGGGGTGGCGGAACGTACGGCGTCGTCTACTCAATGACCGTCAAAGCCTTTCCTGATTTTCCAGTGACGGGCGTCGTCCTCCAGTTTGATACAATGAATACCTCGTCCAATAACTTCTTCGAGGCAGTTAGCCACTACCATCGATATTTACCCACATACACGGCGGCAGGCGGGATGGCTATTGCCCAGATTACCCACTCCTCCTTCCTTCTGACGCCTTTGACTTTCCCGAATAAGACAGCAGAGGATGCCAAGTCGTTAATCACCCCATTCATCCACGAACTGGAAGCGCTTCGCATCCCGTATAAATTGAATATCTCCCAGTCATCCACCTATCTCGAGCATTACAAGAAGCTAATCGAACCGAACCCAACGCAACTGGTGCAAAATGCTCAATATGGGGGCCGCCTCCTGCCGCTGAGCGTGATCGAAAACAACAATACACAGTTAACGGAAGCAGTCAAGAAGATTACCCAAGACGGTGTGGCATTTGTCGGAATTGGTCTGAATGTTTCGTTCTCGGTTGTAGGTGATGTCTGGAATTCTGTTCTCCCCGCTTGGCGAACAGCTGCTCTCAGCGTCATATTGTCAACGTATGCCCCCCCCCCCTCCTCTTTCAACCAAAAAAGGAAAAAAAAAAAAAAAATCAATACATACGACTCTATCCTATGGCGCAGCTGACAGCGTATCTTAGTGATTGGCCCGCTGGAGCCAACCTAAGCAAAGCGAAGGCTTCCGCTAACAGAATGACGACGGAATGGGTACCAATTCTGACTGCCCTTGCCCCAAACTCGGGTTGTTATATGAGCGAGGCAAGTGTTTAAATGTGTTCATTTGTATATCTTGTTATATTGTGCCTAACCATTGTGGCAGGCTGATCCCCAACAGCCAGACTGGCCGCAGACTTTCTATGGGAAAAATTACGATGCACTTTATGCGGCCAAAAAGAAATATGACCCATTCAGCACTTTCTATGCCTATACTGCTGTTGGCAGTGAAAACTGGCAAGTCCAGGCAGACGGTCGCCTATGCCGAGTGAAAAGAACCAATTGATGTAGAGGGATCTGCGTCTCTAATATCGATAGAGACGATTAAGTGCAGCGGGTTGGTAAACGGGTTGTGATTGCTCCAACCCATCGAAGAGTGTTGGACGACCGGAGGAAACTGCAAGAAAACTAGACTAGGTCCAGGCAAATACAGTTTGTAGCAAGCTCTCCTCTCGCCCCCTTCGTTTATACCAACCCCTCATGACTTTGCGGGGTCTGGAGCTGCGATCATCCCTCAGGACCTACACGTATGTTGCATCACTGGTCTCCGCATCCCCTCCATTTCTCCAGTCCCCGTAAATCCCCGTCCCCCGTCCCTGGGACCCGGTCGGAATGAGGGAAGCTGAATCGCCCTGGAACCGCAGCCCAGAGCGTGGCGGTTCCGCGCGACCCCGCCGAGCTCCCCCATTCTCGGTGCCCTCCGATACCCAGTAGTGTGCAGTTAACGGGGTGAAGCCGCGGAGCTGGGTAACCGCATCCCCATCACCTTAGTTTCAATGAGGCTGTGGACCTTGACGTATGCAATTGGATCATATTCTGGCGATAGCCATGGTTATTGGCAAGGGCATATGACTGGTGACGGCTCACATTATACAGGGTCATGGTTTCACTCGCTTTTATGGCAGTGACATGGCAGCCGTCGACGCTGGCGCCATCAAGGAAGGATGGAGTCAGCGGCTGCTGGCGACACCACTGCTCCACTGTCCGCTGCAGACACGAGAAGCTCTCTCCTGTAAGATGGTGTGTGGGGCTCCATCTAAAGGAGTTGCGTTATGCATCCTTGTAATCCTTAGGTTTCTGTTCTTTGATTGCATATTTAAAATTTCACGACCGTTATTTTGAGTGAGAGTCTCTTGTATCATAGGATATCCGTACGCACTAGTATTGAGAGAACCAATTGAGATGAGTCATTGAAGAACTATCCAGGAGATCGTCATTGAGCGAGCCGCGTTCTCCATTGAGCGTCTCATAGCCTGAGAGGCTAGTATTGGCATGTCAGGTTAAACTTCACGTAATTCATAGTTGTCGGGCACAAAGACAAAAGTACCCAAAAACAGATTTCTACCCACACACTACCCTCAGAAAGCAAGCGCCATGCTCATGTTGTCCACTCCAAGCCTTTCTGGAGAGTCTCGTACACGACGACCATAAGATCCCACCAATAGTAGGATCCTGGTTTGCAAACAGAGCGGTCACTCACGTTTGGCAGCACCTTTTGTGCTTCTCAGACATAGGTAGACTTCAAGTCTAGGAACGACAACTTCTTGACGTGTTTCTTTTCCTTGGCTCCCATTCGGGGCGCCACCATTGTAGATACGGTCCTTCTTCATCTACTTCAACGATTGACACGCCAAATTGGCAGTGGCGTCGGCTCCGAGAGTCCAGGTGATGTCTATATCTCCTAATGCAAACACAGCGTTCGGCAGATTTTCCATCATGGCAAACCGCCACATGAAGATGTCGCCAATGTGATACTTACTGTAAGCCATCGACAAAGATCTTAATGCCGCCGGCGATGCATAACCTCAGGGTAGTAGCCGTGACAATGACATTTGGTTGCAGCCCATCGCCTGATTCGAGCTGAACCGCCAAGGAATTCCCCAACCACATGCCTCTGGCCCCAACTTCACTCCCAAGTACAACCCATCGGAGCTGGTTGTGCATGTGCCTGGAGTCTGATTTCTACAAAAGCATTCGGACAGGCAAAGCCGACATGAAGATGGACGTGATTCAGAACATCGCCGAAACAAGTATTCCGTCGGCATTGATTACCGTGTAAATGACGTAGGCGTAGTGAGTGCTTCCTCCGTTGATCACCCGATAGTGTCCATCCCAGCTCCCATAGTCGGGTCGTTCATGGACGCCCAAGCCGCTCTGAACGTGGTACAATAATGTTGGCGTGTCGCCCTCTGCAATATGTATTGGGATTGGGTATACATCTCCAAGAGGACCCTTTTGGATGTGAGTCTGAAGCCATTCAGGAGACAATTTGGATATGTCCCCATCGGAGATGGGATGTAAAATGCCCTGCCAGGAGGACATTTTAAATACACCAAATATATGGGTTGAAGCGATATAAAGAAATCAGGAAAACTAGTCCAACTCTTTTCTCCAGTACCATTCTAATCGAAAAACTGTGTGTACTCTCAGACGAGAGTGAAGCCTTTCGAAGGGCTTCTGCGTCTGGGCCAGCGGAGCAGCTTTACCATAAAGAGGGCCTTTAGGGGTCTGACGTCGGGATGCCAAGCTCTGCTATAGAAACTGTTGACGCTCAAGTTCCTGCAGAAATTCCGTTTCGAGGTATCTGGGGTCGGTTGCCTGACGTGCTGTTGTAAAATGGGATCCAAGGCATTCCAAATCATAGCTATCTGCTGAAACGGCGAGGTAATGTAATCTCCGCAGCTCGGGCCAAACGAATAAACTTCCTATGCGAATGCTTGTGGGGATTTACCTGCGGTCACGTCCCCATAAGTGTACCTGAGCACGTTGACCTTGTTTAAAGCTTCTAGAGGGTTTGGTTTAAAGCATTTACTAAGTTGGCTTAACCAACCTTCTGCAAGCGGCAAGGATCGCAAAGCTGCCTTCTCAAACTCCGAAAGCTCCGAAGTAAACCAGCTTAACGATGATCCCCGAAGACAGGCTTGAAGATTAGCTTTCACCATCTCCTCACCTTTATAGGCTATCACGTCCTTAACTCTATCCACAAATACGTTGATATCCTTGCAGTAGACGTGGCTGTTCACCTGTTTCAACGCGACGTTGTCCTTGAGGTCTGGCCAGAAGTAACCCATTTCTTCCGTTTTCAAGAGCCACCAAGTGTTCCATTTCCCGTGGGGCCGGGAGGTCCTGGGGGTAGTTTTTAAACCTAGGAGATCTTGTCTTGCGAATATGTTGTAACGCCTCGGTCAGTATATTTGCTCCGCTTCCGCAGATTAGCAAGAGTGGTTCTGTCGATTTCTCTAAACCTTTACTTAATATCTGCGCGTTCTTATATCTAGAGGGGATGAGAATTAAAACTTTTAATAATTTAGATCGTTTACCGGTGCACTAGTTGTTATTTAAGTTTTGGAGGGCTTCTTCCGGTGGATATTGAGAGTCCGGACGGATATGCTTGAGATTGTTAATGACCTCGCTGTACGCCTTGGCCGACTTTTTATAAATTTCGTGGCAATTCTAGTTGGTAAATATGCCGAAGTAACATTGTAGACTCTATAAGTGTTAAATTTGTTTTGTATATAGTATTATCGCACGAGGGATTTTCGGTCATCCGGCTTAGTCTTAATATCTAAGAGAATAATGTTACGAGGTTTGGATGGGAAATAGGGCACTTTTAGGTCTACGATATAGATATTGTGAGTATCGAAATTATGCTCAATTAAAAAGATCAGAATTATTAAAAGGCAGGAAAGGAGAAATTTCGAGTTATTATTTTGCTATCTGTATTGGTGGTTACTTATTTTCTGCTATCAGTTTTATCTTCAGGTTGCTCTTGCGCGATCTAGAAAGGGATTATTTAAACATAATGTCAGTCTAGTCCATCTGTATTTAGTTCAATTCAGTAACAGACTGTTAAATAAACTAGGTACGAACGCGAGCTAGAGGTCAAGAAGTAATGTACTGAGCTGTTTTTCTGCGAGTGCCGCCCGGTTGCACGATACGGGTGCCGCCGCTTTTGTGAGTGCAGCACGTGAAGGATCCTGAGCGCCCCAGGACACTCATAGATTGTGTTGTGGAGCTCAAGGGAAGTGATGCGCAGGGAGCTATTCTATCAGCTACAGGCCAACTAGCCTAATTAGGAAGTAGATGTCATTCAGTGGAAACACCAGGAATCGCAGTATCTCAACCAACTGAGCCTACTAAGCGGTTCCCTATATTCTCATTGAGGTGTTCAACTATCTAAAGGATTCAGGGGTTGAATCGATCGTCAGATACTCCGCACCGCCAAGTCCTCTGGTCAAGTGCATTCCACCGGCTCATTCGACGACATACCAGAAGGCTTTCCAGACCCTTCTTACTCGTTGAAGATTGTGGTCACTAAGATCGGAGAAGGCATAGACACCTACATGAAGGAGAGGGGAGAGCCCCACATCTAGGCACCAGGGATGACGTACTTTTACTTCATGAGCAGAGTACAAAATATAAGAACCCTCTGCGTAGAAGGAATCAACTTGTTTAGAAAACTATCGCCGGGAACCATGTATTAGAGCACAATGACTCTAGAACTGTATACAGAATCTCGACTGCCTTGTCCTCAGCGTGTCCACCTTGTGGTAGCTGAACTTGGTCTTGATGTCACACTGCACCATATTTCACTCGAAGCACAGCAAAACAAGGTTAACCTCCTTTAGCGTTCAATTTTGCATCCGCAGTTGGTTGCAGCTTGGTGTCACCATGCGGACGTTCCTCCGGGCAAGATGTGGATCAATTGTGGATGGAACTCCAGTTCTACCCTAGCCCGTAAAGCATCAACCGGTGACGCCGGATTTGCGATCAACCGCAGTAGTCGTTAGTCTAATACACCCAGCATAAGTGCTGACTTCTTTCCCAGGAACCTGAGTATACCAAACTCAATCCGTTCTCTACCCTCCCCTGTCTGAGAGACACCTCCCTTGGCTCTCCTGTCATAATCTACGAATCCCGCGCGATAGCACGATACTTGGCATCACGTTACGGGAACGCCTTCTCCCAGATCCTCATGATATCCCGAGTGTGACCTTGTTTGAACAGGCGGCCAGGCGGCCAGCACCGGCCAGCACCGAGGCAATGACATTTGACCCCCTGGCCAATCGACTAGTGTTTGAAATGGTTTTCAAACCGTATGTTAGACCTTTTTCTCATGAGACAGAGCACATCATCTGCAATTAAATGCATTTACTTTCCGCACAGTGGCTAACGAACTTAGGCATTTCAATACAGCAGATCCGTTGCCGGACGATACGCTGGTAGGTAGTTTGCGGAGAAGACTGGAAGGAATTCTAGATGTCTTAGATGGGATCCTCGGAAGACAGGAGTTTATGGCCGGGAAGGTATTTACTTCTTCGTTCATTTCTTTCTTACAGAGTTTGTGTTTGTATTGTTTATGCTGACTTGCCTAGCGGCTAACGCTCGTGGATCTGTTCTACATACCGTACATGCACCATTTGGAACGGTCCGTTTGGCCTGGGGTTCTTGAAGTAAGAGGAAATCTGGAAAGGTGGTGGAAGAGGGAGAGGGAATGCTGTAGTACTCTAGAGAAGGAGAGATAAGTGGAAGACGATTCTCAGAGCCGAAGAAGGGAGCCGACTCCTGCGCTAAGGTCGTTACACGTAGAACAAACGCTGGTATGCGTACATTCTACGATGAATATTCCACATACACATTGAAGTTAGGCCCGGCCCAGGAAACCCGGCCCAACCCGCAGGCCTAACAAGTATGCTTGTACCAGTGGGTCCAGTTCGACCAACTTCTCTACTGCAAAGAAGAAGCCGAGCACCTCCTAGCTTACAATAAGGTGGAAGCATCGGTCCAAGATCTTATTTAAAAATTCAATTTTCTGAGCCTACATACTGGAGAAGGAGCATTTTACGACTCATGTACCAACCAGCATGAAGATTTCTGCCTTCCAGACACTAGAACTGAGCTTCATTGTCAAATTTCAGAGTAGGCTGATTCATTAGAGAGTAAATGCATATTTTGGTTAAATGGCATGGCAGGGACAAGAAAGTCAGATGTTCAGACCCTCAGCCCTCAAAACGAGGGACATGCTGGGGCCTAGCTACACAACCACATAGCGATTGAAAATGCGGGCGAAGTAGTCATTCCACGCTGTAAAGAGGGGCTAACTGAGCTATCAGTTTTATCTGCAGAAGGTCCACAAGGCTAAGATAGACTAGTGTAACCGAAGGTACTGTTATTGGCCGCCCTCTAAAAATTTATTTCTAAATTAGGACTAGTGCATAGCCTAATTACCACATTAGGAATAGCTTTATTTACTAGTAAGCTTAATCCGATAAATTAAACTATTTAAAATCCTATATAGCAATAATACCTTGTTAACTACAGGCAAAGTAGGTCTCGGTTAAAAACAAAATAAGGCCTTTAATATGCTATACCCCTTTAATCAAAGGGGCGCGCAGGACCCTGCGCGCCCCAGCTGGCCTACTGTGGAAGATTTCTAAGCGATCAGGGATTGCTCCAGGATTGTAACCTGGCCTGGAGATCGGGGTATCTATTCCCACCATGAAAGTCTTTATTACTTTTTTAACTTCAGGTCGATGGTTAATTGACATCACATTACCAATTGAGACACAGAAAACAGGGTGGTAGGTTTGATATCTTTGTTCTAGATCCGCTCTCGCTTGCCAGGCGTCTAATCTCTCGTGCACAGGAAGCTCAACACCTCTCCGTATACAGTTGAGGACAAGGACATTCTCAAGCTAAAACTTCTAAACCCACAGGCCAAGAAAATTGGCCTGCATTTCCACCGGGGTTGGAAGAAACCACCCGTATTCTTAAGGGAGTCACAATCAAGGATGCTTGTGGAAATATACTACACAAGATCTTTATCTACGTCCCCCTGTTTCTAAATGTCGCCTCACTGCAAGGTGGTTCAGAAGACGTACTTGTCAAGTGTGTTGCAACGTGACTATGTATCCAGGATAAACAACTTGTAATATTGATCTGGTAAGATGTTACCCGAAGTCTAAATACTATCCCATCATTTTAATTCAACTTCCGTCCATGTTCGCTTGTCCACCTTCCCTCATCCTTGGTCCGAGCATTCCATATTATTCTCTCAGGGCGCGTTCTAGTGATGTCACAAGACTACAGATTTTCAATATCCTCAAGATTCTCCAAGTCTGCCCCATCGTCCTCAAGCACTTCAGGGATTTCCTGGCCCTCAATATCAGCATCAAGCTCAGAGCCATCAAAGCCATCAAACTCATCAGGCTGAGCATCGTCCGCGGCATCGTCTCGCTTCTCGAACTTAGGCTCATCATCAAACTCCAGCTCCCACTCACGCTTTCCAAACTTGCGCACAGCAGCGTAGTAGATATCTGCGAGACGACGGCACTCGACACCTTTCCAAGAGCTCCATCCAGAGAACTGACTGCAGTACTTGTACAGGTCCTTCTTGAAATTGTCATCAATGCGCTTCTTCATGGCCTTGGTAAAGCGCTTCTGCTTCTTCGTGTTGCGGTAACCGAAGTCGTGTCTCTGGCAGCTCGGGATAAAGTTGTATCCGTCTGGCTTGTCGGGGGACTTGGAGCAGTTGTCCGATGACCAGTTGCACTTAGAGGGATTCTTGGCCTTGCGCGCCTTTTGAAAGGTCTTCATGGAGACCTTGAAGATCAGATTGTTGGTTGCCTTCACGGAGCATGTCTTCGCGCGCGCCTGCAAGGTCGAGATGGGGTTATCAACGGGAGTTGTATAGGGTAGGGCAGATGAAACTGCGGCGAAGAGGGCCAAGGTAGTAACAAAGACGTTCTTCATTTTAAATAAAGGGACGAAACACTAGCGATGGGATTGTTTGTTTTTTCTTGGTGGTTTTCTTTAAGCTGTAGAAGATTTACTGTGATAAAAGATAAAAACTTCGAGGCAGGAAAGACTGCAGACTTTATACTTGTTGATAACCGCCACCGCAGTCATAACTTCACGTCTTCGATTAGATCACTTCGTCCTAATTTACCCTGACCTCATTATGGCCCCCATTTCCTCGTATCCTGTAACTATTCCAAGATGCCCATTGTAGACCAAATTCCTTCTAACCCCTCCCGTCAGGAAAGTCCATAACTTGCTCTACGGGCTTGCAACACGAAGTCTATCCAGGGCTCAACCTACCATTGGGCAATCTGGCGTATAGGCCCAGCAGGACACGGATCAGGGCGTCGGAAACTTCAGCATGTGAAAGGGATCTGTTGCATTTCGCTCCTACATACCTCGTAGTATAAACTTCATGGGGGCTGAGATCCTCCAGGGTCCCGAGATCTATTAATAGAGTTCTTGGGCACAGATGGGCCTGGCCAACGCACGGGAGGTAGGCCAAGGTCGATTCCGATTCTTGGGTTACCCTCGAGACTCGTAAAAGCCCTGTTCCGCAGTTTCTCACCTATAGATCACGATGCCAAGACTTATGTACTGCATTCTCCGCAGTTGGCGGACAGATAAGATCGAGAGATCTTGGATTCTAAAAATAGCCTGTAGCTGGTGATCGTCCGAAGTTGACTCCAGACTTTGCAACGACGTCAGGAAGCAATTATTGTTTAACCGCTCTCTAATTCATTTTATTTCCTGTATTTTTCTTCCTGGACTTTTCCGTTTAATTGTGCTTGGCTTTGTGCTACTGGCACATTTTCAATAAAGACCATGGTATGAAATCTGCAGAATATAACTCAATAGAGTGCTTGGCAAGCATTCCGCTGCGTATTGGTTACTGATGGAATATATGGGCCCGAGCGCCAAGTGCCTGGGCACCCTGCGGGGTATTTCCCCTCAGGACGTGGCCCTATTAATAGATAGAGAATACATCCATCGGATAGTATTCGAGGCATTATATATACCATCAAATACGGTCCTTAGTGCGTGTAGCTTGTATAGTGTACTTCTGCCCCCTTTCCCGTGAATCATATTGATCGTGCCAAGATTGCTTCAGTGGTAACATAATTCAGTGCTCTATAATTTGGATACCTACTCATTTACTATGTAATACGAGGTTACAGCCGGATGACAAGGATGCTGAAAACCAAGAGCCACCGACGGTATGCCCTCGGCGTCGAGTCCTCCACCAGATGTAACTAAATTTGAGCACTTTTTCGGCACAACGCTAGCCCCATGAAGAACATTTTTTTACTTCACCCTCATGAGTCCTTCGTACCTTTATGTACGTCTGTGCCCACCACTACGAGACCAGTACGAGAAGGGTCGAGAGACAAAGGTGCCAGTTTCCCGCGTAGCATTTATATTAGTAACTTAACCATCTACGGTGCGTGAGAATGGCCAATATTATATCATCTCTTCTTGAACCGCACTTGGAATCGCGTCTCAGTATACAAATTATTCGCCTGTCGGGTAAATCGAACGATAGGTTGGTCGTGTTTAGGACAATCGGCTAACTTTGGTTCCTTGTCTATCCATAACGTTTCCTCTTTAGAACCGCTCATGGGCTCTTCTCATCCTGGTTGCAGGCCCCACCTTAAGGACCAGTCAATCAGATCTGCGACAACCTTGAAGCTCCAGACTACTTCAGAATTCGGATCCAAGCGAGCACAACTGAAGGAGCTTCTAGGAAATCAATGTGATACCATCGCTCTGTCTCTAGGTGCAAGGACCAGCACCAACCATCTCCCCATTTTGGCAATTATTGGCCATTGGCTTGCACCTGATTTAACGTACCAAGGGCGTACTCGCAAGGTTGAGAACTTCATGGTCTGGCTCTACACAAGAACCCCATTTATTACTGTTCACACTATCAAAAACTCTGGTGAACACTCAGGCGAAAACCTCGCCGATATAGTGATTGTTACTACGCTGAACAACCTGACAATATAAGTGAGAACAGTTCAAGGATGCTGTCCTTGAGTACAAGTCTTTTGCTCCTCACGCAGTGGCTTTCTCGATCGAATGTTCCCGATCAGGTAGGCCGTGACAGATATGCTGATTTAATAGATCTGCACTTAGAGTGAAAGAGCTTTCGATGGAGATGAATCGATTGTGATTCTGAACGTGGGAGGAACAATGAGAAGGAAGAAAGAAAGGGGGGTGGGGGGGGAGGGGCTGTGGTAGCAACTTTAATATTTACTATATATCCTAAACAGGCGCTATTTCTCAATTCAGGGCACGCTTACTGCAGGACCTTCACCTTATATCTGTACATTTTACGATTGTTCCGATGGCGATCGTCTTTATTCCAACTGGAGAGCTTGGATGGAACATGAGCGCCTGTGGCATGGGTATCGAGATGCTTCGAACAACGGCACGGAAACTTACTCTACAGATCTAAGGAACATTTGTACCTTCATTTTCAGTAAGCCACACAGATCTGAAAGAGGTAGATATAAATAAATTTCTGGAATGGAATTAGCCGAGACCACGATGGTGTATGACCGAAAGCTCTGCCCGTTCTGCAGTTTAGCTGGTCCATTCAAAAAAGGCCTTTACAACCACATGGCGTTCCATCAAGAGACTTGCAAGATTCGCAGCTCATGGAACCAGTGATAATGATAAAGACAATGAGTTCCGTTCTGGCGAGGCCAAGGGTATCAGGTCAGCTGGATCGCCACGTTCCGTTTGTCTTGAATTCTCAGATACATCAACATACTCAAATCAAGCAGGGAAGCTACAGATGCAGGTATTATAGACTCGCAGGGGGGTGCTGGAGCCGGATCACACATCTACCCTCTTGACAATCCACGGCCTTGGCATTCTCTACCAAGATCAGGACAAGGTAAAAAAGGCAGAGGAGAAGTACCAGCAAGCACTAGCAGGCTATAAGAAGGCCCTGGGCCCGAATCACCACGAGACCCGACGTGTTGCAGAGAGATTAAATGCATTAATTAATTCGCCGGATCCTCGAGTGGTCTTTAAGCTTGGACTTAGTACTGGCTCCAAAAACGATTTCTGTGTTTGAAGGGAAATAAATGACTGTAACTGTACAGAAAGTAACCTAATTTCAAAAATGAGAACCTTGTAGAAGTGAGAAATTCTAATTAGTCACGTTCTGATTAGCCCACGAAAGCGAACTTTACCCCCTACAGTCAATCTCCCCACCCGTTAAGTAAAGCAGGATGGAGAAGGTTCCTACTTCTGTAGATCTGCTGCTTCGAACATAGTAGATTTTGAATCAGCGTACACTCTAGGCTGTTTTTAGGATGCCAGAAAAGCTTGCAGCACAACGAATCAGTAAACATGAATTTTGTCACTAATGATAATGTAAATAAGTAAGCAAGAATTTAATATCCGTATTATAACTGGGCTTGTATGTCTCATGTTCCATACAACTGAAATCTTACAATAGCCCTCAGTAATAGTCTGCTACCTCAATAATATATACGCACTAACTTCTTGGGTGTGGGGCTACAAAATAATCATCATACTTCTGTTGGTCAAGCCGATTTCGAGAATGCCTGTACGCCATACATAGTCACACACCGCAGCAGCGTTGGCCAAGGCATACCAAGGTTTCAGGTAAAGGGCTGGAGCCCGTTTGACCTCTCGGGCCAATTGACCCCGTTGACCCTTTGACCGTATTGTCCCTATTGTACCTCCTTGGCAAGACTTCCCGCCTTATTATTCTAGTAGAACAAAAACCGATATAATAAGGAACAAAAGAACTTAAAATTTCATTTCTTTTAATTTCCAGAGGGTTTAGTACGATACGAAAGGTCGCTGGCGTAATCAGTATAGATCAAACAGACAAATAACAGTAGTTAATCTATTTAGCTGAATCAGCAATTTACCCATCCTAATTAGTTAGGACATCTATATAGAAATGGGCCGGTCATGGGCCGCCCATGTCGGGTCTGTCAAGGTCTACCCGGCTAACCCGATGCTTTTCTGCTATTTTTGTGTAACTGACATTTTCTCCAGTTTATAAGGATACTATATTTGCAACAGCTGCATTAGTTAAGTCCATATTGATGGTATTGTGGTCTATCTAAATCTATCTAAAAGTCGGTGTGCCGATTGAACAAATCTACGCAATCCTGAGTCGTCGTATACTGGTATATAGCAGACAATAACCTTCGTACGATAATCTTAGGATATATTCCAACCATTGGTCTGTAAATGCATTCCCAACGATGCAGTTAACCCCTCCTGTCACAGGCTGAACCTGTAACATACTATTAGGGCGCTAGATGCGACTGATCGAAGATCAGTCGTCTTGTACCTTTTTATATGATCAAGTGGTTTTATCTCTACTAGCGCAGAGACAACCAAACCATCACACGTCCTTGTACTTCCAAGCCCGTCTCCGATTCCGCAAGCCTCTTTAACTCTTTCAAATTCCGCCCAACATCCCGATACAGGAGAAACCAACTGGTTCGTCCGGGCACAGCATCGGCATCGCCCATTTGGCCAAATGCCCACCCACATTTATCGTATGCATGAGAATATGCTCCTTCCTATATTCTATTCTTATCACACCTTTATTTCGCGTTATATCCTCCTCCGTGACCGTAATCGCGTCCACAGTTTCAGCCAAGTTATCAAATTTCGGCGATCTCTGTATGTAAACACATGCATGGCAAGTTAAAACGCGGCTGCTTTTGCTGACATCAGGTAGTGGAGTCATCAATACGTTAATTAAGGCCGACTTAGGCAATGTCAATCTTCAAACTTAAGCAGACCAAGTTAACAACCATGCTCTGGCCCCTAGGTTACCCATTCCGGTCCTAATAATAATAATTGCACCAGTGGCCACAACCATGAATTCTGCCTCTAAATAGTAATATTTTATTATTTTCCAAATTTAAAGGCTAGATTGTAATACTGTTCCAAAAGGTCGCTCTGGTTCCCATCATCAATTACTATAGTGTCTAGCCTAACGATAAAGTATAAAACTTGTATAGCTGACCCTAAGGCCTCCGGGATGAACGATTGAGTTCAATAAGTGTAAGGATTACGTACTATGGTAATTGGATAATTTATGGCAGCGAGTATCTTGCATCTTGCATCGCAATTGCGCTGTCCATCTCATCCCGGACCAGCCCACCGGAGTCAAAACAATTTATCTCATATGGAGTTATCTGAGCCAAGTTTGGTCGGCCTCTATCTATGGAAAAGAGACTCATGTTGAATATTGAGGAAATGAGAGGTAGGTTCTCTTCGTTGATTCCAGGTTCTTGTGTACTAAAGTAATAATCTTTATTGCTATTAGATATTATAATCCAACTATTACGTGGACTTGCTTACACCTATGTTTTTGGATCAAGACGTGGGACATCTTGCACTATTAAATATGGTAGTTTTCTTATTTACACCTAGCCATCTTGGGTAATTCTCAACGCGTTTTAATTCGAGACCTGCTTGTCAGCCTAAGGATATTCTGGTATTGGGCATTACTGGCCCGCCCACAAGGATTATGGTTCATTGCTAATACTTATAGGCGCGTGGATCCTAACTACTATTTCTCGAACATAGCAGACTCTATTCGATCAGAACGGATTCACCATTCCCGACTTCTAAGAAGAGAAATACTCTGTAAGGCTGTGAAACTGGCCAAGGATGCTGAGTCATGTCGGGCATCCCAACATGGCTACCCAGATGCCTAAGCCTCAGACCTAGAATAAGTTAAAGAACAAGCAAGCTTGGAGGCTGAAAATTTGGAAATTATGATTTTCAACATTAAAATGGCTGTTATGCCGGTTGCAGTAAATCACCGTCAGCCAAGAGTGGCTGTATCGTCAGATCCCAATATGGAAAATAAGGTTGCCAAGTTCAGCGCAGGGTGTCCCCAGATCGGGTTAGTGCTAGATGATCGCACAGTGTCAGAGAGCAAGGAAGCTTCATCTGTGGATAATGAAATAAGAGGATCTTCATGACGTGTGCCCTGCCTGCTAGACATACTCCTCAGGCTCAATATGCCACTGTGGCCTACCCCTGAGAGCACAGAATGAACAGGTCGTGGATATAAAACGGCCGAAGTGCCAAAGACATGGGTGGTTCAATCTCTCGAGACTACCTAAGCTTCTAATTAATCTGCTCACTATGTTGTCTATTAGTATAGCTTTGTTTCTTCTATCTTCCAGTCTTGTGGGAGCCTTTCCCCATGGCGACAACAGTTATTCTACGTCGAACTCCTTGAAATGGGCCCCCTGTGATCTTGACTTCCCAAAGGAGACGAAGGGAAGTATAACCGTGCCAATTTATTGCGCAACTCTTGAAGTCCCACTGGACTACACAAGTCTAGACTCTGAGAGGACCATCCAGTTACAACTGCTCAAAGTCAACGCGACCAAAGAGCCGTTTAAAGGAAGTGTCATCTTCAACCCCGGGGGGCCAGGAAATTCAGGAGTGGAGGAGGTTGCTCTTAAGGGCCACACTTATAGAGAGTATGTAATCCTGCGGAAGTGAAAAGTCAGAACTAAAATAATGGCGCAGTGTGTTTGGTGGACAGTTTGATGTAATAGGGTTTGACCCTCGGTACGTTTAACACATTCCTAACTATGGCCAGACTAACAAGATACAGCGGCACGGGGAGGACCATCCCATTTGTATGTGACTTAGGGAAAGACAGCAAGACTTCAAAGAGCTTGTCCCACCGCGGAAATAGTACAATCCTGCCACAAGACGATGCATGGAGCATACTGCAGTCCAGGGCTTGGAGCGACGGTGGTTGGTTCGCCGATGCCTGCTACGAGAGCCAGAAAGACACTGGACGCTTCTTGAGCACCGCTTTCGTAGCGCGGGATATGCTTCGTATTGTGGATTCCCTTGATGAGGACGGGAAGCTTCGATTCTGGGGACGCTCCTACAGTACCACCTTAGGGCAGACATTTGCCGCCATGTTCCCTGATCGTATTGACCGCATGCTCCTGGATAGCGTGCAGATTCCCGAAGACTACCATAGTGGCCAGTGGCTCACATCAACATCCGGCACGCAGGCCTCTCTGCTAAACTTCTTCTCGGAATGCGTTAACGCTGGACCCTCCCTCTGCCCAATCGCTAACTTCTCTGGGCCCGAGACCACCCCAGAAGACCTCATGGACGCCATCGCTGAAGTGTTTCAAGAACTTCGCGATCAGCCTATCTACCTCCCCGACTCCTATGTTTCCCCGCTACCGCAGCCCTGGTGGCGACTAGGAAAAAGACCTCTCTTATCCGAGCTGAAGTACTCCATTCTGGTCTTCCTCTACCAGCCGGCGCAGTTCCCTGCCCTGTCCATGATAATCTCCCAGGCACTTGCTCGGGACTGGACGGGTTTGACAACTCCAAGGCCCAAAGTTCCCGCGCCGGAAAAATGGAGCAAGGGCGCGAATGCTTTCCACGGCATCGGCTGCGCAGATTCATCTTTTCGCGCCAAATCCCCGAACGACATGTACTCCCTTGTGCAGGCAGAGCTGGCGTACAGTACGTTTGCTGATGCATTTATGCCTCAAGTATGGCCGTGCTATCAATGGCGATTTCAGGCGGCGGAGCAGTTTCAGAAAGTCTTCGAGAATATCAACACGAGCTACCCGATCATGTTCGTGAACGGTGCACATGATCCAATCACGCCATTGAGTGGTGCCTGGAAGGCGGCAACCGCATTCTACGGCAGTAGGCTGTTGGTGCACAACGGGCATGGAGTAAGTAATGCGTGTTGACTACACCTTCAAGCAGTCCGATGAGCTAATTAAGAACAAGCATGGCGTGATGAACCACCCTTCGGAATGCACCATTAAAGCAATTGGGGAATATTTTGCTAACGGAACACTGCCTGAGCAAGGCATGGTTTGTCAGCCAGATATGACGGGCTACGAGCTCTTGAAGAGTGCAGATGCAAATGATGTGGGTGGAGATGTTGAGACAAGAAGTGTTCGGAAGACAAGTTTGATGGAGGAGGTGTACGCCCATGCAAGGACGCCGAGCGATTCTGGGGTATTTGGTGATTGATTTGGGCTGAAATATAGAATCTACAGCAGTTTAAATAAACGTATTAGTGCATATCTCACGAAATCCACATATCCATTCAATCCATAGTGTGGCGATTGTATAATATTTATATACATATATGATCTAGATATTAACTGTATATGTATGTATACATAAGTACTGCAAGACGTCTCTGTCCAAATTTCACTTCAAAATGGTGCATTACTCCCAAGTGATTATAGTGTCCCTCCTAATCGCAGGAAAGATCGCTTATCCGCAAGAAAGTAACAGAGCTCGAGCTAGAGCGAATGTGAGGAATGGGTCACAAGAGGGTGACTTTGCGTCCAATTTAATACCCCAAGCTGAGCCCCATGTCGACTCTGTTGATTAGCATACGAACCCGAGCTCACCCGGCGTAGGGCTCAGGTTAAACCACAACGAACGGCGTTTGAAGCCCGCCACCACCTTGCACGATCCCTTCCCAAGAACGCAATTCTCATGCTGGCCATGAGTCCTAAGGTCTGGCGAGATTGATATTGGATATAGGGAGCATGGAGAGAACAATCTTCATCATTTTATGCCGTACACCTGAACTTCGGATTATTGGTCGCGTTCAGAGTCAATCGCCCTCAGATAGAAGCCCCCGCACGCATTCCAGCGGTAGTCAAACTGACGGAGCGAGCGGTTAAGACACCCTTGAGCGCTCCTTAGCCCAGAGTCTGGCGGGCTGTTATAGATGTGCTTCAGAGTGGCACGGATGATATACACACTAAGAGTCAGGCTATCCGGTCGATTGGAGGGGATATTCTCACGCGAATCAACAATGTCAGCCACCATTTTCGTGACTGTGTCGAGCGCAGCACCCAAGCTGGCCGACGACGGAGCAGACCAACCCAGCACATGCAAATGCAAGAGGAAAAGAGTGCTAGTTGTCCATTAATGCCCGCATGGAACACCAGACGAAGAGGCAGAGGCCCTATCAAATCGCAAGGGCAATAGCACTACACTAGACCCCCCAAGTTCCGTGACATTGTTACATCGCCATGGCGAGGAACGACTGAAGCGTCCGGTCCAACTCGTCCAGCAGGCGATCCAGCAGCCAGGAGGCCTGGGCAGCCCTGCCGAATCCCCCAACGTTGGAGCAAGTCTATAAGGTCTGTCTGTCAGGGATCTTGAATACTAGAGGCTGGTGGATCACCGCCATTTCACAAAGTTCTGTCAAGCCAGTGGGATCTTCCGATCAGACAACAACCCTGACCGCGAGATCTAGGATACCGCTCACAGATGATGGTTCCCCACCACGAATTGGACTCCTCTTCCCGAAACTGTGAACCGGACCCCATCATCGGGCCTGATGGATACTTTAGGCCTGCGACATGCGCCATCCGCGCACAGCCCCCGATGGAAACAAAGGGACGGTCGGGCTTCCCGTGAGCGTACTCATAGATGGCGAGCAAGATTGCGGCTTGAATGAGGTACACGAATGGTGGACAAATCGCTTGGGCCTGGGCCAGCAGGGATTTTAGGGACAGATACAAGGTGGCATCATCCAACTGCCTTCGATGCGCCCCGTCCGGATGACACGTGAGCAGGCACGTGCTCAACAAGAGAACGGAAAAGTCCACCCGGAGAATGACACCGTTAGAGAGGAGCTGATGGTGGAAGCGGCTCGGGGGACGATCGGACTGAAATAACGGATCCCTTGAAGTAGCGGACGCTGATCTTATCGAGATACTGGCCAGTGGCACGGATGATGCGACGCGCCTGCAGACCCAGGGTGGCATCGAGGTTGGAAGGACTCGATGACAGATGGCCCGATGGAGGAAAGGAGGCGACGTCGCCCGTGAGCAACGGGGACGACCATCTAGGCAAATCAACCACAGATCTCGCCAGAGTGCCGATCGATCCATGACGCGGCTTGGGCAACAGATAACGACATTTCCGCTGTCGGCTACAGATGCAGGTCAAAAGGTGAGAGAGAGAGTAGGGCAAAGGCCGATCACTAACTCAGTACGGTAGCGCTGGTTTGGTGGAGGGGCGATCGGGGCAGGAGGTACGGACGACTTTGGGAGTCGGATAGAAGCGGAGATGGCGGTGACGTCGCGCCAGATCATCATTCTTTCCATCAGTACAGGACTAGACAGTGGGGGCTTTTGTTTAGCAAGAATCCTCGTTTGATCCTGGTCATCGACAGGAATGATTAGGGCTGACTGACCTGGACACCTGCCAATGAGGCAGCAAGGCTACTCGCAAGGCTACGGTAGTTAACAATCGGGGAGGATGACAAATCTGATCCAGTTCTACTAACCTAGAAGGGCATAGTGGCAGCTAACTGACTCCGACTGAATCCGAAGCGGCCGCCACTAGTCCCAAAGGGGGAATACCAGATCACAGGTCATCGGATAGTCCAATTAGGCAAAGATCCGCTGCAATGTCCTCGGCGAGTTCAATCTAATTATCCATCCTGGTACTTTTGTCGCACCCAACAAAGAAGTCTCCGTTACGACTGGGATCCTGCGAATGGCCCTCAGTGTGCAGCATGGTTCAGGAGAAAGCATTTCCAAGGGTGTGGATATATATCTTCGCCCAATACATATATAAACAAGCATCTTGAACTTAGAGCACCATCGCGAAAGAAAAATGAGTAACGATTCACCCTCTCCGAAAGAGAATGTCATCACCCTTGCGCCCGAGCTGTCCCCAGAGAAAGGCCTTCAAGGGTGGTTGTGCGTGACGGGCGGGTTCGTTGCGCTGTTTTGCTCATCTGGATTCCTGAACGCGTAGGTGTTCATTGCAATCATCCCCAGACTTCACGCGACGCCACTGACCAAAGCAGAATTAGGGTTTTCCGACAACCTATCAATAAACCTCGTTGCGCGAGTACATGCCCTCCGATATATTCTGGATTTTTGCGGTGCAGTTGTGTCTGATGTGGGCACCGGGCCCTCTCTATGGACACCTCATTGACACCTACGGACCAGCCCCCGTCCTCTACCCCTGCAGCTTTCTGTGTGTCTTCTCCTTGTGTATGATCAGTCTGGCGGACCAATACCACAAGTTCTTCTTGGCCCAAGGCTCGGGTTTCGGAATTGGATACGGCGGCGTGTTCACCGTGGCCATGCTGTGCGTGTGCCAGTGGTTTATCCGGCGACGAAGGTTAGCCACGGGTATCGCCAGTTGTGGCAGCAGCCTGGGAGGTGTCATCTTCCCCATCTTCCTAAATTGGGTGATGCAGCAGGTGGGCTTCTACGGAGCCATCCCAGTCGGGATGATTGGCATTCGCTTCGCTTCGTCGTGCTTTTTGATCCGCCCTCACCTCCCACGTAAGAAATGGATCGTGATGCCAAGTGTTTTGACGTGACACTTTTCCACCAGAAGCAATTCACCTGCTACACCGTGGGGTCGTATCTGGTCATGTAAATCCCCCACTCCTCCACGGCTCCATACGAGTCAGTCCAGCCCTACTGACTCCGGATGATGATGCTGCATAAGTGGGGTTTGTAGGCTCCCTTTGACTACGTTCGAGCATGGCGTCCCATGCCAGATTCTCGCCTGATCTGGCCTTGTACCTGATTTCGATCCTCAAGTAAGCACCTCTATCTGGTCAATCAGACACATGGATGAGGGCTGACAACTGCAGTGTCACGTCGGTTCCCGGCCGCATCCTCCCCCCGCACCTTGGCGACCAACTTCTTCATTTCAATATCTTGACCCTGTCGGCGTTTTGCACGGAGGTCTCGATCCTAGCGCTGTGGCTGTCATTCAACTATTACCCTCGCACGCCGGCATCATTGTCTTCGGTTGGACTATGGCTTCGTTGGTGTGTCTCCTGATGCCCTGCGTTGCCAAAACGAGCGATCTGGTGACTTTGGACCAGCGATTCGGGACCTACCAGACAGTCATTGCCGCCAGGTTCGAGTATCTACTGCAAGAGAAGAGGCTCATATACAGATCACTGGAATAACCGCCAGTCATAGCTGTCTGACTGAACTGCCGATCATGGGGTCGAACCTCAATCGGCAGCATGATACAGACCACTCAGGGCTCCAGCTGTTCGCCGCGATCTCCATTCTCATTGGCACTGGCTTCCTGGCCGTCTTCAGTACCTTTTCTTGCAGATCTGTGAATCATGAGAGGGTTAAATGCGCAGGGAGGAATGAGATTGGGGAAGTTGTAGAGGGGAGAAAGCGCCAAGGTCACCTCCGACGCTACATGGATTCGTGGATTCCGGCATGGCGCATTCATGATCAGCTACTGCCTTGGGCTAATCCTGATTAATGTATGATCTCATTCTCCGAGAAAATAGAAGAAGAGCCCCCGAATACATTTGGCGGATTGACTGTCAAACGTCACCTCCTTTGGGCTAGAGAGATTCTCGTGAAGTGGCCGCTCGTATCAGGCCTCTCCGTCCGGTGGTATTCCGTGGATTATCTTCAAGAAGAGCAATCTTCATCTTCGTGGAATGGGTGGGTCCCGAATACGAGGTCGCTTATCTTGCCAACGTTGCTGACGGCGCCTCATGGTGGTAATGTGATTCGATTCCTGCCTCTGGAGAGTCCAGTCAGACCAGGGACCCACGGGGTTCCCCGTTAACTGTCACTTGCGGATCGAATCGGTTATCCATTTCAGGATATTGGAGTAGCATCATGGTGGTCCTCCGTGGGGTAAATGCATTGCCCGGATGAGACTCGCATCGCATCCCTGCTCAACCTGCATCGGTGATGATGCTGAGATGGACAGGGTTCTGATTAGAAATGGTTTCCCCACGGTTAAAAGGGTTCAGAGAGTACCATATCGGTTCGCCCTTTTGGAACCGGGCTGCTCCTGACCCATGATTCTCGACCAGCCCATGTCTGCAGAAAACGTTAAGCCCACCAGGGCAGCTGGTCGAGTGCGCTCGGCCTGTGATGCATGCCATCAATCCAAAGTTCGCTGCTCAGGGGGTAGTCCCTGCGTGTCGTGTGCCGTGTCGCAGGCGCTATGCACATACAGCGTGGGCAGCCGCCTGGGGAGGCCCAAGGGAAGCAAAAATAAGCGGACGCTGGCCATGCAGCAAAGCCACAGGAACAGCCATCCGGGAGGCTCGAGGGCATCCAAGGACGGCAACGACCCGCGGTGGACCTCCCACAGACGCCACGACCAGGAACACGGCTCGTTCTCGCCCCGGGGGCAGGTCCAGGCAAGTAATGCCGTACTTTTGGAGAGTATTTCCGATTCCCCGTTCGGGCCGGAATGGTCATCATGGCTCCATTCGGTCGGAGGGGATCTTGATCTTGACGGCAGTCTTAACGAGGGGCTGGGCATGTCTTTTGACCCGGTAGGACTCATTCCCTATCGTAGTTCTTGTGCTCCATGCTTGTTTTCTCTCACTCTTTATTTATTTTTATTTTTATTTTAGAACCCAAGGTTGTAATTATATGCTTATTGTGATTCTGACTGAACTATTCAAGGCACCCTCGTACGTACCAACCCCCCCCGACACAGCCCTTACCCCGGACGCAACCTGGAGAGATTTCCTCGACGCACCCAAGTCAGAGTCCGATTTTGCTGGAGCTCTCAATCTTGAGAACCCTTTCTCGCTACAGCGGAAGCATTATCAACCCACCCCCTCATCTCAAGCCCAAGTGTCACCGAACACATCGTCATTATTATCCTCACCAGAACGATCACGGTGCTCTTGTCTTCAGCAGCTCGTCCAGCTGGTATACCATTTAGAAGATCTCCAGTACGCCCACACCGGTAGCCCCTCGATCGACAGCGTGCTCCATGGGGTGCGAAAGGCCCAGGCACCGTGGAAGCGTCTTATGCAATGCAGTCACTGCAGAAGCAATTACGACACGGAGGTATTTCTCTTGTTCGCTATGAGTATCCGAACTCTCCTGTCCTCCGTGCAGGTGCTCTATACAGCGTATCAGAATGCTTCCCAGGATCTCCAAACCGCACCGTCATCCGCGACAGTCTCACCACCCGAATCTACTGCGGAGTCGGAGGAATTCAGTGTCAGCGTGTCTGTGGGCAATTATGAGCTGGTCGCCGAGGAAAAGAGTCTGGCCCTAGGACTGATGATCCGCAATGCCCTGCGCAGCATCGCCGCTGCATTTGTCTATCTCTGGGAGAGAACGGACCAGTCGATCCCTCTCTCCCATCTACGAGATACCCACCGTACGGCTGGTGTCTCTCCCGGGAGCTGTGTCAACTGCGACTCCAATGGGCTGCTTCAGCGGCTGCGACAGTATCCCCTGGATCTGAGCCATCTGGGAGCGGAGGATGTCAGATCTCTACTGGATCATCTGCAGACTACCATGAGAACATTGGAGGGACTCCAGAGGCAGAATGAAAAGCATGTTTGATGGGTGTATTATCACTATCTACCAAGGACTTGAACAGGGATGAATACCCCTACGTTTATTTAGAGAGATACGTATTAAATGTCTATAGGACATGACTCAGTTCCCCCGTGTATTCCCTTGTCCTGACTCCATCATCCCGACTCCATCATCCCAGCAGCTGCATGCTATCGTGAATATCAAAGAGGGGTAATTGAACACGTGTGATCCAGGTTGGCTCGTATTGCAGTCCCCTTTTTTGACTGGGTCTTATTAAACGGATTATCGGAAACTTATCCTGCATGAATTGTTCAGTAGCCATCTACAAAGGCCTATTTAGAAATAATCGCCGAAATAAATACCGAATCGCACCATGGTCTGGTAGCGGAAGATGCACCGCGTCTCTTCACGGGAGCTAAAATAAGAGATTTAATCATCGGACATGTTCCTTCGTATCCCACTTCTAAGATCTGTCGAGCCTGCCCACTTATCTGACCAGGCATGCCGCTGCAAATCATCGTCGTTGGAGCTGGCATTGGAGGACTTTGCACCGCCATTGCGCTGCAACAAGCTGGTCACTCTGTCAAAGTGGGTTCAAAGTCTCCAATCTAATCCTTGCTCATGATAAGCAGGTCTTCGAAAAATCTCAATTCAAGGGAGAAGTCGGCGCCGCGCTGCTGCTCACACCGAATGGAGAGCGGGTGCTGTCGCATCTGGGCTTCGACCTGACGATGGCCCGGGCCGACGAGATGACCTGCTGGGAGATCGTGGACGGTGTCACTCTGCAAATTCTGGATCGGACCCGTTTGAACGACTCACGAGAACGTTACGGAGCGCCTCTGCATACCGTCCATCGGGCAGATCTGCATCAGGAACTCCTACGCCTGGCGTCGTGTCCGTCGGAACGAGGAGGGCATCTGGATATCCATCTCGCTACTCGGGTCGTCACCGCACACGTCAATGGATGGGTAGAGCTGGACGATGGAACCCGCCACGAAGCCGATCTCATTGTGGCTGCGGATGGACTGCATTCCATCCTACGTGACATGGTCATCGGAGACGAGTATCCGCAACTTTCGCAGCCCACCCCGTCCGGAATGAGCGCTTTTCGCTTCCTGATTCCCACGCCTTTATTACAGCATGATGAGCACTTTCAGGAGCTTGTCAAGGTGAAGGGGCGTGGGTCAACAGTATTTGCAGACACGCAGCACCAGACAGAGCGACATCTCGTCTGGTACGACTGCCAAAAGTATGCCTGAGTTCTCGCGTTATGCCATGAATGATGCACAACTGACTCGCATTCAGTGGACAAGTGCAGAACTTCGTTGGGATTCATGCCACGAGGAAAGAAGGAGAGGACGGTATGTATTCTATCAGACCGTCTTGGGGATGTCAATGACGCCTCCTGTCTATGTAGATCTCAAAGCCCTGATGGCGGCGGAGTTTGGGCATTTCCATCCCAGCCTCGTGCATATCGTCCAGGTGGCTCCCAGTGTCACAGACTGGCCACTTTCCATTCATGAACCGCTGCCAGTTTGGCACAGGGGGAGCATTGTCCTGATTGGCGATGCAGCACACCCCGTATGTAGACTCTGGACATTAGCATTCTCCCTCTGGTATTGCTAACAACAATCGCCCCATTACAGATGCTGCCCTTTGGTGGCCAAGGTGCCAACCAGGCAATCGAGGATGCTGGGGCTCTGGGAGCACTACTTACAGGGGTGCACTCGCCGGCCCAGTTGCCCCGTCGTCTTCAGCTCTTCGAAAAGGTGAGACGATTGAGAGCATCGAGGATTCAGGTCCTGTCAAAGACGCGTCTGGGGAAGGAGAAGGCAGTCGAGGAGGAACTGCGTCAATACGCGGACTCACCTGAGATGGGTACGTATATAAACCTATATTGCTGGAGACTCCCTGGAGGATGTGAGGGCTGAGGCTGAGATCGGACAACAGATATTCCTACGACGTTTCAAGAGCGCTATCAACACGATTTTGCGTAGGTTACCTTTCCCAGGGGAGCTTGGACCGTGACGAATATCTGACTTGAGTGCTACAGATTCGACGTGTTTGAAAAGTGTCGACAGGTACTGGCTGGGGGAGTGCATGTCGAGTAGGGTAGATTTTAGAATAGATCCAGAGTCTGTAAATCGGCTAAATATGTTGTGTACTGGTAGGAACTTCGGTAGAACAGTAGTCAAGGGGAGGATTCAAGACTGCACTTTAGCTACAGATCCTCATCCTCAACGGGCAAGTGGAGGCGAGATAGGTTGCAGAATATCCATCTTGGGAGCCAGTACTATTTAGGACTAAAGCTGTATGACAAATACGTGAATCACCGAGAATCCAACCAAGGCTTAAATATGCCGCCCTCTTTCTGCCACCGATATCATAGCTGTCACCAAGCTCACCACAGACACCTATTTCCTCAGTCCCAGCGAGACTCCCGCCCTGGTGCACGGCGACATCTTGACCGACGAGTGTGCGCAGACGATAGCGGAGCTGCTGCGGGATAACAGTGAAAATCACCATATCTTCTTCACCATCTAGCACCACATGGAGGTCTAACTACACAACCACATCGCCTACGATGACCTGAGCCTCTGGGTGCTGGGTGCGCAGCCGAACGCTTTGCTTTCTCATCACGAACGGAACGCGCGATACATGCACCATACGATCATCGGATCATGGTCGAGCCCCTGCTGCAGGTCCTCGAGGACGACGTCTCTATGAAATGCCTCGGCCGCGAGGAGAACTTTCGCAAGTTCGAGCGATATTTCCTCAATCAGATTTCGCAAAAAGGATACCACGCCGTGCTCCAAAGCTATCCAGATGATCGGGCCGGTAACATTGCTAAGGACACGATATCGCATTTACATGGGTGAGTATTTAAAAAGGAATACATGCAACCCTACTATTGACGATCTCTAGGATATCTGCACGGCCTCATCCACATTGGACTGGCGCTGGAGTTCCGGCAACCGCTCTTGCTGGCTGAAGGCCTGGCCCAGGCTGCGGTGCATCACTATATGTACAAGAAATATCTGAGTGAGGCCGGGGGCTTGCCTACCAAGAAAGTTGCCTCTTCTCCTAGCCATATTGATCGATACGGAGCGGACAGGCGCTACGATCAGTACTTCCTCCAGCCTCGACTTCAATACCCAGACCCGAAAATATTCAAGCCAATGGGCCATGGACAACGAAGTGGTGCACGATGGAATGCTCCCATGCAAAGCCTGAGCTGCTGCGTCTGGCAGCCCGGTGGCGAGTCGACCCCAATGATCTCGACCGAGCTACAGCAGAGCTCATCAATGTGGCTGGTATGCATCGCTGATAAATCGAGGACTGAGTGGCAATTCACCACAGCACAGTGTATATCACCACAGGGGCACTGCTGTCGCCGTACCGGTGCATGTTTGACTTTTACTTGCTGCATTGTCTGACGGTGAGTGTCGCACATGCATCGTTCTTGAAGGAGACATCCAAGACTAATTCGCAGAAAGCGCATCTCCTCGAGTACAGCGGTCGAGTGTTTATGATGACCTACGCTGGCATGGGATGCCCACCGCTACGACTGGACTACCTGTGCTCCCTCTGATCCAAACTCCCCCATCAGGACTGACCCGAGGTGTTCGACCTGGCCTGCTACCACAAAGATGACGGCCATATGGCCAAGATGATCCGGTTGACGAAGCTCTGTCCCCGTCTGTTCATCGTGGTTTTGGTCGTGTGTGGTTATAATTTAGTCTCCGCGGGGATTATTTATTCTTTAGTATTCGGTTAATATATACATGGATCTTCGTATTTAACAGGCAGCAATGATAGGCTGCTTAATATCCCCGACCTGAGGGAATTATTCCCTGTTAGATCGTTCGCATGTGCTTGCCGATATGATCTACTGGATGTTGAAAATATTGAACTATCAAAGGGGTCTAGCCATACCCGGAAGAAATACCATACAAAGCAAACGGACATGGGCGTGTCACAGTGTAATTAACTTGATATATATTCTCAGCTAACTAGCAGAGATAGAGTCCATATAATGATTATGGAAATCTTCTAACCCGTGAATTGCCATCCCTCTACTCCATCCGTCTACGAATCTGTACCTTCAAACCCCATTGCCGGAAGAACCACCGATTTTCTACCTGGTATTGCGCCGGATCTAAGATGGTGACCTACATGCGGGGACTAGCGTTAGAAAAATTTCATGCCGGAAAGGCCATTCGCTGCACATACCTCGTAGTTGAGAATCAGTGCCGCGGTCAACTTTTTGAGCTCCAGCATCGCTACATTCTTCCCCAGACAGACCCGTCGCCCGGCTCCAAACTGGGACGGTATCTCAGCTTCATTTGCGGCTGTAGATAATAGTGAGTCGGTGACTTACAGTGAGAATACTCTGCTCCATGATCCTATACCGTTCCTTGTCTCCCAACCAGCGATCAGGACGCCAACAATCGGCGTCCTCCCCAAATGTAGGTCGATGGCGGTTCACCACCCATGGGTTCATGCCAATCACAGTTCCTCCGGGGAAGAAGCGGCCGGCGATGGTGATACCCTCGACAGGAACCACTCGCTCAAAGGGCAAGCAGAACGGCGGATGTAGTCGAATAGCCTCATTCACGCATGCGTCTAGATACGGTTGGTCTGCAATCTCTCTCCAGGCCGGATATGGGCGAGAGAGGACATGCTTCCGCTCGAGCTCGATCAATTCATCATAAAGCCGCTGCTTTGAGGTAGGGTTGCTAAGAAGGTTATACCATAGGGTTTTCAGAACCGCCGCAGTGGAGTCGGATCCAGCAATAACATTGGAAAATGTCCACGCGGTCACAGCCCTGTCGATTAGCCATGGATGAGTATGGTGGATTGTAGCTGAGGGGCCAGGCCAGCTGCTTACCAGGGGGGTACAGATGTATCATTTGTTTGGATGTGCAGAAATCGCGACAGAAAGTCATCTTGGTTGATCTCATTCCGGCTCCCGACCTGCGAACCCTTCTCGAGCCTCTCCCGGCGCTGGTTGATGCTCTCCCGGACAATGTTAAGGATGGGCATTCCCGTTGTCGGCCGGAAGAAAGCCGCGATGGGATTCTTGTACCACAGGCGATCAAACCAGGGGATTTGGGTGACCTTTTCATTCATTGATTAGCCTCATTCTGGTCCGCGTCGGAGACTTACCGGGGCTGCCGTCTTCATGAAATTCCAAATTGCAATCAACAACCCCTTGGCATCTTGACCGTGCTCGAGAAAGCCGTAGCGGCGGGAAAAAGTCATAGTTCCCATCACCTCAAACGCGAAGAACTGGAGCCAGTCCCCCAGGTCGAAGGGAATGGACTGCTTCCTCGCAAAGCGCTGGTCGAACTGCGAAAAGAGCACGGTGAGCGTTTGGTCGACCAGGTGCTCGAAGGTCAGGACATTCGACAATGAGAACAGAGGAGCGATGGGCTTCTTCAGCTGTTTGTGTAGAGCCTCATCTCGCGTGTTGAAGACCAATGGCAACGCCGAGCCTTGACGGGAATATGGCATCAGCGATCGGTAGAAATTGCCCTAAGATACCCACGAGTCCGTCAGGCGAGGTTCCCTGTTTCATGAGGTGTGCCCTACTTTTGGTAGACCCGCTCGCATGGGATACACGACGGGAATCAGCCGAGGATCCGAAATGGATACCATGTGTGGTCCCAGACGCACAAAGTCTCCGTAGCCCTGGTGGACATGGGAATGGATCTCATGGGAGCGAGCAGTTTGCACCCAGTACACCCGCTGCAGGTTGGTGAACGAAGCCCAGAAGGGACCTGGAATGTGCCGGAGAGACGTATATACTCGTGCTACATGGACTCCCACCGCAATCAAGAGCCCAAGGGCGAAGGCTGCGAGGAGTTGGTGCGATGGGACGACTTGTTGAAAATGATCCAGGATCATAGTGAAGAGGTGTGATGTAATTAGAGACGCGAGGAGAGAATAGACATGGGATGGTGGAAGGAGGTTGTTCTATGGTTTGCGTATCCTGTAAGATTATGAAGGTGGTTCACGCCTTTCTCTAGCAGGAAGACCACTTCCATCTCTCCTACTGTAATCCCCTTCCCCGTTCTAACGGTGGAGACAATTCTTCTAACCTAAAAAAAAAGAACCACACAAGGGGATTTATCCTGCAAAAGAAAACTGAAATAAATAAAAAGCCCGCGGGAACTATCTTGAAAAGAAATGACCGATATGTTTCCCATTGGATGGTGCATCTTGGCAGGCCTAGCTGCAGAAAAGCAATTTGAGTCATAAGACCTATCCACGTCATCCTATTGTAGATCAGTAAGATAGGTGAGGGGTACGGGATCTTATTGCATTGAGCAATAGGAATATTCTCTATTATGGCTGATGCCAGTCTACCAGAGGCGAGGCCTAGATGTGCACAATAAGGATTGGCTTAGATGTAGTTGTGATCACAACAGAGAGCCTCAAGGGTGTTTTAACGCCAAATCTCCGCTTGTGAAGCTATCGTGGCCACTAGAAATAGAAGCGGAACATTCTGATATGCACCTAACCCGTTGAGATGCAGGCACTTTAGCTATGCTTGTGTCGGTAAGATCTACCAGACTGAAACAGTATCAGTGAATGCCACAGTATTGATGTTGCAGATCAATATGGAATACTCGGCTGCTAGATACATCCTTCCCGTAGTTCGCTGCTCTATAATAATCACCGTGGGTGAAAAATATATCCCGGAGAAAAGCCTCTCCTGCTCAGTCATGAGGTCATGAGAATAGCTGTTTGATTCCATAACATACTAAAGATCAGGCAAATGCTTTGCCTTGTGTGATGTGACGCAACATCCTGAGATACCTCAACGTCTTCCAACCATGCATGCAACGACCACCACAGGCACAGGAAATCCCCTGCTGCTGTTCGGACCTCAACTTCCGCGACTGATCCCAACCCGTCTAACTGAGCTTCGGAATACCATTGTCGCTGGCGATGAACGATTCCGCTTCTTGGTCCGTACCATCCACGGGCTGCCCTCCGTATGGCCCGTTATTCAGCAGGCCTGTCCAGCATTGCTGAACCTGCCGGGGGCCCAGCAGTTGAGCCAGCTCGTGGACTTCGTCGAGAACGGAGAGATGCCTCGCATGAAATCCCCCAACAACATCCTCCTAGTCCCCCTGACAGTCCTCTTGCAGGTCGTCGAGTACTTGCAACTGGGCCGCACGCCTGTCGACGTTCAGGGCTTTTGCATTGGGTTTCTGACCGCAGCGACAATAGCCTGTAGCCGGAGTCATTCCGAATTTGAGGAGCTGGTGACTAGAACCATGTGCCTGGCTGTGTGCATTGGCGCCGTTATCGACGTGGACGAGCGGTCTCACCTTGATCTGCTTGACAGAAGTTCAGCCTATTCCGTCTACTGGTCGACGGACTGGGAGAGGGAGCACCTGTCCAAGTTCCTCCAGCTTTTTCCCAAAGTTAGGGTCATGAAGGGATGCTATTAGTAGGATTTACCAGGCTGACCAGATCTAGGCCTATATTTCCTGCGTCACAGATGTATCCCGTGTCACGGTGACACTCCCCTCTCGAGATGGCGCCTTGCTTACCCTACAGCTGGCAGATGAAGGTCTCTCGGTAGTACCAATTGGGCTGGGGGGTCGCTATCACCTTCGTGAACGACAGGAAACTGTTACTCAAGTGAAACAGCTTTGCAGCCAACAACCTGATTTCCAACTTCCCTCTGCGGATCAATTGAACCTGTCCTTACGCTCTACAGCCGATGCCTGCGTGATCCGTGACGGGGCTCTCCATGAGATTGCATTGGACACTATACTCATCCAGACGTGCCAATGGTATGACACCGTGGAGCGTGCTCTGCAGGCTCATCCCGGGGCCGATCTTGTCGCCATTGGGGGTTCGGGGGCAGTTCCTCCCTCGCTGGTCCCAAAGCTGAATGGAAACATGATGCTTAATGGCTCTGTGGACACGCCTGCTGAGTCGTCGGGTCGTCAGACACCAGCCAGCCCTGTTGACGCAGTGTCAGATATGACCAACGGCTCCGTTGCCGTCATCGGAATGGCATGCCGCTATCCCCAGGCCGAGTCGGTGCAGCAATTCTGGGAGCTGATCAACTCCGGGCGGAATGCGGTTGGGCCTCTGCCAAAGAATCGATTTCGGTGTGAGGACTTGACCCGAGAGCCCAAGGGCCCGTTCTGGGGCAATTTCCTCGAAGATCCCCAGGCATTTGACCATCGCTTCTTCAAGATCTCGAGTCGCGAAGCCGAATCCATGGATCCCCAGCAGCGACTACTGCTTCAGGTCGCATATGAGGCCATGGAATCGGCTGGATGCAGCACGCGCTCAGAGAGACAGACCGATCAAGTCGGTTGTTACATCGGCGTGGGCTCGGTCGACTACGAAGCAAATGTGGCATCCGACAACGCGACGGCCTTTTCGGCTACGGGGACCCTTCGCGCCTTTATCAGTGGCAAGGTCAGTCATTACTTTGGCTGGACCGGACCGTCAGTCACCTTCGACACGGCGTGCTCTTCCTCAGCAGTTGCCATCCACTATGCTTGCAAGGTGTGTACCATGCCATGATCCTTCGATTCAAACCTTTCGATTCCGCACAATTAACGAGACTGCAGGCACTCCAAACGAATGAATGCTCCGTCGCCATTGCGGGTGGAGTTAATATCATCACTGCCCCGAGCCTCTACCAGAACTTGGGGGCGGCATCGTTTCTGAGTCCGACCGGTGCCTCGAAAGCATTTGATATCAAAGGCGATGGATATTGTCGCGGCGAAGGTGCAGGCGTGCTCGTCTTGAAGCCGCTGGCACAGGCCATGGAGGACAAGGACCCCATCCTGGGTGTCATTCGGGGATCAGCCGTCAACCAGGGCTCGAACTGTAGTCCGATCACGGTGCCAGACTCGGAATCCCAAAGCGAGTTGTATAAACAAGCCCTTGCTCGCGGTGGGATCCTCCCAGCAGATGTCTCCTACGTTGAGGCGCATGGCACAGGTAAGTCGTGGTGGTTCTGGCAGAGACTGCCCTGTAAATTATCTTGCTAACAAACGATATTCAGGGACGCCAGTGGGAGATCCCATTGAATGTGATAGCATTCGAAAGGCTTTTGGTGGTCCAAATCGCACGCAGCAGCTCGTCATCGGATCGGTGAAGGACGTCATCGGCCATACTGAAGCAGCATCTGGAGTGGCCGGCTGCATCAAAACGCTGTTGATGATCCAGCATGGGATCATCCCAAAGCAGCCCAATTTCACCCAGCTCAACCCAAAGATCTCTGCACTGGAGCCAGACAACATGTACATCGCCGACAGAAGACGCCCGTGGCAATCCCCCAGGCGTACCGCTCTGGTGAACAACTACGGCGCTGCCGGCAGCAATGCGGCCATCCTGCTGCAGGAGCATTGTCCACGACCATCTCCCCATGTAAATAGGGCTGTGGGCGTAAGTGGGCTTGCGGAGTATCCTATTGTGATGGCTTCCAAGACTCCGGAGAGCCTGCGTGCCTACAGCAGCGCATTGAAACATGCCCTAAATCGTGGTGTGATTTCCGAAAAGACAACTTCGCTGGCAGATATTGCATACAATCTGGCGCGTAAACAAAATCGCGGCTTGGAATACATACATACGACGACGGCCACGAGTTTTACTGACCTGTCGCAGCAGCTGGACATGATCGTCTCTGGGTCCCAGCAGCCAGCCAAAATGCTAACCCAGCCGCCTCCGGTCGTGCTGTGCTTCGGTGGGCAAACGGGACGCATCGTCAGTCTCTCCGAGAGGCTGGTAAGGGATTCGGCGCTGCTGCGCAAGCACCTCGACCGCTGCGATGTCGGCTGCCAGGCTCTGGGATTGCCCTCGCTTTTCCCACGTATCTTTGATCCTTCCCCCCATTGAAGATCTGCCCATCCTGCATGCCACTTTGTTCTCCGTTCAATATGCGATTGCAAGGACATGGTTAGACGCCGGACTCGAAGTCGCCACCATGGTTGGACACAGCTTTGGACAGCTGACTGCACTATGCGTCGCCAACAGTATGGATCTGGCCGATGGCATCCGTCTGGTCACAGAACGAGCGCGATTCATCAAGAAGCTCTGGGGCTCCGATCCCGGCGTCATGCTTTCAGTTGAAGCTGACAGCACCGAGATCCAGTCGCTCTTGTCGGAAATCAAGGCCCTCGAGCCTCCGTGCGGTGTTGACGTGGCATGTTACAACAGTCCCAGGAACATTGTACTTGCAGGCGAGGTGCCATCTATAGAAACAGTCGAAGCTCTATGCCGGCATTCGACAGCTTACAAAGTGACACGACTGAAGAACAGCCATGCATATCATTCTCGACTCGCAGACCTCATTCTGCCCAGTCTGCGGGGAGTCGCTGAATCCATCACCTGGCGAGAACCGTCAATCCCGGTCGAAACATGCACTCCAGACCACAGCTGGCCAACAGTCAATGCGACCAACATTGTGAACCACACAAGACAACCAGTCCACTTTGCAGCCGCCATCAGCCGAATTGCCAGTCGCTACGCATCCAATGTCTGGCTGGAGGCAGGATCGGCATCTCCCATCATTCCCATGGTGCAGCGAGTGCTTCCCAGCCCCAGCGATGGCCTCTTGATTCGTCTCGACCTCGGTGGCCAAGGTGCATGGAATGACGTGGCAAAGGCAACTGCTCGTCTGTGGTCTGCTGGTTCTCGATCTACATTCTGGGCCTTCCACTCCATGGAGCAGTCGCGCTACGCATGGGTTGATTTACCCCCCTACCAGTTCGCGCAGACCAGGCACTGGATAGAATACAAGGCTTCTGCACCGCAGAAAACACTCCCAGAGCCCGGCGCCACTAGAGGGCGGGAGCTGGTCCAACTCATCGGTCATGACAATGGCGAAGCTCGGTTCGAGATCAATGTCTTTCAAGATGAGTTTGACCAGTCAGTGCGCGGACATGCGGTCCTGGGCCAGAGCCTCTGTCCAGCCTCGATGTACTGCGAGCTTGCAATTCGCGGAGCGAGAGCCTTGATGCAAGGCACACCCAACGTCCAGACTGTTCCTCGCATCCTGGATCTGCGCATTCTCTCTCCGTTGGCATCAAAACCGGCGGGTCTATTACTCCTGACATTGTCCGAAACGAAAGGCCAAAGCGCATGGGTCTTCTCCCTCGAGACACGGTCAACCGACGAAGGATCCCCCCGGACGGTCACCCATGCCCATGGCACGGTGGCTCTGATCGACGAGTCCACCGTTACATCTCGTTTCCAGTCGCTTCGGCGACTCCTGGGGAACTCTCGGTACCAGCAGATTGCCGAGTCATCCAATGTTGAGCGGTTGTCCGGGGACGTCATCTACAAACTTTTTGCGCGTGCCGTCAACTACGCCCCCTACTACCGAGGGGTGCGCAATGTGATCGCATACGGCTCCGAGGTCGTCGGCGACGTGATCATGCCAAAGCATCGTCCAGAGGGTCTGCCTCCTGGTGAGTCAGATCCTCTCACCATGGACAATGTACTGCAGGTGGCAGGCATTCATGTCAACTGTCTGATGCCCTGCAAAGAGGAGGAGGTATTTGTCTGCACTGCCATCGAGGAAGTGCTTTGGAGTAGCGCCTTTTCCGGCCCATCCAGTAACCCGCGGAAATTACAAGTCTATGCCAACAATGAGGCCAGAGGCAACAATTCACTTGAAAACGACATTCTAGCTCTGGACCCGATCACCGGTGAAGTCGTCGCTTTCATACTGGGAGCGAAGTTTACCGCTGTTCCTCTCAGCTCCCTGCGCAAGGTTCTCTCCAAGTTGAATGATCCTACGCAGGCTATTCCGTCGAACCAGCCGGTGGTTGCCCAGCCCTCACTGCCTGGGAGTGCCCTATCTGTGGTGCGTCACGAACCGAATGGCGCGAACGGCGTGAACGGTGCCGTTGGCCAAGATGATCATATCATTAGTAGTACTTCAGGTACTGGCAGCAAGGCAGCTCTACTAGCATCCAGCTCACCATCCCACGCCAACCGTATGGAGGCGCTACGACAGATGCTCAGCGACATCCTTGGAGTTCCCCTGGCCGAGATCCAGTCAGGTTCATCCCTGGTTGACCTAGGCGTGGACTCGCTCATGATCACGGAGATTGCCAGCGAGATCAATCAGCGATTTGATCTGACCATCTCCGTCAGCGTTCTTCAGGACCTGACTGACCTCCAGTCACTGTTACAGCGCCTACAGCCGATGCTGCCAGTGACAGCTCAACTGCCAGACGTCGACGATTCGGTCAGCTCAGGGCAGATCATTGATGACAGCATGGTCATGGTCAGCGCCGCATGGCTCTCCAACAATCGCGGGGCCTATGATCAGGTTGTTAAGGAGGCCGGACTCGACCAGTTTCGAGAGATCGTCTACCCCCTGCAAGCACAACTTGTTGTCGCCTATGTGACTGAGGCATTTGCCCTCCTTGGATGCGATCTCAGGACACTGTCCGCGGGTGATGTCCTCCCAAGAATCACCTACCTGCCGAAACACCAGAAGGTGATGAACCAGATATTTAATATTCTCGAAGATGCTGGCCTTGTCCTTCGACAGGATGGGGGCAATATCCAACGGACTTCTATCCCCCTCAGTACGGTCTCGTCCGAACAACTTCATGACAGAATTGTACGCGAATTTCCTCGGCATGTCTCGGAGCATCAGCTCCTACATACCACTGGCTCTCAGCTGGCCGATTGTCTTACTGGACGCGCTGACCCTTTGTCTTTGATCTTCCGAGACACCGCCACCAAACGGTTGCTTGAAGACGTGTACACCAACGCCCCCATGTTCAAAGCCGGTACCCTGTTCCTGGCTCGCTTTCTCGTCGATGCCTTCCAGCAGTTTGGGAACCAGCGGCCCATTCGGATCTTAGAGCTGGGAGCTGGCACTGGTAGCACCACCAGCTTCCTTCTTCAGCAACTCACCACCACCCAGCAGAGCTTTGAGTATATGTTCACCGACCTGTCGTCCTCTCTGGTGTCCGCAGCCAAGAAGAAATTTGGCCAGTACCCATTCATGAAGTATCGAGTTCTCGACATTGAGAAGGCCCCAGCAGCCGATCTCCTCGAGCAGTATGACCTGGTGATTTCCACCAACTGCATCCACGCCACGAGGAATTTGGTGCAGTCCTGCTCGAACATCCGTCGTATGCTACGTCCTGACGGTATTCTTTGCCTTCTTGAACTGACCCAGAACCTATTCTGGTTTGACCTTGTATTCGGGCTGCTAGAAGGCTGGTGGTTATTTAACGATGGTCGCCAGCATGCTCTGGCCAACGAGACCCTGTGGCAAGAACGCCTTTTGGACTCGGGCTACAACTGGATCACTTGGTCCGAAGGGCTGACAGAGGAGTCGAAGATTCTGCGAATGATTGTTGCATCTCCTACCAAGGGCGACTCTTTTGCACCGGAGACGCTTCCCATCCAGACAACGCTACCAACGCAGGAGACAGTGGCCTTCAAGCACACCGACTCTGCCACCCTGAAAGCAGACATCTACTACCCTTCGGGATTGCAGACGAGCAATAAGGCGCGACCGGTCGGTGAGAATCTCTCTTCCTGAAAGCTATAGGCGAGACATAAGCTCCTGACCTTTCACTCCTCTCTGTCTGATTTAGCGTTGATGATCCACGGTGGAGGTCACGTCATGCTCTCCCGAAAGGACGTCCGGCCTCAGCAAACGCAGCTCCTGTTGGATCTGGGCTTCATCCCCGTTAGCGTCGACTATCGGCTCTGTCCTGAGATGAACTTGCAAGAGGGTCCCATGGCCGACGTCCACGATGCTCTGCGTTGGGCGAGAACGTCATTGCCCTCACTGACTCTGCAGCGTCCTGACATCCAAATCCGTGGCGGCCGGGTCGTGGCCGTAGGCTGGTCCACCGGTGGTCACCTCGCCTTGAGCCTGGGCTGGACGGCTCCGAGTGCAGGGATTCGGCCCCCTGAAGCCATTCTGGCCTTCTATTGCCCCCTGGACTATGAGGATCCCTTCTGGTCGCGCCCGAACCTGCCGTACGGGGAATCCATGACGTCTGATTATGACCTGTGGGACGGCGTGGCGGATGCCCCCATCACAGGCTATAACCCTCCGCCCTCGGCCGTAGCGGCGGGCGGGTGGATGGCCAAGAGTGATGCGCGTTCACGCATTGCACTGCATATGAACTGGCAGGGTCAGACGCTGCCTATACTGATCCACGGGCTAAAACGAAACGAGAAGATCTTGAGCCATCACACGGAGGAACTACCTACTCCAACGCCGGCCCAGGTGCGGTCTATCAGCCCCTTGGCGCAGATTCGACAGGGAAGCTACCAGACCCCGACGTTTATTGTGCACCCCGATCGGGACGATCTGATTCCTTTGGAGCAGGCCCAGCGCACCCACAAGGCACTGATCCAGAGAGGGATTCCAGCGGAGTTGAGGATTGTTGAAGGGGCTGGCCATCTATTCGACATAAACCCCCGTTATGCGGACAATGCTGCGGCTCGCCAGGCAGTCGGTGATGGATTTCTCTTTCTGGCTTCTTGCGCTGGGCTCAGGTAGGTTTGCAGCAGGTCTTGCCGTCTTGTATACTGGTGAAGAGTTACATTGCGTAAATGAGATCCCTTCATCTTAAAGCTCGAAGTCGAAAATGCCATATTATGTGTCTGTTGGCGCAATATTTAGTTGTATTCATTTACCAGCAAATTAAATTATATTCCCACACTTGTTCAACTAATTGATCAAGTACCTACTATAGCAAAAACTTGTACCTTTAGAACATGACATGTATGCAGAAAAATACAAGATGATACAAAATTGGTACTCACATAGAGTCCATGGTGCTTTTTGAGACTGAATAGTAATCATTCATTTATACTCAGAGAATGTGGGTGGGATGAACCGTGGTCACTGCAGTCACTAAGTTTCTATGCCAGTTGTAGAAGCTTTGTATGCAGGGGTAAACAACAGGGCGATTTTGATTACTTGGATTGATGATTCCAGCTCTATTGTTTCAACTAAACTGTATAAAAAATGATGATTTCAAGATACAAGAACTTGTGTGGGAACATGCTTTTATGCTATGTGACTCTGGTGGGCTCATTATTTACCTAACGCGGTTGTACAGGAGAATTCTACACCAGTGGGAGTATACAGATGCCACCCGACCTGTAACCTGCACCGGAACAGAGCGGTACTCAACTTCCACCGGTGCAGGTTGCAGGTCGGATAGGTATTCGGATATTGGAATATGTCATCCACGTACCACACGCCGTCCCCTCGGACTCCTCGAAGACTCAACCTCACGTCTAACAGACAAATAACAAGAAAATCATCACTGAGCGAGGTAGGGGTGGAAATCTGAGGTTTCGTCGACCTTCCGAGTGGGATGATGGAAGAGTCTACGTGAATACCTATTTATTGATGCAAGCGAATTATACAACCATGTCACCTCGATAAAATATTTTATTGATTAGCGCTTTTCGATAGGCGCTTTAGTACATCAGTCCATGCGTGCGATGTTGGGGTGTCAACCCGGCATGCACTGTGTATCTGGATACACTCTGTTTGGCAAAGCGAGGGCATGAGAGTTGTTCAGGAAGCGCAAACGTAAGGCAGCTAGTGTAAGAAAGTTGATATTATAATATTATATGAGGCCGATAACAGATCACACTTGTCCAATTTTCCCAAACCACGAAAGATTTTAAATATGGACTTATTATTCTGCAAAAAAGTGATAAAAGTTTACCCCGCTACTTCAAATGTACACAATTTGAAGTTTCATTATTGGAAGAAATGAGGTTATCCGAAATAAAGGATAAAAAAAAAAAGAAGTGCCCCCACACAGGATTGAACTATGGACCTCTTGATTACAAGCTGATTTATTGTTAGTTATATCGCCAATGATATATAGTCGTGTACTAGGACTTACTCAAGCGCTCTACCACTGAGCTATAAGGGCTTCGATTGGTCCGTGTTGGAAAGCAAATTCAGTAATGACCGACAGCATTCATCACCGAGGATCCAGGGAACGTGCTTCGCCTGAGTCCCCCGACATACGCCTTACCGAATCAAATCTAAGCAAGATAACAACAGAATACAGACCTCTTCAAGTACCGTTTGATCTGCTGGGACGTGTCTTAATGAAAATATATCATTTCCAACCACGGGTATATCTCTGAATATTGAATATTGTCGTTGGAGCAACTTTCCTCGCCCAGATCTTCTGTTTATTTTATGTCGGAGCTCATAGAAATGAGTGATATTCAGCTTCGTAAATTCTTAATCAAACTGATTAACTATCTTGACTACTTTACATGGAGGTGCTTTCAGTAGTGTGGAAGGTCACTTACCAGGGGCCCAAGGCTACTTAATAAGCGGTAGCCTTGATATATTACATATACCGCCTCCCTTTGATTCAAGAGGATTGTGCCTCGCCAACACATATAGCTATCGTTAGAGTAATATAGCCATTTCTGCAGTATAGAACTAAGTTAAAGCTGGTTTAAAATATATTCGACCTCCTCGTCAGCCGCGTCCAGAATATGCTGCGCCGGATATCTCGGCTTCCACCCGATCTGTTGTCCTCGCTCGGGTGTGAACATGCAACTAGTGTGCCCATTAGTATCATTTCCAACGTCATTTACAGAAATAATCAACTTACTGCCCACCGATCTCCACCGGTACAAATTCCTTCGGACAATTCAACGCCTTCCCCATTTTCTCCAGTGCTGCATCGTCTGCCCGGGATACAATATCACTATCGACCATGTTGCGCTTGGCGAGTGCCTTCGCCATAGCACTGTACAGGTCATGCCATGTCACTGGCCCGGATGCTGCTAGGTAGTACCCATTTTTGCCGTAGCCGGGGTTCTGCTGGAGTAAGATATTCCGAAGGAGTTCGATGTAAAGCGCCGTGTTGTCTGAGATATGACAAACCGGCCATGCCTGCTTCGAGTCAGGGAGAGTTCAAATAGCAGTTTTGTGGGACATAGACATACTGCATATCCATCATCAACGCTATACACGCGTCGAACATATTTCGCGGCTCTCACAATGGCAGTTGTTTGAATTGAAATCATATTACCGAAGCCTTCCCCTCTGCCGTAGACCACGCTAGGCACGAAAATATAGCTCCGCACACCATTCGCCTCGGCATTATCAATAACTTCCAAATTTGTCTCAACAGCCTACGCGTCCCAGATCAGCATTTCTGATATATCCCGAATTCCCGATGGCATAAATCGAGCAAGAGCATACCGTCCTAAGAATCGGAACAGGTCCATATGACTCCTTCTGAATTTTATGGAGATTCCTATCCGTATCCAGCAAAGGTCTAACGGTGGGATGTCCCGTGTGACTGCTAAATAACTTTGCGCCGGATGTATGCAGAAAATGCACGTCTTTGCCTGTTTGTTTCTTTAACTCTCCGAGCCCTTGGATCATGATCTTCTGCACTTGTGAATGAAGAGCATCGATGAGGTAGTAAATAACTGTAATTTGGTGATTCAGGATGGCTTCCACGATGCTGGCTTTGTCGTTGAGATTGATTTGGATTGGTTCGGCATTGTAGAGCTCTTTCACGGACTTGGCTTGTTGTTCGGTGCGGACTAGGGCATATAGTTTGTTGTATGGGAGTTTCGCGGTCTTCAGGTTGGAGAGGAGGGTTCCACCTAGGTAGCCTGATGCGCCGGTTATCAGAATGTTGTGAGACATATTAAACGTTTTATGATCTGTATGTGTGTGTGCTGAGACAGACAAAATAGTTTAAATAGAATACACAATGTACTGGAGAAGTTACTATTAGTGATTTATATTGAGCAATATAGGCATATGATTGATAATCACTCCAAAGAAGCCTCATGCTTATAAATGCTTAGTATTCTTAAGTCTTATTTTTCTGATTTTCATATTTTAAATGAATCGAATAGGAAATTAACAATTATTAATGTAAACTCTATATGGAGTTGTCTTATAGTCCGCCCGGCTTGGCGGTCCGGGGTTTCGGATTATGACTCGGTAGACGTTGCCACTGGATACGACAGGATTATCTGAAAGAAGTTGGGCCCAGTGGCAACCGAGAAGGTTCTACAGAACTGGAGTAGCTGAAGACGAAAGAGAAAACAATGAAAGATGGACCGGGTGGAGTGATCGAGCCACGGAATGGTTCCATCGTATTGACATCCTTTGCCCTGGTTATAAGAAAAGCTACCCGGACAGTACAAACGTCATCTCCCAATTAGATGGACTCCGGAGAGGAAACTCGGGGCAACGACAACAAACGGAAAAACAAAGAGACTAGACTAGGTAACTAACTTTGGTTACGCATGATGATGTCAACGATTGCGCCGGGGCAGGATTCCGCCTTCAAAATAATCAATTAATTCAAACACCTACCATGCCTCCAAAAGCGCGTCAAAATTCAGGAAATTTAGTTAAACAGGAGGGTAGGATCTTATTAGCATTATCAGCTTTAAAAAAGAAAGAATTATGCAATATTCGCGAAGCTGCTTGGGTATATAATATTCCACGCTCAACATTGCATGACCGATTCAAAGGCAGTGTGTTTCGCCATGAATCATGTGCAAATAGTTATAAAATAACTCAAAATAAAGAGGAATCGCTTGTACAGTGGATATTATCCTTGGACTAATATAGAGCTGCTCCACGACTATCCCATGTCCAAGAAATGGCTAATATTCTTCTTGCTAAGCGTGGTACCACACCTATTCAAACTGTTGGTAATAAATAGGTATACAACTTTATTAAACAGCACAATAAGCTTAAATCAAGATATTCTAGGCACCACAATCACCAGCGTGCCAAATGTGAGGATCCTAAGATTCTTAAAAAGTGGTTTAAGCGCGTACAAATCACTATAATACAACATGGAATTGCATAAGAAGATATTTATAGTTTTAATAAAACTGGCTTTGCAATGGGCTTGGTAGCTACTGCTAAAGTAGTTACTAGAGCTAGTATGCATGGAAAGTTATTTCTTGTATAACTAGGTAATCAAGAATAGGTTACCTTTATTAAATATATTAGCTCTACTGGATGGGCACTTCCACCTTGTATTATCTTTAAGGGGAAAATCTATAAAGAAGCTGGTTTAGGGACTTGCCAGCTAGCTGGAGGATTAAAGTTAGTAGGAATAAATAGACTATAGATTAAATTAGCTTACACTGGCTTTAAAAACTTTTTATTCCTGTAATAGCAAGCCGTACTGTTGGGCAATATCGGCTGCTAATTCTTAATAGCCATGGAAGTTATTTAACTCCTTAATTTAATTAAATCTGCGGTAAAATAATATTATACTAATTTACATGCCAGTACACTTATTACATCTCCTTTAACTGCTTAATATTAGTTGTTTTGGGCTGTTGAAGCGCGCGTATGGAAAGCTGGTTAAAAATAAGGCACAGCATGGTTTTAACTATATTAACAAACTTAATTTTCTTGAGGCCTACCCCAAAGCCCGGACGGAGGCCTTAAAGGAGGAGAATATTAAGAGTGGCTTTTTATCAGCTGGTTTAGTGCCTTTTAATCTAGATAAAGTGCTTGAGCAGTTTAATATTTAACTCCGCACTCCTACACCTCCAGGGAGTCGATTAACTAATTCTGCACCCAAAACACCATACAATACAAAGCAATTGGATAAAGAGGTATTTATAATAAAAAAGCTGCTTGGAGAGCATATTAAAAGTCCTACCTCTGCTACAAGAATACAGTTGGACAAGCTTGCAAAAGGATATGCAAAAAACCTATATAAAATAGCTTTTCTTCTTAAAGAAAATCAGGATTTACAGACTGGAAATAAAAAGAGGCATCGAAAAAAAAAGCTACCTAAGAGACAGATAAATTCTACAGAAGGATTTTCTACAAAGGAGGCACAGGAGTATGTTCAGCATCAAAATAAGGTTTAAGAAGCTTAAGATACTATACCAGTAAAAGAAGGGCTATCTACAGTTAAGTGACGTGTACGGGCACCACCACGCTGCAGTGATTATAATATTCTGGGGCATAAAAGGACTCATTGTCCTAATCAAATTAGTAATTAGCTTTTATGTAGAAATGCAAATTTTTGAGTGTTTTGAGTGGCTTCCTTTTGACGGATCGGAAGAGGTGTCCGGCTCGTTTACCGGTTATGTTATCTCTTTCATGTACGGAAAATCAATGAAGTCATTCATTCATTCATTTCATTCCTGGTCGATCGGCGGGTATGTACGTACTCCGATTGTTATAGCCAAGCTCAGGATCTTAACAATTCCACTGAAACAAAAGACCACTATATCTGATCCCAATGGGATCAGATATTCCTGAGCACCTTATATAGTAGCACACTGTAATGTAAGGTGACGCACTCACACCTAATTTTTCTACACCTTTAGAGAGTTGAGCACCTAAGAGACTGTCGACCATAAAATATACGCGTATTCGAAAGTATCCATCCTCCATAGAAAATTAGATCTCTGATTCAACTAAACTACCAAAACATCTCGTGCTTATAAAGGCGAGGTACTCTGTAACAAACGAAGAATGTAAACTAACTAATATAGGAATTATAGGCGATCTGATGATGTTGTATCATCAACAATATTTGACCGAGAAAGGTACTGAATAATCCATAGTACCATAGTTAACTAACTGTCGACAGAGACTTAGGTAGAGCACCGAAGAGGTCGAACACCTTAGATAGGAATGCAAAAGACTCAGTTGGTTGGGATGTTGTGTTTTCTGGTGTTCCACAGATACTATCTGCTTCCTAGTTAGGCTGAGGCTCGGCCTGTAGCTGATCTATAGCACGCTGCGTATCCCTTGCCCTGAATTCCACAACAACTTCACTACATAATCCGGCATTATGTTTAGATATAATGTTTGTTACAATTACATAAGTAAACGGTGTATTCTATACTGGATGTATGACCTAAAGCTTACACTGCTGCGTAGCCTTTTAATCTTGCGATACATGGATTTTCCTAGTCGCTAACTCTCCCTCTGACTTGCTACCTTGTTAGTATCCTTTCTCTGTTCCAAGGAAAGTTCATACGCGGACCGCCTCTATGCCGAAGCTAGCTGAGTATCGGTTTGCTTCGGCGCTGATCCACAGCGCTGTCCACAGCGGGGTTAGATAATGGATCACATATTGACCACGATTTCTTTATCCTGCTCTCACGAGAAAATTCCCTAGCTTCCAGACAAACTATCTCTCTCGGTTCGCTTGGCAGATAATTTGATATTGTTCCAATAATAATACAGTGCTGATCTGGACTGAGCTAGCGGTTCCTGGTAAAAACGTATGCAGTATATAGAGTTCACAGGGCCCATGGTGCCTTTTGCAGCAGAGCATTATTTTCATGTGGGAATTGCCACTGCCTAACCTCTAGGGAGCTATGCAGAGGCTAAACCGCTGCGCCGGGAGCAAAAGACTGGTATTCTAGGACGCCACTCCTAGTGTCGCTCTCTCTTATATAGAGGTTGCCAGTACCATCACAGGAGTCGCTACACCCAACCCACAGGCTCTTGCCATACCCCATCATACCTGGTTTGGTTTAGCATATCGAAAAACAGTCTAGTGCAATTTGCAAACATGTGATATATAAACGGCTGCCTTAGGCCATCACTATAGTGGACCCAATGCAGCCAATCAATTCATACTTACCAAGCTCCATACGGTCAACTGCTTAAGTCGAGGTCCTTGGCAACAAAATCTCTACTTTGTCAAATATAGACTACATTAATTCGCATCAGACAACCAACCATCCAACCAACCATATGCAAAGTCCGAAGGGAATAATAAGGGAACTCATTAACTTCCGAACCTTATGCCGGGCTGGTTACTGTTAATAAACATCAATTCTCCCAAGTCCACTACTTGTTTGAATTTTCATCAAGTATTATTTAATTACAGGTTTTCCTGAAATATAGAGCCTCGACTTCATGCAAGGTCCCAGAATCAACGATGACGCTCAGCCGTATGCAAACATGGCTGGGAAGCTGGACTCCAAACTCCTTCAAGCCCTCAGTGTGATGGGGTTTACGTTTATGACGCCCGTCCAGCACCGTGTTTTAACTGAACTTCCAAATTGGCGCAGTGACTGCCTTGTCCAGGCCAAAACTGGTACTGGCAAAACCCTTGCCTTTCTGCTGCCTGCATTGCACTGCCTACTCCAAGGTCGTTTGGCGCCACCAAGAGGTCAGGTCGCCATCTTGATCATCACCCCAACGCGAGAGCTTGCCCAGCAGATTGCAAAGTCATGTGATCAACTAACATCGCAGCTTGCGACGCCTGTGAAGTGTGACATTGCAGTTGGTGGAACGGCTCGAGCATCAGCTCTTTCGCGCTTCATGAAGGGGGCTCCGTCCGTTCTTGTTGCAACCCCGGGACGACTAAAAGACTACCTCTCCGAAGCCTCAACGGCCCAGAAGCTGTCTAACATCCAAACACTGGTTTTGGACGAAGCCGACACGATGCTCGAGAGCGGCTTTCTAGCTGATGTGAAGCAAATCCTCCAGCTCATTCCACCAAAGAGCGCTGGCTGGCAAGGCATGTGCTTCTCAGCCACTGTTCCACCCAAAGTCAAGGATATGGTCAGTGTTGTGTTAAGGCCAGGCTACAGTAGCATTTCGACCATTGAAAAGAGTGAAGCACCAACGCATGAGAGAGTACCCCAGTACCACATGCTGATGCCTTCTGTGGCGGATACCTTCACCACACTAGTCTCCCTTCTCGAGCTTGAAATCAAGGGCAGCTCTAAAATCATTGTCTTCGGTGTCACTGCAAACATGGTTGCTCTTTTTGCAGGAGTCTTTTCTCGGGGCTTGACTCCTTTGAAGGTGTTTGAGATCCATTCCAGGCTCAGCCAGAGCGCTCGCACAAAAACCACGGCTCAATTCAAGGAGGCGGCTGCCGGAATCCTGTTCGCCTCGGATGTTATTGGTCGTGGCATGGATTTCCCCAATGTCGACTTGGTTATCCAGGTCGGTTTGCCATCGAATGGCGAACAGTACGTTCATCGTGTCGGTCGTACAGCCCGCGCTGGGAATGATGGCCGCGCTATCATCCTTCTCACGCAAGCAGAGTCTTTCTTTGTGAAGAACAATCGCCACTTGCCCATCAAGCCCCACCCCCAGACCAACGTGATCATTGCGGGTGCTTCCGCATGCGCCGCTGTTGTCACTCAGGCCATGTATAGCATTGACAAAGAGACAAAGCAACGTGCTTACTCGTCTTTCATTGGTTTCCTTGCTGGATCGGGTCTTCTGAAGCAACTTCGTCTCGATAAGCCTGGTCTTGTTCAACTCGCAAACGAGATGGCTATGAAAGGCATGCATGCCCTGAACCTCCACCAATGGACAAGAAGATCGTTGGCAAGATGGGCTTGAAGGGCGTTCCTGGATTCAACTATGGCAGTGGAAATGACTTGATTGGAGACAGTTCTGTGAGACCGCGCGGTCGTGCTAAGGGCAAGATTCGGGATGTGCTAAGCCCCGGAGCTAGTCAAGGAGACCGGGGAGGTGGGGTCGAGAAGAAACGGGGAGGTAAACGTGGAGGAGGCCGTGGAGGAAAGCAGAGAGCAGCATAACTCCTTTAAGAGCATAGCACATGGCCCCAATCGTGTTAAATTATGTGTTTGGTTGGGATATGTGAAGTTTCCAGAATATATAAGGTACAATATCTTGCTGATAGTATTAACACTGCACACATACCAACAAATTTGGGATGCGGCTGAGCGTGGAGAAAAGTAAATCCTTTTTTAATGCTGGTTGTAACAAAGGTTGAAAGATGGGGAAACCGTTTCCTTTGACTTCTTCGGTACCTTGTTTATACCCTTCAGTCCATTAACAGCCATCTGGGCACTGCGAACACTATAATCCAAGCTGAACACTGTGTCATGAGTAATTTCTACAAACTGACCAGCATAGGCTGGGAACCACTGGAATTTGAGGGTGACTCCGTTATTAAAACCTCCCTTGTCAAATGTCTCAGATTGATAGATTGCGGAGCCCACGAAGATTAGGGGCGTATGAAGCTGGCCCGCCGCACTAGAAAAGCTCCGCTAGGCGCATTATGCCGGCCAACCGGCTAAAGAGTAGACATGTAAAGCATTTGTAAAAAATCTGGAACCGCAGTGGACGACATAAACGAACTCACGCTGGCTGACACGGCCGCCACTGGCACACGAAGGCCTGTTAATTGGCTCCCCAGTAGATCTGCTTACTTTCACTGCCCTGACTACGCTGCGAATTTTCCATGTTCCCCTCTGCAGATACCTGCCGAGCTGCTTGGAAATGCTGGAGATTTACTATGATGACGATGGCTATATTGATTTCTTAGAAGAATATAGTGATGAACCAACTACTACGCGGTGGTTAGTGGAGTTGATTTGCCAGAAAGTGGATCATTTACCTAGAATGTCAAGAGTGACAACCTATTCGTCGGAGAGCATTGATGATGTGGATGGAAATGAAGTACACCCAGGTGTTTGGGCGCTGCCTCCGCTGGCGCAGCAATGCGAGAATACTTGAGTAGAATGTAAGGAGTATGATATCTTGCTGGGAAGGAAGTAGATGTTTAATCGCATATATTATTCTCGTCTTCTCCCTTTGATATACACGACTAGCTCCTAGAAGCTAAGAATCTATTAAGTATAGGACTTCTTCACCAATTTACCCGAGGGCCCAAAGTCATGATACCTTTGGCTGATCCAGCGCTTTTGCAAATAATTTCCTTCTTATGTTTATTAAGAGAATTTTCATTGAACTAAAAATGTATGGTACGTGCTAAAGAATAAACTACTAAGCTTCCTCTTTACTAGCGGATACGAAAAATTGCCTCTTTAGGATGAGATTCGCCACGATTCTATACGAGAACTCGTAACCTCGTACATCCAGCTTCTACCTGTAAAAAAAAGAAACTGTTAGATTCTCCAGTGCAGTCTGGAGCAGGTATAAATGTAGAGCTTGCTGTTCGACTCTTTTCAACTTCATTCGTACCGGATTAGAGCATTTCATTCAAGCTCAACATTGCACCTGCTCTCAGTTGTCAATTCTTTTAGCTAAATAGATTATCAGACCCTGTTAATTGTCTCCTATCTTGATTGTGAAAACGATATGCGTCAGCTGTCATCCTTTCTCTTTTCCTTATTTACCCTTGTGTCCTTAAAAGGAGCACTGGCTTCTCTGGACGCCTTCCCAAAAATTAACCTGGAATATGCTGTCCATGCTGCAACCTACACCAATTCCTCTCCGTCAGGGTTGGAGGTCGCAACCTACGCAAATATCCGTTATGCGCAACCACCAATTGGTAATCTACGTTTTCGGAACGCAAAGACTCCTCCGCCGCATCACGATGGCATCCTCAATGGGAGGGAATATCCCGTGACCGACTGCGTCAGCAGTGTTCCAGCCATGGTCCCATTCCCTCCGTTAAATGGCACACACTGGGGCCAAGAGGACTGCCTTTTCCTGAACGTCCTAGTCCCTGAAGGGGTCAAGGAGGGAGACAAAGTGCCGGTCCTTCATTGGCTCCATGGTGGTGCATTTACTTTCGGTAGCAAAGATAACAAAGGAGCATTCCCAGCTGGAGAGAAGGATATGACATACACCAGCCCGCCGTACATGGGGCTGTTCAACCAAATTAACAGCCACGATGAGAAATTCATTCTCGTAGCGAGTAATTACCGGTATGTGACCTAATATAGTAGCTAAGAATGGTGACTTGCTAAGTATTTCTGCCTTTTGGGCATTAGCCTGGGCGTGTATGGATGGGTCTCGTCCCCGTTTGAGAAAGACTTGGATTCCAATATCGGTCTCCATGACAGCAGGACGTCGTTGGAGTGGACTAAGAAATACATCTCTCGGTTTGGAGGGGATCCTGATCGGATTACAGCCATGGGGGAGAGCGCAGGTGCAACGCTGGTAACGCTCCTCCTGACTGGCGACGGGGGGGCTGGCGAATTGCCCTTTTCACAAGTATGTCCTCCACCTTAGCTGTCTGATGCTTCATTGTAGTAGGACGTGACCGACTAATTTTTAGGCGATTATATCCTCTCCTACGCTCATGCCCCGCAGAAATGTGACAGCTCGGAGACAGAGTCTGTACGATTATGTGCTTCACCAAGCGAACTGCTCCTCGCCTGCATGTCTGCGAAATCTCTCGCCTGCCTCTCTCGCCAATGTCAACAACCATATCATCAGCGACGTACCCACCGAGTCAGGTGGAGGGTCATTTGGCCCCGGTATTGGCTTGTCCCCGGTTGTGGATGGAGCCTATATCCCCGACACAGCTACTATCCTCTTTTCACAAGGTCGATTTCACAAGTCAGTTCGAGGGGTGATGGTCGCCAACATGGAAAATGAAGGAATGGGTATTGGCTCAGACGCAAACATGCCGGCAGCATTTCCCAACTTGGCTCGGAAAGTATTCACTACTGCCGATAATAAGACTCTGGGTCACATCCAGTCCCTCTTTCCCTATCCGCCTTCAACGCCACAGAAGCTGGGCTGGGATTGGCTGACCTCCGTCGCTTATGCTTGTCTTGCGAAAGGCACGGCGGAGGCATATGGCGAGCGCGCCTTCCGCTATGTGATGACCATTCCCCCGGCTACTCATGGACAGGATCTATCATGTAAGTATTGTGCTAATCGATGTCCTAACCGTCTTCGACAGTGCGAGGAGACGACACATGTCCTCATAAGTTATGGCTGATTTATCCAAACAGATCTATTCTACGGCACTGAAAAGTCTCCAGCTGTTGCCAATGCAACAATCGCCCGCACTCTAGAACACTACGTCCTTAACTTCCTTCACCACGGGGGCCGGGATCATGGCGCTCTGCCTGGGCGTCCGGGTCTACCAGATTGGAAATCTTATGGAAAAGGAGCAAACACGATGAATATCTCGGAGGCTACATTCGAGATGGTTCCGGATCCTTGGCAGGTGAATGGGGTATGTGCTGAATTGCTGAAGGTTGTGGAAGATCCGAAGAATGGAGCTTGAATATTTCTACGATACTGGAAAGGAAAATTGCAGGTTTCGGTGAGTCCTTTGGTGACACTAATATTCCTATTCCTGGTTTAGGGGGGAACACAATACGAGGGGTGGGGGGTATAATTAGGAATTTCGTCCAGGCATCGCCTATTATTTGGAGCTGCCGCATAGCTGTCTTGAGCCTTCTGTACCTGATCATTATGCAAGATTAAACAATCAATATTTTAAAGACCATCAATTAAAGTGCAAAGAATGACCGCCCGCCTTGGGAGTGTCTCTCCACGATCATTGCAGATCTGTCTCATGATCTCCTCGCGGAGCACCGGATCAGAGGCCTTTGCAAACTTCTGCTGGTTTCCAAGCGTGTCCAGAGGCTTGCTGGGCCAATCCTTTACAGAGGAATCCACAACGACGGCAACTATATCAGCACAAGTGGGGACGAGCTAAAGGTCGACAGGAGGTCACCACTCCCCTGCCGATCGATATTAAGTCGCCCTGATTTAGCTACCTACTAGAGAAAAAATGAGAAGCAAATTTTACCACAACAAAGCAAGAGAGCACTGGCAGTTGAAAGTCAAACTCAACGAGGTAAGTCAAGCTCTTATGCAGGGCCTTCTGATCTTTCAGTTGCGGAACCTGGTGTCGTTGACTCTTAGCGTCCACTCGGGGCTGTTTGGGCATCTCACAATGTTTCTTCGACTTCCGGCCTTCAAAGGCTTGAGATTCATCGTTGATATGGGAAATTTTGCTTCATGGTGGGATGATGCCTAAGAGAAACCAGACGATATTCTCGAAAATATTCTTATGGGTACGGAAAATATCCGCAAGTTGCAGTTTGAAGATTATCGAAATTCTTTTTTCCCCACGAGGTTCAACGCATCCAAGTTGAAGAATATCCTGGATCGCCATGTTACTAGAACGGCCAGGCAAGTGTCCATCGATCATCGACAAGAGGGATTGGCGTCTACCTCAAGAGTATACCATCATTGACGGCGCATTCGGATCCACGACGAATTACAACCAGCTCGAACAGCTCTCGAATCAGCTCAAGTTGTTGCTGGGAAAGCCTTCGCAGAACCCGAATTGTCTCCAGATGTGTTGCCGAATCAGTTACGATATCTGAATCTGACGTGCCTTAGTCTCGCGAAATCTGACGATCGAAACTATTAGGAGTGTGAGGATTAGGAGGTATAGTTCGAAATGCTGGCGCAAGCCGCCAAAGACGGGGCGAGGTTTCCAGCGTTGACTCAGGTGAATATGGATGTATATCGCAAGGGTGAATTTCGGAAACTCGACAGGCATACCGCAACTTCGGGGCGATATACGAACGGGATCTCGGACGATAGTGAGATTGACTTTGTATGGTATTAATCTATTCAGTTCGGATTCTCTACCATAATGAAGCCTACTTTCTTGACCGTATACCATGGACTTGGCCAATAAACGTAGGATAGGAGTAGCTTCAATTCTGCTGACCTGTAGAACTGTCACACTGGCCGAAAGTCTTTAAAGTTTTTAAAAGACATGTACAAGAAAGTCTGGTATAGTAAACCCCTTCCTGTCCCCCATGGAGTCTCAGGTGCTAGGTCACGGCACACTGGATATAAGACATATCGATTGGCAAAAAATCTCCATCTATTTCCAGCAATAAAATTTAAGAATTACTTCCCTCTACCAGACCAGACGTCCTTATTTGTTCCACAGATGTTAAACTAAACAAGTGGGCAATCCTCACCGATAATAATTCCACACTCGAATATAGTCTACCTCCAGCTGTACACTCTCACCACCAACAGTGGTCGCGTTGGGCTGACCTGGCCAATCTCCACCCACTGCCACATTAAGCAGTATGAAATGGCCTTTGTGTGCAATATTCTCCCAGGTCGTCGAGCTGTTTATCCTAGCTGCTGGAATCTGAAAAACCTGCTGCCCATCAAGATACCACTTCAACTCTCCCATACCACACTCCTGCACTTCGATCAACCTCAAATCCAACAGTATGCCATTGGCCACCAGTCCATCACTCCACCATTCCAGTCCGGTATATTCATTGCATGGCCCCCAGGCGCAACCCCCAATGAAGTGATTGTATACTTTGGTAAGCCATTGACCACTTCCATAAGGTCCCATTCTGAAGCAGCGGGCCAGGCGGTATAATTGGAGCGGAAATCAACCCCAAGAGCCCAGAATGCAGGCCAAATCCCCTGTTGCTTGTAAGTAGGAGCCGAGCCCGTCTTCAAACGACCCTCGATGTAAAGTCGGCCACCGGGCGTAGCAGCGAAATCGGTGCGTTGGGTCTCAATGCGCGAAGATGTCCAAGTACGGTTAGATGATACTCGTGGAGTGATGGTCAGGGTATCGTCTCGTGTCACGCGGATATTGGCTGGCGACGTTGTGTATGTCTCAACTTCATGCGTTCCCCAATTCGGTGCACCACCAGGATAGGAGGTTCCGACGTCGAAAATCCAGTTCTCAGATGACGGTAGATAATGGCCCGGTCTGTGCTTGAATTCTTCATGCCATGTTAACTGATAGCTATCAAGAATTGAGGGAGGAATCGAAAGTTTTGGTAGCACAGAACTGTGCTCCCCTCCGTCGCGGCGGGGGTTGTGGTGGTGATGGAGGGCCCCTTTTGCAGCTTCTGCAGAACCCAGAAATAAACACAGGGAAGTAATGAATGAATGCATGCTGAAGAGTGCCGCAGAAAAATGAGACATGAAATAAAAAGAAGGGCAGAAGGAGTGACGAAAGAGACAACAGACAACAACGGCGAAAAAAGGCCATGCACACACAGCCCTGAGGGCCTCGTGTTCTTCCCGCTTATATAGATCATCGGGACTCGTAAGCTTAATTCAGATTTATCAACAACACGGCCTGTTTTGTCGCTCCGCTGCCCCTGACACTAGGCTAGGTCGGTCGATAATTGTACCCGTCTCGAAAAACCTTAATTGTGTCTTCGAAGGTCCCCACGCCATTACTCTCGGCTGTTTCAAAGATCCAGACCTGCAACGGATCAACAGTCCTTGTCTATTCAACACCCGAACGCGAGGAATGACTCGCGCGACAGAGTTATTAATGTGACTGTCTTCAAAGAATCATTCGGTTATCTGTTCGTAGTGTAGTGGATGAGGGGAATACATAGCGCACCACTGCAATTCAGTGTTCAATCGGCCGACTATTTATAAATTTCTGAATCGCCATACAGCTATTTATAAACAGTCAGAATACTATTAAACTGTATTTAAATCATTATTAGCTGTATATAACTATTTTGTATTATTTACGGTAGCATATTATTAATATTGTATAAATCCTAAGATGATGTCTGTATTAAAATATGCTAGTAATAGCTTCAGCGCAGTAAGATTCACGAATTGTGCTAGTCCAGATGTTACTGTGGTATGTATGGTACTGAATATTAGATGGCATGGCATAAATTTCGGACTCAGTCGTGCCCATTACTTGGTGGAGCTTTATACTTGTATCACTGGGAGGCCCGGAAATGCAGAAACTAAATAGCAGCACCTGAAATCTCTGAGACAGGTAATATATACATTAGCTGGTATATTGGTGGCGTCACGCAGTCAAGAGGGTGTTTGTATGGTTTGGCCGCAACAAGTCACCTGTCGCTGCGGCCTCAGGCCCAACACGTTAGAAAGTAGCGTCAGAGAGGGCCCCGTCCGCGCTCCCCTATACGGAGGCAGTCTGTATATTGAAGTGTCTCTATAATCTATATACAGAAGGGGTGCGGAGGGAAAACCGAGTCTTGACAGCGTTAGAGGAGATGAGCTACTTGCAGAGGCGCGCAATTGACTCCCGTGAGGCAGTTGCAGGAACGAAGAACCCCAGTAAGAGGCCTCTGGGACCAGAAGCCAAGTCCGCAGTGTGTTAGGGACCTACCGTATTCGGTATGGTCACGTGGCTTCACTTAGTCACCCATCTAGATAGTTAGTCATCTCGCCCGAGCCCCTGGAATTGAAGACGGGACAGAATTGTGCCTCGCAAACATAGTGTGGTCATCATGTGAGATAACCCAATCAAACTTCCAGTTAATTCCCTCACAATATCCCATGTTACGCCATGGATGGTTTTCAGTGTTTCTTTATGTTCCAGCTATGTATTTTACTGGAATATAAATTGCATTAATATCGATACAAACCGAAGCTAGAGGGATTTGTTTCAGATGCCGCCGCCATATACGTAGGCACTTTTTAGCAACAGAATATATATATTTGTATGGTATCAGACCGCTATTCCCTTGTTGCATGTCAATATGTTTATTATAGCATGTTTCTTCGTTTTTTACCCTGTCTCTCTTTTGCATATTCCTTTTATGACTGGCAGACCTTTAACAGGATCCTCACTGTCAAAATTTGACATAATTACTCCCCACCCGCGGTCGGGATGAAGTCGGTATAGAGTGGGCCATACCAAAGCCCAGCCTAAGGAAAGCTAAGGCAACTTAGTTGAAACAGGTTCAGTTTTGTGTCTGTGTAGGACTTGATACTTCGACTATGAAAAGTTCTTGCCATGAATTACTACATAGACAAAGTCATCATTAATTCATAAATAATTCAAGTCACAACTCCTCCCATTTATTTAGAAAATTACAACAAAATTTGTAAATCACTTATTTTTCACCTTTATTCTTTAATGTAACGTTGTATTGTAAGATATATCTGAATCTGAAGCAATGTCGACACGACCACTATGATTCAGTGGAAAGGGTGCAGAAGAACACTATTACAGCTACATGCACGTACAGTGGCGTTTCATTAGTTTTGACCCAGTCCCTGACCGCTTTTCTTTACCGCCTTTACTGCCTACCCTAACTATGCGCGACTTGACCGGCAGAGTCGATTATCTAGGTAGACGGTTTATGTAGGCAGAAAGGGACCGGGTCAAAACTAATGAAACGCCACTGTAGCCCACTAAGGACTGTTCTGATAGTGTTACGGAAACACTATAATCCGCCCGACTTGGCGGTGCGGAAGTATCTGATGATCCCTTCTACCCCTCAATCCTTTAGTTCAGCACCCAGATAGGAATGCTGAGGTACTGTGATTCCTGGAGTTTCCACCGAATGACATCTACCTCCTATTTCGGCTAAAGGTTGGCCTGTAGCTGATAGAATAGCTCCCTGCGCATCACTTCCCCTGACTTCCACAACAGATAGTATCTATATTGCTTCGATTACTATCTGATGAATGCACTCATGAACGCACTCTCTATCTATTGATAGGGGCAGATCCTCAGGGGAAATACCCCGCATGCCCAGGCGCTAGGCGCTCGGCTTCTATATTTCCATATCAGAATCCAACAAGAGGAATCATATCTTAGCGACTTGCATTCCATGTCGTTCTGTATAGTGCCAGAAGCATTCACACCTGCGATAGCAGATAGAGCAGCCACACATATAGGCTTTATGTACATTCATGGGGTAGGACTGCCATAAAGAATTTGATATCAAGCATTGTTTCCTGCATGCGTTAAAGTCTCATAAGCAACAAACAGCCCATTATTTCCTGCAGGTCGCTGTTTAGCAGTCAGATTTTCAGTCTCAGGCATATCGATACCCATCCTAAACGACAGACCGTTGAACCCAACCTCTGTAACCGGACCTAAGTTTAATTTCAGCTTTCCCCCGCAGACCCAGGAGGGAACTGTATCCCCACTGACCAACTGTGAATGGAACTCTAGTCCATAGCGCAGTCGTGTTCCCACGTTGGTCTCGTAGAGGTCAGTACCCTGAATACGAGAGGTCTCAGCGACATGTGCCATAGATGCAAAAGAGTATCCAGTGTGCTCGAGGTCACGACATGTCTCCTGTGCCTGGCCATCTTCCTTGAAAATGGATTGACCGAACCACCAATCTATGATTGCCTCTGGGGAGGAGCTTTGTCCCCGAGCTGCGACTGGATATTTTCCGTCGCTGGTCATGTAGACCGTGGCGGGGACTCGTTGCAAGAACCATTTCATGGCGGTGTTATACGCGTCGGGATCTTCGAGGAAGACTGCCATCATTATGGCTGCTTCGGTCATCACTATGGTAAAGACCGTATTAACAACCTGCTGTTTCGTTCGCTCCTGTGCCGGGCGAAAGCCTACCTAACTCCCAATTCGCTACATTGTGATCCGTTCCATTGACCGTCAAGGGCATATACACATTGCGCAACATGGATTCGAAGCGACGAATGTCAGCCAAAGCCCACCCAGCATCTGTATATCGGATGATCTCGCCTGCTCGTGCCCAGACAGAACCAACCCATCCCGACTGCAGTGGCGCATTGGTGTTGTTGTGGCCCTTAATAGTGGATGAGTAAGTATTCATAATCCGAATCGCCCGTTCTGCGTAGTCCTCGGAGCCACTGATTGCCCATGCAAGAGCATTTCCGTACGCTGCTAACGAATCATGGCGTTCGGCGGTGCATCCAACATCTGGTTTGGAGTAGGGACCACACTCGACGATCTCATGCGGAGATGGGTCCGTTGGAGGCGACATGAACTTGTCCCTAAGAAGGGCGTCGTATGCTTCTGCCCAGGGCTGTTCGGTGTTCTTTACCTTCTGTCTAATAAAGTCCAGTTGAGACAGGCTGATCATGGCTCCGGGATGGACCCATTTTGGAGGCGCCAAATCGGTAGTTGAGGGTGCAGTGGCCCCGTATCCCGTGGGGATTATACTGGCGAGAACGAGTGCAAGGACTTTGTTGAGAAGCATGAGGCTGGACGACGGACAGGCGGAAGACTACACACTAAGAAATAACTCTACCTATCGAGATGGACGTTCCAGGAATTTATCAGTCGCTATGTTTGTCCCACTTCAGATTTCTTCTGCCGCTAAAGTGCACAGATATAGACACGGGGTTTGAGCAAATGCGGGGATGCGGGGGATTAATTCTCCACACTAATTGAGCTCTAAGAGAATTTCGGATAAATAACCCGACCGAGTAGCCCACATTTCCTCAGGCTGAGCAAGAAGACGGTGACATGACTCTTGGTTCTGTCTTGACAGAAGCTCTATCATAGGTAAGGAGTATATACTATCTATACTGTTGTATAGAGGGTGGGGTACATGGTTGAGCAGGATAATTATATGGTGGAATATTTTGGTACCCCTTACAGCGAGATGTCCACTGGATACCAAATTAGAGAATATTATTCTGGATTTTTAAGAGAGCCATTAGCTTTATATGTGCTTGGAAGATAGATATCAAGGCAGCGCCAGGCACTCTGCAACAAACAGTAGGCAAAGAACACAGGGAGATCGGGCGTACTACAAAATACATATGATATAACTTCAGTGGATATCAATTTATTATAGTCATTAACATACTATGGTTATGCATGCTATAGAACTATAAATCCTTCTCCTGGATTACCCTGACAGTAGTTAACTGAGGCAGCCGCTATTATAAGCCATTTGTGACATAGGACTTCTTCAAGATAGTGTAGACTGTAGCGAATAAGATTCCTAGATAACAGCCTGGTATGTGATGCAAGGTGTTCACATTAGAACCGGATAGTTGGGAAAAAGTGGTGAATCTCTTCTGTGGGGCGAAATGGTCCGTCTGCCTATCACGACTCCTGTCCCAAAAACGGGAGCCCTATACCAATTCGCACCCATCGCAACACTTACCCGTCTGGGACAAGCTGAGAAGTGGATTATCTCAACCACCACGAAACGAAATGGTACTCCCGAGGTAGTAGTCACAAATACTCATCCTGAAGACGTTGAGATACCATCACATGCCTACCACGTGGTTAGCAATGCGGACTATAAATAAAGCCTATTCTGTACTCTAGAAATGCCACACCACCCGCAAGGGAATTGAACCAAAACAAACATGTCTACTTCTTTGCGCAATCCCAAAGACTCGATGAAGTCCACCTGGAATCAACAGGATCGGGGCCAGTGGACCACGGCGCACTGGATGCTCAAGTTGCTGGGCCTTGACTCTCCCTCCTCGGATAAGGACAAGAGTACTCCCGTTCATGAGAAGTCAGACAAGGTACCATATGCTCCAGAATTGCAGTTCCATATATGGGTTCTTATCCACGCCTTGGTTCCGCTTTCGATTCACTATGCCTATATCGCCTACTTTGGTCGGAATATGTCTGCGTTCGGCGCCTTTTTCTTCTACAGCTTCGCCTTTAAGGCAATTGCCATCCACCAGCTCCATGTTCTTCGCCGTCTGGGCAACGTATACGGTTTCTTTGACGGTGACAAGCACGAGCGGGACGGTGTTCCTGATATTGGGGTTAGGAAAGTTGTCAACTCCCTTCTTTCTGTTGCCACATTTCGCCCGATGATGACAGTATTTGTGGCTTATCAGATTAATGAAGGCCCGACAACAATCAACTGGCTATGGCTACCACTCACAATTGGCATATACGGCCTGATTCTTGATTTTTGGTTTTACTGGTATCACCGTATTATGCACGATACAGATAGTCTCTGGCAGTATCACCGAACCCACCATCTGACCAAGCACCCAAATCCCTTGCTGACGATATACGCGGACTCGGTACAAGAAGTGTTCGATATTGTTGGAATTCCAATGATGGCATACATCAGCATGAAGCTCGTAGGCTTTCCTTTCAGCTTCTACGATTGGTGGATCAGCCAGCAGTACGTTGTTTTCACGGAGATTCTAGGTCACAGCGGCCTCCGTATGGAGGCCACTTCTGTATCAACCCTGAACTGGCTGTGGAGGTTCCTAGATGCAGAGCTTGTTATCGAGGACCATGATCTTCACCACCGCAAAGGTTGGAGGAAGAGCCATAATTATGGCAAGCAGACTCGGGTTTGGGACCGGCTTTTTGGAACCTGTCACCCTCGTATCGAGGGCCATAAAGACAACATTGACTATGTCAACACGGTGACTCTCCCGCTCATTTGACAGCGGAAATTGAATTACTTTATGAGTCTACGGACTACTAGAATTAGCGAAGAAACTAGTTTTCATTAGGGAATTAAGTAATCAAAGTTGTCTTACTCTATATTACTCTATAGTGTAGCTGTAGCGTCGGGTATTGCAGTCGCCTGGCTAGTGATGTAAGGACCAGAGATTTATATACTGGGTCTAAAACTGGGTCTAAATAATCTTCAAACTTACACCGGATTATTAATCTAAATGTAAATATTATGTGGTGCACGCCTAAGTTAATGTACGCCTAAGTTAATGTGATGAGAAATCAGTTTCACATTAAGTTTTATCCTGCATCTCTGGAAGGTTCGTTTTGTGACGGTTAAATTTCCTATGCCCTAATGCCTTTTGATATCTACAGCATCCTCTACTCTTGCCCTCTATTAGCGCGGTATTTAGAAATACATAGCTCCAGTATAGAAAAACACCAGCAGAATTAAGCCGTCCTATTAAACTTTATTAACGCTATTAGATTACATTTGGTATGCACAAACATTTCGTCCAGAGAGAAATAATAAGTAGAAAATAATTTAGTACTTAGACAAGCAAATACACATCATCGCCATGAAAGCGATTGGCTTGGTAGAACCAGGCAAGACGATCCTTTGTGTTTCTGCTGTTTTGTAATTTACGTTTTTAACTGTTAGTTTAATTCTAATATCTTTGGAGATCCAATGGTAGCATCCAGAGTAACCTGACGTATCTATCCCCAAGGTCCCTAATACTGAAGAATCCTCATAAGCTTTGGTCAAAACTAGGTCAAGGTTATTTTAGACTGCTGTCCTCCACCCTGTCCACTTCTCTGGCCTTATTGATGATTTCGGTTCGGAACTAATCTTGCACAGCCTCCATCCACATGCAAACATCTAATGCTAGTGAGTGTGAGTCTAGTCCCATCCTGCATCGGAAGAGTCACTAAATAAGGCATGCTCGGCGCACAAGCCTGCTGCACTTGGCTATGAGTGAATTTCCTGGTGGGGGAGCTAAGGATCATATTATATGTACTAACCCAAGTTGGATCGCATTTAAGACATGAATAACAAAATACAATGGTCATTGGCTTTCACTTTCCGATTTGGTAACCTGTTTTACCTTGACCGGGGTGTACTGTCTGAGAATGGGTGAGAAGCTGCCTCTCTTTGCATCCCATAAGGCAAATAGTATTACGAAATATTTTTTGATTGTGAAGAGATAGTTATATATTTAGCAGTGATATTATTAGTGTCGAAAAGTCAGATTATCCCTGGCTTTTCGGTCCAAAAGCATCTTTCGCAGCGTCTCTGCACAATCGCTGTAAAAGCGAGGCTGATTCTTCACCGACGTCCATCCATTAACATCAATTACGTAGCTCTTGCCCCCATTTCGTACAATGTCAAACCCACAGACAGCCTGACCAAATCCTACTGAGATATTCGCAGCAGCCTCAGCCTCCTCCTTGCTCACCTCCGTGATCTGCCGTATTTCCTTGCCATTGGTATCCCGATGGACCATGCCAGTCACTGCGGGTGATTTCCGCGTCACGGCAAAACAGTAGCTGGATCCCACTGCGTAGGCCTTGATATCCTCCCCGTTGTCTGCGTTCAAGAGCGGCTCATACACATAGCTACTGCTCATCCCTTGCTCGGTGATACACCGCGGCACAATCAAGCACGGGTCATACTCGGAGCACTTATTGCCAATTTTTCGAAACAGTCTCCTTCCTCCACCATCACTATATGGGGTGCTTGAGAAGTAGATATAGATATTGTGGTCTTCTGCACTCACTGGCTTCTCGACGAAGGGTTTGTGAAGTTTATGTCCGTCGACCTCTAACGTGTTTTTATCCTCTGACAATGACACCGTAGGAGACTGGATAAAAGGAAACTTATTGACTTTGTCATCCTCCAGGGGACCAGGAAGTTCCAGTCCGAGCAAATTATAGACATGCACGACGAGCTCTTGACACAGAGCTCTTGGGCCACCATCACGGTTAACTTCCAATCTCTTGGGTGTTCGCACGCCAAGATAATCCAGGACCCTGTGGCAAAGACGACGGTCGAAGAGGAGTTTCTGCATGAGCAGGGAATTGTAGCAAATCGGCGACCGGAGATGCGTGTACAAAATGGCCTTATCGAGGGGAAATCCATTGGAATAGAACGCGATGATAGAGTCGCAGATAGGCCATTTCTCCACTGGTTTGGTCAAGAGCGTCTTGTCGCCGAACAGAGTAACCTCGATATCGCCAGTGGACTCCAAACGGCGAAAAATCTCCTGGTTGGATTTGCTGAGCGCCTTTTCTTCCATTGCGCAGATGCCGAGTCTCCATGGACGGCGCTTGTTTTGGTTTGGCCAGTGTGATATGTGAGAGAACTCGGTCGGGGTGTGCCTGATCAGACAACAGGGCGAAGGAAGTCGAAGGATATCAATCTCCTCGTCGTCCAAATGTGCCAGAGCTCTCAAATGGTTGTCATTCCAGTTGATCTCCGGGGTGTTTCCGGTGGCCGCTAGCTTGTATAAGGTAGACATGTTTATAGTGGTCATTGGTAGTTTATTTGTGACTTTGTAGTTGGTAGTAGTACTCCTTCAACCAGCTGAGGATCTCGGAAGTGGTTGTCGAGTTTCTCTGGCGGACGGAGTGGGTTAATGCCATTGATGGGAGAATTACTTTGCGACTGATGAATTGATCTCAATTCGATAATTTCTGCGAATTGCAAAATAGTTTAACAGATCGGGGAGATCTGGATGTGGCGAGCACTATATATATACGGATGGGGTACGCTACAGTTGCCTACATATTAATAAGAGTATACACCGCTGCTATCAATGAAGAAAAGGAATGAAACGAGGGAATAAAAAATAGCCATGACGGGAATTAATTCCCGCAGTCGAGTCATCAACAGGTCAGTTTCTGGTTCCAGTGAAGCCAAGCGAGCGTTTCCAGCAATTGAGTTCATGGGAACCCGACCGAACACAGCCCCTTACAGGTGTAAGAAAGAAAAATTAAAGGAAGCATCAAAGCCAAACTGCTCTGGTCTTGAACCTTAGCCATGACTACAGTGGTAGAAAGTCAGAGATCCCACAAGTAGTCTACTAGTTATGCCCGTTGGATATACAAAAGTATGCCCAATGGGTCACACCTGAACTTCTACGTAGACAGCATTGGTTTATCTTTATTTATTTTTTGGCCGGAATTTCCCGAGTCTCTCTAACTAATCTAACAGTACTCTTATTTCTGTCACTGTCTAATTGTCTTGTTTTATTTGGCTCCTTTTTCCCCCACGACTGTGTGGTCCGTGCTTTGGTTATTTTTTTGTCATATTTTCTCAAATGGAATGAATTTACCAATGACATTCATTATAGATCAGCAGAGGTCTCTACATCATGCCGATAGTCCGAAAGCAAGGGCTCATTAACGCCGCTTTAAGTTTACCAGCTATTTTCTCTTCCGTTCTTGGCACCGTGACTCACTGGCAATTCTCATCCGAATCACTTTCAGGGGAAAAACTTCTGGAGATGCGAACTCTTCGGGCACCGTGGGCCGAGCTCGAACTTCAAAATTTCTCTCACAGCCCCAATGCTACAGCCAATTAGGAAGGTAGATGCGTGCATGTTTAAGCTATACAGGCTGCGAGACAAGACCAAGGTGGTGGCATTAGGCAACAACTTTTCAAACCCTCAGAACAGAGCAGGGTCAGAAAAAAAAAAAAAGAAAAAAAGCGCACCCCATCGTGAGCCATTTTATTTTTCACGGAGACCCAAGATAAGCTGTCTCCGATAGCATGTGAACCTCAGCCCTATATCATGGAGATGGACGGTCCCTACTAGTGGGAAAGGCTATCTTAGCCCGATCCTACTTGGGTGCCAGTTTGGTTTGGTTCTTGTCTCAGGCACTGCCCCAACCGTGGTCATGCTAGATAATAGGGGGGATTGCTTGGTTTGGTCATGTAGCTTTCGTTTATTTGTGCTGTATATATACCAATTTACTGACGCCTATATCTCCCTACTCAATCTTAATCCAATTTCGGGTCTTTTTAGACGCTGAACACAGCTTCTACTCTTTTCTTCAACTCTCACAATTTCTACAGTCTCCAAGCTGGCGTCTTTCGGGCTTTCTTATTCCACATTGATGGCAGTTTCGGCATCTTGTGATGACAGTTTCCCGCCCACGCGACCACCATAGGGCACTTGAACCGGTAACTATTACGAATGAGGTTGTCGTGCAGTAAGATGCAGATAAAGTTCAGCATGGATATGTTTAAGGGTTGGTGCGCAAAGAACATAGGCAACAAGTATACTTACCGAGAACAGGCATCGGAGAACATTTGTACAAGCGGTTCGGACAACGCTGGCAAGGACAAGATGTGAGGAAATGCCAACGCCAGATCGAGTCGGCGCTGAGTGATATCTCGGTTATTCCATTGGCAGAAGTATTCTACCGTCTGGGGACTAGAAATAGGGGCCTCCTCTGCTGGGAAGCAGCAAAGCGCCTCAAAGCAGCTGGTCCTAATGTCCTCCCACGTGCGGTTCCTCCTCCTACATGTTTTCTCTTCCTCCGTGGGTCTGTGAATCCATTCAATGCCCTCTTAGCATTTCTTGCGGTGATATCTGCGATTTCGCCGTCACCTAGTTGGGTACGTCAACGATCAGCTACCCAGTAACAGAATCTAATCGAGCTGGGTAATTGTAGGAGACGGTCTCGATCCTTCTGATAATGATCATCGTGTCTTCCGTCGTTCGCTTTCACCAGGAATACCAAAGCTCTGTCGAGATGTTCCGCCTTCAGTCCAACAGTGCATCTATGGTCAGAGTCCGTCGTCAGGTTAGCGTGAACGGTACGTTCGGTCATCATCGGGTTCACGAAACACTGGTGCCGGCGGCAGAGCTGGTCACTGGTGATATTATATTCATCCACTCTGGTGAGACTGTTCCTGCCGATTGCCGAGTCATTGACTCGCATCATTTAAGAGTCAGTCAAGCGGTTTTATCAGGTGAAAGTGTTGCTGTGCGAAAGGCCCCGTGCCTCTCGAAGCACAGCGACAGCTATTTGCTCTTAGACCGTGAGAACATTGTCTTTATGGGTTCGACAGTCGCTTGCGGAAATGCCGTTGGAATAGTGGTAGCGACAGGGAGCCGTATGTTACAGTTGAGGAGTATTCCCATTCATCATGCATGTCATGACCATTTCTAGGCACGTTCATGTCCAGTATTGCGCAGGCCCTGAATAATAAGCGACCTCCAACCGCTTTCGAGCTCGGGGTTCGCAACGTTAGTCTGGTTCTGTGTATGTTCATGTTGACGATGGTTCCTATAGTAAGTCTTCGTCAGCAGGCAATTGAGGCTTGTCTCACCCAGCACATAGATTTTTACAATGTCAAGACGTGCAACTGGAAGCTCTGCCAGAGCCGCTTTATTTGCCATCAGCGTTGCAGTTGGGCTTGTTCCGGAAATGCTTCCTGCTATTGTCAATGCTAATCTCGCTCGTGGTGCCCTTCTCCTATTGAAGAAGTGTGTAATTGTAAAGCATCTATATGCTGTGCAAAACCTAGGGGGTATGACTGTCCTGTGTTCTGACAAGGTACGCACTGAGCTTCGCTCTAATTATGTTATCTAATATTGTTATCAGACTGGAACCATAACCACAGACAAGCTCACTGTATCACACTGCGCAAATGCACAAGGGATTCCCGATATGCATGTATTCTGCTTAGCTTACATCAATGCAGCCTGCCAACTTCAGATCGCCGATGACATTGATCATGCAGTCCTCCGTGCTCGCGGACAGTATTCCCAACCGCCACATATCCCGTATTATGAAACTGTCGAGGTGATTCCTTTTTCCTTTGAGCGCCGACGGTCAAGCTGCATAATCCGAAACTCGGCCAATCGTCTTGTTTTGATCTGTAAAGGGGCCTATGACGAGGTCATGGCCCTTTGTACCCATGTACGCTTCGGTGCTGTCCATACTGATCTCGACATGTCCACTCGTGAACGGGTCGCACATCACGTTAGACAGGTGACATCTCGTGGATATAGGGTCCTCCTCATCGCTGCGAAGACTATTGAGGCAACCTCTCTGAACCAAGGCGAAGTCCACGAGGGACTCGAGAACCAAATGACTCTCGAAGGTTTAATTGCCTTCTCACAGCCGGTCAAGGAAGATGCAGCTTCGTCCATCCATCAGCTTCAGGACCTTGGCGTCGAGCTGAAGATACTAACGGGCGACAGTCTCGAGCATACTCTGCGAGTATTCCACGAGCTTCGACTTGGCCATAGATTCGAGGGCAGTGCTCCAGCCATTTCCGGACTGCAGCTAGACGAAATCAATGATCCGCGTGAGCTCGACATGATTGTCAAAGGGACGATGCTGTTTTACAAACTGACCCCGGGGCAAAAGGGCCATGTGGTTGAGTCGCTTCGCCGGCAAGGAAGCTCTGTCGGCATGCTTGCAGATGGAGTAAACGACTGCGTCGCCCTTCGCTCGGCGGATGTGGGCATCACGGTGGACACAGCAGCCTCGGCTGCCAAAGACTCTAGCGATGGTAAGATAGCCTGGGTTGTGGAGTCGACGACGGTCTGTTCTAATCCAGGTAACAGTGATTCTTGCTACGAAAGATCTACGTATTCTTGTCGATGCCGTCACCGTCGGCCGCATTGCTCACGGAAATACTGTGAAATACATTAAAGTATGTCTTCATGCATGTGTTGAACAGTAATTATTAACATTTGAATCAGATGGTCACGTCGTCTAATTTTGGGAATGTATTCAGCGTCCTAATCGCCAGTATTTGGCTGCCATTTGAGCCCGTATGCAGTCCATACCTTGTAATAGATGCTGGCTAATACCGATGTAGATGACTAGTCTACAACTGCTCTTCCAAAATCTGCTGTATGATATCAGCCAGATTGCAATTGCCTGGGATAGTGTCGACGAGGAATATCTTCAATTGCCTCAGAATTGGAACGTCTCTGGTATCGCCCCGAAATTATCATTGAATACTATTTTAATTGCTGACTTACATTAATCGACCAGAATTAATCCGATTCATGCTCGTCTTCGGTCCCACTAGCTCAATAATTGATGTCTGTACCTTCTGTCTGGGGGTTTATTACTACGGACTCAATGTAGCAGACGACCCAATGCGCGTTTCGATGTTCCGTACACACTGGTTTTTACAAGGGTAACGTTTTGCTCGTACACCTGAGGATGTATATCTAACAAAGGCCAGATTACTTACTCAAACATTGATCATTCATTTCTACCGGACAGCAAAAGTCCCATGGTTTCAGAGTCGACCCTCCAAGGCGCTGTCATTGTCCATTGCTTGCATCATGACTATCGGCTTGCTTATTCCTTACATCGGCCCTATCCGGAATACACTGGGTATGGTTCGTCCGGCGAACACGTTTCTGCTGTTTCTGGTTGCTGAGCTTCTTGGATATTGCATTGAAGTTCAGGTTCTGAAATCCTTATACATCAAGCTTTTCGGTGCTTGGATTTGAATATTGGAGGCTAAAGAGGTGGTGGAGCAGTGATTATAACTAACAAGTCCTATATAGCCAGCTTGCCGATATAGATAGTCTGGCCGTACTAATATATAGTCGACTAGTTTTTTTTTTATCTAGCTAATACTATTATAAATTATCGGGATCTGGCTTTACAAAGATCCAACAAAGTAGTATATTCTCCAATATATTATTTAAATAGACTTTTCAACATTATTCCTGTCTAGTTTTTATAGTCGCGATCATATCAATAATAGCAGCCAGCGGGGTACCCCGACTATATTATTCTGTTTCTTCTATATGATAACCGCCATAACCACAATTTGCTGTAAAGTAATTACAATGTATGGCACGCGCATGGCTCTATATTAACAATTCACTTAAGCGCACTGTAGCAGAACTGACTGGTAGTTACCGGCGTCACCGACGGCCACTTCTGTTCCTGCAGAGACCCTTGATTCTAGAATGTCCTGCGCATCTACTGCACAAAAGAGGAGGTGCACCAATAGAGTCACATTCGCATGCATGACATGCACTGGCCAGTTATCGATATATCTACAACTTATAGGGAGCTGGAAACAACCGTCCAGCGCTAGATAACCCAACATATTCTGCTCGCGTATTGTAGTTAAAAGCCACAGAAAAAAGGCAATAAAAACCAATCATACTAAATTAAAGAAGACCTAATAATACCTGGAATTATCAACAGTCTTCCGCTGATGATCTATAGTCCGCAAATACAAGCTGGAGAGACGGCCGTGGAGTCGCCTGCGGAAGCGGCTAACCTAGTTAAAAACAACTGTGGTTCCTGCAACTTCCTCAGCGATTTTTTTTTTCAATATTTGAGGGGTAGGTGGGATACCACGATCGGAAATCTCATTAACATGCTCAATTAGAATCTCCTCCTGGATGTTGGTGAGTTTCTGACGTGACGTAGAGTTTGCGTCTTGAATTGAGCCCATTTTTTTTCTATGCCGTCGTGACAGCGTCATGCGGTCAATATTCCATTATTGAGTCCAATTCTGCCAGCGCCGCGTCTATTTAAGCGTTGTGTTCTATTTTCTTGTAGCTTGAAGTTGTCAAGTTGAAAAAAACCGTGCATTACTTGGTGGCGTGCATCATGCGGTAAATTATGTTAATAGAGCAACGACAACCAACGCCAAAAGGCTAGTAATAACCATCACACCCTAGTGACCGTACACATGGCCTGTATCCTGGACTCCTTCCTTTCCCAAAAGAGTGATTTGACAAATATTTTGGCAATCGAGATATCTATTGCTGTAACACATTGCATGTGCTCCCAAAACCTACAAATAGTCTGAAAATCTGGTATTCGTCGACACAACATAAGTTATAATATCAGTTTTTATCCCCTGGCAACACGCCACATGGAAACATAAATATTCATCAAAATATATCTCCCCAGTCAAATTCTAATATTGTATCATGATATCATTACGGAATAACTTCAGTGTCATCTAGAGAACATGACATGAGGAGCTATACAAGCCTTCACCTTGCCAGGAACTAGTCAGAGCATGCAAAAGGCCTACGAATCGACTTTGATTCAAATTTGTGAACCTACCAAAGTGTTAGCATACCGTGATATATAGGAAAAGACATTCATACTAGCTCAGCAACGCTGGCATATGTGCCGCACACGAAGACAATCATACCAACCAGAAAGACCACACCATTGTATATGGAAGACTTCCAGTTGTGTTTTTCATACCATGCACCCTCCCTCAATAGTACATACCATATGACTGGTGGGAGGTAGAAGGACAGACCGGAAACGAACAGGGAGGAAATGATGGATAGCAATTCCGAGAAAACAGGAATAGCCTCAGCGATGACCCAACCAATAGCGGTAATGGTAGACACCAGTGCTAGCCACGTAGCCCAGCCCTTGGTTGTATTGATGAAGCGGACAACGGAGTTTTGATATACTTTTCCGTGGATATAGCGAGAGACAACAGTCGTATTGATAGATCCCGAGATGAAGATGACCGGGAGAGCAATGCCAAAAACTACCCTGGAGAAAAGAGGACCTGCAGATAGAAGAGCAGGCGACTGCACCTCCTGTCCCACAGAGGCATAGATAATGGATCCCGTTAAAGTGTAGATAATAATCTGGATGCCTCCAAGCCACCAGAGTGTCTTGACATAATCCTCTGGTGTGTGCATTTCCTCCATAAAGGATGGCAGACAACCACCAAATGAATATGCAAACACAATACTATTGGTGGATACAATGGCCTCGGTAAAAGTGATACCCTCCTTTGGCCATGCGGACCATGGAGAACGGCCTATTTCGGAGTCCCCAGAACCATCTGAGCTTTGAATACCAGTTGCAATCATTGTAATTCCGATCGCTAGAATGATCGAAGCGAAATCAATGTATCCCAGTATGGCGATATCAGCAAAGGCCGGGGGGATAGCCAGCACCATCAATATTGCCGCAGATATGACGCTAAAGACCACCGAACACAAATCGCTTTGGGTGATGCTTTTGAACGCAATAGCACCCGTCAAGCAATGCGATCCAACGACAAAGATAAGCAGGGCCACAAAGCTACCGGAGAAGAGCTTTGATCCCCACCTCCCCATTAGAAGCCGTCCAACGTCTGCGTAGTGAGCAATTTGTGGAAACTTGAGTTTCACCTGTCCGATCTGGTAGCTTGCGTACATTGCAACGAAGCCAAGGCCAATGGTCAAGATTACGCCCGCAACCATACCAAGGGTTGCAAATGCATAAGGCAGTCCTAGACTCCCCAGAGCGATCCCCTCTACTATTGAAACGACGGCGAGCCGTTTCCAGCCAAGACGATGGAAGTGGGCGTTACCTCTTATCTCATATTGTCTCTCAAGGTCGGTGCGGCACTCGTTTTCACAGAGACTATTGCTGGTTATAGCGCCGGGAGATTCGTTGATAACGGTACCATCTTTCTGAAGACCCTGGGGAGTCTCATATCCGGAGGATTTGACTGTATTCTGGTCCATTTGGCAGATGGTAGAGGTAAAGTGTCCAGCACAGGGGAGGGAGCTGGTTGAAAGACAGGACGCCAGGGATAAGAGTTAGGGACCCTAATCTGTGGGAATCACCGTGCCTAGTATAAAAAGTTGCATGCGAGTGGAGCCATGCACCTTACCACAAGGGGAAACAAATGTGGATATTTTCTCTGCCGTTTTGCAGATTGTCACCTGTATTTTGTCTCTAGGGCTCAGCAGAGGTTGTTGATCAAATGTACAGTACTCACGGCTGGCTAGCAGCTTCTGTATAAAGAGGGCTCCTATTAGAGGCCGTTAAACCAGCGATTTAATTTTATCGTACTTATACCTATAATAAAATTGTATGGAACGTAAACTCAGGTGGGTTTATTGCAGCAAAATCTAGTTCGGGTAGAAGAAGACCATGTCATACGATACTAAAATCATACTGAGCGACACACGCATCCTTCAAGCAAGCCGTACATATTGATTTGGGTTTATTGAAAGACTATTCTATGAGAGATATAACCAAGCAAAGTCATATATAACCGAGTATTGTTATACATCGCTCCCGAACTAAGCGACACAGTTTCGGATCGCAACGGGACTTTGTCAGTCATGATCTATCTGTTGGGTGGCCTACAGCCCAATATTAGGTAAACGTAGCTTGGCCCTCGTATCTCGGGCATACCACCCAACAGTAATTATCAGGATTCCCCACTGCAAAGGGCGAGGCAGGGGGTTAATCTAATCAGATAATCAGATAGGAGACAGCCCCACTACACAGACCGCTAGTTGGGGGACAGAAACATGGCCGGGAATTGCAGCGAGGCTAACGATTGGCCTGAAAGTGAGAAGGATTCAGAATGCAGGTGAACGGGGTAGATTCGTACAGTATTTTTCGTAGTGTTATGCAAACACGCTGGTGTGAGGCTGCCTGCACATTTCGGGCTGCTATGGGGAACTGGCAACCTGATTGATATGCTTACGCCATGACTTTAAGCCCTCTTGATTATGTTATAAATTTCTATAACTCTCGAACGCATTTTCTGCGGAAACCTTGACTCCTACATTTTCCATATTCGGCCAGACTTAGCACCGTTTTTTACAAGTGCAGAAGAGCGTGTGTTGAGTGTTGAGCACTGCTTGGGGGGCCGTGCCGGGACGACCTGGGACAACCCGGAGCAATCTCGGATTAATATTACCCTGATCGCTGGAAAACCTCCAAGGCAAGCCAACTACTATCAAATGTGCAGAGCCAAGTCCACCACTTCTATTTGGCAGTGGCATAGAATATAAAAGGCCCTTTTTTTTTTTTTTTTTTTTACAAGTAAAGCCCACTTTGCGCGCAGTAGATAACGTTTATTGTTACCATATAGGGATCCAAATCGTGCAACTTATCGGACTAAATAATTACAATAAACTAAAACTGCGTGCGAATATTCTTGTCACCTGGTGTCCCATAGCAGTGTATGCAAAAGGCTGGAGCCCATGTGACATAACGGGCCGGTGGTCCCTACTGTCCCTATTGTCCCTAAAGCCCCTGTTCACCCTCGATGACCCATAACACGTTGCTCTCCTTTTCGTCTTCTTTCTGTTTTGGGTTTGGGCTTTGGTCCAGACCACATTACCCGTGGGCGGTATTTGGCGAGATCTACCCTTGCCGCGAACTGCTTCCGTACCATGCAGAAATGGCCTGGGGTACGGATTCCAGTCAACTATGCAGGCAACGGTAGGGACGGAGATTCCAATAGACCCGAAGCGATGAGACGTCACTTTGATATTGGGCCATTATAGTTTGCTCACTCTTTAGCGGCCATGACTTAGATTCTTAGTCGTGCCAGGCTGTCTCATTTTTTATTATTTGTGCGTGAGGGTAGCGACTTACAACAGTATACCTAGTTCCGCCCCATAGCCGCCATGGGGAGTACCTAGGGCTTGAACTAACTTGTCGCTGAAAAGACTACCTATGGGACGTTTTTGGGTGAACCTTACAGCAAGTCCGTCTCTGGATGCTATTAGGGACAATGGCATTTAAGAGGCGGAGTAATTACTCAGTACTTTACGGTACATTGTAGTAGTAATGTGTCAAAATAAGTCATCACAACAGTCTGCTTCTTCGGAGATTTCAAAGGTTCTACCTCTCTGTTCTGGCATAGTGGTCATAACTGTGCCATACTGTTGGTCATGATTGCGTGATAGTCTCCTGTGGCAAACAAACACAAGACATTTGGTGACCATTACTGCAATGGATTATAATCAGGAAGCTTGCCAATCAAGTAGTAATACACAGTGGTCAAGAACAAAGAGATCGGGCACCCCCGGAAAATGGTAAATCTGAGTACCAAAGTGAACCAAAGAACCCCTAGCTCTAGACCAAGCAGTTTCATACAAGAGCAGTCCCCCAGTCCCCTCCAAATGTTCCAGCAATTTCATGAATGTGCTACCTCCACACTCAAAACACCTTGAGAAGTTTCTTCTCGGTATAGAGTAACCTTGACACTAGAATAATCGCCGACCCTGCAAGGCACATCACGCCGCCAAAGATCTTCACGTCCAACCAGCCGTTGGCCGAATTTTGCAGGATGGCTCCGCCGATGGGCGCCATGGTGAGAGCGGGAATCGAGATGGCGAGGAAGACTACGCCCAGCCGGTAGCCGATCTCGGGCAGGGGGGACACCGAGACGGGAAGGGCGCCGGAAAGCCCTATAAAGGCTCCTGACGCAAAGCCGAACATGATGGCGAAGCCGATGGCGATGGACGAGTGCTTGGCGGGGATCCAGACGGCGAACTCGGCAATTCCAGAAAGACTACAAGCGATGATGAACATATTCCATCTTCCGATTCTATCGGCGCCATAACCGGCGACTAGACGGCCGAAAAGGCTTGGGTATAACCGTCAGCGTTCCACGACATTTGGGGGGACTGATAACAGGGCTGGATGTCGACCTACCTTGCGGCGTTGAAGATGGACACCAAGTATTGTGCCATCTCCTCCGACATGTGCGCGTCCTCAAACCCCTGCACAGCCAGATAGTCGATAGGGATGAATATGCCATAGGTCAGCACGAAGATGCCCAGCAGCAACATAACAAACGGGAACTCTTTGAAGGGTGCAGCGAAGCGGCCAGCGGGCATCTTCTTGGGCGCGAGCTTTGCTCTCGGGCGGACTGTGAGGATTGCAATAATCTGCAGGCCGAGGATGAGAAAGGCCGCAGTCCTCATGGCCCAGGGGTACCCGGTGCTCTGGATCATGCTACTGATCATGATAGGGAAGATGACGCCGCCGACTGATGAGCCTGTCACCATGATACCCATAGCTGCTCCGCGCTTCTTGGAAAACCAGGTTGAGATGCAGGCAAGCGCTTCATCGCACAGGACTCAGTCAGCATGGAACACTCAAGGAAGGGGGGAGTGGGTTAGACTTGCCCGGCGAGTATAAACATGCAACGCCGATGGCACTGCATACTCCCTGGGACAAGATGAACTGATAGTACGTCTTCGCCAACGACGCCATCATCAGGCCAAAGACGTGAAGAAGCGTCCCGCCAATGATGAGCGGCCTCGGTCCGTAGTTGTCGAATATTATGCCGACGACAGGCCCTAAGGCGAACAGAAAGAAGATTTGGAGCGACGGAATCCAGGCAATGGTGCTGCTGGAGTAGTCTTTCAGAGGTCCCACTTCGTAATACTCCTGGAAGCTGCCCACGCCTGGTGGAAGAGCATCGGTGTTAGTCCATCGCGTTGCTGCTGGATGCCACGTAGTGGGAACCTAGGAAGGCATTGGAAAGAGGGAAAATACGTACTGTTTATCCAGCCCGGGCTGGAGAAGGAGCAGCACCACGCTCCCAGCACGACCAACCATGCAGCGGCGCCGCCGTCGGGGGGGCCAGCGTCTTCCAATTTTGTGGCATCGCCAGGCTTGTCGCCGGAAATTGGCCTTCCGGCGTCTTCAAGGCCCCGCTCAGTCTCGCCATCGAGATCGGACTCTGGCTGTGCAGCCTTTTCGGAGTCGGTCTTCAGGTCGTGCATGGGAGTGATATTATTGGCGTTGTCCGTGCTAGCCATGGTTAAGACACGACTGGGAGAAAAATCAAGCAACTAATCAGGTGCAAAGACCGTTACATGTGCAAGGGGAAGCGAACAGCTCGAGATGCAACAGCCTCTCTGATTCCTGTACACCCCTGGGAACCGATTCTTTTATACATATAGATCCGCCTGATTCTGTAAGAGGCGGACGATGAGCGGGGCCGAGCGGAGGGTCAAGCGACCTGTGATTAGTGCTTCGCGGCGGAGCTAACAAAAATGCGGACAATAGAGGACTACTGCACCTTTATTTGCTTGCGGATTTGTTTACACGTACGTTTGCTTAGGGCTCTGCCGGCAGTTCCTCCTAAATAGGAAATCAGGGCACGGTTCGTTTAGGCCACTTTAGGTCACCTTACGAAGCCGCGCAAGAATCATATGATCTAAGAAGGGGGGAGGGATCTAGTTATTATATCAATCTTAGATAGGCTAACTTGACTAACCACGTTAACAGCTGGGTTTATTAGATAAGACATAATAATGAGTCGTAAAATACCGGTTATAGTACCTAAAATACGAAGTAGGCCATTTGCCTAGCCAGTAAATGGATTTCCCAAGCGGAGTAATGGACGAATGCCCCCGCGTCCGAGACTATATCGAAATCAGGATCTCTCTCTCTCTCTCTTTCTTACACCTTCGACCGTTTGCACCGTCCGAACCTCAATCCCCTGCGGACTCCACGCACGATGGGCCCCCCCGAAGGATCTCCAGTCCTCCTCCGCCCTCGTCCAGGCCGCCAACGCCACAAGCCGCAGCTTTCTTGCAATTCCTGCCGCCAGCGAAAGTTCGTTTCGCCCGCCTGCTCCGCAAACACAGTCCCCGACCTCCACAATAAATAGAGCTAACGCAGCGAATAGGCGAAAGTGTGACCGCCAAAAGCCTTGCTCTCATTGCATTGTAAGTCCCGCGTCTACGGAACGACTCATCCCGAGAAGAAGAAAAACAAAGGATGGTGAAGCTTACAACATCATACAACCTCGATCAGAAACACCACCTGGAGCTGACGTGTACTTACGCTGGCTCGTCAGCGCCATCCTCTCTGTCCAGCCAACTGCACGCTATCTCCCCCGCTACTCAGCGGCTTCTCGAAGATAGCAGCGCATCTGTCGGCGGGCTAGGCGGGTTGGCGACGCCGAGCAGCTCGACTTCCGGTCCATCGCCAGAGGCTACAGATTTGAAATTAACCAAGTCTGGAACTGGCTTTAAAGATTCAACCCACTGGACCTCCGTCCTGAGCGGCGTGACAGACGCGAAAGGCCAAGATGATCCACTAGGCGCGATCCAATCGGAGACTGTATTCGACGATGGTTCGTCACCTCTCGACCAGAATGTCCTCCTCTTTGAGGGGTGCAAACATGCCACTGACCAAGAACTCCTCGGTTCGATGCCACCAAGGAGAGAATCCGACAGCTTGGTCGCACTCTACTTTCGGGCTCAGGAATACCGATGTAGGTGTGCACGTGACGCGGCATACAGAACGCACTCACCCATCCTTACTGACGCTGATCTAAACAGCTGTAATACACCCGATCGAGTTCTTGAAGAGAGTAAGTACTCACACATACCACTAGGAGAAGATTAACCACCAACCGCGTTGATCAAGTACAACGCATTCTGGGAGAATCCGAGCGCTACATCCATCTCTTGGCTCGGCCTCTTATACAGCATCTTCTGCCTCACCAGCCACGTTCAGAGCCAAGCGAGCGGCCTCTTGAGTGCCCAGAACAACGCGTCGTCCGCCCGGTCACCCGCAGCCTTGTATAAGATGCTGGGCTATCGAGAAAAGGTCGTCCAGTGCCTCGTCCGAGGTCAGTTCGCCAAGGGGGGTCCTGACATTATGGAAACCCTTGTTCACTACGTCTTGATCGAGAGCTACTTGAACAGGGACTCCAACATTGGGGTCTGGCTATTGATGGGCAACATTGTCCAAATAGGTACGTCTTCATGTTCGTCTGTGCCAGAGTTTTACAGCGAAGCCTTGTCTAGCACCCAAAAAGGACCCCCCCCTTCCCCCACCACCACCACCCAAGGTCTGTGTTATCTCCGAAGGAAGGCTGCTAAAGAGAGCTTGATAGCTATCCGCATGGGCTACCATCGAGACCCGCTGCACTTCAAGTCCCTATCCCCCTACCAGGGCGAGATGAGGCGGCGGATGTGGGCTATGATATGCTCGCTCGACATAGGATTCTCAACGCAGATGGGCCTTCCGAGCAGCATCAAGCACTCGCTCAGCGACACCAAGCCGCCTCGAAACCTTCAGGACCGCGACTTTGACGCCGGCTCGACTGACCTGCCGCCCGCGAGACCTATCGACGAACTTACCTCGAGCACCGTGATCCTTGCCAAGCTTCATGTCGCCACCAGCTTGGGCGTCGTATCAGACATGGTCTGCAATCCTCACCCGCTATCATATGAGGACCTCATCGCAGCGAATTCAACACTAGACGTAATGTATACGACCATTCCCGACCCATGCAAGTTCCGACCCATGTCCGAATCTCTGCTGGACCCTCCAAGTGTCGTATTTCAGGTCAGTGCCGTGGCTCTCCCTCGCAGAAACACACTCGAATCCAGGAGTGAATTCCTCACACTTGCAACACAAAAAAAAAAAAAAAAAAAAAAAAAAAAAAAAAAAAAAAAATTATCTACACTACCGAACCCCCGAACTATATATACAAGCCTAGCAATAGAAAGTAGACGGTGCAGCTAACATGCCCTTTGTCCTCAATAGCGGATAAACTTTTACATGCATTACCAAAGAGCCCGGATCCTCATCAACTGGAAGTTTCTCGGTACCTCAAAGGATACAACTCGCAGCAATCAGTGCTGGAGTATCGTGATCGAAGCGGCCTTGGAGATCATGCGGCTGCAACACCGCATGGCGGAGGAGTCCGAGGTCTTAGATGTGTTCCGCCCTACTGGTATGGTCGACTCGTGCTTCATAAACAATGGATACTTTTTAGCTGCAAGTATCATGTGCTTCCTTGTGCAGCATCGCAAGGACGGGCTGTCGGCCCAGGATCTGTTGGAAGTGCGAAGCCTGCTGGAAAGGAGCCTGGCCATCTGGAGCTGCACAAACGACTTGTCGAGAGAAGCAAACAAGGTAGTCACGGCTCTGAGGGTCGTACTCGGAAAACCGGAGGAGCCTAGTACACACACTACAACAGAAGCAAGGGCGTCGCCTCAAGCAGGTGGAGGTGAGAACCCAGCACATCATCGCATAGACCCAGGATCTAACTAAGCTTGCGCGCGCGCCGTCCCAGATACTTTTGGCAGAAGCCAGATGGCGTTTTCCAGTTGCACCTCTTTCTTTGATGACCTGCCTTTGATGATGACAGACGTCGACACTGTGGCTTTTCCTTCACTGCCCTCGATTCCCATGATAGACTACTGGCCACAGGTAATGTGAGTAAAGCGGGTGTGGGAAGCAACCTACTGGCAAAGAACGCAGCAATAGATGCCTAGAATCTAAGGCAAAGGTATTAGGTAGCAAATACCGATATGTCCTAATACCCATATTCCCTATCTCCGGGATAGAAGAACCAGGAGGAAATGGGCATAAATTGGGGCTAGATTCCCTAGATAATATATATTAATAAGACAGCTAATAAACCCTGTCAATTACTACAGTAGTATGCCCAATGCACTACATAACTACCTAATCCCTTTTCTCAAGGGAAGCGCTGACCGGACTAGGATTTTAAAAATCTCCGACATCTCCAAAGTGTGCCCCTTAGTCTCCACGGAATCAAATAACTGATAGTGGATTCGATCAGATCTCAGACTATAAAAACAAAGTAAGTATGCCAGCCGATATCCTCAAGCGCAACCGGAAAGCAGAACTGATTCAACAATGTAAACCTGTACGCAATAAAGAACGTGAAAATGTGAGAAGTACCTGTCTCGACAACTGGTGCGTACGTGGTTTCTTCAAATATTAATTTATTAAAAGATTGCCCCGGATCACCCATCTAGCTTTATACTGTATCAAGTTGAATTATCGGGATTAAGCTTTATTTTATAAACCCACCATCCCGGGATAGCGCGCGCTCTAGAAGGCATGTTTATTTTTTGTACAAGATCCTAGTATTACTTGTATTTTAACATGTCAATTTTCTCAAGCATTGCTTTAATCCATTTATCGGCTTCTAGACTCGTGATGGCTTCGCGATAAAACAATGGTGCGGTTAAGGACAAGTCTATAAATTTTAATACAGCGAGTCCTTTGGCAGGTTGATATAGGTCTTCACGTAGACCAATCTCGGAGGTGTCCTCAGACATTAAGTCTAGGGCTGCTAGTACTTCTTTAGCATAAGATGCCGTATCTGAAGCACCTGTTAAGGGCTAAGGCGCTGTCGGTGTGTTATTTTACACTGTGTTGTTTTATGCTTTTGCAGGAATCGGACGGGTTATTATAATCCAGCGTTGCACCTCCACCTGCAATATCGATGTGAATTCGCATTAGTAGTTTTGCCGCGCAAGGAGCGGGATCCTTGTGATTCCGCCTGGTTTAACGTGCTTGTTTACAGATTTCGCAGAAGAGCATGGTTTTTGGGCCTTTAACTTTATTGCTTTAATCCTAGCGAGTTGCATTATAGCACGAAAATGGACATGGGATAAGCGTTGATGCCATTCTACCATGGTGGCGCTTGGAATAGGCGTCGTGGGATATTATTTGGACTAAATCGCGTTGACAACTGGACAAATAAGGTATCGATCTAAATTTTCTGTTGGACTAGCAGATAGCAGGACGCCTGTAGGACTTTTAATAAGAAAACGTTTCTGCGTGATGTCGCCGTCTAAAGAAATATCGAATTCTTGTCGATCTAGCTGCCGGAAGGATAGCAGATTCGATGGGATAGTTGGCGTATAACGTACGTTAGGAATATCAGCTTGAAATACCCTTTGTGGCATCAGGAAGGAAAGAAGGACATATCATCGCTCCTGCACTTTCTAAGCGGTCCATCCCACCGAAGTAAACTTCATACAAGCCTTGCCGGCCAACATGAATCGAACTCAGTTCTTCTTATAAATGCAATTCAAGATATCTTTCCTTTTACAGACCACCTTCTCTGCGTGTGGCACATACAGAAGAATATTATAAAGGAGGCTTGGCCTATCCTGCATACAGAGGTGGTCCGTACAGAATATAATAACTCTCAATCTGCAGCTAGGGATCCCGAATTCAACGATAAGATCAAGAAAAAATGGGGGCAAATGTTTAAGCTATTTTATAAAGGTTGTTAACGTAAATACTAAAGAAGAAAATAATCATCAGTGGGCTAATTTCTGCGCGGAATATAATAATAATATCTGGCAACCAGTTCTACGCTATTATAAAAATAAATAGCTTTCGGAGGAAACTGCAAAAATATTTATACATGGCTACACCAATATATACTGTTACTTTGGTCAGAGAACTACTTCCCGGCATAAATTAGCACACTGGATTATTAAAAATACACTTTATACATCCCGAGAGTACCTCTTAAATTCGGCTTAGATTATTTAATAAAGTTGTTGTCCACTCAACTCAGCAGGCATAGGAAGAAATTAAAGATAACTATGTTAAAAAACCACTCTCATCTTTAATACCTTTATTCCAGTATACCTTAAATAAAGTATCACGGTACGCACTATTTAAGGTTAAAGAGATATATGATTGCTATCTTCCACCTGTTATTAAAGGTAAAACACCTATTCCAGGGGAATACACAGGTCTTACTGCATATATAATAGGGTTCCCATGTATTCATACAATTAAGAAATACTAATGGTGAAATGCCTATTAGTCTCTGTTGTGAATCTACAGTAGGTCAGCGGAATTGGCATTGAATAGAGAGAACTAAGCCATTGAATTGGATGAGCGAACTTAGTTAGTATACAGGAATTTGTCTGTGGGAAGACATATATAGGTGAGGACTTCGCCAATCCTTCGGGTAATCCTTTGGACCGATCCTATATTCATAACAGTCTCTATAAATTCCACCAACAGTGGTGGCTTTATCCTTGGAGAGAACTTACACTAATTGACCCACAGAAGTTGGTGCTGGAGCCACACGTCGTGACTCCGAGTAGGCTGGCCGTTGGGAGGGGATTTTCCCTTGGAATATCCCTCCCGAATGGGACCGGTACGGAAACGGGACCAATTTCAGGAAATTTATGGGAATTAGGGATTTTAGGGAATATCCCATTCCCATGGGAATATGGGACGGGACTGAAACTCGCTCGGGATCCCGAATCCCGTCCCACCGGTCAGCCTAGCTTAGTGAAAGATGCGTACTCTGGAAGCGGAATAGTAGGTGCCGATAGTATGCCACCTACCTTGGTTGTCATGCGAGACTGATGTTAGAACAGAAGGACAACAATAGTAAACTTATTGGTCCCAGGAGTTTTCGGCCATAAAGGTGAAATCGTTGCTAACCGCTGACCTCACTACATGACAGCGTTGTGTAGGGCCTTAGACTCTTACTTTGTCAGTACTATAACCGCTTCGTTATTCGATATAATGTAGGCATATTTACTCTGTCCAAGTGCGGGTAGTGCCAGAGACCAAATGAGATATTGTGGGCACATGCTTCGTCCAGAAAAGTTGTCCAACAATAAAGGCCAATTCTCAGAATTCTGTCTTCAGAGAATGGTACTGTCGCCAGTAGAAATTTCAGTGGACTCATTCGAAACTGTGCCTGCATTTCTCTTCTCTTCCCCATTGAAAATGCATAGATATGGGCGACCTCTATGGCTTCATTCACCATACATGGATCGTTACGAATTCTACACTATCTATTGTTAGAGATCAATGGAATGGGCTTTCCAAAGAAACGGACATAACCGCCTCCTTTGCATGGCCACGCTCTGCTGGGCTTCCCAGTCGAGATGACCAGACCAGCTCTACCTTAGATTTCTATCCGGTGTATCTTCTTCTAATCCCGGGATCGCCCAGTCCCTGGGCAGTAGGTCGGCCACTCTAATTTAATAGCAAACAATTTAGGCTATGACATTTCGTGTATAACTTACATGCACGGTTTATATAAAGGTTATCCCCAAGGTTACAGATAGCCAGAAAATTGAGGGAGCCAGGATATAATAAAACGCAATGGGACTCGACAGAATACAAGGGGACCAGATACATCTTGGGATGAAGAGGCAGACAAAAAGTATGTTCGTATTTGAAAAAAATGCCAGGCTAATCTGAGATCTTGGTCGTTATGTAGTTAATTAGAAAATGTCGGAAGAATGACGTACACTAAATGTACTGATGCTGGAAGCTTAAGAATTTATATGTATGTACTGAAATGGTGAGTACACAAGAGATATAAATTGGTGACGGATTAGGGGTATGAGAGAAGAAAGGGCAGAACAGATAGAAGTGAAGTCAAGAAGTGAAATAGGAAGTGAAGCAGTGCTGTGAATCCGTAGTTATACGAAAAGTCTTGGCGCGGTGAATGAGGGCCAAGCGGTGGCTTGTGGCTTTCGAGTCGATCGGCTCACAGGCGGTGAAAAGAGACAATATTTATGGCATGGAAGATTGAAACACATCCCATTCAGGAAGCTATTCTCAAAAACACTAACGAGCTGGTTTTGAATCATGACCGTCACCTCCTTTGTGACAGACCCTCTTAGATTGCTGCCTACAGAGATTGTCCTTCGCATTTTGGAATTCACCCCCATCTCTGCCCTTGCGTCCCTCACCGCGGTCTCCCACGCTTGGCACCGATTTATCGACGTCACCCATCAAGAAGCCATCTACGCCTCCAAGTCCAAAACTTCTCGATCCCCTGGAGCCACCCGCGATTTTTCATTTTTGTCCGATAACACAAGCTTCGCGAAGTTCTTTGAGGGCACCACGTCGTGGAAGGAGCTATGCAGACGTCAGACCCTGCTCTCCCGCAATTGGGCTGCGGTGCACCCAGTGACCCGTGAGTCGGTGTTGCAAGTTGGAAATGACCCCGTTTGGCGGTTTCGCGCCGATTTCAAGCGTCGCTTCTTTGTTTCCACGTCCCAGGCAGGGGGCCTGAACGTCACCGACATGGACACGGGCCGCATCCTCTGGTCCCTCCCCTCCACGCTAGACCATGCCGAGGACGCAGTCCGCCCATACGCGCATCTGGAATATCAGGATGGAATGGCGGTGTTTGATCGCGAAGGGGATGCGGTGGAAGTCTGGCAGGCGGACCTGGATGGCGCGAGTCGTGGGGTGTTCCGGCGCATCGCGGTCTTGAATCATGACTGCCAGACGCGAGGCTTTCAACTTTCCTACTGGACGCTCTGTGTGGTCTCGACCCAGGGACAGGGCTTTGTATATGATATGACGCAGCGGCCGCCCAAGTTAACCACCCATCTAGAAATCGAACACAACGCGGTCGGCCATCTCGACCAGAACGAGGACGCGGTGATGTACTCGATGGGGTCGCGAGGCTACCATGTATACAACAAGACGTCGGGCGCGTTCTTGGGCGCGTTGCAGCCGTCACATTGTATGGACAAATATCATATCCTTGCCCCCGTCGCCCCTCCTTCAGCCGCTGCAGCGCGACACGGTCCTACCCTTCGAATATTCCCTCCCGGGGCCCCTCGTAAGGACCGCCTGGTGCCGATCAAGCTGGCGAAAGGCCCTCTTCCACCACCTACCGACCCAGAACATGTTTATCATAGTGAGGATGAATGGGGTGCGGGTATGGTGCAAGGCGACCTGTTCGTCGGCTTCTCTCGCGCCGGTCGCATCTTCGTGTGCTTCGATTGGCGGAAGGCCCTCCACGACCGGGATAGTCTCGCGGCGCACAGCTCCCTCATCGAGTGCGAGTCGGATGGGTCCAGCTTTGACCTCGGTGGCTGGCTATCGGTGCGCGACCACCGCATCATGGTCGAGATCCAAGACCGAATTTATGTCGTCGCGCTGGACGACCACAACCGGATCCAAGACGTGGATCGTCCGGCTCGCGCGTCATACTCACTCGTCACGAGCTCGGCGCCACAGCTGGCCATTCCAGTTAGCTTCATGGCGTTATACGATGATGGGATCTTAACCACCTACACCGTATGTCTGTCGTGCTTTAGCCCGTATAAGAAACTAGAAGGCTAACACCGGATACTGCAGACCCTTGGTTGGCGCCCAACCCCCCAAGAACAACATAATGCCCGCGCCCGTATCTTCCCAACTAAAACCATCCGCATTGTCAGCTTGGCGCCCGATCTCTCTGTTGAAGCAGAACATGCGCGCGAGTCACCGGTGGCGGACGAAGGCTTAGACCACCAGGGTTCGCAGCGTCAGCCGGCAGGCGGGATCTGGCGCTCACAGCTTGGGATGCTGCAGTTGGTGAGCATGCTTGGGAACGAATTTCAAGACGTGGATGATGAACTGGGGTTGGAGACCGATGATGAGGACGACGACGAGGAGTGGGTCGATCAAGAGGATAATGAGAACGAGGCGCATTCCTAGGCGCAGGATGGGGTCTAGTGCTCAAGTTGTCCGATATTGCAGGCGTATATCGCAGGCGTAGATACTCAGCGGCCGGAAAATGCTCCAGGTTTGTCGATTCCCCTAGTCGAAGCTGTGCATGCCCATACAATGATCGCTGGGAACACTTGAAGTGTATGTACCTGGCGTATATCAGTACTCCTGGGTACGATGCTAACATGTGCTAGGACGAATAATTCAGCAATGGTAAAAGCCAATCGGATGAGGTAGTAAACACTCCAGGATTGGACAACGGTCCACGTAAGCAAGATCAGGACAATAGCCTCTATACGAATCAATTGTGTCGCAGTTCGTATCCATGGAAGCCACGACGACTATTGAAGCGTCCACCAAGCCTTCCTAGATCTATTCAGAGAACCTAGATCTCCGTAGCGCTTCTCCGTCGCATCAGATGCGCACTTGTGTCGGCATACTTCCGGCGTGTCTCTTCCCGTGTGCATGACCGGTTTCCTTCGTCGTTGAACTGGAGTGTCTGTATCGACTGTGCTCGAATTGTACATACGTACGGTGCTATACTAATACTGGACAAGGAGACTAACGGTGGCAGAAACAATGATGTGACGGGGGTTCACCGTGGTCCCGCTGTACCTGTAGGCGGAACTTGTCCCTTCCTCCCAGCTCTGGCTGAGAGAAGCAGGTCTAGGTCATCGTTGTAAACCCCAACAGTCCGGGACCAAGACCTGTCCTGTCTCCTGTGTAGACCCAGAGATAAACGACCCCGAGCAACGAAATCGCGCGGGGGCTGGGTCATCTGGCTTGATTTCCCATCGCCCTTGCGACAGGAACCGACGCCGAACAGCAAGAAGAAATGCGATGAGTTGCGCCTCGGTGCAGCGATTGCTATCAGGTGAACTTGCATTGTCAATGGAAGTCCACCACCCAGCTTCTCCTGACAGCACGGTGTCGCCTTCGCTACCATCCGACGCCACCAGTATTGCCCTAACATCCGACTCCGGCCGACACCATCATCCGACTCCCCAGTGGAAGATCCGAGTCGGCTGGTCAAGTGATTCGATTCCTTCCGACGCTATTGCCCCGTGCTCTCGCCAGGAGTTTGCGTTAATCCTTATCTGCAGACAGACGATGAACGCTCCCTCTTCAACCACTACCTCCATGTCGTCGCGCACGCCTTGTCCCGTTCTGGCTAAGCCGGCGAGAATCCCTTGACTACGCTGCTTCCCATAGCGGCAGTGCCAGACACCCTCACCAGCGTCATTCTGGGTCTTAGTGGTGGACACTGAAAGCTTGTGTATCCGGCTATCAGGAAACAAGCTCTCGGGCGATGGGGAAGGTATCTCTGATGGTTCCCCAGCGGTGTGGGCCAATCACAAACCAAGACTGTATAGCATTGGCCCAAGTCAATCAACTCTTGATCCGGCCAGATCGAACAGCCATTGTCCAGGTGTGCGCTGTGATCCTTCTCCTGTACTTGACCGAGTTCTATGACGGCACATCGCGCGTCTGGAAATGACACCTCAAAGTGGCTAGCACATTATTGACGTCCCCCGGCGGCTCGGGGCTGGGAACCTCCCCAGAAGGAGCGTTCTGTCTTCATTCTAGTATCTGGATGCCATGTCGACCATATCTCGCTGAACTGTCTCTGCGACAACTGTATCCGGTTAACGGACCTGACTTCTGCCCCAGGCCCCTCGCCTCCACTACCCACGTCTTTTCACGACGCTATTAGCGGCATGTCACGCGCCTGTGTATAGCGGTATGCTTCAACAATAGCTGTTCGCGAGGCACGATTCTCTTCTATTCACGGGCTCGTGCGAGCTGATCATCTATAAGGGTGACTAAGAGATGCCACGTGACCCCACCGAATACGGTAGGTCCCCAATCTTGAAGGGGCCTACCGTCGGCACGGAAGAGCCCCGGTTCCGAGGTAAATAACGACAGCACTCTTCACCCACAATGTATGGCGGCCAACCAATCTAGCCACAGAAGCGGCTTTCTGGGCTCCCAGGATATCGTTATTGTGGAACTGAGTCTCTTTCCGTCGATATTTGAGGGAACACTGGCTGTGTGGTCTGCCTGGCCAGAGCCACGGACGCCTGACCGAATAGGCACCGGTGCTGGGTTCTGGGGCGAAACTGGGTCTCGATTGGCGTGTTGCTACCTCATGCAGTAGCACTGTGTGGTGTAGTCTCCGCGAGCCTCGCCCGATACGGGCTTGCAGGCCAATCAGAAGGACGAACTACGGTGTATGATCCACTCGGGTCAGGAACGACGGTTGCTGGCGAGATCCACGGATTCTGATGCTGCAAAATTCCTTAACCAGGGTCCTTCGGAGACCTAGAGAGCAGCTTATTTTCGCCAACGTAGCCAAGACAGGGTGAAAATAGGTATGTGTACACCAACAGGATCATGGATAAAACAGGCCTATTAACCCACATTTCCGGGCAGGATACTCTGAGGTGCAGGAGGATTGGTATTCCTGATTCCCAACCTTGCAGATGCGCTGACCCTTCCGCTAAATGCACTGCCACTTCTGTGGCGTGAGCTTTAATATTTCCCGCAGCCGTGCCCCGGGGGAGCTAGACTGGGCTGAATTGGATTGCACGGAGACCCGAGGGGGATGGACCAGTATACCTACGAGATGGAGCTGGACAACTGTTCTCAAAACGGCTGTGGTGTTCTTGTCTGCCATACCAACGACCACGATGTGATCCAAGATCCGGACTATGTGCGCAGAGAGGGGAATGGCCCTGAGCCATATGAATATTGCTCGGATCACGAATCCCTTGATGCGGTGAGCCTTAGGGAGGATGGCGGGAGCGCGGATGAAGACCCCGTGAGCCAGTGGTATCAAGCTGGCTAATACCGCAGGACGTGCTACTCGGAGAGCCAGACTGGGCTCCTTCCATCCACAGAGATCGCCGCCAGGAAGTGGTTTTGCTGCTAACTTTGGGCCCGAAGGGATATAGTATCGATCAAGTAAAACATCTCGCCGGCCCAACCTGTCCTGTCACAAATGCATACTCGGGGCGTACAATCTCCATGGAGGCGATGAGAGGGTGTCGAACGGTACAATTTTTTGGTTTACAAGCAGCACTCCTGGGCTGGCTGGCAGCCAGACGGTCTGGACGAGGATTGGGAGCTCTCTGGAGATTGTTTTCTCTCGGGCCTTAGTGATGGGTCAGTAGCGCTCGATATGGCATGCTCGCAACCTGTGTGCCCTCCTCGAGGCCAGCTTGACGAGGTCGACCCTTATAACATGAATTATGGTGAGAGTACTGATCTACAGGGGAATGTCGATAGACGTAAACGGATAAGGGTACTAACCCACGGCAGCCGCCAGGTACGGATTTCGATGTCAGCGTCGCGCCCTTTCATCCGTGGTGTTTTGACATTTTCTGCCGCCAATCAAAAGCCCGCTTTAACCACGTCAACGTCTCCTGTCTGATGAAATGCTGCTATAGAGGCTTCTCGGGTAACCCCGCTGAGTTGCCGGGCAATGCCGACGTGCGCAATGGGGCTGAGCAGTGGTGGTATCACAACCCCGGCCACGAGTACCTAGCAGCAAACCCGCTCTATGTGCCCAATTTAGATGCTCTTCTTCTCGCAGCTGTCCATGAGGAGGAAGACCATTTCACTCCAGATATTGGTACATTCGATCTGTCTAGCCGCATACAGCGATCAGGGATTCCCTTTCCAGCCCTCCCGGCAGATTTCCTAGGATCCCTACCCTTGGAACTCCGACTCCACGTTGTCGACTTTCTTGGCTTGCGGGATATCGCAGATCTCAGACTCGCTTCCCGCGCCTTTGAACAGCTCCCCGTCAGCATCTGGTACCGCCTGATTCGCGATGAGATGCCCTGGCTTTGGGAAGCATGGGATGAGATCGAATGTGCTCATGTCCCTTCCATCTGGACAACTGTAACTGCAAATGACGTACAACTAGCCGTCAAGAAAAGGCAACATTACGCCAGTGTATTGAGTGACGAGTATCCAGAGGACAACATTGAAGACTATCTTGATTTCCCGCTATCGATGCCAATGACGACCCCGCGCCCACTCATACTACCTACGGCACGGACAAATTGGTATCAGGTTTACACACAAATCAAACGCAACTGGAGCAAGCTGAAGGGGTTGCAGAATTGCCAGCGTATCTGGGCGGATGTCGAGAAGGTCATTGCGCGGATCATGGCACACTGCTCTCTCGCAGACTAGTATAGGTGGAGAAATATGAAAAGCTCTTGTGCACGGAGTGTATATGGCCATAATAACCATGTCTTTCCCGCTGATTGTTGGCACCTAGAGCCATGATGTCCATTTCCTGACATTCGCAATTCATCATTCTCGGGACAGGCGACTTCAACCCCGGCGAAGCTAGTTTCCCTCACATCGTCCCATTGGCTGCCTGAGTGCTCTTCCGTGCCGGCCCACCATCTCTGATCACACCGGCGACGAAGCCATCTTGGATTATTTCTTCTGGACGGGTGACTTCGTAGAGCATCAGTTCGACGTGGGGTTTCCAGAGTCTGCGAACATGATACCGAGTGCCTTGGATATCTGGCGCCGCATGAAGCGCTTGGCTGCTACAACAAGATCATATGACTCCAGCTCGAACACCTGGCATCGCTGGATCAATCTGGACGCCAAGGTTCTAACACTGGAGACGAGGGAACTTGGCCTAGTCCTCTGCTGCTAGCTAATAGAGGCGGGGGATATATTCGTGGAGTCATGTGTTATATGTAGGGAACTGTTTGGTGTTCGTAATGGAGATATGGCTGCCGTCTTCCGGCTTTCTCAATGTTTTCTCCTAATATTTGTTTTTTTGCTTATCTTATAGGTAAAGCGCTTTTAAGTCTCTTGGTAAAATTTGTGTCCTAAAATCACATTTGCATTCAGTAACCGTGGAGCTCCCCCTCCTGGTGTTAATCAAGGATCGTGATAAATGGGTAGTACGCAAACTGCAGTAGCCTCACGGCCTAATACTGCGGAAGCAAGTGGCACGGACAGGTATATGTGTCTCTAGCTTGTTTACACTTCTATTGATTTCCATCCTCTTCTGTTGCTGTTAATTATTCTATTTCGATTAATTAATTTAACTGGGAGTTGGCACAGAAAATCAGTGCCTTAATATTCCTTGTCTTACGAATACTATCTGTCAGGCCATGCGAGAATAATTGACCTAATATAAGTAACACATTATCACTAACTTTGTTGGGCCAGAGACCTCGGCATTTGCATTATAGTATGGGAAAACCCTCAACGTAGGAGGGGACAAGGACCATACCGAGGCATCAACACCAGATATGTCACACTCAGTTCCTCGAATACTTGCTCCTACGCCCATTCACCATCTCGATTGGCACGCCCATAATCAACCTTGTCCGGCAGTGGTATATACCTTTCTCATCCCTGCATTTTGTATCAATCGCGCTAAAGTAGTTCTCAGCGGTTTTTTAAGAGCAGTTGTGCGGAGCACCTTCCCAAGAATCAATTATGGAAAGGCAGAATTGTAGTAATAAGTGATCCTCCGCTTAAAATGGAGACCGTCACCACATAACTCAGCCAGATGTAGAGCTGCCTAGCACTTTGCCATTGGAGGTCCCTAAATCGTAGGAGTAACTGGCCTGGATACCCCTCTTTGTGATCCGGCCAATATGTTCCTTAAATTGAAGTTGTATATCAAAGATAACTCCCAGGAGTTTGACTGTTGCTTGGATAGATCCTCTGCAGTCCTATGTGTGTCTAGGGTAAGGATCCAGTGCCTTATTCTTCGTAAAGTGGATAAACTGGGTTCTCTGGGCTTCGAATGTAGCTCCTGGCCGTGCCGCCCAGGTTAGGGCATGGGGGATTATTTCCTCCTGGAGGGTTAATGTGTTCTTGTCCGCAAACTGTCCCACCCGCCAACATGTAAAATCATCCACAAATGCTATTGCGCCCTTTGATCCATCGGTATGTCGACCAGGTCTGCGTCAAAGAATAGATAAAGGATCTGTGGGAGAGGCAATCCTTATGGTAGTCCTGGGTGAGTGATGTCCATAGCTCCCGAGCAGTAACCATTAATAATGATTAATGCTCTTCGGCATGAATAAAATGCGTCGCTCCACCGAATAAGCTCAACGGGTATTCGTCTTTTCTTTAGCCTGTGGATTAGGACTTCCTTCAGCACCCCATTATAGGCACCTTTGACATCAAAGCTGGTAACGCTCAGGACCTTCTTTTGCGACCATGCTTCGTGGATCTTTTCTACCAGAATATCTAGTACCTGTTCACTTGATCTTGTTTGCAGCTATATGATATTGATCTAATGTCGAGATTCCTTGACATATATGGAGTTGTACATCCTATCTTCAATCTCTGTTTCACACAAGCAGTCCATTATTCATGCAATGATACAAGATCTGATTTGACAAAAATTGAGGCCAGGGAATGCATCGCCACCTTGATGGTTCTAACTATTGAAGACGCTGACAAATGATTTCTAATAAACTCGCCAAGGAGTAAGCTATACGCATTCGTGTCATCATGGCTTGAGCATTATCTCCGACCCATTGTCACCGCTCTAAAAGATCTTGGTACTTGTATTCGCGATATCTTGTATTGTCACAAGAGAACAGGGGGATATGGCTATTTCTGGTCCTATTTACTATGCACTTTCGGTTAATATCCAAAACACAGTACCTCAAATATCCAGCCTATATCAGGAAGACATAAACTGACACTCGAGACATGACACACATTACCACCGATTTGGATTTATCAAGCGCTATAAATACACCAATATCTAGGTAGAGTTGGGGGGTCTGGATTAAATTCTGACCACGCTATGAATAGACCCATAAATCCAGTACATATAAATGAAGAATCTTCTAGACCTATTTTGTAGCTATTCTCCAGTTTATGTCAAAAAGCACCGCCCCGGGGCTGTGCTGTCCGTATGGCTTCGGTGGGGGTCCGATGGCTTGGCTGTCAGCGGTGACGACTTGGCCTCAGTCTGAGGGTTTGAGTCGAGTATACGAAGTACCGATTATTCTGATGCCTAGTTTGTGGGTCATCATGAACCATGAGAGTGGACATGTAAATCCAGATAGGTAGAGGAAGTGCTATGCTGATATAAAAAGAATGGGGCTGTCCTTTCTACCGGGGTATAGATCAGACGAAATCATGAGAGTACTGCGGATAGCGACCTTTCTTACATATCTCACATCAATTTCAACACATGCTATAGGTAACTAGCTCCAATCTAAAATAGTTCCCGTTCTCACGGCATAAGCATACTCCATAGATCCCCCCCAAACAAGAAAGACACTGGAGATCCAAGATGTCCTCGTACATACTCCCTTGAAGCAGATCACAGCCACAGAGGCATTTGACTTGACATTCCATCTCGATCAAAGCACGGAGATAAAACTTAGTCTTGAACCAAATCACGACATCTTTACGCGAACTCCGCAAATACAATACCTCGACACTTCTGGAGAGATCCGACATACCGAGAACCTAGACCAGGCAGAACACAGAGTCTTCAAAGGCACGGTTTGGGCTTGGAGTTCCAAGAGCTGGAAAAAATTCGGATGGGCTAGAATATACATTATCGAGGATGGGGAAAGCCCACTGTTTGAAGGCGTATTCAGTGTGGCTGCTCGGAGATACCATGTCCAAGTAGTATCCAATTCTGGGTCTCCAGTGGCATCGATGGTCGCATATCAAGTCTCAAACGAAGGACATACTGCCAGAGATGTCGCTATGCCCAAACAATCCTGCGCCACTGGACAGTCGCTATCCGCCCATACTGGTCTTCATGAAGTGTCTGATAATAGGACCGACCTCCATAAGCGTCAATCCCTCAACACCGACGCTCTGATCAATCGTATTGGAAATTCAGAAGGCTGTCCTACCACCAGACGAGTAGCACTGGTCGGCATTGCCACTGACTGCACATACACAGCATCGTTTAACTCGACAGAGTCCGTCCGCCGCAACCTTATTAACGTAGTAAACACGGCATCGGAAGTCTTCGAGAGGACTTTTAACATCTCTCTGGGCCTGCATAATGTCACCATCAGCGATTCCGTCTGTTCAGATCGCGCTTCGGATGCGACTCCGTGGAACGCCGCCTGCTCCGATGGTAACATGGACGGACGTCTACGACAGTTTACCTCATGGCGACAGTCTCTGCAGGACTCCACCAATGCCTACTGGACGCTGATGACAGGCTGTCCGACGCGAGGAGAGGTGGGAGTTTCGTGGGTTGGTCAGTTGTGCAATCCTCAAAACGGCGTTAACGTCGTAGCGCAGACGTCGAATGAATGGCAGGTTTTTGCGTAAGTCTCTTGGATAATAGTATTCAGCTGAAGCTCATATAAACAGCCACGAGTCTGCGCATACATTCGGAGCCGTTCACGACTGCACTGCGGATACATGTTCCTCAGGACAGTGCTGTCCTCGCTCCACATCTACCTGCGATGCTAACGCACAGTACCTGATGAACCCGTTCTCCGCCTCTTCTCAGAGCGACTTCTCGCCTTGCACTGTGGGGAATGTGTGCGGTCTGATCGGATCGGGAAACGTCCTGACGAGGTGTCTTATCAGCAACCGGAATGTTCCCACCATCACGGCCAACGAGTGTGGGAATGGCATCGTTGAGGAGGGAGAGGACTGTGACTGCGGCGATAATTGCGATGAGAACTCCTGTTGCGATGGGTCAACCTGTCGTTTCCGAGACGGAGCTGTCTGCGATGAAGGGGCCTGCTGTAGGAATTGCCAGTTTGCCTCTTCCGGCACGGTCTGCCGTGCTAGTAGAGGTAGCTGTGATATTCAAGAGGCATGCACTGGGGATTCCGGTGCGTGTCCCACGGATCAATTTAATCCTGACGGTCAGGGATGTGGAAACGAAACGGGCCTTTTCTGTGCCAGTGGCCAATGCACGAATCGCGACATGCAGTGCCGAGACATTCTAGGAATGAATAACACCAGCGTCTCGTCGTGTGACAATTTCTCATGCATGCTCAGCTGCTCTGATGTATCTTCCCGAGGATACTGCATGGGAACAGGCAGACAGGTACTGGACGGCACTCCTTGTAGCGGTGGACAGTGTCGCAATGGACAGTGCCGGCCGGATCAGGACAGTGACGGGTCCTCTTGGGTCGATCGTCATCGGTCTTTGGTAATTGGGCTTTCCGCAGGCGTTGGGGGTGCGTTGGTCCTGGCTGTACTGGGATGCATTATTGCCTACTGTTGTTGTCGTCGAAAGAAATCTGCTGCCCCTGCAGTGATGACTAGTCCTATCGCTCCTATTCCTCCTCCATCTCCTATTTCTTTTGATCGTGGGCCAGAATTACCCCGGTATGCTTAGTTCTCGTTATGATTTTAGCAAAGTGTAACGACGATATGCCGTATATGACAATGATAGCAAGTTATATCCTGCAGAATGCATCGCGTGTCTGCACGTGTACGTATTTAGCAGCTTCAACACTGATTGGATTCTTCTTGAATTTGAATGATTCATATTGTAGTGATTCTGATTTTTTAGCAGCCTTTTTTTAATCTTTAAATTTTATGATTTTTCTTTGATAATTTTCTTAACCCACCCAAGATACTTTACGGTCCTGAACCAGACTTCTCGAGAAGCTGAATCAATACGATACAGACGCTCTCATTAATTCTCACCGAAATACTTCATCTGATCCTTTCGTGGAATCGTTTGAAGATCTATGGCGATAATGCATAACCCTCTAGATCGGCAGCCGATCGGTCGTTTCTATACCAAAAAAGCAGGTGCAGCCCACTGGTGGCACGGAGTGTATATCCTCCTGCCTGATATCTCCAAGCTCAACGGTGACTGAATGAGAGTTATGTTCTACAGTTACTCCCTGCATCCCGAACTGGATTCAGGCGAGCCGATCTGGAGTATATATTCTGTTGCTATTCTCTTCTTGCTGTACCTTCACTTTCTTCTGTCTTTCATTGTTATGTTCCCTTCATGCAATGGCCCAATCCGAGATTACCTCATCCAATGGCACCATCAACCCCCAGAAAGATTGGTCAGAAAACACTAAGACCTCGCTGAACGAAGTGGAATACTCAGTCAATGTAGATAGAAGAGTCTTAACGGAAGAGGAATGCTACAGGGAACTGGGCTTCTGCTTTCCCCGCTGGAGGAAATGGATGATCCTCTCGGTGATCTTCCTGGTACAGGTATCGATGAACTTCAACACCAGCCTGTACTCCAACGGACTAAAGGGTATTTCCGAGGAGTTCGGCGTGAGTATGCAAACCGCCCGGTGCGGCGCCATGATCTACCTAGTGACCTACGCCTTTGGGTGCGAGCTGTGGGCTCCCTGGAGCGAGGAACTTGGGCGTAAACCCATCCTGCAGCTGAGCATGCTGTTGGTGAATCTGTGGCAGCTTCCAGTGGCTCTGGCCCCTAACTTCGCCACAGTGATGATCGGCCGTGCCTTTGGAGGTCTGAGTTTGGCAGGTGGATCGGTGACGCTTGGGATGGTGGCCGATCTGTGGGACACCGATACGCAGCAGTATGCCGTTGCTTTTGTGGTTTTCTCCTCTGTTGCAGGGTCCGTGGTTGGTCCCGTCGTGGGCGGCTTCGTTGAGAAGTTCCTGGCCTGGCGCTGGGCAACCTGGATCCAGCTGATCTTCGGTGGATTTGTGCAGTTGGTGCATCTTGTGCTGGTGCCTGAGACACGCACCACAATCCTACTGGCGAAGACCGCGAAACGACGACGACAGCAGGGGGAGCAGGTCTATGGCCCCTATGATGGTATCCCCTGGTCGCAGCGGTTCTCCATGAAGGAGATTGGTATTACATGGATGCGACCATTCCGCATGCTCGTGACGGAGCCCATCGTGCTGACATTATCACTGCTGAGCGGGTTCAGCGACGCGCTCATCTTCATGTTTATCCAGTCGTTGGGCCTGGTGTACCATCAGTGGGGATTCGACTCGGTCGCCATTGGGCTGTCATTCATCCCCATCCTGGTTGGCTATTTCCTCGCGTGGATCTCATTTTACCCGGCCATCTGGTGGAACAAGGCCGAGCGACGTCGCAAACCGGACGACGAACAGGCGCAGTACGAGTCTCGTTTGTGGTGGCTACTGTACACAGCGCCATGTCTTCCCATAGGGTTGATCGGGTTCGCCTGGACCAGCAGCGGGCCTCCGATCCACTGGATAGGTTCGATGGTCTTCTCAGCGCTGGTGGGGATCGCCAATTACAGTATTTATATGGCTACCATCGACTATATGGTGTGTGCCTACGGTCCGTATTCGGCATCGGCCACAGGGGGCAACGGATTCGCTCGTGATATACTGGCGGGCATCTTGACCGTACCTGCGACGCCGTTTTTTACCAGTAAGTATTTTCTATCTCATATTATTCTCTCTCTTGAGATCCGTTGGCTAACAAATCAGATATCGGAGATCGTCCTCTGGAATACGCATCCACCATTCTCTGTAGGTTCTCCCCCGTCCCTTTTCTCCACCATTCCTCCTGACAATCTAATGTAGTCTGTATTTCTGTCATTCTCGTTGCCTCCGTCTACCTCATCTACTGGTACGGTCCCACCTTGCGCAAACGGTCGCCCTTCGCACAGCAGCTGTCCATGTCTGATGGAAGGTTGAGTCGGAGGACCTCTTCGGTACCGGATTATGCTAGAAATGTCTGACTTTGGAATGGAGAGGGTGTATATCGAGTTATTGAAGAATAGAAAATAGTGAATGGAGATAGATAATTGTGTAATAAAATCCACATAAAAAAGGATCCTGGTTGCGACTTACAAAGAAGAAATCTCGAACCGTGAATGTGAATCTGACCTCTTCGTCCGATGACTGTTCTCCTCCTTCTCGATTCTCAGAGATGATTCCCAAATTCATCATGCAGGTGAATCGGGCCCAAAAACTGACCATTCACGGAGATGGACATAATGTACGGGGAATCCTGGTAGCAGGCGATGCTGTAGAAGCACTCGATGTGATTCTCCAATAAGATTTCGTCGGCAATATAACACCTAACTCCACGTGTGCGAGGTCGCGGAAAGGATATTGAAGTGTTTAGATTCACATAAAATGAGTGGTCAGCGATACTGGATCGAATTTCTTGACGATCCACCTTTCAACGATGGTATATACTGGATTGAAACTGTGCACGCTCGGTGGAAGCAGTGCACCAGTCGACGAGGGATTGGAGGCGACAGTACTTTGGTATTGCCGTGGTAACAGAATATTCTGGGCAGCGCTGCCACCTGTCCACCAATGTGCAAATACCGGCGTAGATACCAGCCTGATTTGATTAGACCTATACGGCAAAGAGATACAGAACACAGTAAGCTCTCTTCATAAGCAATAGCCATATCCAGACACTCCAGTATGGAACCGATCTATGGCAGTTCTCTTGAGCACTAAACGAGACAATCTTCATTATTAGATCTCTGTATCTTCAGTTGAGCAGTTCATTGTATTTTCCTGTCATCTCCTGTAGGAATGACACTGTTTGTATGCAGAATCTGCTGTACGTGGATGATCAAGTCGACGCTTGAGTCGGACACGTTATGGGTGGATGTTGGAATCAATACATTGCTTCTCTTTTGGGTAAGCTCGGACTTTTCACGGAGATAAGCACCACTACTCGAAGATCCCCAAACGGATATAGTCTTGCAATGAAGAGCTAGCCAGCTATGATATTGCTCTTCATGCCCATCCACTTGGAAAAGTTCGCGGTGTTTACCCTCCATAACCGAGTATGGGCAACGATTCGCAAAACGAGGGAGTTCGCGTAATTCTTTCTTCAATCTGGAGATTATACTCTGGATGATATAAATTTCTTTGTCCTCTCGACAACAGACCTAGTATCCCCGTTCCCCGATACGCACTCTAGGAGCTTTAGAGCAACTCCCTCTGGAAATCATTAACATGATGCTTATATAGCTCGAAACTCGACCACTGACGGATTTTTGACGAGTAAATGGATGAGCCAGGCAAATTTTAGACTCGATTCCACAGTACAAGATGATCATCCTCCTCGCCCTTCCTCAACCCGGGGGTCCTCAGCATTGGTACTGGCAATCTGTTTTCTTGTAGGGAACTCTACGAGACCTTTTGTACAGCTGAGTGTGACATCCGCGGTGACGTGGGAGGATATCTGTGTCTGATTACATGCCGCCGTATTTGTTTCTCTACTTCGAGAAGGGTGAGTACCTTCCACTTCTACGAATGGACTCTATACGGCGGACTTCGCCGTGAAGACATACCAGACTTACCTTCCATGAGAAGTCTTCCCGGTCGTTATTCACCACAGACTATCAAGTGCCGCACTCGACCGACATTACTCGATCATAACGCTGCACGACAAGTTGGAATTACCCTCCATGAGAGTATCAGCGCCAAGGAGGGAAAGGAGTCTGGAATAACATCTCAGTGGCTGGAAGAATACAACTCCCGGAAATCACTATGCATAACAGGAGTCACAAATCTGCACCAACTGAGATCTCAGGATGTCTTTGATGAAACCTCATCTTTTCCCAATCTTTCATGTGAATCATTCGTGCACCATTTCGAAATCCTCGTAAAGGTCCCATGAATGGGGCTTTCATTGCCGCAGTCAAGGGTCTTCATAATGATAGACCGCTTCATTGGTGTCGAATTTTACAGATGAAAGCTTCAGGTAATACGTCGGAGAGTGTAGAGAGATTAAAAATGGGAAGCACAACCGACATATTGACTGAAGAGTGTAAACAATGAGGACAAGTTATATGTGTTATAATACTGATACAAGGTAACTGCCTCGTGTAATAACCACTATTAAAACCAAAGGAACCAAAGTCACCACTCCTTCAGCTAGGTATCTGGCAGGACTAGGTAGCCCTTCCTTTCTCCCCGGAATTGTCCAATTTCTCAGTGGCGTATTCATAAGGATCTCCTCGCCCGGGGTCGATCAACTTTCAAGTCATCCTCTTTATGGTTAAAACGTAAAATATTTTATACTAATTGGAGTAATCTCGTGCCGAAGTGCAGCATTTCCAGCATCTATATTGTCTTGTGGTATATATGACCTGCCCGCTTTGGAGATGTTAGAGCTATGGTAGACACCTCTGACTAGTACAAAACACTGCCTTACCACGGTAAACATTACGCGCAGGAGGGTTATCCACAACAGCTATATAAACTCCTCCTCAACCTCTGGCTTATTTATGCATTTCATCCTTGTCAGGCTTCACATTGTGTCGTGCGCACATATGGAGGGAAGGATCCTTAAAATGTTAGTACAAAAATAAGCACTCTATGTGATGCTCAGCGTTTATCTGAGCTTTTTCGACATCCATAGTTACTGGAAAAGTGCCATTGCTAGAATAATTAAAATCCTACATGTCATCCGCATTTCTAATATACCAAGGCCAGCCCATATCCCTCCAATGTCAAGAACCCTGCACGGTCCTTCTATCATCTCCCACGTATCTCACGTAGCTCTAGTAAAACAGGGGGATCATTGTAGATATTTCCGCCTTAACTTGGGACATTACAATGCGCCTTGCGCCTAGCCGTTAGCATCTCTACTATTTACAGATGATGGAGAGTGTGAATACTTACTGTGTATGGGGATTCGGATACTCCTTAATGCAAGCCACTACGTGGGATACCTCTTGCAACTCCACTGTAGGGGAGTGATATCGGCGATGGTCTCGTTTACATTGAATTATCAAACTAATATGGTGGCCTCGGAGATGTTGCAGTTGGCCATCCATGATGGCTGTAAATTAGAGTGCGTCGTTAGATTTTGTAACAAGACTAGTTGTGCTGATCTCCAGTACTCGCTTGTCGTTTGGTCGGTCGTACTGACTGCTTATAACCAACTTAGAAGGCTGGAATTCACAAAAGTCTCGTTGACTGTCGAGATTTGGCTGTATTCTGTGGGGCCGCTTCTTTTCTACGGAGTATAGCAATGGCGGTGTCTTTTAAGTATTTGGTTTCCAAAAAGGAAGGATGAATCCTCCGCATTCCGAAAGGATTTGCGAGGCCCTGGTCCCAAAGTTGCGCCACAAAGGTATCTTCGAAGTATCGATTTCTATAATCACCATGGTGTGCGTTTCGACACTAACTTCATCCAAGGGCCGTTCGTGGTCAAGAGTCTTATCTTCCTCTAGCGTAAAGGCCACCACTCCCTCAGCAATGATGATGGGACTAGGCCAGTTAATGACCCAGCTCCAGAAAATCATATCGCTTTCTTCGTAGGTGCGACCGCCAGCGTTGAGAATCTGATAGTAAGGTGACATGGGTCTAGAAGAGTAAACACCGGCTGGAATGAACTGTGGATATAGCATTACGGTACAACTCTCGGTTTACCTGCTGTGACATTGTTCTCGTTATAATATGGGCACAATGTGATATGTCTGTAGTCAAAGTGGATAGTCCAGAAGAGCTTCATTACTTTGAATATTTCTTCTTGCAGAGTCTAGGGGACTTTGAACTGCCCAAGTCCCCTCGCCTGGGTTTGGCCAGCGCTTCGCTGAAGGCCCATTGAGATACGGAGAAGAGGAAGGAAAGGGAAGGGACCTGGAGGGGATTGGGTTTTTTATATTTACGAATTTCATATTCCCGATTCATCCTCTAGGCTCTTCGCAATCTTAATGCGCAGTCAGTAAGATAATACAGTTTTACAGCGATAGACAAATGAATGAACCGATAAATGTCAATTCAACGACCTGGACGACTCAATCCGAATCATGCACCGAAAGTATTCATCAATATTAAGACGCTTGGTTAGGCAATCAATCGGGCTCTTGTCAGTAGCTAGCTTTCAAATGCAGTAAGGCTGCAGTTGTAACACGGGTAGTGAGCACTTCCATTGTATACTCATCTACCCACTGCTGTGCTTTGCATGAGAAACACCGTTCCATGCAAGTTGGTTGCTATGTTTCCATATACTTTATCGACGTTTGGGCATGTTTAAGCCACCTTTTCAGCTAGTAGATAGTACTGAACTTTTTGAGATGCTTGAAACAAACATACTCAAAAAAGAGGGGACGGAATATATTGTTATCGAGCCTTTACATAACAGTGTAGGCAATGTCCCATGGAATCTTCCGTTCTATATCCTCTTAAACAATAGTACAGCGATGATCGGTTTTATTGCTTCACTACACTTAAAAGATGGATTTGTCTAGCATTGAACGGAGCTGTAGAACTAGAGGCTTGAACAACTTACTATACAGGACATAAACATATTACTTTTTTATCTCCCGAGAATGTGATCGCGGTGAGTGAATCGCCCATCTCTTTTTATCTGGTTATAGAAGTCCTGCGCCCAGTGTAAATGATATCTATCGCCCAGCTCTGTAAACAGCTTCAACGACATCTTCTGGTCCTCCAGATTCTCCGAGTGGTTGAATGGCGAGTAGATATAGCGTCTCTGTATAGGTGGCATCTGTTTATCCCAGCCACTTTCTACAGCCTGTCGCGCCACTGCGATGGCCTTAGAATCAGTAGCATATGCCAGCGGAGTGCCGCGAAAGATATTCCGAGGTACTTGGTCTAGTAGAAGAATCAAGGCCAATGCTCCTTCCCCTTGGCCAGTTTGAATCCATGTATCGAGTTTACCCTCTTTCGCCGCTTCGTAGGTTTCGCCAAGATGAGCGCGCACATAGGCATCGTCGGCTGCGCCGCCATACCAGAAGGACTTTTCTTTTAGGTAATCGGGGGAGGACCTGGGGCCGAACCAGAAGTCTAGAACATCTTGATAACTTTTGTTCAACATGGTGGGTCGAGTGAAACGGACCATTGGCGACAGTTTGGGGGAATAGAGAGGGAGAGAGTTAGGAGTGGAGGAGAAGTGCCTGAGGAAAATGCCAAGAGCGGAAGAGAGGCTATGGCGTCATAGGTGAGCCGGGCTAACTATAAATACCCTCAACACGAGCCACGGTTGAAAGAAAGTCTACTAGTGGCATTCTTGTAGAATTTATGCCTCATGTCTCGACCAATCATACTCCCTCGGTGCTTGCGAAGAATAGCAGGGACCGAGAACTTCTCCCGTATTCCAGCCGCACCAAGAACCTAGGCTATTATTTGCATATGCTCATCGGGGAACAGGGATTGTGTTGCTCAGGGCAGCTCATGCGCCAAGCACCCCTTCTTCACAACCGCCCATAGAATGGCGCTCAGCGCAGCTTCGTGCCAATGTTTTTACCTAAAGGAAATATTTATCTCTGGGCATTTTGTGCCGATACGAAGACCTGTGATTATTCTTCACGAGATGAATTCTTCAATGTTTTGATCTTATCAGCCAGATTTGACTATAAATGGGCCATTGTTTCCCCGGTTCATCGGATTCAACAAAACCATAGCTTCTACAAACAACTTTTGTTGAAAACATCATTCAAAGGAAATTCCAATCAGACTCCATTGATTCATCATGCGTTTCGTCTATGTTGTATCAACCTTGCTAGCTGCCACCTCAGCCGTGGCATCAGCTATCCCTGCAGCCGCGGACGGTGCAGAGGTCGTTCCAATTGATGATGCTCCTGGTAGGCCCCATTCGTTGAATCCTCTCTTTACTTTCTGACTCCGTTGAACAGAACTGGATGCACCTAATCCTACCGCTCTTGTGGGTGAGGAGGACAATACGGAGCTCGATATTGAAGACCCAAATGGTAATTCTCTGAACATTCTCCTCTTTGGCTCTGTGCCTAACTATTTGGAAGATTTTGAAGAAGCCGATGATGTGATTCTGGAGAAGCGTGGAATTTTCGACAGCGGAGCCAATGTCTGCAAGAAGAAAGGCATGAAGAATTGCTACCATGTGAAATCGAACGGCCGATGCAAGAACCTCGTGTCGAAGAACGGCAAACCATTTGTGTCGGGTCGTGGGGATGGCGGATCACTCTGTACCGTGTATTCGCAGAAAGGATGCCCGTGGATTGCCGGAAAGAGATTTGGTTTTGACGAGCGTGGAGGAAACTTTGGATTCAGTGCCAAGAGTCTCAAATGCTCAGTGAAGGTTTAACTGTTCTGGGATACAGATGCAAACAGGGTGTGCCAGACCTGAGCTTTATTGCTTCATCCCGCTATAGTATGTCAGCTGCCGGCTTCTGTATAGCTTTAGGTTTGAATACAACCTGGAAGTGTGTTCAATCAACCATGTTTTTCTAGCAGTTGGATTAACCGTAAATATACTGATAGATTATAAACTATATTCAATTCAACCACAAATATTCTTATATTCACGACTCGGATAGTCGACAACTCACCTTCATGCTGGCCTTTTGAGGGTTCATTTTGCCTAGAGTACTTCATTTCCTCTACTGTGTGCCCCTTTGTCTCCACGAAAAAGATGTATAGAAGAACTCAAAATAATCCCCAAAGACGAAAAACACGTAAAACTAATACTTAATCTACTATGACGATATAAGTGTATTGTTAAGCATTCAGGACCATCAAAGTGTGAATAGCGAAATAAAGAGGTTCTCGCATTCTCTAGCGCCACCGGAGCAGCAGAAATATTCACGAAACCTGCCACACCGTCTGTTAATTTGAAGGTTCCTATGCCCTTGGCTTGCATGTCGTTAGACAAGAATTCGCCGGGGTAAATAGGCTGCATAGAGGTAAATGCGAACGCAAAAACCAATCCAAAAATGTAGATAAAGGCAATGGCTGCCGTGGAGGCCACTGTATTTGCCGACTGCATGAAGACCGCGGTGGTGGCAGCCGTCACGTAGAGGCAGACCACCATACCTGCCATGGTACTCGGTAACATCCTGCGACGGCCTATAACATCATGGAAGCGTGTTCCGACAGTAGCTGTGATCCAGCAAGTAAGTGCATAGATAATATTAAGCACGGTTTCTTGTAGGTGTCGCGATAAGCCCGCGGTCTTCGCATTCATTCGCTCCGCGGCAGAATCTCAGTTGCATGAACCATGTCGTGGTTCCTAGCTCCTGAAGCTTCCTAGCTTAAAAGGTTGCACTCCGACACTAGCCTATCTAAATTACTGGGTTCAGCTAACCATTGTATGGCAGAGAGATACTCTGACATGGCCGTGGAGACCTCCTTCTCCCCTAACAGACCATCTCGGAAGGTCACATTGAGCTCCAGTTGACTATCATTACGGAAATGGGGGAACCACACGAAGCCCAGGTCGGCCCGTGTTGTAGTATGCAGAAGCTTAATCGGGTCAGTTTCCTCCTCAACATATTGTTCTCCAAGATAGGTAAAGAACTGTCGCTCAAAAACGCTTGCGAGTACGGCTGCATCCTGTGTGTCATTGGCCTGATCCAGGCGTTCTAGACTGGAGATGATTTGGTCCAAGGGTGCATGCAGAAAGTTCTCCAATTCATCAGTTAATGTAGCAACCCTTGTCAACAGCTGGGCCGCGGTCTCGTTAGACTCGATGGGGATGCGTTCTACATGGCAGGTTACGGTAGGTCCGTCAATCAGCAGAGGATTAACTACTTCCCCTGTAGCCGTGGCGTCGTCGTTGAGCGGCCGGGACCTTCCCAGGTTGGTTGTGGCAAAAATTGCCTCCTTCGCACCGGTCTTGTGGACATTAAATAGCACGCATGCAGCTTTGGCAACTGCAGCTGTGGTAAGACCCAATTTCTTTCGGACCTGTGAGATCCGCGGGAGGTGAACGAGGCGTGTCACTGCTTCAGTGCCGACGCCCTTGCCCTCCTTCACCTCTGTGGCTAGCACTGGTAATGTGGCTTCGCTTGTAGTGATTTTGTCGTCCCGTGTAGTTCTTCCTGGAGGCCAGATGGCATGTCCGGAAGATGTGATCCCCATAAGCCTTTGTACGTGGAAATTGACACCTTGCTTTGCGGAGTCTTTCATCCGGAATCTTTCATAGTCCGCTGCGAATTCACTGTACGGATGAATGTTCAAGGGGTATGCCTCGCCTCGAAACAGCCTCTTTAGATCCTTAATCCACTGAATCAGAGTAAACGCATCGTAGATGGCGTGGTGCATGGTTATTATGACACCGATGCTAGGCGGCTGTTGCACTTGAAGGGTTGTCGCCTTGCACATGGGCCCTGTTACAGGGGCCCAATGATCTGCGCAATCGATCCTATACATTGTGAGCGCCTTGGGGTTTGTAACATGACCGCCCTTGCGTATTTGGAGGTTCATCAGACGTTGAGTAGGGCGCATAACCACGTAATAATCTTTGTCTCCCACTGATACGGCTGTCGTGCGCAGCAGGGGATGGCGTCGAACCCACAGTTGCAAGATGGACTCGACATTGTCGAGGTCAATGGACGGGTCGGCCATCCAGGATATTCGCACATTCCACCGGTCTGGTTTTGCGCTGTCCCGGCTCATGCGTTTGAGTAAATCAGTCATTGGGAAAACATCCTCAACATGTTCAGAAGTGAGTCCCAGGGCTTCCAACCTCGTCGCAATAGCAGCCTTAGTTCCTGGATAGGTAACAGTATGCCGAGAGCTAGGTGGTGTTTCACTGCAACTCGGCTCATTTTGGTTGATAAGTCGACAGGATGAGCTACTTCCCCCAAAAAACTCTGCTTGCTTCTGAATCGTGTCGAATATAACCAAGTCCTTTGATGTGATCCTTGTTCGGAAGACTCCGCTGGCTATGTGGCAAAACTGTATTGATGAGAGACTGTCTACAAAGCTTCGGACGGGCACATCGATATCCATGCTCTCCGCAACCAAACCGGTGACTGAGGCCCAACATCGTTGCACGTCGACTAACACGTCATTACTGGATGTCCTGAGCGAGGGAGACTTCTTTAGGTAATCCACGACCCATTGCTTCAATGTTGCCTTGTGAACCTTGCCCGCCATAGTCTTTGGGTAGCTGTCCTCTTTCAGATCATGCCTGAGATCGAGGATGATGCGCGGTGCGAACGCAGGTCCCAACTCTTCGACGACTTTGCGCTGGATGGAATGTACGGGCAAGTCATGCCCTGAGCTGCGGGTGACGATGGCGACCGGCACCTCGCCTGCAACACTATCTGGGATACCAACGACATGCGCAGACTATCCAGAAGAAATTAATACAGAATACATTATATTTCGACGGCAGACGACATTGTACATAATAGCGGGATTCATACCTGGACTTCAGTGATTTTCATCAGGCACTGTTCAAGCTTGAGAGGCGATATATTTTCTCCGCCCCGAATAATGAGATCCTTATACCGCCCCATGATGTGGACGTTGCCCGTCTCATCCATCAATGCTTCGTCACCGGTGGGAAACCAGAAGCAGCCATTCTCTCGGTAACATTTCGCCGATGTGTCATTGAGATACCCTGCAAAGACAGCGAGGCCGCCCTGGTGCAACTCACCGGCCTGTCCCCTGGGGACTGGGATCCGGCTATTGGGACCACAGATACGAACCCCCAGCCCAGGGAATGTGCGCCCGCATGGAATCGCTTCCCCCACCGAGTCCAAGGCGCTACCGTCCATGATGTTCAAGAGATTGATAAATCCCTCTGTGGTGCCGTATCCAACGATCACCCTCGTAGCAGACAGAGCCTTAGCCTGCTCAAGGGTGTGCATAGTGACTGGGGCACCTCCCAGTGAAATGGAAAATGGGGGCCGTGGCAGCCCTTCACCCGGCGCTAAATAGTCTTTCAGAGCTTCGAGCATAGACGGCACGCACGGAATATGGACATTGTCAAATCTCTTGAGAGTCTCGAGGGTGGAAGCAGGGTCGAAAGACGGTTTTGGGAATACCACCGTCGCCCCGGCCAACCAGTAGGCTAGTGTGAAGGTAATGCTGTATGAGTGGAATGCTGGCAGATGCTGACATATCGTGTAGTTCGGAGCGATGCACAAAGTGTCACGTATCCACTGCGCCGCTACAGTGACGCTAAGAGACTGATGTGGACATGCCTTGGACCGCGAGGTGGTGCCGCTGGTATAGACGATAAGTGCAGTTTCTGCCTTGTCTAGGGGCTGAAGTGTCCGCGAAGTATGACTAGGCTGCCTGCAAATCATGTCCCAGAATACCGTCCATTGACTGTTTCTGTCAGAACATCCGTCGGATGACACCATACACTTCACAGAGGGCTGATTTCCGGATGTTGGCAGCACAGGGTCCATCTTCTCCGCCATCGTTCCATCGGAAACAAACACTGCGGCCGGTCCAATCTCTCCAATAATGTAGGATAAATCCTCTGAGTGGTCCAACATTCGTGGATCTAGTGGGATGAACGGACATCCCATGCGCAGGGCTGCCCAGAAAACGAGTGCCCATTCAGCCTGGTTGTGAAGGATAGCCACTATGTTTTCCCGGGGGGCGACTCCTCTACAGATAAGGACAGCTGCCAGCGTAAAGCTAAAGGATTGTAGCTGAGAGAATGTCCAGCATAGGGACGTTTCTCCATCTTCATCAGCGTCCGGTGTCTTGGCATTGTTCGTCTGATGAAGTGAGCAAATTGCTCTTTGGTGCGGTCGCTGGTCTGCAATTTTGTCTAACAGGACGATAAGATGATCATGAGGAGGCTCAACCTCCTCGTAGACGTAGGACTGGGGAATGGGTTGCGTCAAAGCATTAGCCATTTTAAGTGCAAAGTTGGGACGTGCCAGATCTGTTTGTTTGAGCTCGACGAGATTCGGCTTTGTGGGTAACAATGTGCGATGGGTGTACGGCACAGTCGTGCAGTTATAGTGAGCATATAAGTACTGTCAGCAGTTTCGTGGCAGCGCGAAACTTATTGACCAGTGCCTGGTCTCTCAACAGATGGCGTTCCCGCCATCCTGCATACTTTGGATCGTCAAGTATCACACTCAATAAGATACCATTTCTGGCTTTCGATATATCAGGCTTCCTGTCAGTAGCGATAAAGGAAACCAGAAGCCGAATGGGTAACTATATGATGTGCTGCAGGATTGGTATGCCGCTATTTGTCCATCTTCGCGGTCCTTCTCAAAATAACAACGAACCAGGAGGTCCATAAGTGCTTGGATGCATAAAATGTTCGATGGCTCGTGTTGGTCTATCCACACCAGTAGTAGCTAGGCAAGTAAGACCTCATCGTATGATGCAGGTAAGTGACGAGGATAGGCACTGTGGATCCGGTAGAGTTCCAATAGCGCATATTACTCTTCGCTTGCCCGGGGATTTTGACTTTGTCAAATTCGGCTGCTATTATGATGATCTTAGCTGGTTTGGGCAAATATGACACGTAGATTGCGGTATAAGACAGATACAACGTAAGAAATGACATATCCGAGTTGATCAATATGTCCTACTGCAAAAGGATGCAGGGAAAACTATCTATGTGAGTCCCTCCAAAAGTAGCAGGAATCTTGGAAACATAAGCTACAGTGAGACAAATGAAATGTATGGGTTGAAGTGACAACTATGCAACCAAAGCTATCAGTTATGAAAGCCTCGACATACATATAAGTATATGTCGACAGTCTCCCACACAGCAAACACTTTCTAGCTGCCATAGGCCAGCCGGACAATTTTATCTCTTTCACTTTCTTCGTTGCCCTTGACCATACATTCACAATGACTTTCCTTTCTGAGCCGCCCCAAACGTCTTTAGCAGAGGCCTGGGATAGACACCCCATAGCGATGCCAATAGAGAACCTGAGCAATACGTTAAGTCGTGCCGCGGCAGAGCACCCGGATCAGCCTGCTGTGGTTTCCCTTCATCAGTCGCAATACCGTGACCTAAGTTCGAAAAATTGCGGTATGGATGGAGCTCCACTCAAGTGGACTTTCTCACAACTGCAGGAACAAAGCAGAAGCTTAGCAACTTACTTTTTATCGAATGGGGTAGTTCCAGGCCGCGCGGTGGTGACGTTCCTCTTCAACCAAGCAGAAGCGGCACTACTTTTCTGGGCCACGGCCCATATGGGATGTCGATTCGTCCCCCTTGATCCTAGAAGTCTCGACCGGCTTGATGAGGCATCACATTTGCTGAGAACGTCGGAGCCTGCAATTATTGTCGCAGATACAGCCCAGACGGCAGCTCAAGCCGATCGCGCGCTTCTTCGACATTGCTCTAGTTCAGTTCCCTCTGCACTCTGCCATCGCATGCTTGTAGCGAGAGAGACGGAAATTACACCAGAGGGATGGTCCCATTTTCCTGAGCTTGTGAAGAACCCTGCTGAAGGCTATATCTCACTGTCTTCCTCAGCGCCTTCTTTGCCCGGAATACATGTTCACATGGAGGACCCAGTCGTCATGTTCTTTACTAGCGGCACGACCTCACTCCCCAAGGCATGTCCGCTGAGCACGATAAATATTGTCACTCCAGCGGTGTGTTTAGCTTCAAAAATAGAAGCCCAAAAACGTGACGCCGTGATCCAGCAGCTGCCACATTTTCACAGTTATAGCCTCGTTGTCAGCATCGGGATCTGGCTCAGTGGGGGAACGGTGGTGTTTCCAAGCGCTCGATTCGAACCAGCAAGCAGTATTGGCGGAATGGAATATGCCGCTGTTAATGGCTGGAAGATGCATCTTCCATGCGTCCCGTCTATGCTTCAAGCAATAGCATCACACCCTGCCTGTCCGGCTAAGGTCCCCGCCTTGTCATCAGTCATTGTTGGAGGTGCGCCAGTCCTTCCCGAGGTGCTTGCGATCCTTAAAAGCCTTGGCTCACAGCGCATTGCTGTGGGATTTGGCATGACTGAAGGGACTATAACCCTGCTTAGTATCATTGATACTGGGTCTCTCCGCCCCCGGCACATGAAAGAGGTGTCAGTAGGGACTGCTCAATCTGGGGCTAGGGTTCGGATCTGCGCTCCCGGCAGCCGGATACCCCTCCGTCGTGGCGAGGTTGGTGAGTTGCACGAAGGGGGTCTGCCAGTGTTCCGAGGCTATCTGGGAGTTTCTGACCCGGCTTGCTATCGTGAAGATGGGATGGACTTTATTGCCACCGGTGACCAGGCGTATATGGATCACGTCGGGCAAGTATACATCATAGGACGTTACAAAGATATCATAATCCGTGGCGGGGAGAATATCTCTCCTGCTACAATTGAAGGCTGTTTGGGAAATGTGCAGGGGGTTATGGTAAGTGATATTGGTACGGCTTGTGTCGTCAGCAGTTCTTACAGTTCGCTAGGCTCAAGTCGTGGGCGTTCCAGATCCTGTTGCTGGTGAAGTACCTATTGCTGTCGTTCGGTGCACAGCTCAAAAGGTCTCTGCGAAAGCGCTACAGAAGATGGTGCTGGTACAGCTAGGACCGGCCTTTGTACCTCCAACAGTACTGGATCTGCAATGTGACCTTAACCAGGAGCAATTCCCTACAACGTCAACAGGAAAGATCCAGAAGTTTCTTCTACGACAATGGGTAACGGAGCATCTGGCGCGTTGTAGCTCCATTAAAGGGGGTTTACTTGTTGAGCCTCTCGATACGCAGCTATCCATACTCTGGTCTACCCTCTGCGGTCAACATGCCTCGGATATTCTGCCCGACACTTCTATATTGAAGATAGCGGATAGCATGATGATTATACAGTTCTGTGGGCTCGTCCGCAAGGAGCTGCATAAGACGATCACGATGCAGGAAGTCATAGAAGCGGACACAATACGAAAGCAGGCTAAGCTGTTGAGGAGCAAAAAGGCGCGGCCTTCAGAAGATACCGGACCAAATATTCAAGCTATACAAAACTCTATATCGATGGACGAGCTACAACGGAATTCCAAAGAACAGCTAACCAGACTGGGTCTTGGATGGAGTGACGTAGAATATGTCATACCTATGACAGACACCATGAAAGTGATGGTGAAAGGTCGACGCCCATACTCGTGGAACCACCGCCATTGCTTGATTATTGATTCGACGAAGCCCGAACAGTTGGTGTCGGCGCTGAAACGATGGCTGGAGCGCCACCATCTGCTACGGAGCACTTCGATCATTAACAAGGATACAGCCTTTTACCTCGTCATGCGTCCGCAAGAGAGCTGGTTTCTCCACCAAATTGTGATGGGAGGGAAAGTAATGGATGCACAGGCTTTTTCTGCTTTTCGCGCAAATGACTTAAGCTATGATTTGGTAACTCCCTCGGGTCCACTGGTGAAGGTGACAGTCTTGGACGTGGGAGTTGGCTCGTCGACTATGGGACTCGTACTTCACATTCACCACTGCATCTTTGACGGTCTAACCATTCAGCGATGGTATCAAGACCTGGCCCAACTCCTTCGAAACTGCTCGAGTGACTTAAGCTTCCATCCGTACAGGGACTTTGGGCTTTTATACCATCAGTATCGCTCCGAGCGTCTGGCTCAAAAGTCCATCGACTTCCATGTACGTAGGTTGCGTGGGGTATCCACTGCCAAGGAAGCATTTTGGCCGGCCCAGCGATCCCCATACTGGCTAAAGGGAGACGATCAAGGATGGATTCATGATGATGGGACCCCAGGCCAGACGGCAGAACGCATCCCACTTGATGGACTAGAGTCTCGCGGTACGGTTGGACTTGTCCGGACCGCACACATTCCCAATCTGTCCTCTTTGCGGTCATCTTTCGGCATTTCTCCGCCATTTGTCGCGAAGTGCGCCTGCGCCCTGGTCAATATGAAGCACACCGGCGCCAATGAAGCCATCTTCGCCAGCATAGAGTCAGGCCGCTCGCAACTACCTAACAATGGCCCTACTGCTGTATCCATTGATCTGTTTGAAGTCGACGGTCCAACCACTAACGAAACCCTGAATAGGATCCGGCTAGAGCCCGGAGAAACAGTAATTCGGTTGCTCACTCGCATCCAAAGGTACCAAAGTGAGATTGATTTGCACTCACATGCTCCTATTTACGGCGTCCGTGATGCGTTGGCCCAAGACCCAATTACTGGAGAAGCGGATGCGCGGGAGTACATCAGTTTGCTTCAGCGCCAGGTCTTTGACTGGCTCCCTCCAACGAGAGAGGCAAATAATGATCTGTCTGTGACCCTTTCCCCGCTCAGACTATTGGAGATACTCCCTCGCACGGATCTCGGAATAGTCTGGTTTCCCAGTCTATCGGATAGCGATATTCTGGAATTAGAGGTAACTTATGACGACTCTCAGCTTACTACAGCGGAGGTTCGACAAGCGATGACAGAGTTCATGAGTGCGACGGCGTGGCTGGCCAATCCAGACAATATCCAGCGGCCAGTGAGTGACTGCCAGTTCGACGGATTACAGATCACAGATATCGAACCACACTATCGATATCGGCGTTGATTAACGCATATTGTTGTCACTGTTCATTTCTGTCTTGTATTGTAGGGAGGTGACGTGACCGAAGACTTGTGTACAGAAATTCTTTAGGTCTCGACAATATATAAACTTTAATCACGGTAGTCTGTTTATGCGAAGAGAAACCTTTCTTAAGAAAGAACACTAATTTTGAGACGACTATTTATATACAAATATCCTGCGATACTATAAGATTTATTGGTATTTTGATGAGGAGGCTGAATTGATTGTATCAGAAAGATAATGTACTACCTAACTCCTCTATGAGGGTAGTTAACTTATTGGGTATATAATAATACATGTCGACTAAAATGGGTCTATATTGCTGATTATTCAGCATCCTCTCAGTCCGGCCTTGTTCCTTTGTTGACCATTTTTATTTATTCAGTTCTCCCGGATAGTTTCAGATAGTCAGAGACCTTACCTTTCAATATAGATGGATCCTTATCCATAGATCAGTGATACTAGCTCATACGCGTATTCAGCTGGCAGACAATACATTTCACATGTCCTAAACAGGACCAGCTCATTCTGACAGATACTTGAGACTTCTCCAACCCTTTATTTACTGTAGCGAACCTACGGTAGATCAGAGGAATTGGCATCAGAATAGAGGAACTGTGTAGTTGGAATTGAGTGAGCGACCCAGTTATCTCTCAGAATAACTATTAGATACATCTGACCCATATGACCGTGAAACCCCTGGCTAGTGGAACATCATTATTCATACAGAGGGCTCTAACCATAATCGTAACATTTACAAAGCGTCTGGCTTGATAGCGTAGCTACGTCCCCCGTATTTACTAACGAGACACACAAGACATGATATGCACGATGGAAGCTTGACCAGAGAACTGGCCAGATTTTGTGGCACCCTGCCAGCCACACGACTTCCATATGAACTGCACAATTGAATCGAGGATATGTGTATCCCTGGGAACATAATGACATCCATAGTGGCATATAACCTTGTGCGTTCGGAAGCACCGTGCTAGCCGGATCGTCTTTTCAGCGTCGACAATAGTATCTAAAAGGCCTATGACATGGCAAGCTGGAGTGTCCAGCTGCCATCGATACAGACTGTTGTAGAATTGAATTGTTCCTCTGTATCCTGAAAAGCACACGACAGTCTTGAGCTGATACTGCGTGGGAAGACGCAGAAAAACGTCTACTGGAAGATTCTGGGCCCGAATTGCGTCTGCCTTCGTTAGGTTGCTGCGACATTCCAGGAGCGACACAACCATGGCAGCAAGAGCAGCACCTTGGGAAAACCCGATGATCACATGCACTGGATTGGCGCTCAGGAACCGGGCAATCTCCACCAGCGCCTCATTCAGGTACTTATATTCATACGTGTCGTCGGCACCATACCACCAAATGCGGTTGTTCGTGCTGTCGAGGGTGTCAAATGCCAGTCCAATGGGGCACTGGGCGCATCGCGGGGCGTCAAGGAAGAGGCATTCAATTCCGCTGTACAACTTCAACAATTCCTGCGGGGTAGTCGTCATTATCTTTTCCACCAAAGGCCTTGTTTTGGCCTGGAAGCGCCGGGCAGATTGGGAATATCCTGGAACATGCCCGTCAGCTACGGATACCAAAGCAGTTCTAGGAAGCGGAGTAACCCGAATAGTTTATTATTACCATGTAGCATCAAAATTCGGAAATTTTCAGACTGCGGATGACTCTTTGTGTCCATGATGCTAGTTGTCCTGGGGATTCATCAATGTCCACAGACCGAAAGATAGTGGGCGGTCTATCTCTAGTGCTTTAATATGTTACGATTTATGAGTTACATATATGTTCGATCGTAATAACCCTGCCACAGCATCCTTGACATTCGTCTCGGGTACTGTGTTGACTCGAAGACCACTATGACACATGTGTCCTTCTCTGTCATCCGCTAGTATTTACTTGGAAACACAAACAGACTAATATGGCGCTATTACCCGTGGCACTGCCGGGGCTGAGTGTTCTAGCCTAATATAGCTTCTTAAGTGCTCTAGAGTTTATAATGGTCCATTTCGAATCAATAGCAGCATCCTTCTGCGAGTTAATCATCGATCAATTGACGAATGGCGCAAATAACATGACAGATACGAGTGCAGTGGCAAGAAAACTGATAGCCCAGCCGTCGTCCTATGCATCCTCTAGCATACTTTTGAATATTGATCAGCATGTAGACTAACAGTCCGACGCTGCATAATGTAGTCAAGTGAGCTATCACATATGTACCTGATCGATCAACTTCTTTGTCGGGAGGTTCCGAACGCAGAGTTCAATAAGCAAGATTATAGGAAGCCTACAGATGAATTAGGGGCCGACTAGGTAGAAACTCGTACAAGTATTGCATGTGACTACAGGAATTACCTCGTTTTAGAGCAAATAATGATCTACGAAAATTGCAATATCCCTGTCATAGTGTCCCCTAAGCTATCTACTGAGCAGGTTGCTAAAAGCCATCTTGCTCTCAGACGGAGTCTTCTCTCGGATATTGACGAAGTAGAGAATATGGAGCTGATTATACAACACATCGGTCCTTTGACCCTAATAACGTGGGCGGGATGCCTGATATTGCTACACGTATGGACAGGATACCTGCTAGGTCACCCCCAGGAAGGTGCAATGCTAATTGAGCTGACACAGGGTGTGATAAGAATAATCTATTTCTTTTTTTTCCATCCCCTTGCCAAGTATCCAGGGCCGCTGGTCGCCAAATTTACCGACGCCTATGCTGCTTACCACTCTTGGAAAGGCAGCATTCATCTGGACATTAGCCGATGCCATGAAAAATACGGTCTGGCCAACGACTGGACAAAGGCATAGAAATCCTTCACGTCTAGTGGGCTAACTAATGAGAACGTGTAGGGGACTTTGTTCGCTATGGCCCAAACCGAATCTTAGTGAACTCCGCTGCCGGTCTGAAGGGTATATAACTTTTTTTATTTGCTACTACTCTATCCGTGGTCCATACTGACCTTGTTCGTTAGACATATACGGCCACGGCAAAAACGTTCGAAAGTCCCCAGCATACCGAGCCCTTATACATCGTGTCCCCAGTACATTCACCCTAGTCGACAAAAGGGAGCATAGCTGGAAACGCCGAATCTTGGCACAGGGATTCACAACTTCCACACTGCGAGATCTGGAGCCGCACATATTGGGCAAGATCGATAGATTTTGTAAATGCATGCTTGAGCATGGTGAGGGTCGCCCCCAACAAGGCGGGTGGTCCAGCCCACAGAATCTCTCGGATTGGTGTATGTGCCTCATTTATTCGTGATCAAGCCCTCGTCTGATATGTCCCAGGTTCATACCTCAGCTTCGAGATTATGGCCAGTGTAGTTTTCGGTCAGAAATATGACATGCTGGGAAGCGAAGAACACCGACATCTGATCAAAGATATCCAGAAAAGTAATATCCGGGTGTCTGTTCTGTACAACTACATAACATTAAGATCCTTGCACTTGGACCGACTCCTATTCCCAGAGTCTATGAAAGGACGGCGTACGTTTCTACATTACATAAACCTCTTCCTCACCCATAGCAGTGCTAGGGGTCAACTATCCTCAGGGCACTCTTCGAACTTGTTTCACCTTCTAAAGACTTTTCGCGACCCTGAATCAGGGAGACAGTTCCATGCGGCTGAGCTACGGGCCGAAGCAGCTACTCTTATTGCAGCAGGTATGGAAACCTATGTGTTTCGAGGCTCGTATCGAACCAAATATATAGACGCTGACACTTGTATTATGAAACCCGAAGGCCTTGAGACAACATCGAGTGCAATGGCAGCCACGTTCTTCTATCTTTCCCACTTTCCAGTGGTGCAAAGCACACTGGCCGAAGAAATTCGCACAACATTTGACTCCGTTGACTCTATTCACATGGGGCCGCAACTGAAATCTTGCCGATATCTGGATGCTTGTATATATGAAAGCCTCCGCATGTCTCCACCCGTATCCTCGCCAACATGGCGGCAGGTCGAAAACAGAGGAGCCCTGATTGATGGCCGGTTCCTAGAGCCCGGCTGCGATGTTGGAACCAGCATCTACGCTATCCACCACAACCCGCGCATCTTCCAGGACCACGGCACTTTCGATCCATCTCGGTGGTTGGAGCCGGACAGTCGAGCCATTCGGGCTGCTTTCGCACCGTTCTCTATTGGACCGAGAGCATGTGTTGGAAGGTCGCTTGCACTAGCAGAGTTGGCCATGGTAGTTGCTTCTGTGGTGTGGAGATATGATCTCAGGCTGGCCGATGGCAGTCTTGGTAGAGTTGGGGAAGGTGGGAAAGAGCTCGGAAGGGGTCGCGAAAGGGTCCAGGAGTTCCAACTCTACGACCACATCGCAGCTGCTACCGATGGACCGTATGTCGAATTCCGTGCCCGCGAGGCGTAAATAGCAGAAATCCGCATTTAGGATTCAACACATATTTAATCGACTTGGTAATTTTGGAATAGTGGCTGCAACATAGATCTGCATGCGGATTTCATCTCATCTTCGCCTGCGATGAGTCATATCCACATAAAAGCAGAATAGGTAGAAAGGAACTCTCCTTCTCTTCATAGCTAATTGCGCCTATATGCTGGCTGATCTCGTATCGGTCATGTTACTAGACTCCTGCCTTTCGTAGATTATGCGGCTCGGAACTATCGATGCGCCATTGAACTCAACGTGGAAGATGAAAGCTGATACGTCCATTTACTGAAGTATATCACAACGAAGTCTCGGACCGTCCTACGCCCATCTGACACGGCACATGCCATGCCGCTTTGTGTATGTGGTACATGTTTCTTGCGTCTCCATTTGTCGGCGAATTATAAACATCTCAATAAGTCCATATTTGACTATCGAACGTGGAGACGCACAGTTTTCCAACAAACCTTGAAACTCTACATCTACCTTGAGGAAGCCCCGCCATCAGAACAATTCCATTATAAGACCAGTTTCATTAGAACCCGTTGACCTCCCATGTCCGTTGCCATCACACAACACACTGGCCCTGTTCTACTACACATTACCATGGATTCTCCCCGGACGGACGTACACATTCCTGATGTCGACATTTGGACTTTACTGTTCGAACGAGATGATCTACAGACTACCTGTGGCAGAGGTAAGTAAGTCGACGCCTTGGAGCTGTGGCTGTCGGTTGCATAACTGACAGGCTAGCCTCGTTGACTGACGCTGCCACCGGTCAATGCTATACATACGAGGTCATTCGCGAGCGTGCCCTGGCATTTGGTCAACTCCTCCAGCAGAAATGGAACTGGCAAAAGGGCGATGTTCTGGTCACACACACGGGAAACTCCATTGACCTCCCTCCGATTATATGGGGAACACTCGCTATCGGGGGCGTCGTCTGTCCAACGAATCCGCAATACAATGTCTCGGAACTATCATTTGTTCTAGGCGATACACGGGCTCGGGCGGTCGTTACCGATAACGGTCGTGAAGACGTAGCTCGTGAGGCAGTGAAGCGTGCCGGAGCAGCCTCCGATGCAGTCATTTCCCTCGCCTATATCAGAGACGAATTGTCCTCTAGCCAGTTCAAGAACGTTTTTCGGCCAGCCATTACGTGTCCGGAGAGTAGTCTCGCTTTCCTGGTGTACTCTTCGGGCACAACCGGTCGTCCAAAAGGCGTGATGCTGTCTCATCGGAACATGGTTGCCAATGTCATGCAGTCCTCGTTGGTCGCTCGCGATCTGTTGGGGGCGGAAGGCCGTATACTGGCCATGCTCCCGTTCTTTCATATTTATGGTGTGTTCCCAACGCTTGTCCTGTAAGCTCGGTCCAAACTAATTAATCTCTGAGACAGGAATTACCTGCCTCTTGAGCCTGCCGCTGTATCTCGGCATCCCGATTTTTGTTATGCCACGGTTCCAACTGAAGGAGTTTTGCACCGCGGTGGAGAAGCACCGTATCACCTGTGCGTTTGTGGTCCCCCCTGTAATCCGACAGCTAGTGTTGAATATCGACGAAGTCCGTCAAAACAATCTTCAGTCACTGCGGGTAATGGTATCAGGTGCTGCTCCACTAGATGTCGGGTTGATTCATACATTGCAGAATGAGTTAAACGTCCCCATTTCTCAAGGGTTCGGAATGAGCGAATGTGCTCCATGCACTCACTGGCAGGTAAGTAGAGAGTCGGTTCGTACCAGCAAGTATGGAACTGGCCTTGTCTCACAATTCGCCAGACTATGGAGGAATGCCAGCATTACCCTGGGTCCGTCGGCCGGCTGCTCCCCAACATGACGGCCCGGCTTGTAGCGGTTGATAGAGGGAACGATTCGCAGACGGGAGAGCTCTGGGTCAAGGGTCCTAATGTCTTCTTGGGGTATCTGAATAACGGTCCGACCAACAACGAGGTGTTCTCCGAGGATGGCTACTACAAGACAGGTGATGTAGGATACCAGGACGTTGATGGGAACTTCTACATCACAGACCGCATAAAGGAGATGATCAAGTACAATGGGTTCCAGATTGCGCCTGGGGAGTTGGAATCTCTTTTATGTCGTCACCCAGCAGTCGCTGATGCTGCAGTGGCTGGGATTGAGCACGACGGCACAGAGCTGCCGAGAGCATACGTGGTCTTGCGTTATGGATGCGACTTAACCCCAGATCAAAACACGGCGAATGCTCTCATGGAATTCGTGAACGGCCTAGTTATCAGCTATAAACGGCTGAGGGGTGGTGTCAGTTTTGTTGCCGAGATTCCCCGCAGTCCGGCAGGGAAGACGCTGAGACGAGTGCTGAAGGAGTTATATTCGCCAGTGTTTCACGATACCTGCCACAAGCGGATATCAACATAACAGTGAGTTGGACGGATGAAACAGGGCATACAGCACGGCGTTTGTGATATAATAGTTACCATTATTTAGCTTCCGCTGTGAATTACTGGTCGAATCTTGACGATCGCTGGGAAATTATTAAACCGTGAACACCGTTGTTCCTTACCGTCACCCACAGAAGTGCGGAAATAAATCATAAAGATAAGGGTGGACGTACCTTACTCTCATACGCACCACAGTACGTGGTGATCATGTGGCAAAACTACTTGATGAGCAGGATACCGTCGATCTGAACTCTCGGGAATACTTACGCCTTAAACTCTATTACTTTGTGCGGTAGGGTAGGGCATAAGGGCGTTGTCAGGCTGTTGCTGGGTATCAACATCGTAAATTAATGCTTTGTTCAATATGCTTAACATCAAAATTAATAAGTTTTCCCGAGCCTAAGCTCGCACTCTATTTTCATGCCGCAAGCTCAAGGCGCCCCCCACGAGAAGAGGTTCAGATAGCTAAGGCAGTAAGCTCATCGAACAGCTGCACGCAACCAGTTGCCTAACATATGGAACCATATATCATTGATATTCTAGGCCACCATAACCACCATACCTCCTTGGACGGCGCGCCTCTCTAGAATGCAGGAAAAGGGGTTAAGTACTCGGGGGTGTGAACACCGCACAATAGGCAACCACCTAAGATGCAGATCATTACTTCTGCTCTGCAGCCCTGCCGCTACTACACGATTATGTTTCAGGGGTTTATACAGAGATTCGATACCAAATTACTCTAGGAAGAGGGATACCAAGAAATCGAATTTTCTGATTCAAACCAGGATCAAATATTATTGCTCCGCTGCACTTGCATTGCAGTATGGGAAAACCTAACATGGTGCAAAAAACCATACCAAGGAGACAACACTGCAGATCATATCCCTCCGTCTGAATGAAAGGGCAGATTGTGCTTGGTTCCAGACTTCACATATCGCAATCGCCAATTCGATTCAATTCATCGTATCACACACTAAACTTTCAATATCCTCAGGAGGATAGAACCTGTGGGTGCCTGGTTCAAAATCGGCAATCTCCGCATTGCAACCGTCGTATCTATACTATATGTTAGTATTAGTCTTGTTATTTTTATTAATAACATACGTGTAGAAACTACATCTTGCTGTGTGCTTTACATAGTCTGCCTGCCTGCTTAATTGTTATCTTAAGAGCAAGATTCTAATCCTAGCTATATATTTACCAGACACCAAATGGGTTGCAAACACCAGATTCAGGGTAGAATTGACTACTGACGCCGTCTGCAATGACTTGGACCTAGTTGTAGTTAGAATTAAAATAGTTCAGGAAGATTAAAAGAAGAGCCTTGTAAGCTACAGATATCTTGCTGTAGTCATCACCCTGGGCTAAACCCAAAGGCGCAAGAAGAGGAGGCCGTTAACTGGAGGAAACCCATTATGCTATCAAGGGCTGGGGCGGAAAAGTTTCTACAAGCGAAGACGACTGCTAAGTACAATGTTGTGGAGGTAATTAAAGGTCTGCTCAATGGGAAATACATAGGATGGGATATGAAGGAATATTAATACTTTTGTAACTAAGTTAACTACGGTAATATTGATTATTCAACATCTTTCTCGGTCAAATGTTAATGATACAACATCATCAGATGGCCATCTATATTTTCTATATTGGTGCAATACCGCTCATCACACGGCCGGTTAGGTGGGGGACCAGGCGAGATTGTGTAGCGCTATAAGCTGTAGGGACAGTCGAATATGGGAACCCGGGGGGGCAGCCTTAGATGGCAGGCTCTGGAGAGGACTTAGGGAATTCTCTTGGGTCTTGCGAAGGAGTGTATTGCTTAAGCTATTTCTTGAAGTATCCTTCCCTCTTGTCTGCCACCTTAAGTAGCAGACCGCTATTTAACCTAGTGTCTACCAAGGTCTTCCAGCGCACTGCCGTGGGATCGTATGTTATGGGATCATGTTGTCTTCAGAGTGCCTACGTGTTGTAACCATATTCGTCAGGCACTATAGTCTTAGTTATCCCCCGGGATGACATTAGTTAGTTTACATTCTTCGTTTGTTTATCTCGCCTCTATAAATGTGAGACGTTTTGATAGTTTAGTTGAATCAGAGACCTAATTTTCTATGGAGGATCGGTACTTGCGAATATGCGTATTTTATGGTTGACAGAAAATAAGCTATTATAACATAGACACCGTTAAGCCTTACTAGGAAATAGCATAGGACTCCCTATAGTAAGAAAACAATGGAACATATTGGGTTCCTAATTCTGGATAGATAAGGGGTTGTGTTGTTCTATTTACTACATTTGTGTCAATATACAGAGACGCTGAACAATTATGACTCTGCTAGGTACAGCCCTAAGTCTTTTAAAATTACCGAATTCGGTGATCTTAAAATTGAGAGATTATTTCCTACTGTCTACGTTATCGACCTCTACTGTCCTCCTTTTCCTTTCCTTACATCCATACACTTAGTATTCTTCATTAATCTTAACCTTCTTTCGCAGACTATAACACTAGTAATAAAGGTTAGGTTTCGGATCATATAAGACGAATTATCAGTTTCGTGCTGCACAGGTAGATTTTATGGACCCTAAGCGAATCTTGACGAAATAGATAGCTCCATAGAACATATGAAGGATGCGAAGAGTTAGCAAAATTCATATACAAATATTATTCTGAAAACGAGGATGAAGAGATAGAGGCAGCTCTACAGGAATCCCAGAAGACTACAGAGTCCGGTGACTCCTGGCCATGAAACAACTCCTCCACCACCTCTACTACCTACACCTGGACCAACTCCAATACTTCAATCAAGAGTTCAAACTCAAAGTTATCGGGACGACTCACCTAGTCGAATTCTAGAATCACTGAATCAAGCGGAACATGAAGAGCTCGCAAGCTCGGGGGTCGAAAACTCCTCTGAACGTGCCCGAGGCAGACGACCTAGACGAGTAGTTGATACAAGCAACATTATTGAAGGCACATGATCAAGAAGAAAGAGAATAGATGAGGATTATCAGTCATATGCTACTTATCTTGAAGACGAAGAGCCAGACAGCTTGCTAAGTGCATTTGCAATAGGATTGTGTTCTCAAGCACAACAAAAACAAATATACCGAGATGATCTACCTGCTCCGCCACGTACATGGAATGAAATGCTCAAACATCATCTAAGGCATGAATTTATAGCTGCATGCTTAAAATAATACAATGCTATTATAAATAGAGGCACTGTTAGAGTAGTCGAACGGCTGGAAACAAAAGCAAGAATGATTCCATTAACGTGGGTCGTTACCTACAAAGTCAACGAAAATGGACACTTCGTGAAAGCGAAAGCACGTATCTGTGTGAGAGCAGATCTTCAAGCAATCTCAATAGAGGAGAAAAGAGCTACAACACTCGCTGCGCGACCTTTAGGAATATAATGGTCCTAGTTGCAGCATTCGACCTTGACACAACCCAGAATGACGCCACAATGCTTTTCTGCATGCTCTATTAGACGAAGAAGTCTATGCAGCTATGCCAGATGGGTATACAGTAAAAGGCAAAGTGTGGAAGCTCCTGCGAGCACTCTACGGAGGTGACATCAAAATCGTAATTGGTTAGTATGTGCCTATAGCCTTAGACGATTTGACACTAATCAGCATCTATGTCCCAAGATCGTGGAGGTACATTTACTGACATCTGGGCCAGTCTCCCTGGGCAGTTAGACATTATCCTCAAACTGCTTTCAGTAGACCCATCCAATTACCAAGATGCACCACCCGAAGGTAATTATTATAAAAGGCTTAGTAAGATGCAAGACTACTAATATAGTAGGCATTCGACGAATCCTGTCACACTTTTACAGCAAGGAGCTCCCCTGTGGAAGCCTTCTACCTAAAAGAGACATCGAGTTTATTCGGATGGACACTACTGTCCCCACAAATGCCTTTCTTGAACGTAAGGGTACGAAACACGCGTTCCTTGTAACTAAAGGATTTCAGGATCTGTTGAAGATTGGATATCAATCTAGGCTGAGACTGTTCGATCTTAATATCGTGAAGCCGGATGTACTGTATAGTGAGATGCATGAAATTGAGACTAGAATAACTATTGAGGGGTTCGACAAGGACCTGGACGGGCTTTTCGACTCCAAAGAGGAAATCCCTGGATTCCTTCTTCGTGGCACAAGGGGATAAGTATTTTGCTGCTCTGGGAGATCGTGGCAGGGTGTTGAATAATACGTTTTAGATTCTCTTTGTATTTGCCTAGGGGAACATGTTGCGGGTGTCCAGGTAGACATGCGTCATTGGCACCAAACAAGATGGCCTTGTGGGATTAGTTGTTTGTTTCTGTGGAGGAGGGATATAGTTGCATTGCATGGACTGTACCATAAATCGAACAGTCCCTTGTTCTGTCGTGGGAAAAAATTGGAGGAATACTTTGATAGCCTGGGCTGTGTTGTAGCCGCTAGATAGCCATATTAGGCAGGGAACGAAGGAATCATATAGCTGTTGTCTAGTACTTGCACACACACCTAAGTCCCCGGTTGATTATGTCGAGGCGCCGACGATAGGCTATCAACATCAGTGTATGGCACGGAGCAAAGCTCACGATGAGAGGGGAGCAAAGTAAATCTTTAGGCAGGGCAATGTGCGAAGTAAACTAACCGTCTTGCAAGGCGCCATGCAAACCAAACCCAGTGTCTTGGATACTCGACATCTCCGTGATGGAGTCGCCGAAGAGGATGAATTGATTATATGGCTTATATGGGTCGTTCGCCTGTGGTTGGGCGGACTGCGACATTGTGGGAGACGGCTATATATATTTATTGAACCTATGCAACGTCAACAATGACTCGAAACTATCACTAGGGCCGCTAGAGGTGGCGAGCTGAGCGAGTTGTCGCGGGGCTGAAGGAGCTTCCAAGCGAAGCAGGCGGAAGCCGTGAATTCATTTTACAACTAGAAATGGAGCGCGAAATTGACCCCGAAAATGAATGCCCGGCACTAGCGCCGGCTACAGCTGGATATCCACCACGCCTGTTCCTGCCAAGCAGCCTTAGTATTCGTCTCCCTGAGTGAGATAATAACTTATGTTGGTCAGCTGAATACACGTATAAGCTAGTACTGATGTGACTCAGGGGGGAAGAAGGCAGTAAGCTCATCGAACAGCTTCACGCAACCAATTGCCTAATATAGGGAACGATGTATCATTAATATCCTAGACCACGATAACTACCATACTTCCTTGGATGGTTGACTCTCGCACCTAGAATACATGAAGAGGGTTGAAGTACACAGGGGCACGTTAGGCAACCACATAAGATGCAGATCATTACTTCATCAGCTAGTATAACCGATCACATAAGAATATAGATCTGGATTGAAAAGGATAAGGGCTCTTAGGTCTCTAACTACCTGAATCTATCTGGGAGATCTGGATAAAAGGTAAAAAAACAAAAAAGGAGCAAAGTCGGACCGATCAGATGCTGAATAATGGGTAATTGGCCGGCAACTTATAAATTGAACATTGGGGCCGCAAAATATCTAGTCCTAACTTATCACGCCGGCTTTTATTTCACATTCTCCCGCCTGGTATATCTCCATTAGCAGCCAATAAGAAAACTCCCGCAACGGTGGTGACCGCTTCGTTTTTAGCAGCTGTCAATAACTTTTCGGAAAGGGTGGCATGTGCACATTTGTCAGCAGGGTACAAGGTGAGCCAAAACCAGTCAGCCGTGTGAATATGTAAGTCCGGGATATCGAACTGATTAATTCAAGTCCTTTTGAAGTCAAAGCTCCGTACCATAAGCAATGACGACCACAAACATCAAAGCAGTCTTCTTTGACTTTATGGGCACATGCCTAGATTGGCACAGCGGGACCATCAAAGCATTACCACAATCCATTTCGGAAAGTGAAAGATCGGATATCGCTCTCAAATGGCGCCACGACTACTTCGCTGCTAATGCTGCACGTATCGCTGCCAATGAGCCTGTCGAGGACATCGAAGTCACTCTTGGAAAGACCCTCAGTGCGTTAGTAGAGACGCGTCCAGCCCACAAACGTCTCTTTGATAAAGAGACAAAGGAACGATGTATAGCTGCATGGCACTCGATGCCAGCATGGCCCGATGTTGCCCAGGCAATTGAGCAGCTGAAAGCAAGCGGTTATGAAGTATTTGTCCATGCGAATGGAACCACACGACTGCAACTCGATCTCTGCAAATCATCGGGTCTATCCTTCGATATGCTGTTCTCTAGTCAGCTACTTGGCGTCTACAAGCCTGCTCCAGACAGCTACCGCGAGGTGTTGCGATTGGTAAATGTGAAGCCAGAGGAAACAGTGCTTGTTGCTGCGCATGCTTATGATACTCGTGGTGCGAAGAAAGCTGGGATGAAAACCGTATATGTCCACAGGTGGACTGACGACATCAATGAAGACATGGAGGTTGTCAAAGGAGAAAATGACTTCTTCTTGGGGGACATGACAAACCTTGCCGGGGTTATTCGGCAGCTTTGAGTTTTGCATTTATTGAGACCATCGGGTAATATGAGAATATGCGACAACCACTCCTTCAGTGTGTGAAACTTGAACTATGGACCGCCTCAGGGTTTGGTCTCAATCTTGGGAGGATAGAGAGGAAATAGGCACAGCATGTGATAGATGCCAAGTTACTTCATACGAGTACATGTGTCTTGTTCCTAACTTTCGATAGAATAGAGAGATCAACGAGTTAGGTCGAAAACGTATCAATATTTAAGAAAGCAGGGGTTATCTCTAGTCCTTTACTGTATATACATACTAACTTACCCATTGCTTCATGAGGACTTGGGCAACTCATGAACCCCTCTCGACTCAAGGACACGTCAGTATTTTATGTCAAACAAGTAATAGAGCTAATGATTCTGTACAATAATGAATTTCCCATCATATAATTTAGTAGATGTGGTGGGCAGGAGAGAGTGACTCAGTGTTTAAGGACGGCTAGAATATCCTTACAATGCTCGACGCAATGTAGATTACAATCGAATTTCGCGTCGATGAGAGTCTTCAATTAATCGTCGTGATTCTCCGACTAAAAGATTCCTCAAGATGTTCCCAATCTACTCCGACCTGTTAAAAACAAAAATTACGTATTGCGTATTTATAACAGGCTGGATGGAACTCAAAAGCCCACTCTAGTCATACTCAGAACAGGAGATAGAGGCATTACAAGAGGTCTGCTGTAGGAGGTCTATCTCGCAGCATTGGGTCCCTAAATAGAAGGCCGTCAACAGCATATTGGAATCGGCGATGACTCTTTTCTTTTCCCCTCTTAACTGACGAAAGCAACCCAACTCTTAACTGAGACTTCCCTGCCAGCCTTACAGTTCTAGAGGAGGGCCTCAGTCAAAGGGCATCACGATTGCTGTTTTTAGACGACGGCCCTTGTCATCAAAATCTCTAATGCTTCCCTCTTGCGTACGATGCATTGGACAATATAGTCTCGATCAACGGTGGAAGGACTTCCTGGGGTTGACTGTGGACAGTTTCTCATTCCCCATTGTCCATATTGCCCAGTCTCGCACAGAAAACGCATTCGCCCATTGACGAAGCTAAACAAAAAGTCCAGAATCTGCTGGCTCTTCGTGAAAGTCCTCTTGAACAGAAAATTTTGGATTGTTCGCCCATGTCCCTGGCTGACTCTGTAGTCACCCAGACAGCACAGAAAGAGATGTTGTTGCTCGGGGGGCTGCTGCCCTCCATTGCCTATGGTGAATTGCCCCAGTACGCCGAAGGTAAGTTCAATGGCCGAAAGGGTGAGGAGAATTTCTGGGACGGATTTGTCGCACGTAACACCCGATGAATCGATTGCATGTGTCTAGCGCGGCTGTGATGGACTTGGTGGCCAAGTCAAATCGGTCAAAGTCTTCGCAGGAGGTAAGCTGGTAAAGCATGGAGATATTAGCCACTTGGTTCGGAACGCAGGTGCAAAAGCTGCGGGCTCCTCATATTGAGAATAGGTGATGGTAGGTCCACTGTTGCAGAAGAGGTTGGACTGTTCAATTGGCCGAAGAAATTGCCTTTCTGTGCCAATGATTGTGGACCTGAAAAGGCTCCCTGACTGACAGACCGCCTCCCATGAGTGATATCTGTAGTTGGATTTGAATCGGTCCTCCAAGCATCCAGATTCTGCTGGGATGTAAGGGCTTCGTTGGAGATTCCCCCACTTGAGAATCCGCTGCTAATATTGAGGGTTGTCGGCCGGGAGAGTGCCTGATAAATCATGATTAATTTGCGGATATTGTTGATACCAACAACATGCTTTCTTACAGATCACTTACTGCTTTGAAATGGTGGAACAAAGGCGCTGGGCTTGCTAGAAGGTTGCCGGCTCAAACACGGTGCCTCCATCGCCTCCCCCTTGCCCTCCAATATGATGTTTTAACCGCTGCACCCGCATCTGACGCGTTTTCTTCAAAGTTTTTTGATTATTGCTCCCTTTCAGTTTGCCTGCTCTATTCTGGTAGCCGTGGCGACAAGATAGCCCCTTGGATGAACAGCGGGAGCACGGGGAGCCACCAGAACATTTTACTTTGCAGTTGTGACAGGGTTCACAGGCTAAGCGTAGCTTTCGTTTATTGATTAGATTTCCTTGTAGAGATTCACTGGGGCTGGCCAGGTAAGGCACTGCGGTGGCCATAATGCGGTCAAGGAGAGGTGTCGAGACTGGGGTTTACACTAAATAGAAGTCAACAACTAAGGCAGCGTAGCGTTTCCAAAATAAAGGAACCCCCCGGAAAAATAAAAAAAATAAAAAAAATATCAGATCAGCAGAAGCCAAGTTCGATGGGGTGAAATATGAGACATCGACTGAAACTAGTATTCAGGCGTGTACCAGGCCATCTTTTATCGGAGTGAAATTCCACGATAGGAAAAGGAAGACGAAGATCCCAAATCTGCAGGGGTCGTTCCTCAAGCCTTCAAATCTAACCTGGAGGGAAACACTGAGACGAGAACAAGATAGCGGGGAAATTAGCGACAGGAAAACAGACTTAGTGTGATGATCTTGCTATGGGTTGTAGGCCGTCCGGAGGGAGCAAGCGCCACAAGTGATCTAGAACCCGTGAATGGGGTGGAATTGGGCGCCATAGATCTTATTTTCCCTCTGTACCAGTCGGCGATCTCCTTTCCATGTTTCTCGGCTGAACAATTGCTTCTCAACAAAGCTACCCATTATCCCCATTCCTCCTTCGCGTTGACCGCTGCAAGGTCGTTGCCCACGAACGTACAATTTGCTGGGAGAGCTCGACGCTGCATGAGCTGATGTGCAGGTGCTTATTTAGGGATGAACCCAGAGGGATCACAAGAGCCACGACAGTCGAGCTGCTTGAGGTGTGCAGATCTCCCAGTATAGGACGCTTCTGGTTGCCAACCACACACCGATCGGCTGTCTGGGCTTATACCTGCCTGCTGCCTAGTCTCATCCTATCCGAGCTGAGTTGAGGCATTGTCCGGACTGAAAGCTTTTTTTACTGCCATCTTGCCGCTGTTTCAAAAGATAATCTCCTCTGTTTGGGCTCTCGATAAATGTCCTATATTTTCCTGCTCCAGAGGCCGTGAATCCTCCTCAAAATGTGCCGGGTGTTACAAGAGCAATGTCGCTAGGCTTCCGAATCTGAAATGGCTCCCTGGAAAACGTGGATAAAGGCAGGATATTACATAGCCCTCATATACCTCTGTTTGTTGTGTTTGCACCGAGATCTGGCCCAGAAAGATAACCCCAGCCTAATCACCTTCCCAGGCTTGAAACACTATTAGAGAAGTTGGCGCTTAGTTCTACGATATTCTGTACACCCGTCGTGGAATTGCCAATATGGAAGACCCCGACATTCCTGAAGTAGGATGCTATTCACCCCTTCTACTGGAGTGATCCAGCTAACACAAAGCATTCTCCCAGCCTGCAAATGGAGAAGGTGCAGAGCCTAAGATTACCCTCTCGAGGGCTGTGATGTTTCTCAGGTTTCCGATGAAGTTCTTACTGCACTCTTCGATACCGCGCCGGTTCTACATTCCTACGAAGGAACACGTATTGTGCGCCTGTCACGCACACTGATCCTCAAAGGTGGGACTGGTGCACGACCTTGTGAGGCCAATATCCTAAGGCTTGTTGCTGGGGCGAGGGAGCGAGAGGGATCGAAGACAATCCCAGTGCCCAGGGTTCACAGAGTTCTCAACGTCGAAACGGAAAATGTCTTTTCTGGCTGCAAATGCCTAATCCTCATGGATTTCGTCGACGGCACATCAATCGAGCAATGCTGGGGTGACTTGAGTCAGGCAGCACGTGTGGATGTTGTCTCTCAAGTCGCTTCAATGATTAATGCTCTACGGTCTATTGCGCTATCCCAGGAGCAGCAGCAGCAGCCCGGCCCAGTGGACTGTAAAGGCTGCGTGGCCCGTGGTTACTGGTTTACGGACATAGGAGCCGGGCCATTTAATTCGAAAAAGCACCTTGAAGCTTGGTTCAACCGTCGACTTGAAATCTCTCAGAAATTCCACCAGGCACCCGAAACTGTTCCACCGTTTCATTTTGACAAACTAGTTCTCACTCACTTAGATATCTCACCCCGTAATTTAATCTTGGGCCCTGATGGCAAAGTTTGGCTTATTGACTGGGGTGATGCTGGGATATACCCTGATGGATTTGAAATCGCGTCGCTGAAAGCACGGAGGTTCGAAGCGCCATAGTATACTGATATGTTACTTGAAATGCTTTTCGAAATGATTCCCAAGCATGAAGAGCTGGTGCAGCAACTGAGGTGGATTACATTTGCTTTGACTACGGGGCAATGGCTGGGAAGAGAGAGGCTTGATTTTGGTATGATATGACATGGTATATACCCATTAGTAGTATTCACTTATTATGGTTTAAGCTGATTGTCATGGATGGAATACACATCTATGAAGACAGAATCAACTGTAGTTGTTATATAAATACTGCACGTTGCTTGTTTGTATATAATCAAAGCAAAGTCCCGATAGGTCTCTCAAGAGTTCCGTTTTTACCAGCGGAGCGTAAGACACGGGAAGCGGGAAGAGCGAGCAACGCCGTTACGTGGTCTAGGGATAAATCATCGAGGGCATCTTAACGTTAGAAAAGCTGAGCGTCTAAATAAAGCACTTGCCTCCAGCGTCTAATTGACTCAAGAGAAGTGACTGAACACGGTAATCCCGAAGCTTTGCATGTTAAGCATCACCGATTGGTTTTGTTCTAACTGATGATTTCTGTTTTGGATTGTTGGTTCATTATATTAGGAACAATAAACCATTATTAACCTGACCTGCACTTTCGTCAAAGCAAGTATGAAACAAGAAAAGACCACATCATGGCTTGGGACTTTCCCGGAATCAAATATTCACGTGACCGTCGTCTTTAAAGCAGCATGTAGGAAATCGGCCGTTAAACCTGACCAATAAGAAGCCTGTTTTCTATAGACCAATGAAACATCTATACTGCTATACTTTGTCTTTTGTGGGGAATCTGAAACTAGCTGTGACACGATGGACGGCGCCTTGGCTGATCACCCAGTCGCGCGACGGTCACCCCTAGCGCTCACCCACTCACCCCCTCCACTCACCCCGCTCACCCCGGTCGCGCGACTTCAGGGCGGCACTGCTCACCTACTAGAACGAGAAAGGCAATGGTCTTGGCGTCCGTAGTTTTTTGCTCGGTAGGGCTCGTTCTGCAGCGAATGATTTCCTTCCGTGGCCTCCGTGGCCATACGACACTGCCCAAGTAGATGCAAGTAAGTCGCTTATACTATCCCGTCAGCCCGCCAGCTAACGACGCACCTTGCTGAACGGTAGGAAACAACTGCACCTGCCTTTGGTCCCGGCAATTTGTTCTAATGAGGGCCGGCTGATTCCTGCTTTACCTTACCATTCGGTACGTATCATACCGGGATAGAAACTGGTCGAGAATAGTTGTTATTTCCCCTGGAGGGTGTACAATCCCTGGCCACCCACCCTTCAACAGGCAAATGATAGACATTTGTCCTCCTGCTACGTAGCTCTGGAGCTCTATAAAAACAGAGAGCATCACGCCCGCTCCCTCCATACATGGATCTCCCAGCACCGCTCTCCGTTCGAGAACCGAAGACGCTGCCACCCCGTTTTAACTATCACGCGAGCCACATTTCACGGGAAAAGATGTCCTATGTTTCGTAGCGCCTTCTTGCAATTTAGCCAGACAAGAATCCAAGCTGATAGAGACCAGTGACAATGTCCTTGATCCGCCTGAAACGCCTCTCACCACAAACATTCCTGCGCTAAAGGAGTCCGAAAAAGATCGCATTGAGGAGCACTTTGACGGTCACCTCTCACTTGATTGGAAAGTTGTATACGATAACTAAGGAAGAAAATCTTTTTCTGTGTTCGAACTGGGCTTATTTGCGTCTGGAAGGCAAGCTGCAAAAGGGAGATGAATTTCCGCCCGGTGTCGAGCCAGACGATACTACTAACTATACTCCCCAAGACTATTTGGGGGTGCTGGAGGAAAATCATGGTTTGAAACGGTGTAAGCACGAGGATCCTGACAGGGTAAGCCTTTTCTTTCCCTTTCTTTTCTCTTCTTTCTTTCTTTCTTTCTTCCCCCCCTTGTGAGTCAATATTGACACGGAACGACCTCTAACAATCATAAACATGTTCATGCAGATCTGTATAATTTGGTCTAAAAAATGGGTTAACAAGGTTGGTCATATACAGATCAAGTTCAAGGGACATTGTGAGAGCAAGCTATCCACGGAATACTGGGTTATTACCCATGGGGAAAACGACATTGAACATTTTGCCGGAGAAAATCTGGTGAGACGGGTACTTTGAAGCGAAAGTAGACGGAATCTACCTATGGAAATGTCGACTTAACTCTGCAGGAGATGGTATATGTGCCTAGTTTCTACACCAATATTATGTCTGCGAGCAAAGCAAAAGAAGCAAGTCTTATATGGGATTTTGCAAACGATCGAATGCTGAGGAATGGCCGAGAGCTATTTCAAATGAAACTTGTGCAAGGTCTTTGGATTATCGAAAGCGGAAAGCCGACGACAAACAAGACAAAAGATGTCTATGCAGTTAAGAAGTCAGAAAAACCATTGATCTTGACCGGAGATGCAGAAACTTGGCATTACCGAATGGGACACCTTAATTATGAAGCAATTCAGCACTTACCGCAAGCCACAAAGGGCTTAGAGCTTCTTGAATCAAGTTATGATACTAAGAAATGTGAAACATGCATCTTATCTACTGCATATAGCAAATCTCGCGTCGACCAGGAGTGTCAGCAACTGAACCATTTCAACGAGTTCACTTTGACCTTATTCATATGAAAGAGGCATTCAATGGAGATTTTTGGTGTACGCATTTTTATGATGAGGCTACCCATAAGCATTTTGTCCATATTCACGCTCAAAAGAGTGGAGTAAAACAGGTAGTCAAGTATTTTACTAATCTAGTTAAAAACACCGATCTGACAACGAACAAACACTCGGAGGAGAATTTGACAACCTTGTTGCTTTAGGAATTCTACACGAGACTCCTCCACGGGCCATCCTATGCAGAACGGTCCTGCGGAATGTTATTATATAGAGTTCAAGAACTTTAATAGTCAGTTCCAGGCTACCTCTAGATCTTTGGCCATCAGCTTTCAAAGCAGCAGCCTATATAGCCAACAGATTACGTACCAAACAACTTAACTGGAAAACGCTATACGAAATGCTCTATGGAAAACAACCAAACCTAGCAAATCTATGCACCTGTGGTTGTCACGCCTATATAAGGAATCAGGATCTTGCAAACACCAATAAGGTTGCTCCGAAAACCTTAACTGGATATCTAGTTGGATACAAAGCGGCAAAGGCAAGAGATGTTACCTTTGATGAATCACGCCTTTACGACCCAGATGGGCCATTTCTTGAGGGCTTGATCAAAGAGAAAGCTCCTAAACCGCCCGGAAAACTGCTTCAGTTATCGAGAGCTGAGGATTTAGACAGTGAACCTGGATACATGGCACTAGATAGCGCAGACAGTACCAAGATCGCGTCGTATGTTCCCATACACGCCATGAACAGGAAGTAAAATCGCAGAATCCAGGAAGGTATATATAGAGTGTATAATATTTAATTCTTTAATTTGCCTCTACTAAACCTATCTGAATAAGGAAGCTTATCACGCACTCATAGGTCTATGTAACTGTCCTTGAATCACCAGAGCGAGGGAACTATGCTCTTGTAGAGAGTCTGGTAGAGTATTTGGGAGACAATTGCACTTTTATTAGAGACATAGTGCATTATAGCATCCAAGACCTGGACACTTTGGCCTAGTAATAAATGTATTTGGAAATTCGCTTTAAAAGTAATATGGATCTGTGTCCACTCGGTCGAATATATCCTTATCAATGGTTGATCCATAGTCTTGCTCGAGACCCATCATAGTTCTCTTTCCTCTGGCCATGCTATTATATTCCACGCCCATAACCTTCTGTTCCAGTATCCGCTCCAACTTTTCTATTAATATGGTCTGTGAATCCCATTGTTCACTTCCTATATACCCCTCCTGAACATCTCTTGGATATATTAGACTAATAAAAAGGTCCCTTAGACCCTTAAGGTCCACAAGTGGTAGGCAAACCCGGGCGTACATTTTGTAGACTGTTGTCTTCTGATTCTTAGTTATACCAGGCCGGAATGGGAGATGATAGCCTTTATTCACATTGTCCATGCGAATTACTAGAGTCAGATTGGGAAGATTGGCATGATTGTAAAGATAGGAAATAGCAGATAGCCAACTCTGATAACCAGAAGAGGTAGAAGGAAGGTAGTCTGTCTCAAATGGAGGAAAAGTAATTTCAAGTAACCTTAAATAGCGCATTGCATATAGAGGAATTACTTTCTTAAAGAATTGGGATACTTCCACAGTGCTAGGGCTATTTTTCACAGGTTCGTTTTTTCCTTCCGTAGGCTTAATGATAAATCGGTTTTGAGAGTAAAACACCTCTAATACCATGAGCCTTATATTTTGATTAACAAGAAATAGTGCAGATGGTGGGGCCCAGCATCTACATTTACTATAAAATGCAGAATGGCTTAATAGGCAGTAACATCCCCACCATACATGTTCACATCCTCAACGTATGTAATCGAGCTGAAAGCCAAATCTAGGACCCCACCTAATATTTGTCGGCGCAACAAGGTTGGAAAAAGATAATATCTTGATTTGGAGCTCCCTTGGGAGGGAATAGAATAAAAATCTGCTAATTATATTCCCACCAGTGCTGTAGACTGCTGTCTCTTTGGCAAGCTGACGCAGCTGCCAATTAGGAGAGCAGCTAAGCCTAATGCAGCAGCTTCTCAGACTTGGAAGCTGTGAAAATGGAGCCAGAATCTGCTCGGCAGTTTTATAGTTGTTGGTTTCACACGTAAACCGTATTCTTAACTGGTTGGGGGGGATGTGCTTAGCCAGCCAAGCTGCGGTTTTCTGCCATTCCTTTAGTTTAAGTTTATCCTGATATGAATTTCCCTCCAATTTCCTGTTAATGCCATTGTAAACCTTATAATATTTGTTATCGTGGTTTTGCAACATGCAGTTTTGTAATAGGAGGTATTAAGCTGGATAACCAGCCGAGAAAGGAAAGCAAGACTGTTTGGGTTAAGACTTCGTAGCAGTTGGAAGGTTTCAAGATCGCAGTAGTTGATTATAAATGTATTTAATGAAAATATCAATAGTATAATATTATTATATATAGTTCGACACGTCTGTAGGAGATTGTATGTCGTAGGACAACCATCTTAGTACACATTATCTGGATGTGGAGGGTGACAGCAAATTTTAGTACACCCATCTAAACTGCCATAATCCTCATTATGCTCCTTGCAATAGCTAAGGTTAATCGTGCAACCTAAAGCTAAACCCGCTTCATCATAGATTTCTTGCCGTATTTTCGGGGGGAGAGCAAGAATAAGACTTTATGGGCTGCTGATTGATATTTAACCACTGGTCCAGGCGCATTTGCCGCATTTCAGAGGAAGAGAGACAGATTGTTTATGTAGTTATCTGTCAGATATTCAGTTAGTCCCTAATAGGAAATAGAGTACGGTTGGTAGTCTTATTTGAATGATTTGAATTGGTTGGCCTCTTCTTGGTTATAATGATGATTATGATGGTCATGACTCTTGTTCTTGTTATCATGTTCTGCTCGTTGAGGGCCATTTCGACACCTCCTTAGTCATGTGATCCCTGCCACGTATAGCCATGTTATTTGACATTATCAAACGCGATGTTAGATTGAAGTAACAAGTCTTGCTTCCTTGGACATCAGAAGCGGGGCTATAGTCTGTAGTAGTGGTGCCAAGAAAATGCTATCTTTCTTGTGGCAGTTTGTAATTTTACAAAAAAAACACATTTGTCAACACTTCTCGATTCAGGCCGCTGTACTATGCCGTCAATAGACCAAACGCGACCGTGGTTCTCCATGTTCGAGCTGCCCCACGACCGAGTTTGATTGCCGAATGTCGAGTTCCGGAGAAGCGACTGAGCGTTCTCATATCCGCCCGCTATGAAGCCATGGAAAACGTGGATCGCTCACTGCAAGAGGTTTCGCAGGTGCTACAGAAGCTTGTGCAAAACAGCGAACAGCCTCAAGTCTCGTCAAAGGGCTCTACCCCTGTCACTGTTGTCGCTAGTCATGTGTCAAACATATCAGGCATGCCTAAAGGTTATAGGGGTGATTCTTCGTTTCACGCCCACGCCCAACAAGTGGCAAATGCCTTGATGCCACTGCGAACCTGCAGTTAAGCAAGATGGGCCCAAACTTCTCTGCGACCATGAATGTGACACGGATGATTCAGGAAGCGGCCAACAGCGAGAAGTCTACTCCCGGTACACTTTTATCACGTTAATTCCAGGCTCAGTACCCCGGGCTTGAAAGCACATCGCCTCCGCGGCTTGAATCTGTACTAAAGCTACTCCGGCTGGTGCAGACTACCGTAGCAGACCGAGAAGCAGCGGTTTTTCATTGACGTGCGGATTATTGGAGAGCAGGAATTTGGCGAGCTATATCAGAAGATTTATTTTGCAATCAACAAGTACGCGCTGTCGGCATGGGTCATCGTGAACGTGGGGCTATTCTATCTATTCCTTCGTCTAAATCAGCAGAAATACTCCCAAGTCAGCGTCACTGCCTCCGATATCCAGGCACACTCGCGGCTCTTATCAGCAAATCTCGAAGCGCCATACAGTCACTAAAGCTCTTCCAGGATCCGTGCATCGAAGACTGTCAGGATCTGGCACTTTTGGTCAGGGGCATGGCATTGTCTCGTTTCTCAGTGCGACGTTAATTGGAAAGGCAACACTTTGCATGAAATCAGGGAGCAGTGAGATCGCTGGTCCTTAATAGCGTGCGCTTCCCGGTTGTGCATCGATCACGGTTGGCATCGCCTGCCTCGGCACCATGAAGGATTAGAGATCGCGAAGAAGCGGAAGATATTCTGGCACGTGTATATCATGGACAAGGGCGTGGCGTTTACTTTGGGTAGAACCCCCATAGATTCATCAATACGATGTGGCGATCGGCTGTTATTTCCTAAGGACCTGCCAGGACGGCCGGGATAGTAGGTAGCGCCAGCTTGATAAGGTACACTACGCTGACTAACTTGTCTCTGTACGGTGGATTTGTAGAGTTGCATGTCACTGTGGGCGACATGCACCTCTATCTATTCTCCGCAGCTGCTCAGCGACGATCACCACAAACCCGCGCGGAGAGTGCCAAAGCCGTCACTATCTGGGCTTATTCAAGCCAACCACAGCTTAAAGCAGGGTCGGAGAGTAGTTGAAAATGTAAGCCTGCCATATTCTAATTAGTTACAGTCGCTCCTGGACGATCCACCTGTCGATGCCGGGTTCCAGGATGCAACCGTATTTCTTGATATTATCATGCATTGCTTCGAGCTATAGTCTACCGTATCGTTTCGCGTGATGAGCCTCCCTCGCAACCTCTACAATGTAATGTGGGCTGCATTGAATCTGCCTGGCAAGCCCTCTCAAAGATAGTGCATACAAGCCAGACTTTAGGTCAGCACGAAACAAATGGTTGGCTAATGTTTTTAAACATGAAGGTCCTCCCTAAAAAAGCCTCTGTCTCTTGATATTCTAACTGTGCAGGCTGTTTTCTCTGGCGGGCTGTTTGCGTGCTTTGTTGTACTCGCTGGGAATGCCGTTGCATTATCGTCAACGGAGGACTTGGCCCTCCTCTCCAGCATCTCAGCCGTTGAACACATCGCGGCCAGTTCTTCGTCCGAAGAACCACTATCAGCTCTGCAAGCTCTTTTACAGATTGCCTGCTTCTCAGTCGCCCGGCAGACAGCGGTCTCGAGAGCGTCAACCCACTCGCATCCTCCTGCAGAGGCGACTCCGGTATTTAACAATCGAGCCGACGTCATCGGTAAAGTTAATCTGTAAAAAATACCTCTACTCGCACGGCGAAGAACGAAGTCATGAGCATATATTAGTTAGTGTAATTAGCTTATGGGGTTAAATTTACCCTTCTTTTTTCTTTAACAAATATTGTGTGTCAGCATGTATCTCGTTATTTAATCAGGAATGAGCGCCTTAATACTCAACTAATAACCATTTACATTGGCGAGGCTGAAATTTACGGCGACTAGGGGTAGCTTTATTGTCTCCGCTTTCTAGATGAACCTGTTGATGCTGGGTCAAGTTGTGCTCCTCGGGGTGACGTATGTAATTTAAAGCCGCATTTGGTTAAGATATGAATGTCTACAGGACTGAAACTAACTAGAAGTCATGGTATTGTATAGACCTAAGCAAGCTCAAGCGTCATAGACTTTCTGCTATGGTTATAGCGTTTAAACGCCTGGTGTACCACGCGGAAGCGGGTTGTTCGGTTGTTGACCAGTATATAACAGTGGTTAGTATTTTAAGCTGTGGTCACTGGCCCTCGATGAATGTGGAAATTCCAACTCTAGAGCGAAAGTATATTGCAATCGGCAGCTCTTGAACTCATTTCCATGGTTTCTATAAACAACCATTATTGCTTGTATGTTCAGTGTTTTAGCTCTGCTGCAAACTTCCGCATCCGGATTTTTAAAGTGAGGGCCAAATTTGGTTATTACATCACCAGTATGTATGAAGATACTCGCGGATTGATAAATATCGCTGGCAGCTCACTTTGTAAAACTTCTAACCGAATATTTTAGATATCCTCTCCGTAAAAACTTGAATACACTTTCTCAAACGAGTAAGTATTTCCAGTTGATAATTTATAGTTTTGCTAATTGTTCAACAGTCTTGTACTTCTACTACGAAACTAAAGTAAGCGAACGCCCCTGTTGGAACTCAGGCCACCTTAAGCTGCACAGGGTACATATATTTACTTGTTTACTAAATAATCACCATGATGATTCCTGTTCCCGGTGTGGGTAGTGCTGGTGGTGCGAACGGCGGTGGAGAGGCGCTCCCTAAGTAAAGGGTACAAAGGGGAGTGTCGGTGTGGTAGATATGCCTTAAAACAGGTTTTTTGCCCTTTTTATGCGAAATAGTGCGGTTGTAGGGTTTTTCCCTGTTTTGTAAATGCAAATGCAGAGGCTGGATGTTGTTAGCCAGTAAACTCATTCTAACAGTTGCTAAATATTGTGCGGTAGACTAAGATGTCAGAGGGCTGATTAGCTTGTTCCTCGACTTTGTTGTGCCAATACTCTCCATTGACACTCAGTAGACTCACGAGGGACCATGATAAAGAATATCGCTTTAATAACACTAATAATCACTATACTGTATGCAACTAGACTAGGTAGAATGACATCACGCCGGACTTTCGGCCGAGTTGGGCAGACACGTCCCGGGCACTGATAAGGTATACCTATATGTAGATGGCTGACAGCTATTTGTCAACGCCGCCACCCACAGTTGCTTTCAAATATATATCACACCTCAGAATTAGACTTCGTCTACTCTTAAACCCTGTCACACAAGGATTTCTAGCTGGTATTATAGATGAATCCGTGCCAAATGCCCGCCCAGTCTAATCATCCCGACAATCCCGTTCGACGTCTCCAGGAATCAATATCACAAATCCACCAAGTCAGGGAATTATGCCAAGTTCCATCTATCTCCTTTGGTGTGGTCCACAAAGGCAAGGCGGTATTGCGAGAGAGTGTTGGATACCGAGATGCTAGGCAGAGGTTCAAGGCTGATGCAGACACGATCTACGTACTCGGCTCATGTTCCAAAATGTTCACCTCTGCTGCTGTGGGCATCTTAGTCAATGAAAGGAAACTTAAGTGGCAGGATCCAATCCGGAGGTATCTCCCGGAGTTTAATCCAGTTGGCGATCCTCAGATCGGCCAGAATGCTGACCTTATTGACGTTCTCCGCCACTCGACTGGTGTAACCTCTCCAGAAGCACTCTTCTTCGGGCCACGTGGGTCAATTCTTACTAGTGAGGAGGATATCGTTAAGCTCCTGAATGTAATGCCCACAGCAAATAAGGAGGGACAGAAATTTAATCGCTACTGGGAGTATAATAATTTCACATACGGGATTATGGCCATGGTGGTTGAGAGAGTTACTGGCCAACGGTTTGCAGAGTTTGTTCGAGAACGAATTTTACGTCCACTTGGGTTGAGACGAACAATTCTGGCTAGGGCAGACATCACGGATGATAACAATGTCGCTGTTCCATGCGCATCACTTGATGATGGCGCCTTTATTCCCCTGGATTCCGAATTATGGCCATGTGAAGATCATTCGCCGTTACTGGCCGCGACAGGAATGCGGAGCACTATCAATGACATGCTCAGCTGGTGTATTGCAGTGCTTTCTGCGGAAAGAAAAGAAAAGCACTCCGAGCGCAAGGCTGCTGATTGCCCAAGGCCACCTACACCAGCCGAGCACTTGCTCGACACACACACCAACGCCCAGGACAACCCACTAAAGCAAATGAATTATATACGCCGCGGGTACTGGACTCGACCGGCCGAGACCATCATTTAGCAAGGATGCGGCGTATTGTATGGGATGGGTGCGTATGGATCTCCCTTCTTCAATGCTAGGGGTCTTCAGTGGCAATCGCCACTCTCGGGAGAACAACCACCAGATGCATCTAAAACATATATTAGGAGTGGAATCCCAATCATTCCTGGCGATCGGGCATTCTGGAGGTATGCCCGGATCCATAGCAACGGTGTGGACATTTCCCGACACGCAGAGCGCGGTGGTGACTATGGCCAACGGCCGTAGTTTTGGAGACGCCAGTGATTTTACCGCACAGATCTTAGTCCAAGCATTGTTTAATTTAACCCCATGGATCGACTTGACCCCCTGGGTGAAGATGGAGTAGACTTGGCGAAGAGGTTCTTTTACAGGACTGTCTGCGACCATGGAAGGAGAATCGACGGACCACTGACGCTGAACGGGAGGATCCAAGATATATATTGGGGAGTACCAAGGATTTAATGGCGTATTCACGCTAAGTGTTGTTGCAGACTGGGGCGGGAGGTTTTAAAGGTAAATTGGCACTAATATTCAACTCCCGCAGTGCTTCGAGACGGCGACTTGAGTTTTACCGGAAAGATACCTACAGTTTCTTTCTGAAGATTGGAACAACTATACAGGGATACAAGTGTTGTAAAAGACTATAGGCAGACTCTCCTGGAGTTCAATGTGACGATGAAGCACAGCGAGTTACTGGACTCTGGTGGCTATGGAATACGGATGAAAAGCCAGCCTGGCTAAGCCGAATTAAATAAATTAACGCAGTGGATGGGTATGGAACATAATACTAATTAGGTATATCTGTCTTTGGAGGTATAAATTACAAATACTTTAGGGACTTACTAATATCCATGGGGTTATTACCATCTTTTCTCGCTTCACTAGACGTTGTCTGGTCTTGAATTATGGTACTTTTTTATGGCTTTTCCTATGTTTTGGTTAAAACAATATGAGTACCACTATAAAAATAATGTATGTAATTAAAATTAAAGTTGCTTTTAAGATGTATCCTGCTATAATTGTTGTTATTTAGAGGAAGAATAATTGTTCCACTTTCTTCTGGCTAGGGCTATGCGGGAAGGTGCTAAACTACCTGTTTTCCTATGGCCAGAAATGGTACGAGCAGCAGTTTATCTTAACCGAACACCTTATTATCAAGCCAATTGGAAAACTCCAGCTGATAGGTTCCATACCTATATTGCACACAGTGAAGGTGTTGTGGTGGAGGATAGAAAGCCTCAGCAAGCACATCTAAAACTTTATAGATGCAAGGCCTTTGCAATGACTCCTGAAGCTCAGAAAAAAGGAGAAAAGTCTGCAGAGATTTAACCCAAAGGCATGGATAGGATATCTAGTTGGATGTAACTCCACTAATATCTATCGAATCTGGTTACCCAGGTTGAATAAAGTCATTCGGACAAGGGATGTGATTTTCAAGGAAGAACAATTCTCTGGAGACATGGCTAAGACCCTAGCCACTATGCAGGATGAATTTCGACAGGTTCCTCTAAAGGAGTAATGGTGGAGAATATCGAGCTTCAAAACTTGGCAATGGAGATAGCAGAGGATTCTTCATGTATTGGACACTTTGACTCAATCGATTATCTGGAAGATATTGCAGAATTAAACCAGCAAGAAAAGGAGCGGGATACTTATCCGACACCGGAAACACCAGAAGCTTTATTTAATCCAGCGTCATTATTTGCATCAGCAATGGGCGAAGACAACTTCGAAATATCATGACACCTCCGCACATGGAGAGCATCATTCCTAGCAGGACAACTCATTCAAGTCAGTCCTTTATATAGATAAAATTGCTAACCTTTCAGAATCAGAGCCATCCGATACTATTCCTATATCTCTGTTGTGGAATTCAGGGGAAGTGATGCGCAGGGAGCTAATTCTATCAGCTACAGGCCAACTAGCCTAATTAGGAAGTAGATGTCATTAAGTGGAAACACTGGGAATCGCAGTATCTCAACTAACTGAGCCTACTAGGTGGTTCCCTATATCCTCATTGAGGTGTTCAACTACCTAAATGATTCAGAGTTGAATCGGTCGTCAGATACTCCGCACCGCCAAGTCGGGCGGATTATAACGTAGATTACCGGCTGCCACCGGATTTGGCCCCTAGCCGCAATTTGCACCCACCAACTTCACGACTTCATATCTCATTCAATATGACTCCTCTTGGGTTAGCGTTAGCAGCAATCGAATCAGCGGGCCTAGATGCATCAGTTAACTATGCAAAAACTGCGAAAGGGTTTGGTGTTGACCCAGGAACATTATCACGGCATCACCGCGGCATTCAAGGCTCCAAGACACAGCAATATAAGAACCAGCGAGTACTTAACAACAGCCAGGCTAAAGAGCCTATAAAGTACAAAAATAATTTAACAGAGAGAGGCCTGTATCCTACACATGAAATGCTTCGGAATTTTGCCAAAAAGATTACTGGAAAAAAGCCAGGAATTCAGTGGCCTGGCCGCTTTATACAAAGTCATCCTGATAGCTTTCTTTCTCGCTATACAACTGCTATAGATGCCGCACGCAAACGAGCCAATTCCTTATCAAAGTATGCCTTATACTTTGAATATCTACGTCTTAAGCTGGAAAAATGGGACGTACAGCCGGAGAATATGTACAATATAGATAAGAAGGGATTTCTTATCGGAATACTCTCTAAAGGCAAAGAATCTTTTCAAAGCAAGTATATGAGAAAGAAGGCTTCAGGCACGCTGCAAGATGGAATAAAGAGTGGATAACTACAATTGCCTGTGTCTGCGCCGACGGAACCGCTCTACCACCAGGTTTAATATATCAAGCAGTATCTGGCAAAGTACAAGATACCTAACTGCAAGACTTTAATCCAGCAATGCATGACGCTTATATTACCTCTTCTCCTTCTAGCTGGACCAATAATGAGCTAGGATTTGCATAGCTTCAGGCTATTTTTGATAAAAGGACAAACGCTAAAGCGGGCCGGGGATACAGGCTTTTAGTCCTTGATGGCCATGGATCTCATGTCACTATGAAGTTTCTTAACTACTGTTATGCTAATAGGATTTTAATAGCTACTTATCCTCCTCATTCTATGCATTCTCTACAGCCGCTTGATGTTGGGATCTTTGGACCGCTTTCCATGGCCTACAGCAGTCGTTTGGAGGAATTTTTGCATCAATCTCAAGGCCTAAGCGCTATTAGCAAGCGGGACTTTTTTGCCATGTTCTATCCAGCTTGGGAAAAGGCTTTATCTGCGAAGAACATCACAGGCGCTTGGAAAGCAGTTTGGTATGTGACGGTTTGGTTGTCTCTGCGCTAGTAGAGATAAAACCACTTGACATATAAAAAGGTACAAGACGACTGATCTTCGATCAGTCGCATCTAGCGCCCTATATAGTATGTTACAGGTTCAGCCTGTGACAGGTTATGCCCTTTTCATCCTAACTTTGTTCTGGCGCGTTTTATAAAGAAAGAGGAGAAAAGACCTACCTCAAGCGGTTCAGCCCACTCTGTTCTACACGCAGAACAATGGAGAAGGATTAGAGCGCCTGTAAACGATGTTGTGATATATTTTGATAAAAGGTCAAAGTTGAATGAAACATTACGCACTCTTACAGAGAATATCTTAAAAAATCAAGTGCGAAGGCCTAGAATTCGCCCTCCAGAATAAGAAGAGAAGGTGACAACGTGGGAAAGCTCTTGCAATTAATTTCCGCGAGCCAGAACATGGTGGTGTAATATTCTTTTCTCCTGCACGGGAGATCAAACAGCGTTTTATTTCTGGCAGGCTGGCGTTCTCGCTGTACAGCGAAAACTGGAGCATTTGCAAATCAAGATGCCAAGGTGCTACCGGTCCCGAGGGCCCTGGAGGGCTCCAGGATTCATGCCACGAACTCTAGCGTCTCCAACTGGGCCGGGGCATTCTCTAAGCACCTGAAGATCCCGGGTCCCTAGGAGGTTTAACCGGGACCAGATACGACACATCAATTTATATCACATCAGGTCCGTGATCGCTTACTTGCTGATCTCTGATTTAATTTCTGCAGGTAAATCTCTCGACATGCCAGCAAAACATGCCTCGTTGTCCTGTGACGTTGGAGCCATGGGTGTGATTTCTCACCTCCATTAAATAGCCATTGCTTAGCCATGAAAATTCACTCCCTTCAAGATGTTTTTCACGAAATAGCTAACATCCTTCGACCATGGCGCCGCACATCTGGAACATGTCACGACACGAACCCAGGGTGCCAAGCTCAAACACACCTACATGCGGAACAAGATCTATTATCTTCGCCGCATGAAGTTCGCCGTGTACCAACTGGCAACGACTACCATGGGTGCTTTCTTGAGCGGAGGAATCGCTTTGAGGCATATGTATATCCTGTGAACCCTTGCAGCAAAATGTTCCTGTAAGCCGATATACATTAATTGACAGTAGTACAACGGTCTACCAAAACGCGAGATACCGGGATTTCCACTAGCATTGACATGAGCAATTTTGTCGCCAGCTTCGCATTCAGCATATTCTACAGCATCTTCCTGGCACTTATCTTTGGCACTGCTGTGTTCTTTGGCCTGTTCGGACCGGAGCCAGAGGCACGCTTCATCCAGTGGACTTGGCAGCTCAACGCTGCTGCGTCAAGTGTCTTCCAGCTGGCGGCGGCCCTTGCGACGACAATCGTTGTAGCGACATGTGGAGTCCATATATCTCCGGGGCGTCAATGGAGGAAGAAAATGCTATTCTGGGCAATTGGCATGGGCCCCATTTAGCGTTTGTGAGTTACTGGATCGGATGCCTATTTACATTTTGGAGGTTGGTAGACTCAGGCTCATATAGCAACTGAGGGAGCTAACATTATCCTTGCTAGTACAATCATCGTGTGGCGGGCCTCCGCGCACAATTACTATTATGGCCCCTTTGCTAATCATGTCAGAAAAGGCCACAGGGAGACTGTTCCAGAGACTGGCCTAGAGCACATTCAGAATTAAATGTAGACACTTCAGACAATATCTGGTCTTTATATCCCGAGTTGCATAGTTGCTATTACATGGATAATCAAGGACTTTACCATGTAGATCAAACGACGCTAATAGTAGCGCTAGTTGGCAGATGCCAAGGACACGTTGCGATTTTCTCCGAGAGCCTCGTCCGAATATCGACTGAAAGGGCTTTGCCCATAGTCCTGGTTTGGAAACTATTCGGTAGAAGTGACATCCATCCAACACAGAATGGATCATCTCCCGGAGATTGAGGCCGAGGTCAGGTCTATAAACTCTCCGGTCACCGTCCCATTTCTGTGCCTACAGCCATATGACGGTGGTGACTTCTTAACATATCCGGCTCGCAGACGATTCGACCCTGACATCTGTGAATCAGACGAAGTAGGATGGGTCGACCCCAGTGGATATACAGCTCATGACCGGACCGCCATCTTCCAGGAGTGGTTATTTTTCGGAACTTTATCCGAAATCCTAGATGCCGGTGGAGTTCGTCTTATCCCCGCTGAGTTTGTCTGCGGCGGATGCGTGACAACACGGAAGTTAGATTACTACATTCGGCAAGCTATCAAGTCAGTTAATCGACAGCAGGGTGAAGAGATAATTGTCTCGGTTAGTCGGATAGAAACTGTTGTAGACACTGTGCGTCGATACGCCAGTTTCAGGCCTCCTGGGGCAATGGCGGTTACTCTGGGGAGCGTGTGCCCAGAGCGTTGGCCAGTTGCGCTTTCGATTACCATTCTCTGTGAGGGTCTGCTCATGCTCGTGAGTAACCTGCCAAACAGCAAAGGGGTTCTTATGGGCGAGCAAATTGCCATGGTGTCAAATGCAGTCACTGGGGACGGCCCTGGCCTGATGGAAAAGTTGCTTGTCCGGAGGATTATGGATGCCGGGTGGTGTCCGAATCAGATTGCTGGCTACGGTCTGATGGATGCCAGTTTAGCATATTACCTTGGGATGCTGGCTCCGAAAATACGCATGTCGCATGAGAGATGTCGACCTAACTTTGCTGCCTGCAATCAGCTCCAGGATAACTACATGATAAGACACGCCGACTTGTGTGATAGCCAGGAATGTCGGATGTTTCATGTTGACTTGCAAAATTTAGAGGATATTATTAACGATGGGGCTCTACCAGTCGTATGGGTGGACGAGAAAGATGGGTCAATCAAAGTCGTTCGCCGGGATCCCTCAAAGGCCTACCTGGCTATTTCACATGTCTGGAGCCAGGGGCTTGGTAACCCAGCTGCAAATGCCCTTCCTATATGCCAGATATACTGGATATGGGTAAATGATGGCACCTTGATACGGGACAAAGCTGGTGTTTGGATAGACACGCTCTGCGTCCCAGTATCGGGGCCCTGTCGCAAACAGTCGATCCGTCGAATGGGCTCAATATATGGCGATGCATCCGCAGTTCTTGTACTTGACGAGGAGTTGCTACGCACCCCCTGCTCCAATATCATCGAACAAACGTGTCGGCTTGGCTGCTGTTCGTGGCAACGTCGCCTTTGGACGCTCCAAGAAGGCTGCCTGAATGTCGAGAATCTGTACTTCATTTTCCGGGATGGCATTTTGAACTACTGGACGCTTCTGGAATCCGCCCTCGATCACGAGACGGCCCTTGTATGCACGATTCCTGGAGTGCTCAGTTTACCATTTCGCCATTTAGTATTTCGCCTTCACTACGGCTCTTTTGTGGAAACCGGTGCTTCCTTGATGGAGAATGAGCCAACCTGGGTTGGTATCCTTTTATCTCTTCTCGAAACGCTTCCGTGGCGCGCAACGAGCAGATCTGCAGATGAAACTCTCTGTATTTCTACCATCATGGGGATCGATCCCGGTCCCTTGCTGGAAATTCCAGATGCTGAAGACCGGATGAAGCATTTCCTGCACAGTCTCTCTCGAGTTCCCCAGGAGCTCTTATTTATCCCGGGGCCCAAATTTGCTAACATCCCTGGCCTCGGTTGGGCATCTAAGTCATTTCTTGGCACAGGTATCCCGGGCACGATTCAGAATAAATGGACTACCCCAACTGAGAAAGGGCTCCCAATCACTACGGATGGGGCTGTACTCTCTCCGATTTATATGTCACTCGCTGCCAGGGGAGAACAAGACCTTAACACGCCATGGACTCCTATATCACAAGATGTAGTAGCAATCAAGGGGCATGCGGAGGAACCCTGGTCCTTCTTTACAGTACGGGATATTACCCTTCCAAGTGAAGGACGTTTGATCGATCTATCTGGGATCCCACGTCCTGGCCTAATTCTGCGCCATGAACTTTCCTCGTCGATCGCCTGTTTAGTCAGTTTAGGACAGGAAGGAGCCGTTGCGAGTAATGAGTGCTTGTTTGGGCAATTCCGGGCCCTCGTATCTTTACAAAGGATGCCAACTCTATGTACGCAGGACGGCGGACAGAGCATTCCAATTCTAGCCGGTCAGCTTCTGGGGGCGTCACAGAACTGGGTGGTTGGATGATGTGTCCTTAAAGAATGTGATCCAGTCATGGATATTGGAATATCGATTACAAAATAAGTTCCTTTGTTCTCTACTGCATAGATAATTTGAAATATGAGATCTCCAAGTCATTTCTAGGCTGTGCCTGAAAGTTAAGCATTTCTCATGTTGGTTTTCTGAGATCGAAGGTGAGCGGGGAGATGGACCCCTCAGCTGGGCTTCCGGTGGCATCAAGCCAGCGGTGGTGTGAAACATGGCTGACATGGCTGATGAGTGTCGATGGAAGAGTGGCAGCTGTGACTCCCTAGAGGGATCTAGGAAGTGCACACGTGACACTGGGCCGGCGAGGAAGACATAAAGTAATTGAACAAGTTCTGCAGTTTAAGGGTCCTGTCTATATTTTCTGGATAGAAGGTGACGGCAATAGGAGTGTAATCGCATTCATACCCGAACGGGTCCATCGACCTCTACTTAGGATACGTATACCCCCGACTACGGGAAACCTTGAAGTACAGCATACGCTGAAATAAGCAGCTGTGCTACAGCTTGGCCCTCCAGCTCCAGCGATAATTCAAACAGGCCCATCGTGCCATGACAAATAGCCCAAAAGCCAGGATCAACACACTGCCGAGATATGCGACCATAGCCTGCTTACCCACGGTCTCGAGCATCTCACCACCGATTGGAATGCAAATGAGGGTCCTAGAGCTCAACATCAATCATGGATACTGTCCCTGCAACGGCTGAGGAAACGTACGCTAAGCTGACAATAGAGTAACAGGTACCAAACCGTCCGCCGATCTCGCTTGCCTTCGAGATCTGTCCAACGCAGACCGGAGCAAGACTCAGGAACGAGCCCGAGACGAATCCAAACAGAATGCTAAAGGTGTACAAACCTACCAGAGAGCTCCCAAAGGGTAGCCACACAATAAAGATGGTAATGAATCCCACGGCAATCAACAAGATCTGCGTGTTCAGACGACCGTATTTATCGGCGACAGCGCCAGCAGATAGACGGCCTAGGAAGGAGGCTCTAAGCATAACGTATTAGCCCTGATAGATATTACACCGATCAGACAACTGGAGGACTAACATGTTGAGCAGGGACAAGAGGATAGCACTGGTGTTGGAACTGAATCCCTGCATGACCACGTAGGTTGGGTATAGTCCAAGGCTGGCAAAGACATTCAGCTCTAGACCTAACAAGTTGTCAACTCTAGCACATCTGCCAGGTGAAATCCTACAGACGTACTGAATATGCCCAGGGTCAGCCAGTTAAAACGTGCGTCTTGGAAACAGCGCCAGTTTATGGCTGATTTGGCCTGTCCACGCGGTAGACGCGACCGCAACAAGCCAGTCCCCAGAGCACACATCACCGTTACCAACAAGGCCAGTAACCTCACTGACCAGCGGTACCCGAACCGCGCTAGGGCTGCCCGCAACACCAAGGGGAACATAACACCACCGCACGCCGCCCCAGCCATAGCGACGCCCATTGCCAGACCGACTCGACGTTGGAACCAGTGCGCCACGGTGCCCATGGCAGGGGTAGCCAGCAGCGCAGCACCACTACCGGCGAGGGCACCAAAGGTCAAGATAAAATGCCAATATTTCGTACATTCGGCCAGGAGGAGCAGACCAGCAATGTAGCAGCACATCCCGGCAAATACCACCCACGTCAGCCCGTACCGGTCAAATAGGGGCCCTACTTGCACCCCGAGGCTGAGGCCCACGAAGACAAAGAGGCCGGGGATCCATCCAACATCGCTGGTGGAGTAGTGTGACAGTTGATGTGCGGCTAGATAGTTCTGCCGCACTCCGACCGAGTTCATCATCCCGTATGAGGCCATCAGAAGGAAGAAAGAGCCCACGATGACCGACCAAGCCTGTCTGCCTCCATCGGGGAAGCCGTCTTCCCCGGTCCCATGCAAATGACCATTGGCCGCAGTGGCGTGGCTGGCAATGCTTGACAGCCGCGGAGGCGGCTCGACGATGGAAAAGGCCGATGCGGGAGCGTTCTCCTCATCACGCAGGAGTTGATCCCCTTGGGGAACGTACCCAGGAGGTTGTGGGTGGGCTTGCAGTGGCAGTTGCTGTGAAGCCATGGTGTTCAACAACACTGATGGGAGATACACCGGAGGAAGTTTAGTATAGAAAATAGAGTGAGTCAGACGACCGGCTGGCTTGCGGGATGGCCAATCAAAACTGGGGTTACCTTTCTGGGACCCCGATTGATGCTTAGCTGCATCGGCGATAGTCTGATACGTCAATTCCTGCGGATCCTCACGGAGTTGAGGCCAGACTCCGGCAGCTGAGACGAGACGAGATAGGGCTGTAAGACCGGATTCGGGCACCCTCTCCCATACAAAATCCAAAATTTCAACTAATTTTAATTCCATCAGTCTATGCTATAATTAAATATATTTTATAATTAGATTTATTCTATAGATTTTATCTATGATAATTTATTCAAGTCGATATTTTAGTTGTTAACTTAAAAATTCTGCATACACGTCACGAGTGACGGGTTAAACCCAGGACGATGCTCAGACTAAGGCTGTTAGGTGTGGTGCGTCACCTAACATTACAGTGCGCAATTATATAAGGTGCTCAGGAATATCTGATGCCAACGGACTTTTAGTCCAGTGGAATAGTTAAGATCCTGAGCTTGGCTATAGCACTCTTTCTTTCCTTCAACTGTTCATGTAACCTATTCTATAGGCTCTATGAGTTCAGCCCTTGACGCCGGGTTTTTAATAGTCGAATGGTTTTGCTTCTCAAGATAATAGCACATGAATCCCACTATACATAACACCTACGTCTCTACCCATGCTGTTATAGCCAAGCTCAGGATCTTAACTATTCCACTGGACTAAAAGACCGTTGGCCATTCCTGAGTGCCTTATATAGTAGCGCACTGTAATATTAGGTGACATACCACGCCTAATACATGTCTTCTAATCGGTATCCATCGTCATGTCCATCAAATTCATCGTGGCAATCATTAAACAGATTGTTTAACATCTGGTGCCGATCTATCAGCGACAACTATCGCCATATCATCATCGCAAAATACAACAGTATACTATACACCAGCACCACCATCAGGTCCCTCCTCGTCTGCGATTCATCTTGGACCCATAACCATCCTCAAAAACTTGCCTGATCTCCTCCAACGGCAGCCCCGACACCTCCGGATAGAAGAGGTAGATCCATATGTACCCCAGACCACAGATACCGGCGTAAAAGCCAAATGTCCCTGACGGAGTCATACTTTGCATCATGGATAGGAAAGTGCTGGACACAATGACATTGCTACCCCAGTTGGAGCAGGTCAGCCACATGGTGCCCATGGCACGCACTTCCAGGGGAAAGAAGTCGGTACTCATCCACGCGGTGTTGCCGACCGATACGCCGTAGAACAAAACAAACCAGAGCACAAAGACCAAGACGACAATGGCCGGAGTTGACGGCGACGAGGTCAAAGGAACCTGCAGCGTCCCTGTATCAACCGGGATGAAGCGAAAGGCGACAGCAACAACAATCAATCCCACCGGCATGCCCCAGACGGTACTTAGCAGAAGACGACGTCGACCCAGTCGGTCCACGAGGATCATGTTGACAAAGGTCATGAATAGATTCGGCCCTGCGACGACGAGCCCCACGGCCGTGGGATTCGTGAAGCCGACCATGGCAAACAGTGTGGACGAGTAGTACATCAATGTATTGAATCCGGACATCTGCGAGATCACCATGAGTCCGCAGGCACTGAACAGGGCTCGTAGGTTTGCAGGATCCCGATGGAGCTGTTTGATTTTGCTACACCGACTTTCATTCTCGTTGTTACGACGCGCCTCGTCGCATGCGCTGGCAATCGAGGCACTGAGGCCGTCCAGTTGGCGCTCGGAGGCCTGGCGATAGATGCGGCGGAGGACCGATCGTGCCTCCTGGTGCCGACCATTGTACACGAGATGCCGCGGGGACTCTGGGCACCAGGGCAGCATGCATGCCAGCATGATCGATGGGACTCCTCCGAGTCCTACCATATAACGCCATCCATTGGGTACCGATGCAAAAGCGGCTCCCAGTGCGTAGGCAATAACCTGGCCCAGGGTAATGCAGATGTTGTTCAGACCGATGAGACGACCGCGGGCTTTGGCAGGGGCCAGCTCGGCCACGTACAGCGGCACAACCATCGCCGCCGACCCAACGCCTAGACCCACGATGAACCGGCCTACCGTCATTTGGGCGATGGTATAGGCGGCTCCTTGCAGGACGGCACCAACAGTGAACAGCATGCAGCCTAAATAGATGGACGTTTTGCGGCCAAACTGCGAGAGTGTCAGGGACAGGGGATAAAGCGATAGGACAAACCAGGAGGACCACTTACCTTGTCTGCCGTCGAACCTGCCACAATGGCACCAAAGAAGGCTCCTCCGGAGCAGAGCGATGTGATCATTTCCTTCTCACTGTGGGTGAGAATGCGGTTGTTGAGGTCTTTATTGATGTACACCAGTACGGCCGAGATAATACCTGTATCATACCCAAATAGCAGCCCGGCGATGGAGGCCGCCGCTGCGACTACCCAAACAAACCAGCTGAGAGGAAGGGCATTAATGTCATCGTTAGGCAATTGTTTCGGAGTCAGGTCCGAAACCTGTTCAATATGCTCGGCGGTTGTGTCAGGTTTGGCCATGGTTGTGTGTTCATCGACGGGGATGTCGGAAGAGATATCTGAGGGGCGGACTAGCAGAATCTTTATTTATAAGGGAAACCAAACCTACTTCACCCTTACCTCAGAGTGTTACTTTGGCATCATCATCCTGACGCTGTAATTGCCGGCCTCATGATTGGTGCCCAGACTGTGGAGACGCGGGGAAAGACTCCATCGTGATATACAAATATTAAGGTAAAACAGTTCCTCCGGTCTCGCTTACCCCTTTTCCCAAAGACGCAATTTTCGGCGACTGTCTGTGCCATGTCCCGCCTCCCTCCCTGCTTGGCCTGTAGATAAGTCTTCATCTGTCTGCGCGTCCAATCTGCTATTAACCTTGGCGTACAGACCGGCATTTGAAATGCATTTCCTCAGCCAAAATATGCGACCGCTGCCAATCGCTACAGGTGCCATGCGTGCGCTCTCCCCGCGTGCAGTTCCGCCTGGTTTCGCGTCGTTTCTCCCCCGACCAGGTATGGATGTTGCCTCGCGCTCGGCGTTGGCTCTTTGTGGATGAGACTGCCGACGTCATGGCCAACACTTGGCTGGATGACGAGATGATCAACCCCGGGGTGCCTCGAAATGGTGTGTTTCCTGTCTCTTCTTGTCCTCGCCTTCCTGCGCCTCCAGTTCCCGCTCGCCCACTCGTATTGAATGCCGACCGACAGGCCGCCATCCTGCTGCGGTATTATGTCGATGAGCTGGCGGCGCGATTCGACCTGTGCGATCCCCAGAGTCATTTCACCCTGGTCGTGCCACATCGCGCCCGATCGTCCACGCCATTGCGCATGGCGATCCTGACAACGTCCGCGCGACATCTCGTGCGATTACCGCGGCATCGGAATCACTACGGCGAGGTCGAGTGGCAGGGACACCGTCTTCGGGAGCTAACAGAGGAGTCCGCACTGGACTATCACACAGTCTGCATCCGAGACCTACTGGCGCTCAGTATGGATCCAGGGCAGATCCACAACGAGAACCTCTTGGCGGCAGCGATCATTCTGCGCACCGACGAGGAGATGGACGCGCCGCTGCGGGAGGATCCAGAGGACCAGGAGGTGTTTCTCCGCATGCTGAACGTCTTCATCTCAGCCCAGGTGCCTTGCGTCGAGTCGCCCTGGTCGTCTCCCACTGATCGTCTGCGACAGGCCGCTTTCTGGGTGGCGCTGCGCCAGGAAGTATTGAGCTCCTTCATGAAGCAGCGGGCGCTTAACTTCCCCTTGGCACACTGTCATTCCTTTCGCTCGCTGTCTCCTACTACGGATGACATCTGGGCCAATCGTCTCATCATCTTCTGTGCCGACGTGCTCGAATACTGCTACGGCAGTCGGGACGCACCCCCCGTGCGATCCGTCCATCGCTGGAAAGAACTCATGGCTTACCAGGACGAACTGCATTCCTCGCTTCCTCCATCCTTCGATCCGCTCTATTTGCGGGACCCTGATGCTGACACTGACGAGATTTTCCCTGAGATCTGGCTACTAGACCGTAGTCACGTCACGGGAACGAATCACGGCGACTTGGCGCGTCTATTGCTGCTGGTATTCGATCCGACGAGACCGCATCTGGGACCGGGATCAGCGGCGGGACATCGCGCGATGATGCAGGATGTACGTGCTATCGTGTGTCGGCTCTGCGGCGTAGCGTTGGGTCATCGTCATTCACCATCAGCTTTCTTTGAGGCCCTGATGGGCATTATTACTTGTGGGGAGTATTTTGAAGAGTCACGAGAGCAGACTGCACTGCTGGAGGTACTGGCGGTGATGAGGCGCGAACATGCCTTTCCAACGGAGGGAGTTGAAGCCCGATTGCGTAAGGCTTGGTTGTCTGAGTGTGCAGTATAAATGTCGTTATAGATGCAGGAGTTGGCACTATTCGTGGCTGATTCAATTACATTGTCGACGGTTCAGACTCGAATGTTATTTTATGTTGAAACTCCAATATAACTGTTTATTATGGCTCACTAAGAGCCCGGGTTTTAGGTTGGCCGAATAGTTTGTCTTGATATTCTATACTGATGTGGCCATTTGAGACAGCCTAATATGGTATCTTTTACGAGTGAATCCAATGGAAGGCAATAGTCTGTGCAATCCTTGTAGATGGTTGATGTTTTTCTCACATAGTGAATCCTTGTATCTTTCCTATTCTTATGAATTTGTTTCTTAATCTATCCTCTCTCTCACCCACCCTCTCTGTTTTTGTAGTATATATACTTCTATTCCAAAGCGTTACGGAGTACGGACTGTTTCATACTTCTGTTTGTCTATGTACCATTAAATTCTTATATTTGTGTCTATGATAATATCTGTCTATTTTTTTCTATTTTATTTTATTCTTCTAGTTATTCAGATCTATTGCATTCCTTAGTACGGAGTATTGCAAGGTCTCTCTCCCTCGGCATATATTTGTGACCCACTACGACCACGCGGGGAAAACTCCCACTATCCTTGCATCCTCAATTTTATAATTCTTCAACATGACCACGCTCGAGATCGCCTGTTTTAGCCCCCAGTCGGCCCTCACAGCCGCTCAAGCTGGGGCTGATCGCATCGAGTAAGTCTGTCACAATCCATCCAATCCAATTACCATACTAATTCCTGGTTTCTCAGATTCTGCCACGACTATGCCTCCGGCGGCCTCACCCCGACACTGGACGCGGTCGCGACCGTCAAATCCCAAGTCACCATCCCGGTCTACGCGATGATCCGACCGCACTCACGGGACTTCCACTATGATGCGATCGAGTACGCAATGATGCGGAGCAGTTTAGAGGCCTTGAAACAAGCAGGGGTAGATGGGTTTGTCTTCGGCATTCTACTCCAAGGCGAGTTGCCGGCCGTCGACGTACAGCGGAACAAATCCCTCGTTAGACAAGTGGAGGGCCGACCCTGTACCTTTCATCGCGCGTTCGATCTAATCCCGGAGTCGGGGTGGGAAGACGCCCTGAAGGATATCGCGGAGTGTGGGTTCTCGTCCATCCTGGCCAGTGGGGGACCCGGGAAGAGCGCCGTGGATTGTATCCTGTCATTGGAGAGACTGGTACGACGGGCACGGCGATATGGATTGGAGATTATTGTCGGCGGGGGAGTACGGTCGTCGAATGTGGGTTTGTTGCGTGAGAAGACGAATGCGTCGGTGTTCCATTCTGCGGCTTTGGTGTCGGCGGAGGACGAGGTGCGATCAGATCAAGTTCGAGAGATTAGAGAGGCGTTGGATGCTTGTAGTAGTAGCTATTAATACCGTACGCGTAACATCCCCCCCCCCGGCCCTTGGCTTAGGGGTGCACCACACAAGCCCAATTCACACCGTAAACCCAAAATTGAGGCTATTCCCATTATCTACCGCCTTTCACCCTGAGTATCTATCCAAAAATGCTTATTTCTCTGCTGCGCTGCTATTGCTGCATCTGATAATATCAAACTCTCATCTGTAGGCGCCCTGGTTGGCGGTTAGCTGTGCAATTTTTTACTGCTTATCTAGTCTCTTTGTCTCTCAATATAACTAGCTTCTTTCTCTCTCCTGACCTTTATTAATCGATTTGGCATGTTTTGTACTGAGTATACCAGAGTCTCCGGTTTTTCGAATTTCTCTCTCTCTCAGTAATTTGGCGTCTCCGGGGGGTTTGCATCCGTCTTATTCTGCCGACTGTATTACTTATTATCACAAGCTCTTCTGCTGTACATTTATAATGGTAGAGCGGATGCTGTTGGCCTCGCTGGAGCTTTGAAGTGAGTCTCTTAGTGGTGAATATCTTAAAAAAGCTTCATTTCGTTCCTTTCAAGGTCTTGGGCGCTTTTTGGGCAGGTGTTTTCCACACGAGAAAAAAGAGTTTTAGAGTAGGTGTTAATTCGCCATACGCGTGAAGATCGGGCGCGGAGAGCTCTGGTATAGGCGGAAGTGCATTTTGAAGCTTTTTAATAAAAAAAGAACCATCTGGATGGTATATACCAAGTTTTGTAAAAAATTGCGAATAATTTGCTTGTTAAAGGTCTTGTACGACAAGCCATTAAGGCCACTATGTAAAGGGCTGGAGCCCGTTTAACCTCTCAAGCCAATTAATTGTTGTCCCCGTTGTCCCTATTGTCCCTATTCTCCCTACTGTCCCTATTCTCCCTATTGCCCCTATTGCCCCTACGGACCCTACAGGCCGTTTTGGCCCTCGACCTATATCACATGACATTTTCACCTAATTTGTTTACTGCTCATTTTCCTCTCCTTTTGTTCCCCTCAACTATTATTCCTTTTTGTTCTGTCGACCAAAGTGGGCCAAATATTACACATTACTCAGCATCCGCTCGGTCCGACTTTATTTCTTTGTTTTTCACCTTTTTATTCAATTCTCCCGGATAGATTCAGGGGATGTTAGTATAACTATGCTAGGCTGATATAGTCGACTGTGCGTGCACCCCGTCCGCGTCCTTTAAAGTGCAAATCCACCATCTGAAATGCCTGTTTAACTGCGATACTGGCGCGCCTTACACTGCCCAAATTACGTGTCCTCTGCATCCTGCTCAGGCGATCCAGTACGAACCGTCGATGCTCCTCGTTTTCCAGTCCTGAATTTCCAAGGACAAAAAGGGGCCATAGAAGTGTTCCTTTATCCGGCAACGAAGATATTAGGCGGATGATATTGGAAACAAGGTGTTGCTTAAATGTCTTGCTAGATAACAGTTTTGGCTGGGCTCTGTTCACACAAGAATTGCGTTCTTCGTATGATGACATATGAATACCTAATCGCTCTGTATGATATAACAGTGCAGTTAGTCTTTTGATTTCTGCAATCTGGGATACGTCGTTGCGACCCATAGAGTGCGCGGGTAGCGTTTGCGTAAGAGAACACAAGGATGACTTGATTGCGATAGCCTTTGCGTTGTAGTTGAAATTGCTTATGTGGCGTGTTTCCAGTTGAGCAGCCAGATCAGATATCTCTTTTACCAGGCTCATTAACCTTCGTGAGCAGCCCATTATCATATCAATCTACTCCGAGTTAGAAATTAGAATTCCTTTGGCGTTCTGAGCGTCCAACCTCATCTAAATCATCATTTTCAGCCCAGTCAAGGCATTTTCTACCAGGGATTTTACCCTGGGAAACTGTTCGGTTCATTATATCATGCGCAACAAAATACATCCTGAAAAATTTGAGCAACGAGGAGCTCTCGTAGCCATTGTCTGAGGTATATTTAATAAGCTCAAGACCTGCATGGAGATGAATTATCCAGGAAGAATCACACCCATCGGATATCTAATTTCGTGTTAATACTAGCACCAACTGCAGGAATCATCGCTTACATCATGGAAGCAAAGCATGAGAACGGTCGCGAACACTCCATCATTAATAATGCCCTGTGAGATTGCCTTATGTAGGCCGTTTATTGCCCTGCTTTTGTAGACTAGCGTCTCCTTTGTGAAGCGAGTGTCGCCTATGAGGCGAAGTTGATTTCCAGATACCGCCAACAGAGAATTTTGGAGCGACGGATATTCAAAACATAGTGGCATGACTAGTGATATATATGGATTGTCATTTGGGCTCAAAGCGCAGTGGGGCCCAATGCCTTGGATAAAGTAATCAAGGAGGTAGGCTTCTGTCTTTGAATAGGCGGCAAGTGGGTGGCCCAATGACGTGATAGTTAGCTGCGTACCAGGACACACCATCGCATTTGTGAGCAGCTCTCTACGATGAACATCAACGCAATCATCCTCCTCGGAGAAGCTTCGATCACCCGCAAAGTCGGTAGGTGTTGTATTCAAGAAGATCCACCGCCCGATGTACTGATCCAGCGGGATAGCGAAAAACCCACTCCCCACATCAAAGGATAGTGAAATAGGATCAGCACGCTGAGTCTTAGACCATATCCCTTTTTAGCAAGTTATTAATTGTGCCGTCATATGGTATACTTAACAGTAGTCGCACCTTGTCTGCCAAAACTGATTCCTCGCCGAAGTGCATCCTCCTGATACATCAACTTCAGGCCACGGTCACACTTAAGACCTAACTTGTCACATCGCTGGCACCGTGGCTTTTCTTCAGTGCACCGAACATGCTTATCTTTTGTACACAGACATCAGCAGACCAGATTTTGGAACATTAGAATACTCGTATCAAACCTTTGCACTGATGGCAGCCTGTTCTTCGGCGATTTTTGCGGTTGATACGCTGTTTAGATGGCATTGAGATTACTAGGATGCGTTGAGTTTACCGAAACTGATGGAACTAGTGAAGACCATGAATGAGAATCAGGGACACTTTTTACGTGGATACATATTTTGAACTGCCCAGTCGCACCTTTCTGAACAGAGTTAGCATATGGTGCAGAGATCCCTGCCTGGCCATAGGCAAACAAACATTTGACAGTCCGTAGCATTACGCGTCGGATATTACCGCCATATTTTCCGGTACACTCCATCCCGCATTTACTTCTATCGACCATAAAAATACGCGTATTTGCAAATATCGATCCTCCATTGAATTAGGTCTCTGATTCAACTAAACTACCACAACATCTCGCGTTATAAAGGCGAGATAAACGAACGAAGAATGTAAACTGACTGATACAGGAAATATACGCGATCCCATGATGCTGTATCATCAACAACATTTGACCCAGAAAGGTGCTGAATAATCAATATTACCGTTAACTAAAATATTGCTGACAGACTGTACCGAGGCCCCATCGCATCTGTCGCGTTTTTGTTTACTTTGAGACGCCAATTAAAGGACAAAGCTCCATCATTAAAGAAAAAGTTTAATACTCTGACAACTCCCCAACTCATAAATAGGTGATTCATGTATAAGGCTGCGTAAACGCTCCCAGCTCTCCCAAAGGCTCGACTATCAACTTCTTATCGACGGTAGTGACTTGAAAGCAGAACCAGAAGACCAAGTCTTCAAGAAGCCTCGTTTATCTGAAGTTAAATACAATAAGGCTATTACATCTAATGAGTCTTCCAGTCAATTAAGTCGAAGTGCAAGTCCTACAGCTGAATCTTGTCATCCCGAAGAGATAGACAATGGCATTAGGGTGTATATTATATAGTTGTCCGTTGTGCCGCACATGTTCTGAATCTTATTGTTAGTAATATTCTTTCTGCATTGAAAGTGGGCGACCATGGTACTGCTATACCAGCCTATGATCTCATGCAGGAAGACAGAGAGATCGGATCGCATTCTGCATTCGCTCGACTAAGAGTCACGGCGGTCTGGATCGTAAGGAACAGCAAAAGATACAGTAGAAGCTCATCCACCAGACCAATCTATGAAGAATAAGTTCATCTAGGATGATGTTGATACACGATGGAATTCCACATATCAAATGCTGAAGGGCCCACTGAATACAATGCCCTAAATTTAACCTACCGTAAGAAGTATGCGCATTGGCGCCAGTTTCGCCATCATCGACTCCTTACCCCTAAGTCGTATACGTGGTATGAAGTGAATTGACATGTCCGTCGGGTGGGCACGCACGCGGATGCTGTACGAGGGATACGGTGGGGGTCAATAGACGTCATTTCCACCTAGACTACGTGTAGCTGATAATAGTCTTCGTCTTCCCCCTTCAGCTCCCCTGAGCTGTTGAATACGAATAAGCAAAAACCATATTCGTGCCCAGCCTGATACTTTAATTCCGATTAATCGATTAATCAGGATATTACACTGATTCCTCAAGTAACATACTTGAATGTTCTCCGCTCGAAGTCTGTCTGATCAGTAAACGCATCTTTCAGGTTTTCATCACCAGAAGCACTGGACTCCGGATCGACGCCCTCCTGCCGTCGATTCAGCCGTATGACCAAGATCCAATACATTCCCATCAGACCAATACAGACACAATAACAAGCTAACATTGCAATAAAACCGCCCGTATATGCTGGAGCCTGTTCATTTCGAAATGTTTGTGGTCCAATTAAGTTACCTACTCGGTCGATCAGTGTTGGGTTGAATTTTGAACGAAATGGAAAGAACGGCTCACCGATAGCATATCCGATATACAAGATCGAATATTGGAAGTTTTTCTTTGTGTGACCGGCTGTATTGGCTTGGGCTATGGAGATGCCTGGAGAGTTAGCAGATGTCGATCGCCAGGGAGAAACACCTACCAACTACGTATGGCCCGAAGTAGGTATATAGCTATTGCAAGTTTTAGAGATTTCTTATACGGCACTTATTAAAATGCTTACTAGATATATTCCAACCATCTGTCCTCCAATATTTGTGCGTGGAAGGCTGTATACCAATACTGACCCTATAATTGGCAAGCAAGCTGCGATTATGGCAACAAGGCTTCTGCGATTAGTCCATCGTGCCGCCAACCAGGAGAAAAAGAATGCAGAGAGAGTAGACATAATCCCAGTCGGCATATTGAGCAGTGATGTCTTGACTGGCGTGAACCCGAGGTTGTTGATAATAATTCCACTGAATGTCGTAAGGCCTGGAAGCAATTAGCACTGTGGGGTAATCTACGGAAAGAAATCCATTACCTCCATTAGGGATACTGATAGCAATGTTGAAGAAAAACAATATCCAGGTCTTAGGGTCGATAACTGCCTCAAGGGCCTGATTCCATTTCCATTGCTTGTTGACAATCCCGGTCTTGTTCTCAGCTACTCGCTGCACAGCATAATACTTCTCCTGCTCAGACAAAAAGCACGCTGTCATAGGAGTGTCCGGGAGGAAAATGAAAGCAAAAATAGACCAGGTAATGGAAATGGTTCCTGCCCTATTTAGTATTTTCTCTGTTTGATTTCGATATAGCTTACCGATGATGAGGTACAGATACTGCCAGGTTGCTAAGGGTGCGGAATTCGGGATATGTCCAACAGCCCAGGAGAGGAAACCATTGATAACCGAACTAATCGCAGCGAAAACAATCGCATTTCTTGGAGGCTGTTCATGTTTTTTATAGAAACCTGCCACGATTAGGCTGACAGAGGGAACTATTATCGCTTCAAAGCACCCTATCCTTATCAGAATTTTTCTGGAGCAGCACTAGAAGGTATGGTACCCATAAAGAACCGCAATGTCATCAACCCACTCCATTTTCGACATAGTGCAATCAACATAGCCATAACTGACCATCCGAAGGCACAGAAGGATAAATATTTTGCTGACGGGAGCCTCTGGACCAGGTAGGATGAGGGCCACATGCCGACGATTGCCTGCAGGAACCGGATCAGCATATTTTATGGACAACCTGGAACGCAAAACCATACACCAATGGATAAGATAGATCCCGCCCAGGAGTATTGTTGGCCAACTAAATTAAGGTCTAAATTAATTATCCAAGTAAGAATCTCTTTTGTATATAAAGCCGAATATCCACTACCGTCTTTCAGCCCGTATATAGCTGCCGTACTGATTGCCACCTTATCCACCGCACCCAAAGTTGCAGTGAGCAACAGCTGACCGTTGTCAGTTAGTAATTAACATAACGCAAGGAAAATCCTCTGAAACTAACCATTGGAACCAATATCCAGTCAAGTTTGCGAACAAGTTTGTTCTCCACTTCTGGTGACATCGGCGGATATTGACTGCTTTTGGACAAGTAGGCCACTGCCTGGTCCATGACTCCAGAGAACTCTCCTATCTCGCGTAGTGAAACCCTCTCAGTAGGGTTCTTTGGATCTTTCATGGTGGTAGCTGGATGAATTGACTGAGAAAACTTCGACTATGTCTAAGGGCATTCTTGAATTTACTTTATGTAGCCTCCGAAATGGGTAATATATGATGCTTGGATTGGAACGACACCCTCAAGGATTGACAGATGCCAGATAGTTCGAGAAACGAAAAATGAAGACAAGTAAGACTGACTGATGGAAAATGGTTGGCCAACGCGATGGGGATGGGTGGGGTCGCAGACAAACCTGTTGACCAATAGCTTCGTCTTGGCAAATCTGTCGTATCGACTTCTAGGTTGCAGTCAACAGGGATTATAAGTCCCTCAAGTATGTTCGTAATACCCAACTTCAAAGTGAAGCAAATTTTTTGGTCTCTAAGATTAATATAAGAACACAATTAAAGTACAATTCTCAGTCAGAAGAACCACAATGGCCACAGCAAAGGGTGGCATCAAAATCGCAATCTCAGTGTCTTCGGGGGTGCTGGTGGCCAACACGCTTGCGATGTCGCACGAAATCTGGGAATAAAAACGGTTATTATACATAAATATTCAAGTGTCTTGTCTGCCTATGGTAAAAGGTTTTTCACTAGTTGATAGTATAATTCTGACAAAACAGGCATGGCATTGGCGAATGTGGTGCGGGAAGCTCAACAACCGGTAAATGAAATCTACAGCCGTGAATCGGAAATAAGACTTCACCAGCGGCTATCAGCCCTTCAAGATACTGTCCACCGGAAGCTTGTCGATCAAGGCATCCTTAGTGAAGATATATCATATGAACTGTATTTGAACATGCGATATCAAGGAACGGAAACGTCCATAATGGTTCGAAAGCCCCAGGATGGTGACTTTAAACAGGAATTCAAAATGATGCATCTTCGGGAATTTTCTTTTCTCTTCCCTAACCAAAGACCAATTATTGTGGATGATGTGCGTGTTAGGGGGATAGGGACGAATGGTCATCTCCGACTGAACAGGCCGCGACTGGGGGAGGAGTTAAAGAGCACAAACTTCACTCCTGTATCGAAAGAAACAGTTGAGCGAAAGGTATGGGCTGATGTGATACGGAACGATTTCATTACTAATCTAAACTAGTCGAAGGTATATTTCGATGGATCTGGAGACTGTTCTACCCCCATATTCCTATTGCAAAACCTGTCGCCATCCGTTATTGTTCCAGGACCAGCTATCATAATCGACCAGACGCAGACAATCGTGGTTGCACCAGGAGCGGAAGCAAAGCTTTTGCAATCTCATGTTGTCATCGATATTAAGACCAGATTTTCGGTATATATAAAAAAGCCCAAGGAGATAGACCATATTCAATTATCAGTATTTGGTCATCGATTTATGAGCATCGCCGAGCAAATGGCTCAAGCTTTGCAAAAGACATCAGTCTTCCTTGAACATAATAGAGCGCCTAGACTTTTCCTGTGCGCTATTTGGACCAGATGGTATAAAAGTCCTGCCTTCGTAAAGAATAACACAAGCTAACAATTATTAGGCGGTCTGGTGGCCAACGCTCCTCATGTTCCTGTTCATCTCGGATCAATGAGTTACGCAGTAAAGTTCCAGCATGAGCTACACCGGGGAAAGCTTGTGCCTGGAGATATCCTCGTATCGAACCATCCAGAAGTGGGGGGAACGCATTTGCCTGATATTACAGTTATCACACCGGTGTTCGAAAGATCAGGGAAAGAAATTGCTTTCTATGTAGCCTCTCGTGGTCATCATACTGACATCGGAGGACTGGGAGGCAAGTCGATGCCACCTGATTCCACAGAGCTTTGGCAAGAAGGGGCAGCGATCACATCGTTTAAACTTGTTCATGCGAATAAGTTTGACGACAAGGGCATCTCAAAAATTCTCTTAATCCCTGGCCAGTACCCTGGATGTTTTGGAAGTCGGCACGTGTCCGACAATATCTCCGACCTCAAAGCTCAAGTAGCCGCTAACCATAAAGGAATGATACTTGTTCAAGCACTAATTGAGGAATATACTCTTCCCGTGGTACAATTTTACATGAGAGCCATCAATCAAATGCGGAACTCGCCGTTAGAGCGTACCTTCGATCGGCATACTTTAAACTTGGATCTCACCTAGTAGCAGAAGACAAGATGGATAACGGGGCACTGATTAAACTCACCATTACCATCTCGTTAGACAGGTCCGCTATAATTGATTTCACTGGTACTGGCTACGAATTACATGGCAATATTTAATGCTCCACCAGCCATCACCCACTCAGCTATTATCTATACTATGCGACTCCTGATCGGCACTGATATTCCCCTCAACCAGGGATGCCTCGCACCTATTGATGGAATTCTTCCCAAGAGATCCTTCCTAAATCCATCTGCTGGACCCGCCGTCTGCGCTGGAAATACCCAAACGTCACAGCGTATCGTTGACGTCATCCTAAATGCATTCCATGCAGCGGCAGCGTCACAGGGTGCATGAATTGTATTGGCTTTTTTGGCGAAGGAGGGAGAGACAAGTACGGCAAACTACTAAGTGGCTATGCATATGCATTTGGGGAGACCATTTGCGGCGGCTCGGGAGCTACAAAATCCCAGGCCGGTGCGTCTGCCGTACATACACATATGACCAACACAAGCATCACGGATCCTGAGAGCCTCGAAAAACGATATCCAGTAATATTACGAGAATTCGCCATCCGTCCAAGCACCGGAGGGAAGGGGCGCCACAACGGCGGTGATGGTGTAATACGGGACATTGAATGCCGTGCTCCGTTGAGCTTTAGTGCCATAACCGAGCGACGCAGCATTCCACCATACGGTATGAATGGTGGTGAGCCAGGCGAGCGAGGTGCAAACTACTGGGTCCGGCGGGTTGAAAACGGAGACAAGACGGAATGGCGATGGGTGAATATAGGCGCGAAGAATATGGTTCGAATGGAGACAGGCGATCGCTGTGTGATTCATACTCCGGGAGGTGGAGGTTGGGGGCTACCTGAATTAAATGGATATTCTGGTGATAGGGCTGATGTACGGATTCAATACCCTAGGGCATCGGGCAGTGTGGCTGCTTATATAATGGCTCAAAAGAGCTCGGCATGATTGATGAGATATCTTGTTGGAATCAAGTACCATATGTCAATTAATGTCACGGCGTGAGGTTTGATGATTAACTGGTTTCCATTCGACGGACTGAGCAACGTGTTGTGGAATTCAGGGGAAGTGATGCGCAGGGAGCTATTCTATCATCTACAGGCCAACTAGCCTAACTAGGAAGTAGATGTCCTTCGGTGGAAACACCAGGAATCACAGTATCTCAACCAACTGAGTCTCTTGCATTCCTATCTGGGTGCTCAACTAACTAAAGGACTGTGGGGTAGAATGGATCGTCAGATACTTCCGCACCACCAAGTCGGGCGGATTAGACCTAATGTTTCCGTAACAACATGGCTAAATAGTGACCATCCATTCCCTGATCTGGCAGACAGGTATCATAACTACAAGCGTTTCCATCCTTACAGTTTACTTAGGAGTACGAAGATAAACCCTAGAAACCTTTCATTCTTGAACTTAACTGAGTAGTTCTATTGTCCGTCTGAGGCAATTTTTACTTTGTTATAGAGAAGCGCCAATGACATAATCAAGATATGAACTAGTTAACGTAATCGGTAAGCGAGCGCCGCACGTAAGCGAGCGCCCGGGTGCCAGCTCGCCGTGGTCTAAAAAAACCTCGGCGTGGGCTAAAATTCTGCCACCTCCGCCACCGCCTTTTTAGACCACGGTGAGCCTTTTCTTGGCATGGGCTCAGCGTGGTCTAAAATTAAATTTTCCGTACTTTTTAGACCATGTTGAATCCCTTCAGCGTAGCTTGACCACGCTGACCTTTTTGGCCTAGCGTCAGTCCCCGGTCGGTGCATATACTGAGCATATGCTCAAAACATTAAACTGCGTGAGATTATTCATTGCATCATCAATATATATAATCAACATATTCACTATATCAAACAATAGAGGCAGATTTTGCAACACACTGTGAATGATCCTACACCCAAATTGGGTAATAAAAATGTTGGCCGCGTTTGCATTTATTTTGGAACTAGAAGACCTAATTTTTTTTTTTCATTCATTCTTTCTCTCTTCTTCTCTCTTTAAACTCCCCTTCTTAAATAAGTATCGCATATCCCTTCTTGGCATATACCGCATATATACCTTGACCGGAAGACTTGAAACCTCTCCTTCTCCCCTTTCCTTTCTGTATGCCCAGAGTATATAATTACAACCATTTATATGACCCTTTCTTTTCTGCATACCCAGTGCATATACTACCAATCTGTGACCCAATTTCTTTTTTTTTGCATGTCAGAATACACTGATGATTTTAGTTCTTATTTAGGGGCCTTGTTCTCAGCATATACCATTAATATGCAGAGAATGCAGCTTTCGCGTGAAGACTTTGACAATCCAGAGGTCGCTGGGGCGGTGAACCCCCACCCCGACTACGGTTACTTCCACGGTGAGTATCTACTTAATATATTCACAACATGTGCTTAACATATGCAGGTCCCATCCCGAACCCAAACCCCACTTAGCGCCCACACCCGGACCCCCGCACACCTGTGACCACCGCGAACAACAAGAGTATAGGGCCCCACAGATGTGCAGCATATGCTAATTATTTACAGATGCCCTAACTCCTGGTTCAAGACTGTCAGGTGTTAATAGCATGGTGTAAGTAATTAACATGCCTGGCACATGCTAAGCATGGGCTAACAACCTCGCAGATGCGACATCGCAGTCAATGGCAACCAAATATGTGGCCAGCCCGTCCATTCTTAGATTACTGTAGGTCGTGTTTTTAGCACATCGTTGGTATATGCTACCTATTCCATAGCTTCGCCGCCACATCCGGAACGCCCATCCCGGTGCCAGTGAGTTGTCTATTCCTTGTATAGGTCTAGCAGATGCTAAGGATTCATAGCTCTTAATCCCTTCCGCACCAACATTCCCCAGGCTGAGTGCATTGCAGGTAAAAAATTAGTAAATACATAGCTTCTCTTGAGCATATGCTAATAATTGACAGCGCTTTAAAGCAATGGATCCTTAGCAGAGGATGGAGAACTGCCCGTTACGTGAAGGAGCCTGGGTATGTCTCCCCTCCGCATATATATATATATACATTGGGCGTAGGGCTAACGTATGCTAGTGAGGGTCCTATGTACAGTATTATTCAGGATTACTGTAACTTCCTCAAGCAGCTGGCGTGAGTAGAGCATATCTGTATTATATGCATAGTATATAACTAAGAACCACTAGCCAGGAAGATAACAACTTTGCTCAGCAGTTTGGGACTGAGTTCCATCGTCCTGTATATGATCCGGGTATTTACTCTACGTATTCCCTGCGTATGCTAATATTTCCTAGAGGCTGGGTAAGGTCTCTGGTCACAAGGCATGTGCCCCTGGAAACTAAGCTCTTTATAATATACTAAGTATATGCAGCACAAATCTTCCCCACTACCCTCTAAGCCACCTACCCCACTGTCTGCCCCCAAGCGCAAGCGTGCTCCACCGAAGAAGGGTCACAAGGGTAAGTATAGCACATCCCCCTTATACTAAGCATCTGCTAAGAACTTGTAGCCACCGGTAGCCGGAAGCAGCCGGCGCGCGCCAAGAAGGATGCTGCCGAGTCGGTGCCGGAGACTGCGTAGGGTATATACACGGTTGGTTTTAGAGATAAATTATAGAGTCTAGGAATAAGTAGAGCAAATACTAGTCTAGCTATTATTTAGGGAATTAAAATAGCTTTTTAACATACTATACATCTACTAGGTGTATGCTCTGCACTTGCAGGGGTTTCTTTTTTTTCTTCTTCTTTCCCCCCTCTACCTCTTCCTCAAGCTCCTTAATTCGCTCAACTATATCTCTTCGTCGCTTAAGTCCCTTAAGCTCCTTTAAACACTTTTCTAAAGGGTCTATGTTTAGCATATACACAGCGGGTGATCTAACAGGGGTCTCGATAACACTATCTTCACCAACACTCTGTACAGTGCTAAGTGGGTGTGTTCGTTGACTTGCAGGTACATGCCTGGCATAAGACGAGCATGTGTTAAGGCTAGATACTAATAGGGAATTAGTGTCCTGCATGGCCACTCCGTCTGTATTTTAAAGAGGTGTATCATATGGATTCCCTGGATTCCATGGCAAGTGTGGCTTCTTCTGCCGGCAGTTCGCTGCCTTTTTTGCTGTTGATCTATGCATAGTATTAGCCTGGTATGTAAATAGCATATACACTGTTCATGTTAAACCATAGGGGCAATAGGGACAATAGGGACAATAGGGACAATAGGGACAATAGGGACAATAGGGACAGTAGGGACAGTAGGGACAATAAGGGCAATAGGGATAATATAGTAATTAGCTAGAGAAATTAAACAGGCTCCAGCCCTTTAGTTTAACATACTTTGCTTTCGAATAATCTTAGTGCGCCTTTAAACGTTCGTTTGGATTTTCCATAAAGGTGGAATACCCTCCTTAATCTGTATCTTATTCTAAGTAAAGGCCTCAAATGTAAACCTTCGCAATCTAAGTATATAGTTAGTATATTATTAACTATGCTCTGCATCTACCTTGGATATACTTTACTTTAAAACAGCTACCAGGAGTGACTGCTTCCGGCCAACACCTTAATTATTTTAAAAATAACTATTTTTACTAATTCCGGTATGTTTCCGAGCATATGTCCAGTGTTCAATCTGTATCTTTAATTATTCCGGGGTCAGTGCACTTAAGATCCACGGCCGTTTTTTTTCCCTCTAGCCAGGATTTAGTCTTAGGATATGTATTGCATATGTAGTCCATACACTTAAGCAAATCAGGTTTGGACGGTGCTTCTAAAAGGCTGTTAAGTAGGTGCTCTGCAGGGTGGTCCTTATACTTTAAGCAAAAAATTATGCTTTAAGTGAGTTTGGCAGAATATGATCACATAGGGAAGGTGCTCAGACCACTCTCGGGATATATCTAGCGTATGCAAATAATCTCCAAGACCTAATATACTTAACAGGGTGCAAATACCGGGCATATATTTTGTTTATTACATACCTAGTGCTTGCTTCTTACACATATCGATAGTTATAGTCCAGATCTTATTCTCACCATGTTAAATATGGGGAAACCGTATAGGTGAGCGAGCCACATTTCCAAGTATCTTAAATAGCTTTGAGAACATTACAGCATATGCATCGCGTGTTTCGAGATTAAGAAAAGCATATGCAAAGGTATTGATTCCTAGTAACTTGCAAGTTAGTGAGCAATATTAAAAAAATATACTAGATACATACTTCGCATATATAGATTCCACCCAGAAATTGAGAAGACATTCGTCTTGCCATTAACCATTTTGAATGAGAGGTCCATCTTAATATGCTTGATATTAATAAACGCCCTTCGCCTGAGCATATGTACAGCACTATAATAAGAAAATACCGTGGATCAAAGAAATAGACATCACGTATCCATTGCTGGTCGTCCTCTTTTAATTGGTCGAAGGCGTATTTATATAATACCCTAGTATTAGCTGAGCATATACCTAAAAGCAGTAGCTATTATCATACCAGCAATATCAGTTCCTTCAGGATAAGTTAAAAGTCTCTGTTTTCGGATCAAAGCTTGAACTCTATCTTGAATATTAAGACTTTGATGTAATACACGTAGTGTTAAGGGACCAAATCGATTATATATATCAGTGAACTGTGGAGAGATTATGAACCGTCCTAAATAGAGTAGATACTTAGTATATGCTGTATATATAGAGTAAATATACTTACTTGCAGTTAGGTTAAGGATATTATGCTGGGAGATTATTTGGACCACCTCATCTGCAATATCTTTAGGTAATCGTGTTGGAGGTGGTGGAAAATAAATATAATTTAATTAACAAATCAAAAATTAAGAAAGGAAACCGTTGCCAGGATGTTGGAATATACAAGTCAAATTTAACCTTACACTTTGGAATGTAAAGCCTGCCGGTATGGTGAGTATATGCTCGAGCTAGATTAATCCTATACTTAGCATATAAATATATAAAACTAGAAATATACTTACTACACCATCTTCTTCAGGATGTTGGCTGAGCAATAAAATTATATTCTTCTATTTTTAGGCCTGTTCCATGTTCCATAAGAACTTAAAGATAAGTCTTATCAATCTGAGCAAATCGTCGAACTGGATGAGCATAATGCCAAGGTTTAATATCTGAATTCTTGGGGCAACCAAGAAAATAATTCTGGGTTAATTAGTATATATTTAATATATGCAGTATATGTACCTAAAGCATACCTGATTTTAATAAAACATTACCGGTGGTGTTTCACCACATGTCTTAATATCTTGATATTCACAAGGACCTCCATCCTGCCACCAACATTTCATAAAAGCATAGAAGACATCTTCAGTTTTTTTTAATTAGTTAATCAATTGCTTGAGGATAAAAGGGTTCGGCGTAACGTAAGCGCTGTTTATTAAGTAAATCAAGATTAACCCAGTCATATGCCCGTGATATACTTAGTATATAATTATAGACCCGCTCACAGGCCTTTACCGAACCACATATATAAGATCTATGCCAAGCCTTGTGTTGTCCGTTATCATCAAGCTTGTTTAAAAGATCCATTTTGACGAGCTTTGCAGCCCCTGTATGTTTTTTGCAAACTGAATCTATTTAAAGTATTAGTATAGTATAGAACTGATATATACTCTACATACCTTTAACATAAGTAGACTTCATCAGAGCCCACGAAAGCCCAAGCCCAACCCAACCCAACCCACTTGTGGGCTGGGCTTTGGGCCAGGTTCTAGGGCCCATGATAGGCTATAGGCTGAGCCCAGGGGCCCACGGCCCACAGATGGGGCCCAAATGGGCCCCCAAACTAGGCTAAACAGTGCAAACATGCCCCGATCTTATGACTGCATAACTTGTGCTTCTTTTAGCTGTAATATTGAGTATTTCTCTTACATTATTTCTCTTAAAAATTGCTCTTTGTAATGTCTACTCCGCCTGGTTATATTTTACATTCTTACTCGCTGAAGCGTTCAGCATCGTGCAGAGTTTGGTTAACAAGATATTATTCAAAAGGCAGTAATTGAATATATTAATGATACTCAAACTCATTATCCTCCCTACTTTTCCGCTTTCTTCCTGAAACCCGTGTTTGCGTGATATTCTCTGGCAATTCAGGCTCTGTATAATCCTGTATCACTGCTACTGCCTCATCATACTTCTTGTTCCTCAGTATCACTAATCGACTCTATCTCAATCTCCTCTAATTTCTCGTCTCTCTCTTCCTTTGCAGCCTCTATCTCATAGATAGAAAAGAATTCCTTGAGAAATTTTGCCTCTTGTTCTTCAAGATCAAATCTTGATGTACAAAGAAACATCATAATCCCTAATTTCTCAGACTTCATCCGACCGCGGCGGTAATGACAGATATCTCGAGCAGTATTAAAAGTCGTTCAACACCAGCGCCTGTTGCTGGAATAGAGAGAATATCCCGTGCAAGGGCTGCAATAGCTGGAAATCGATATTCATTGTCTCTCCAGAATTGAAGGGGCTCCACATCGATAGTATCTTTTAGGAAGTTAGGATTAGACTAAAGCAATAAGGTGTTTAACATACCGCTGTTAAGATATTGAGTTATTTCATCCCTAACTGGCTTTGCCTGTGGTTTGTGCCCATTCAACATCTTATTAAGCCTTGAGCTTGGTCTTGCTGCGGTAGGGGTGGTTGCAGAGCCTTGAAGAGTAGAGAGACGTTCTTGATAAGGAACCAGGGCTTCTTGGAAGGATTTCCGGTAGAGGTCGCGCCATTGTTTATCCCAGTCATCAGATAGGAAGAATTGGAACTTATTATCGGGGGCAAGCATTGTACTAATTGCATAGATATGTGGTTTAACCCTATCTGTCTGCGAGTAGTACTCATCAAGTTTTAATCGACCAGCTTCAAGAGAATCAAGCATCTGCTTTTTCCATGGAACACACTTCCGCCGAAGCTGCTTCATTGATTTTTCTAGATGCTCGAAGAGTGCATTGTAAATCTTGAAAACAAGATGTATTGTTACCTCTCGAGTCTTTGATAGCTCGGTTGTATAGAGAAAGAACGGCTCAGTAATATAAAGAAGATAGTCAATTTGGCGCCACTCCTCATTATTTAGCAACATCTCTTCACAATCATAGTCGGCACAAAATCGTGTAAAGATATCACGGAGTCGTTTCGCGCGTCGAAGCATGAGAAAGGTTGAATTCCATCGAGTTCTCACATCTTGGATTGGTGTAAGCTTTGGATCATCTGTTTGAAGATTGTTGAATGCCTCTCGACGTGAAGGGCTTCCGTGGATATAAATTGCAAGAGAGCGGACCTTGTTTAAGGTATAAGAAATCTCATGCTTCTGGTGTTGTGTATTTGCCTTGGCTAAAGTTGACAGCCGGTCAGTCCACTTTGTTTCCTCGGTATTATTTAGTGGAACTGCCTTGAGACGGTCAAGAAGCTGGTTCAGGCTAAGTTGGATAACATGAGCAAGACAGGGAGTTCGGATAATATTAACATTATTAGATAAAGCCTGCTGGAGGGAATCAGCCAATGTCTTATTATTCGATGCATTATCACTGGTTAATCCAAAGACTTGGTCTTGAATCTGATGGCTGTTTAGTGTTTCTAGAACAACACCACTTATGTTCGAACCAGTATGCGCTCCGTGAAGAGGTTTAAAGCCAAGAAGTACTTCCCGATATACCCAATCAGCATCAATAAAGTAGCCAGTTATAGCTAGAAATGCCTGGGAAAACGGAGATGTCCAACTGTCAAGCGCAATTGATATCTTCGAACCTGAAGGAAGCATCCTAAGAACACTTTGTTGCCGATCTTTGACAAGCACTTCTAGCCGACGACGTATCGTCATTGCAGATGGGATTTGTGGAGCAGTTGGTGCATTTGGGCCATCTGAATAAGCTTATAAATGTTGGATGCTCGATTAGGTAAAAGGAAGCCGATTATTGAGAGAAATAATAAGATCTTCTCCTCCCAGGCTGGTTGTGAGAAAGGAACATCAGTCGGAGCAGATTTCTAGTAAATAATTATTAATTAGTTAATAAACATAGTAATAGAACATTAGATATACTGTTTTTTGGAGGAATTAGTGATTTCATCCTTCTGTCTGTTCTCAAACCGTTGGCACGCAGCAGTCTTTAGGTGCCTTGTCATTGTTGATAAACCATGACGCCCTTCCTTCCCTTTAGCATCCTTTTTTGTAGAGTAAGGATGTTCAAGGATCTGGCTGCAGCGTTTACACATGACCTTTGGTGCGCCGTCTATACTAGATGCGACCTGATCATAGTGCTTCCAAATATCTGAAAGGTGGTTTGAGTCCCAATGTATCTTACTTTGGGACCCATAATCAGTATGTAACCACCAGTCTACCTATTCACTATGAGTCATTTCGTTATAAAGCACATATGCCTTTCTTCTATCGGGCCCGACACGTTCAAGAGAGGATGGAATTGTAAGAGGAATAGCTGGTCGAATAAATAAAGGGACCGAAGTGTCAAGGGCATCAAATGTATGCTGGCTGCCAGATGGAGTGGCTGGGTGATTTGAAGAAGTTAGAAATGTTAGATTATCTATCTCTGCATCATAAAGAGATGATGCAAAGTCAGATTGCTGGCTTTGGGATATAATGAAGTAAGTATACAACACATGGATAAAAATAAGAGAAGGGTAAAAAAGGAGATGGATACATTACTAGGAGAAGGATTTCTGATTTACTTAGCTATGGACTGTGAGTCAAACAAACAAGTCTACATATCAAAAGAAAATATTCAGCTAGTTGCTAATTGGATAGATATCACAAGTGAAGTGTGTTTGGCCCAACGAGGCCCAACAAAGCCCATAGGGCCCATGAATAGCCCAACAAAGCCCAGAAAAGCCCACAAAGCCCACGAATAGCCCATAAAGCCCACGAATAGCCCATGAGAGCCCATTAATAGCCCATTCCCAGCCCATTAATAGCCCATTCCCAGCCCAACTCGACCTTAGATACCCTCAAAAAATTTTCACCTGGTCAGATACAGAGACAGAATACTGGTAGAAAGAGCTGAATTCCTTTAAATTCACTTCTTTATACTATCGTTTAGGATTAGAATTCCAAAGTAGAGAAGATAAGCTTTTATTTCATGTAAAGAATGAATAAATCAGAGCAGGCAGAAGTGGTTAATTTTTTACTTCTGTCTCTTATTAAAAAGATGCGCACACTCTCGTATATATAAAATATATATCTAAACAAGTTTGCAGTGAATTTATCCATAAGCCATCAAAACACCACCATAACAATCAGAATATGGGATTTTTATAAGTAATTAACTTAAAACAAGCCTTACTTTCTTTAATTCCAAGAAGATTTCCTAGAATTTCTTACTATTTTAGGCGAGGTTACAACGAAGCTCAGTTGATGAACTGGAACAGGTGTAAAAAACAGTATTTTATTTTGATTATTTAGCAGCTTTATGAATGCCAAGACCAAAATTTTATGCAAAATGGGCTTTTGCGGGGGCCCATTGGGGGCCCATCGTGGGCCTGATGGTTGGGCTTGGGCCTGAAATCCGGGCCATCAGCCCACAGTGGGTTGGGCCGTGGGCCCGAGATTCAGGCCCATTTGTGGGCTCTGATGAAGTCTAAACATAAGCCGTGTAAAAATATTATTTATTTCTTTCTCAGAGAAATCATTTGGATTCCTTGAGGATGGAAATGGATTGTAGTTATAAATAAAATAAAGAATACCTTCTGCTGCTGTTGCTGGATATTTAGGTATTAAAAGATGTTCTTGATGTAAGGGGCTAGAGCCCCTCAGCCTACTCGGGCCCCTCAGCCCTCGTGTTTCCTTTCTCCTCGCCTGCCACATGATTAGTATATTGATTAGTACACTCTATCATGTGACTTCCCCCCCTTACTTCGCAATCGTCTCATCGCTGTTTCCTCTTCTCTTTCCTCTTCGACGATTCCTTTTGTATCCACCCTAGTTATTAGGTTATAGAGGTTTAGCCCTTGACATTAGGAATCGTCCTTGTCTGCCTGTCTGCCCGCTCGCCTGCCCGCTTGTCCGCCCGCTCGCCTGCCTGCCTGCTCGCCCGCCCGCTTGCCTGCCTGTCCGCCAGTCTATGGGAATATCTTTACGATGTCCGACCCGAATCCACTCCTCCTGCTTGTGCAGCAGCTCCAGCAAGAGCTCCAAAACCAGCGCCTTGATATTCAAAACCAGCGTAATGAAATACAGCAACTACGTGCGGACCTTGATGCTTCCCGAACAGATGTCCACCAGCTTCGTACGCAGCTTCTTTCCGTCCAGACACCCAGATCCCGCCTGCCAGATCCGCCTCGCTTTAACGGTAAACCATACACGCTTCGCACATGGCTCCCGTCAATTAAAGCAAAACTTCGATCAGACCAGCTCGTAGGAGCTGATGCTTTTGACTATGTATGGGATCGACTAGAACAGTCTCAGCAAGCTTCTGTCCTGCACCTCCGCCAATCTGCCGAAGAAAACCAGCTATGGGATCCTGAAGTTATTTTCTCTTTTTTTCAGCGTCTATGCCATAACCCACGGGAACAGCAGGAGGCTATTCAGCGCTTTACTTCTATACAACAGAGGGATGACGAATCGCTTATCGCCTACCTTGCTCGTTTTGAACGACTTTCATATGAAGCCAATGTAAACTCATGGCCAGATATATCACGTGTTACCACGCTACACCGGGGGCTACGGCCTAATCTCCGTCGAATACTAGAAGACTCGAATAATTCTCTCTTTGATCTTCCCTATAATGAATATATTGAACTTGTCCAGAGTACCGATCGGCGTACCCGTCCTAGTCCAAAATCAGCCCCGAAACCAGCTTTGACCCCGAATACAGACCCAATGGATACTGATCCGGTCGAGTCAACTCAGTTAAAATAAACCCCAATCCTGTTCATGTTGGCTCTGTGAGAGTAGCCCGAGCTGCTTCGCCTGTTTTATCTGATTCTTCTCATGAATCCACCACCTCTGACCGCCGCCGTTTCCGACTTGCGAATAATTTATGCCTTTACTGCGGTTCTAATGATCATTGGATCGCAGACTGCGATGCCCGCTCTACTTTGTCTGATACTTCCGAGAAACCTCCGAAAAGCTTACAGCCCGCGCCAGCAACCCGCCTCGCTATTAGGCCTCCTTCGGAGGCCTTATATAGGAAGGGGGAGTAGTGTAAGGGGCTAGAGCCCCTCAGCCTACTCGGGCCCTCAGCCCTCGTGTTTCCTTTCTCCTCGCCTGCCACATGATTAGTATATTGATTAGTACACTCTATCATGTGACTTCCCCCCTTACTTCGCAATCGTCTCATCGCTGTTTCCTCTTCTCTTTCCTCTTCGACGATTCCTTTTGTATCCACCCTAGTTATTAGGTTATAGAGGTTTAGCCCTTGACACTTGAATCTCTTTAACCTTAATCTTATAACTAGCATTTCGCGCAACGACAACACCATCTAAAGTAGCTGCTTCCTAACATAGACTTAGTATATATTATGCATATATTAGATATACACTAACCCGCTGTAGGCCCATTACTATTGGTGTAAAAGATTCTTGTTCCTGTATATTATCTCCTGGATCTAACGGAGTAGACCTAGTACTAATTATACTACTAGAATCATCTCTATGAGATTCCTGCACCTCGTTCTGATAATTGGGTATATTAGTATAGGGTTTGTATATACCCAGTATATAATAAATATATATACACATACCTGGATTGGGATATTGTTGATCCATTCTACCACTCTTTCCCGAACTTCGGTACCAGCCATTGTTGTGGTTTGGTCAACCTATACAGAGTATATGCAGAGTGGATACCCTGTATTGTGTAGTATAAAATATTCTTAGGGCTACACCTTACCAATTATAGTAATTAAGCCCTAGTGCATATGCTCAGCGTGGTCTAAAAATCTTTTGAAAATCTCATCGTGGCCTAAGAATACTGACTAATCATTTAGGCCATGATGAGTTTATTCTTGGCATAAGCTCAGCGTGGTCTAAAAAAGAGCGGTGAGTCTCGGGGCAGAATTTTAGCCCACGCCGAGGTTTTTAGACCACGCCGAGCTACAAGCCCGCGAGCGCCGCACCTCCTGTATATCTACGCGTCCTTTTTAATCAAGTGATTTAACCACCACCATGCCACCAAAAGGCCTCCGAAGACAAAAGATTCGGAGGATCAAGAAGAAAGAATTACTCTAGCTATTTCTGCATTTGAAAAATCACAAATTCGGTCTGTACGACAAGCAGCACAGGTGTTTCAAATATCTGAAAGAACACTGCGACGACAGCTTTATGGAGTAACTCCACGGTCTAAAAAGCGCGCCAACAGTCATAAATTAACATCAAATAAGGAGGAATCGCTTGCACAATAGATATTATTATTGGACCGACGTGGAGCTCCTCCCCGACCGTCTCATGTGCAAGAAATGGCCAATATTCTTCTTGCAAAGCGTGGCACCACACCTATTTAAACTGTTGGTGATAAATGGGTATACAACTTCGTCAAACGGCGTGATAAGCTTAAATCAAGATATTTTCGAAGATACAATCACCAGCGTGCTAAATGTGAGGATCCTAAGCTTATTAGGGAGTGGTTTGATCGTGTACAAATTATTATAATGCAACATGGAATTGCACAAGAAGATATCTACAATTTTAATAAAACTGGCTTTGCAATGGGCCTGGTAGCTACTGCTAAAGTAGTTACTAGAGCTAATATACAGGGAAAGCCATTTCTAGTGCAGCCAGGTAATCGAGAATGGGTTACCACTATTGAGTGTGTTAATTCTACTGGTTGGGCACTTCCTCCTTCTATTATCTTCAAGGGAAAGGTCCATATGGAAAGTTGGTATAGGAGACTCCAGGTCACTGGAGGATTGAAGTTAGTAGAATGGATGGACAACAGATAGATTGGACTACGCTGGCTTAAAAAGCAATTTATTCCTCTACAACTGGCCGTACAACTGGACAATATCGCCTGCTGGTTCTTAATGGTCATGGAAGCCATTTAACTCCTCAATTTAATAAGGTCTGCAGTAAGAATAATATTATACTAATTTACATGCCCGCACACTTATCACATATTCTTCAACCGCTTGATGTTAGTTGCTTTGGACCACTAAAACGCGCGTATGGACATCTGGTTGAGAACAAGGCATGGCTTGGCTTTAACCATATTAATAAGCTTGATTTTCTTAAAGCCTATCCCAGAGCCCGTACAGAGGCTTTAAAGGAGGAGAATATTAAAAGTGGCTTTTCAGGAACTGGCTTGGTTCCATTCAACCCGGAAAGAGCTCTTATGAAGCTTAATATTCAACTAAAAACTCCTACACCTCCAGGCAGTCGTTCAACCAATTCAGCGCCTAAAACACCTTATAATTCTCGGCAATTAAAAAAGCAAGCATCTGCAATAAAAAGACGGCTGAAAGCGCGTACACAAAGCCCCCAATCTTCTTTGGAAGCACGATTAGACAAGCTTATCAAAGGGCATGAAATGGCTCTAAATGAAGCTATTCTTGCACGTCAAGAAGCGGGGGATCTGCGAGCTGCAAATGAAACGGACCGTCAAAAGAAAAAGGAATCTAAGCGACAGATACCTGGTGCAGAGGGCTTTTCTACAGAAGAGGCCCAGGAGTATGTACAGCAGCGGAATAAGGTCTAAAAGCTTAAGATACTATACCAGTAGAAGAAGAGCCATCTACAGTTCAGCGACATGTACGAGCGCCACCACAGTGTTCTGGCTGTGGTATTCGGGGTCATAAAATCAATACATGTCCTAATCGCAATAGTAATTAGGTTTTATATAGAAATGCAGATTTTTGGGTGTTTTAAATGGCTTCCTTTTACTGATCGGGAGAAGTGCGGCGCTCGCTTACGTGCGGCGCTCGCTTACCGATTACGTTAAGCTTAAGGGGGGGATTATGTTAGGGCTCTACGCCCTAACATACCTCTTGCTCGTCTGTTAGGGACCTACCATATTCGGTATGGTCACGTGGCCTCACTTAGTGGTGCACCCATCTTGATTGTCAGCTCGCCCAAGCGCCCTGAATTGTGCCTCGCGAACATCGTCTGTGTGTCATGTGACTAGAACCACGTCCCCACAGAGTGGATCCACCAAACTCCTCTCCACGCTTCGCATTCTAGTCAATAGGAACACCTATTATTGGATAAGCGACCCAACAGGTTATGAGCTGAGGAGCTCTCCGACTATTGGGCGGCTGGCTCTCTTGATACGTTCACTGCAATCATTTTTGGAATAAAGCAATAAATTTAGTAAAAAACTTTTAATATGAAAACAGACAACAAGAATCAAATGTTAAAGAGTAAGGACAGCAATGCAAGTACCAAATATCAACAATAGATGGAGGAAGTGCCGACCAGTTTCAACGAATGCGTGGCAATTCATGATATAGCAAGATATACTCCGTACATAGTACTTGATGGATGCACCGCGCTCAATATAAGATTTTTTAAGAAAAGAACCTTCTGAAGTACGAGAGAATCTTCAAAAAAAAAAAAAAAAATGACACCGTGATATGCTGCCCAGGAAGTGAAGGCAATTCATCGCTGTTCAAAGAGATGCTAAACAGGACGAAAGCTATCAGCAATTGTAGCCCCCCTGGAGAGACGGGCTAAAAGAATAGTGCTCCTGTCTGGCCATTCACTCACCCTGAAACACTTCCGGCATACTTTGTTTAAATGGTTCCCATGCTTTATAGAGATCATCCATGTCGTGCGCATAATTCAGGAACCGTTGAATCAATATTATCCGCGAATCGCCGAGGGCATGGGTTATTTCCCCCTCGACAAGTCGACAAGCCTGGAGGGCTCGACCTCTGGTGGTTTCGTCCACGGAATTCTCCTCGTCAATGATTATGCGCCTGATTAGTAGCTCGTCAGGGGAAAGGTATTCTGAGGGTCACAGAGGTTCAACTGGCATTAGAAGTGTTCGTTGGGGATAGCTGTCCAGGAACGCTAGGACTTACTGGAGCTCTTGTTTATGACCTGGGCCATAGCTAAAGATTTCGTAATTAGGAGTCAAACTGTAGCTCCAGAACTTGCGATAGAAATGATCTGAGGAGAAAAGCAAAAGAATTTAGGATGTTCTGCAGAAAGAACAAGTCTTCAAGCGAGGGCACGAAAGTCCTTAAATAGTTGTTTTCGGGGGAATCTAGGAAGTTGATCCACGAGTCCAAGCGGTGTCTGTGCCCTTGACACTTAGGAATCCATTTGGCTATTGATCACCTCTCGTATGGTTTGCTGTATGATAGAAATACCGGGTCATTTCACGGATCTTACAGACAATGGTGGAATTACTATAAATAATTAAACAATATGCTTTATTTCCGGGTGCAGCCCTGTTTTCTGGAGTAAAGTTCGCGTAAATAAAAGTAGCCCGGGAACCGACAAGAACATTGACTGGTATAAAATGATAGCTCGATGGCCGCATGATCAAGGCTCCTCAACGGGCCCTCAACAAATGAAGCACCTGGGATTTTCCATACTAATACTGCCCCGGCTGCGGATCTGTCGTTCTAGTCGGGGGATTGAAATTTATTCTGCTGTCAGTACTGTTTTAATCTCTTCTGACTGGATCCGCGATCGGCGGATTGGAGCAAGGCCTATGTTTAGGGCTTTCTCGTAGTATATGTATTTTGCTAGAATGGGTACTTATTTAGCTATGAGCGGATAGATTGGAAAGCCCCTGGAGTGATGGCGCATCTAGACGTAGGCCTGAGAGCTTAGGGGCCAAAAAATCCCGGGTTGCAGCAGCTCCTCCGCGCACCGTTGCCTGCGCGACGCAAAAGATTTTCATTATTTCATCATTACTGGGGAGGACAGTGTAATGAACTGTGAGTCATTCTTTTTCGTCCTTCTCATTCCACAGGTTTTGGCAAGGCAGAAATGTCGAACTCGAAAATGATAATAGTCTTTTGACAAATTAGCTTTCTCATGATTGTCAGTGATGAACCAGCAGTAAATTATGCAGTCGACGGTTCTGGAAGAACGCCATTAAGGAAAATCACCTGAACTCTCATAATACGCCGAGGAATCTCGTACCTTATGGTTACTGGTTGGTAAAAAGGTATCTACATAGCAGTCTAGTTCTATTGCATAAGAAATTCAGTGAGACTCTCATATGCTAGCTACGGTCGCTCTTCGTGCTATGTTCATTGCCCTTGGCTCGTGCAGCAGGAAAACAGGTAATAGCTTGACGGATTCGGGCATAGCAAGCACGGTCTAACTGTTTCGGCTATGGATGTCGGAGCCAGTGGATCTTCGACGCGACTCGTGGATTGAGAGTAGAAAGACGAGGTTGGAAAAAGCTAGTCTATTAGCCGATGGTAGACTTTTGGGGATAGTTGGATGGATTTGGTCCGGCAGGTCGCCCTTTTGTCTGCGCTGCGGGTGCCCAAAGTACGAACCAACCCACGAGGTGTCGACCCAGCTGTTGGTCGCCAACCAATGGGTTTCCACTCTGAAGGTCCACCAGAGGCAGTTGATTTGTATAGTAGTTTGCATTTCTGTCGTCTTGCTACCTAATGTGAGATTTACCAAGTGATCCCTGTAGGCTGTAATTTACGATCATCTCAATAGATGACCAAACCACGATCAGATGATAACCGGTAGTCGCGATCATGACTAAAGCTTCTGCGCAAATCCAAGTCTGAGCGGCCTCGTTAGTTTGCATTATCATGGCAGATGACGCAATTATAACTTCATTTAGACCACGGTTCAGTAAGCAGATGGTTTTCTTACGCTGCAGGACTGACTGTTAAAGGCTACCGTAGTTAGCGGTTCTGGGTAATTAGTTAATGGAAAAATGTTGCGTGTATAATCTAGTTTTTAATAGATAGGTAGCCCCAATTTAAGTGCTGATAAATGGCTCTTTGGTTGATCTTAGACGTAGTGGCAGTCATGTAGGTTGGTACGCCATGCCTGGCAGCGCAGACCCACCAGAATACTCCTATATACAAAGGAAACTGCTGAATGATTGAACAGGGCCTAGTGCTTTGAAGCAACCGAACGCCCACTTGTTATGTGGCTATATAGCCGCGCATATGTTTCGTGTTTGGCTTAGGCGCCTCCTAGAACTCAGAGCTGGGCGTGTTGCAGCTAGGTAACTATAACATAATCGACTATATAGAGAACTCCTTTCCTTAGTGGCCCGAGTCATAGTCAGTGCTTGCTTAGGTATACTAGGATTAGTCGGTCGACTGTATTCCCACCCGCCTTAGCGTCCACAGTAGACCTGTGGTCTCTAAAGAATCAAGATAAGTCCCCAACTAACTTGACATCTAAAGAGCCTGCCTGGTGATAAATGGCTCTGAGGAAAATTCTGAACAAAAGAGCCACAAAAATACAGAATTACACACAAATTTCCAATGCCCAGTGTGTAGTAGGTGTTATGTGTAGTATGTATAATATGTTTTTCTCCTGCAGTTGGGCTTTGCTAATTCGTCCAATCGACCGTACATGTATCAGAGGGCGTTCTATAGGTAAAGGCATAGAAGTGAAAGGAAGTGAAAAGACATGAAACGCTAAACCAAATCCAGCCAAGCCAAGGTCAGGCTGAAACAGCACCTACAGGGTCAACCTGGACCACTTGGGCAAATTTCCAGACTATTTAGCATAACGATGGATGAAAGGAAGACAAGGTGCGTCACGACATACTCGATATGGAGAATGCTCTTATTTTGATCGACACAGGGAAGCGATTATGGCCTGAATTGCTTAGAAATTTACTGTGATGTATACTAAGGTGATGAGTTTCAGTACAGGCTGATGATTACAATCGTCGGCCACTAATATCTCCCTCCCTAGAAAGGCTACAATGCAAAGGAATGATAACCCGGAACTCTTTTTGGCGGCTGAAAAGAGTAAGTACTTTTTTTCATATATATAGAAAAAAAAAAAAAAAAAAAAAAAAAAAAAAAAAAAAGGGGGAAAAAAAAAAAAAATAAAATTGAAAATCAGAAAGTACTGAACTCGCAGAGACAAAAAGTACCAGGACGGCCAAGAGTGAAAATGTCGGTGAGACAATCAAGCGCTCTGGAAAGGGGGCGGTGCAGGTATGAGACGGCGACTCAAGGGGTCTTCTAAGTTCAGCAGCGGCAAAAAGATGTTATACAACCTTGACCAGTGGGCAACTCTGGTTTTAACTAACCCCAGCCTCGACAAGGAAAAAGCGTACCGAACCGCGTGCCGCTCGTCAGTCTCGTAAAAATGCCAGAGATTGTCGACGTGCCCCTGACCTGCAGCGGAGAGGTTGGTGACATTGCGGTAGAAGTCTATGGGCGACCGTTCACACAGCCAGGCAATGCTTGACCACCTTTCTCGCCGCATTTCTCGGAGCAGTTCATCCCAGGGGAGCGGTGAGAGGATACTCTTTAACCAAATAAAGGTGGCCACAATGACTTCAAGCTTGAAGTGATACTCCCGTCCTCCTCGCCTGTTTTCATCGAGTATATCCTCCATCGTTTTGCTTGCTGGAGCGGAAACGAGCAGTCTCGCCAAGATAGGACTGACAAGGTCAAGCTGGACACCTTGACTCCCTCCGTCTATTACTGACAGCTCAGACAGATTGTCCAAATTCTTTAATTCACCCACAATCTTATTAGGGGTGTTCAGACCGAGAACTTGCGAAACCTCCCACAATGTTTCAATATCACCGACGGCATTGACATTGCGACCGATCGTTCTTCCCGCCCATTCCAGCATCGAACATTCTAGTGCATACTTCGTCTTGAAGCTAGCATCCGCAGCTCTAGCGCGACCCGTCGTGACTTTCTGTACGTGTTTCAGAAAGCTCTCACACAACCCAGAGAGTCCGCTGATCACATCGAGCGAAAACTCTTGCTCGAGGATAGGGAGCATGTCCGGCTTGTAGCCCGTGTCGTGGTAAGCATCCGCCCACAGTGCTCGAGCCTTGGATATCACCTGAATCTCGACTATTGTTTTATCCCACTCCCGACCGTCAGGTATGTCCCCTGGCTTGATATTTACGCGGTAATGTGTTGCACAGTACCCTGGATATTCCGGATGATATAGATCTGTCACTTTGGAATTAGAAGCTTGCGTCCCATCATGTATTTTTTGCTCAAGGATAGTGAAGCTTTGCTCTATGATTGTCTCTACTTTCTCTTTGTCCGGGGGGAAAAGATACAAGACGCGGGCACCGGCTAGGTCAACAATGTCTTGTGCGATCTCATCATGATTGCGATAAGGATGAGGTCTGGTCGCCTGACGTTGATACAGCTTAGCCCGGAGGCTGTCATATTCTTTCGCCCGACATTTGACGTCACAATTAACTTTCCCTTTTAAGGACAATTCGCATATCTTCGAAGCCAAGGAGGCCAGCACTTCGTAAGACGGTCGCTCCCGTTCCCAGAAAGCTAGAAAGCTCTCGATAACAGGGTCGTCCGCTTGGTTGTGCCGTCCGTCAGCCGAAGAGTGCATATTTTCGTCGCCTCAGGGGACAGGCAAATGTGTATTGAGTCAAGCCAGTAAGTAATGGGGAAAACCAAAATGAGAACCTGAATGACCGAAGCGCGCGATGGTTGTCGCGGAAAGAACGTCAAGCCTGCTCATTAAATAACTTCCCGGACGAGGTATCATACGGTTGTTGACGCTTTCCTGCCCAACTACTTTCCTGGGTAATGGCAATGGCAAGATACTGTCGACGATGCCACATCACCAATGCACAGACAAACAATGTTCTTCCCATTCATTCGTTCCAAGTCGGTCTTGCGGTCAAGAAACCCCATGCTATCTGCTGGCATAGATGTGCGAGTAAAGGACATCATTGACGGGCGACAGAAATTTTCATCATCGATTCGGGTCATGAATGTCATTGTACATGGCACCTCCGCCCTCCAATGAGGCTTTCTATAATAGACTTCGCGACTGTTGGGTTCTCCCAAGTGCATACATGTGCAGACGGGCCCGTCATTGTGTGCATTCATATCGCTCACCAGGAACCAGGGTGCTGGGATGAACCATCAAGCGGTGAAGAGTATGTCCAATGGGGACCAACCAACTGGCCAGCGCGACTGTCAGCCTCATGCCTTAGAGAACATTCCTGGTGAGATGCATGATTCGCGACGACGAGTGGTTCATCACTTACTGGCGCTAACACACGGGGAATTCTGCGTTTGGTAGTGTACGGGCCGAGGTGGGGGACGAACGCCCAATGGATTTTCATTTGGGATGAAAGGGGACACTTGCGTCACTCCATATCTAGATATATAGACTGGCATTCCCCCGACACCGGTCTAGTCACAAAGCGATAACAGGACGTCATGTGAAATCGATTTTCTGTTGGAAGCGATTGCTTATTGTATTGAAAGGGCGAAAGGAAGAGGATCAGGGCAAGCAATGGAGTAAATATCCCTATACCACACAGCCCACGCTCTACAGCTCCTCCATGACCAAACATAGTAAATAAAACAAACAACGAGCAACGCAAACTGACCCCGCGCCAAGCCTTATAATACTTAGACTAATAATGTAGAAAATTAATTTATTAGTTAACTTTCGACACTTTCGGTCTCGACACAGGCATGCCTGCTAACTTGGCAACAGAAAATTAATATCATTATTATCAACTTCATATATATCGTTATCATTTGCTACGGAAACACTATGATCCGTCCGACTTGGCGGTGCGGAGTATCTGAGGATCCATTCTACCCCTCAATCCTTTGGTTAGTTACCCTGAGGTTAAGCACCGAGCACCTTTGGTAGTAATGCAAGAGACTCACTTGGTCGAGATACTATGATTCCTGGTGTTTCCACGGACGACGTCTAGAAAGATCGGTCTGTTGCTGATCTATAGCTCCCTGCGTATCACTTCCCCTGAATTCCACAACATCATCCTTATAAGCCTGATCTTCACCATCACTAATTAGCTCAGGGGTGTACTAAGGAAGCTGAGTCTCCCTATCCCCGTTAGTTTGCTCTTTTTCTTCCTAAGTCCACCAGCGCCTAATTAATCTTTCTTTTTACCCCCAATATCAAATGTTGAAATATAACGAAACATCATAAGATCTTGGATTGTTGTACTATTGAGCGAGTCCCTTCGGTAATGGCAGACATCCGGAGCGGAGTTAAAGATACGTCCTACACCTGCGCTAGTAGCTGGAGTAGAGAAAATGAATAGTAAGCGGTAGAAGAAACTTAGAACGTAGTGCAGAGGTTATCATCCACTGGCTAATTGACTGGTCAGGTGTACAGTGTTAGTCGCCAACATTGTAAGGAGAGAAAGAATTCTGGAGGATCGTTTTGAAACTGGGATAAAGCAATCTGTGGGGAGGAGCCAGCTTCGGAATACTAACTAAATAGAGACATATCTTCGAGAGTGCTAATATACTAGAAGAGATGGAAGTAAAAGGAAGGCAAAAGACTACCTCTTATAGATCGTGACTTGCGACCGATAGGAATGTGGCTTAACAGGTGCACACAGTAATGTGTTAATCTATTATAAAATAATGTAAGGACTCATAAAATCCCTACATTAATTAGCTACTTATATAGGAATCCCATTAGTCCCATGAGAATTCCTATCTCCCTGGATCCACGTTCAAGCCAGCCCCCCGCAGTTTCTATGAAAAAGTTTCAACTTTTCGGGCTCGCTAATATATTGAGACTTTTACACTCCGAACAATTGAGTCAAGCTTATAGAAGTGGGAAATTTAAGAGACCTGACGAACTCCTCCACAGGAGGATATGAACCCAACAACCAATCGAAGGGCAATTGATAGGATGCATCTCGAATTGGACATCTAGCGAGTGTTCAATTGCTGGTCCGATGCATTGTGGACGTACCCCAGCCAATGGTGGAGACACACAAGAAGGCTTTTCTTTTGCCGTGCAGTGATTCGCCGGATTTTCCGCAGATTGTGGGGGTTCCTGGGGGAAGGAATTATTCCGAGATTTATTTTAATGGATAGTAGACTGAGTATGATAGGAATTCTCCGATATATACATGGCTGTATGTAATACATATCTATCTCTTCTTGATACTAAGTATGCAGGCATCGATGGTCCACATGTAACATAACTCCAACAATCTCACGCTAGGTAAACTCTTTCCATCCATCACATATGTGGCACTGGTATTGCTTATTCTGGATCCCTCGTGGAGTCGGCCCGTTTCGTTTCCTCGGGTCAGGTTCCGAGTCTTCCACAGTCTCATGACAGAATTGAAACCGATTGTCCTTGCATCAATAAACCCTCCTTGCGGTACCTACAAGGAATGCATCATGGGCAAAAAATTCAGAATGAGCCAACGTTCCCGAGAATCCTTGCAGACTAATGACACACTAATCTCTAGCGGGGAACCCGTCCTATTACTAATTCCTATTAGTTATTGCAATGTTGTCACCCATGCGGGATAATCTCTAGCCTGTTGTTGATCGGCAATAGCGTCGGTGAGACGTCGTCCGGAAAAATTAAAAAATCCTGCACATATAAATCTCATCCAATCCGCCCCCGGTAACCTTTTCCACTCGGTTTCCCGCCAATTCCCATCATGAAGAGCCTCGCAGTCTGTCTGGCTTTAGCTGGTGTGGGTGTTGCTGCTCCCCATGGCTCATCCACTTCTGCTGCGGCGGCCCCCACGGGCACCAGCTTCGCTTCAGGGTTCGATATGACCAGGAGCTGGGCCAATCTGAGCCCCTATAAGGACGCCGAAGGATTCGGAGTCCCCAAGGGAGTGCCACAGGGCTGCGAACTGTCGCAGGTGCATGTCCTTCACCGTCACGCCGAGCGATTCCCCACCAGCAGTCCGCTGGACGGCGCGGGAATGAGCGATTTTGCCTCAAAACTGGTCAACTACTCCAAAGCCCATGGAGTGACCGTTGCTAAGGGACCGCTGGAGTTCCTGAACAATTGGGAGTATGTGGTAGGTGAGGACACGTTAATGGAGAATGGTGCCGCCACGGAGGACACCTCTGGTGCCAATTTCTGGGTCAAGTACGGTCGTCTGCTGTATCGTGCGGATCGCGATAACGTCGCGGCCTGGAATCAGTCCCTGAATGTGTATGCCAATGGCACAGCCCGACCTAAGCCGGTCTTCCGTACGACCTCGCAGGATCGTATCTTGGAGAGTGCGCGGTGGTGGCTCAGTATGTGACCTATTGAAATAAATCTAAATGAAATACTAATCTGTATAGGTGGATTCTTCGGAAACAGCAGTGCGCATAACTCCGAGGACCAATACGATCTGGTTATAATCCCAGAGACCACGGGGTTCTTCAACAACACTTTGGCATCCTACGTTTCTTGTCCGGGAGACCTGACGGCAGGGTAACCCCTCACAAACAACCCCCAATCAACCACAGTACTAACAGAAATAGCGATGAATTGGCAAAGCCATTCGTCGAACGATACACAAAAGCCGCCAAATCTCGACTATCTCAGTTCCTCCCATTAGATTTTAATCTAACTTCATATGACGTACTCGCGATGCAGAATTTATGCATATATGAGCACACGAGTCTAGGCGGCTCATCCTTCTGCTCTCTATTCACCGAACAAGAATGGAAAGACTTCGCTTACAACGTAGATATCCAATACTACGGCGACTACGCCTACGGCTCCCCCACTGGTCGCGCACAGGGCATCGGCTACGTTCTCGAACTCGCCGCGCGATTGGAAGGAAAACTGATCTATTCCAGCGATACGAGCATCAACTCGACGTTTGACGATAACACTAAGATGTTTCCCATGGGCCAGCCATTCTACATGGACATGTCGCATGATGATATTCTCCTATCGGTGATTACCGCGCTAGGTCTAGATTATATCAAGTACGGACCGGAGGGACTTCCGAGTGATGTGGACCATGCTGTTTCGAATCGGACGTTCCGATTAAGTGATTTCACGCCGTTCGGCGCGCGATTTATGTCTGAAATTTGGAGCTGTCCTAGTGATGTGTCATTTGAGGATCTGGATCCCATTCTATATGTGAACCCGCGTCTGGAGGGTAAGGATACGAAGCGGTATATTCGGTTCCTGTTGAATGATGCGCCGTTGCCATTGAAGGGTCTCAAGGGCTGCGATGGCTCGGAGAATGGGTTTTGTCCTGTCGAGGGTTTCCTCGGTGATGTGGAGAAGCTCAAGGATAGGGCTGAGTACCAGTTTGCTTGCTTTGGGGAGTATCCTCATGGTAAGCAGGTGGGAGATGGAGTGCCCGAGTTGGAGTAGTTGTATGGATTGGATGAATGAGTGATGAGCGATAGATAGATGATTATGTACTGATATATTGTACTATGAAGAATTTTGGCAGAGTGTAAAACTGGAAGTCCTATATCATTGTAATATGCCCATGCACTATACAGTTTGAAAGCGTACACTATGCCAGTAATAGTCATGAAAAAAACACCCTGAGGTTCCAGAAGCTCTTCGAATGCCACATTCGGCTTCAACTGGCCAATGTTAACCTCAAAACTAGCGCCATATCGACCAGCTCGTAGTACATCGCCTTCAGTGCCTTATCATTCATTGCGGTGCGGTAGGTTAACAAAGGCTGAACTTTTTTCGCCGGTTTCATTATTTAGAATAAGACCTTAACCACATAATTATACTTGAATCAGCGACCGCAGATCCTGTTCTCGGGGAGGCCGCCTCGTCTAGGACGGACTAGGGAAAAACATAGGAAACTATAGCACCTTTGACCGAAGCCCTCTTGGGCCGATAGCTATGGGAGAGGGGAAGACTGGGATTAAGCGAGCGATGTGACCTTGCCTGCATATCGCTATATGTCGACCCTGGACCAGGCTTTCGTCGTTCCCAATGGCATGACCCAAGCTAACGCAGTTGGGGATCGTGGCTGCAGGGATCGGTTTCTGGGTGGTAGCAGTTGGTCTTGCTAGTTAGCAAGAGGGAATATGGGCTTGCAAGGCCCATCCACCATAAACTTCACCTATTTCTACGTGGCTCACGGTCCACAAAAAGCCGCTGGCCATGTTCTGTTCGTTGGCTAGTGGGAATTTTGTTGGTATCTTTGTCTCTTGGTCTTGTGGTTAAGATTGAATGGTGTAGTGAGTCATTTTGGATGTCATATACATAGGCACCGTATATTCAGGCAGTCGTTGCGGATTTGCAAGTTGGCATAGTACCGACTTGGGCGTATTTGGCTGGCTATGGCTTCATATAAAGATCCCCCCTGCCCCCGTCGATCCAATGCAATATCCTGCATATCTGCTACAGCAGGACCATGGCATTTCACTCGTCCAGCAATGCTTCGCGATATCCGTTGTCTTTTGTCGATGATTGGCACACTCTCCTGTTATCGTGCATCATCGTGGCGTTACGACTGTACTATCACGTCTTCCGGACCCGTAGTCTCGGCGCTGACGGATTGTGATACACCCCAAAAATAGGCGAGAAGGCCTAGAAGAGCCAAAAAACAGTCAGGGAAGTAAAATCACAACCCACTCTCGGCCGTAGCTTTATGAAGTGTGCATCAGGTCAACCAGAAGATTGAGGAGTATGGGTATTCCTATGTGAGGAGTCATCATCTGCTGATTCCTTCGCCCATTCATATATAATACCATTGGTTTAGACTTAATAACTGTCTGTAGTTTTACCCATCCTGGAATTATGCTGTTCACCAGCAAGCTCAATAGTGAGAAGAAGATAGAACCACCTTGATGTAATGATATGCAACCCGATCTTCAAGAGTCGGCTGAGAATGCGGTAGGAGGCTCAGAGATAAAAGGGGAAAGTTTTAGGGAGGAATGGCGAAGAGACAGATACCGCGTCTAGCAGATGACAGGGGATAATTTGACATGCTGGTGGCACAGTTCGGCGGTCTTCAATATTTCAGTGAAGATTCTGTGAGTATCAAGAGTATATCCACACGATAAACATCCTGTAATGCGATTGTTTTCGCAGTTTAGGGATTCACTAATGTATATATATATAGATATATGAACATGAGAGAAGGGATTCTTAGGATTAGAATGGCACCGGTTTCACTAGCATTGTTAAATGCACAATTCCAGAGGGGACTAACTATATGGTTCTGGAAATCCACCTAACCTTTTTTTTAGCCACACGCCAGGCTCACCTTAGGGAAAATTGTAAAAAAGCTGCATTGCTCTTTCACAATTCTTAACAACTTACCACATTCTTTCGGATTATTTTCTCTATTCCCTCACCGTGCAACTGGTTTTTTCCTTCCTAGTGCTGCTCGGTCTACAGGTATGTGGCTTCCAGACAATATCTATCTGGAAAGAATTGAGCCATTCAAGATTCAATCCACGCCTGAGTCTCAAGATATCATGACTCCCAAGGAGCATCCAAAATATCACGGACTACACCCATCATGGCATACATCTATCCTGCTTGCTCGTCGCCTCCTACACAAATCCTCGATCGCTCGAATTTCAACCACCTTCCCAGACGCCATAACATCTGACGGGGCTCACTGTGACGGCCAAGCAACTCGATGAAATTGGTGCTATCTAACGAAAATTTCAAGCGTGGGGAGGAGGAAGAAAGGTGGTGAGGGGACTATGCGGGGAGATAAACAAAGCTAGATACAAATAATGCAAACAGGCTACATGGTGAGTTCGTCACACTCACTACCACACGACAGAGGTTGTAGCTACCCTCCCAAACACCATACCAGAGTACATGGCCTCGTGCGATGACACAGGCAACCCGACTATCCTAGCGCCCCACCTCGGAACAACTTTCAAAAACGTGGCAGCTGGATCCAACGTCACCCTCTCCATCGACTGGTGGGACCACCTCACAGACACAGATGTCTCTTTCTCGGGTTTATCTCCGAGTCGCATGGCGCTCTCACCGCTGGACACGGAGACCAGAGTGGGTCTGGAGCAGTGTTTCGTGGATGTCCATCCGGATACCCGGGTGTGGTTGCCGGATTGAAAGAACGCGGCACACTCGAGGTTCGGGGCGAGATTGGTGGTGCTGGGCGTGGTTTGGGTTGGGGGGGTTCAGAGATAGGGCTTTGATTAGGTGGGTCAATATGACGGAGTTGAGAGTGATAGGACATACTGGTAGTCAGGAGGACATTGGTGATGGACGGGGATGGGCGGATGCGTTGCTTCCGGGTGAGAAACGAGGGACTTGATTCTGTACCTATGGTAGTATTGCGCTCGTGTGACATATTGGAAGACTATATTAGACCCCAGTTTAGAAAATGTGATGCTATTCACATTTTGTCTGAGACTCAAGTGATCTGTTTGTTATAGACTACTATGCTCTGCTGATATAGAGAGGGAAGCTTATAATTGTACAGATTTGTACGCTTATAACTCATCCATTTTCATTCAACAATATACAAATATAAACATAGCGTCATTCAACCAATTCAACTCATCAATAATCCATTTTGCCCACCATATCCATCTCCTTATGATTTACGTATATCAGCAGTATAAGAATTACCTAATCTTGCGTAATCCCATCGGCGTCTGATCCATATCCGGCTTCGTTCCGGCTTCCGCCCAATCTACATTCCTCACAGATGCCTGATGCCGCACTGAACGGTACTTCTGCAACAGTCTCCTATATCCAAATAGAAGACCAACACCAATGGCCACAGCAGCAACCAACCCGACGACAATACCTGCAATAGCACCACCAGAAAGACCAGAGCTAGACTTCTTACTTGAGTCCGATGCAGACTTGTCATTCGAGTCCTTAGACGATCCACTCGTTGCGGTGGATCCAGCCCCTGCTGTGGTGGAGCTCACAGGCGCGAACTCCTCCGATGTCACGTTGAAGCAGGGAACTTGGTAGGTGAATTTGCTAGCAGGGACGTAGGTGACATCTGCACAGGCGTAATAGGTTTCATTCCTGTCCGAGTCCATATCACTGCTGTATTTGATTTGGAAAGTGGCGTTCATGCCTGCTTCGGCGTCAATAGCAGGGTTCGGGACGGAGTAGCATTCGTGTCCGGGTTTGATTTCCGAGATCTCAGACTTGTCAACGAAGGTCTCGAAGTCGTCGTTGCTTGTTGGGTCTGGGTATATTAGTATGGTAGGAAGTAGTGTGTAGGAGTATGCATACTGCTTTTATGTGAGATAGAGACCTGCACATTCCATGATTCGTCTTGTACGACCAAGGCGAGTTTTCCATTAACTAAAGGGCTGCATTAGCAACTCTTCAAAAGTATTTAGTATGAATTAAAACATACTAAGTGGAAAGTTAGTTCGATTCACAGGCCCAGTGTTCGAACCACAGGGGGCGTTGTTGTCATATGCGGCTCCCCATTTTCTGTCGGGAGGCCACATAAAAGCCACAGGGCCCATCTCCTCTGCTGCTTCCTCACCATGAGCCCAAGCTCCAGTAGCGGAGAGTAAAGCGATGAGAAGTAAGAGTTGGGATTTCATGGTAATGGCAAATGACCACAAGGACTTTGCTTAAGGGAACAGAACAAATTCAGAGTAGAAAGAAAGAGGTGGCCGGTACAAATACAACAGAGTGCCCCTCTTTATACCCTGTCTTCCCCCCAAATGGTTACTTTGGTACACGGTTCGCCTTCAGAGCACTCGCCGAAGACCGATGTGTCATAGTTTTCTCCCTTACACGTGAACCAAAATCAAACCAAAATTCATCATTCCGACAACGATCAGAAATTTTCAACCCTGCAAGGAGGGATCCAACCGGAAGCTCTCGCTAGCATGCCATTGGTGGAGTGAACCTCTGGCGTCGAGTCATTGATAAGGATGCAAGTATGGTCACATTGCCAAGCCAAATAGTTAGCTATCAGTCGGAAAAAATCGCTCGGACCAGGCCAGACGAGTTGCGATACAGACTTGGGTAAGACGAATAGCAAAAATATGGATCAGATTAGATCAATCAGATAAGACGATGGGTGGGACGGGCCCCACCCACACAGCTGTTAGCGAGAAACGGTTACACTGCTTGCCCTTGCCCACCACCACAAACGGATATCGCTCGGTAGCGAGAACCTACGGATGCCCTATTTAAGCCTAGAATGCTAGGCCAGCTGAGACAGTCTCCCTAATTGGTAAGTGTCTACGATGGATGTCGAAATTCCGAAACCTCGTATGATTCTTGTACAGTGATAGGGAATAAAAGCTCATTGGGTATAACACTTGGCCACTCCGTCTCGACTATAAGTAGGGGTTAGCAGCCGAGGTTCTATCTCTCACCCAGTGTAGTGCTTTATCCGGTCCTTCAGGTACTGTCTTTGGATTAATTTATCACTTCATTCGCTACTTCACCATGCGTTTTTCCACGGTCGCCGCTTTCGCCTGCGTGGTCATCAGCGCCGCTGCATTCGAGTATCCGGATTTTGTTCCCCTTCATCGTCGTCAAGAGCCGGGCACTCCAGCATACGACTGTCATGCTAACTGCGGTAGGTCCACGTTATACTATCACCACATTTCAAGTTGACCAACCAATGTATAGGTGGTGTGATCGTCTCTGCTCGCTCCGACGGGTTCTGCGACTCTAGCACCTTCAAGCAACAGCTTTCAGACTGCTTGAAATGCGCAAATGAATTTAAGATCTGGAAATACTATGGTAGTGCCGTGTCCAAGGCCGCCAAGTCATGCGGACTGGATTCCACTCCAGAAGATGGGTCCTCCACCACCATGCAAGCGAGCACTAGCAGTGCCGCCGAGAAAGAAACCACAACGTCCGAAGCGCAGACATCCGCTGCATCAGGCTCTATTGTCACTTCCACAGTGCACAGTATCGCCACGACTGCCTCGGTGACTGGATCTAGCCACGGGGTGATTCCTATCCCCCCGCAGTCCGCAACTGTGAGTGGGTCTATGACTCCGAGTGGAAAGACAGTACGTTTTATCCTTACTTGTGTTTCTTGAAAGTATAGTAACAGTTTCTAGACTGCTAGTACTAGTACTGCTTCTTCGTCTATTCCTCTTTCCAACTCCGCTCCAAACTCTCACGGTAGTGTGTGGGTTGAGGCTTTGGTTGGATCCTTTGCTGCGATGGGGATGGCATTGTAAATGTCTTACTGGGTGGAGTATATACAGTTCAAGAGTGACTAGGTGATAGTGAGAAGGTAGGAGTAGCGGTATTACATTCTCTTCTGGGCGCTTAGTTTTGGGATTGAGTGATTGTCCTGCCATTGTTACATAATAATTCATGTGACAATATTGTCTAGATTTTTAAATTGTGATATAGTAGTAATTTGTTTATCATAAGTAGAGATTGTATATTTAACACTTCGATATAGGGTCGCTCCAAGTTTCATAGGTTATTATGAGAGTTGTTCTGCACGTTGTATTTATGTGCTTAGCCACTTCGAAAGTTTTCAGTGTCACGAAGGTAAACAATTTTTGATAAAGATAGCTATATTTATTATAATTAGATGTATCCAGAATTTTCATTTGTTTATAGGTAAGATGCTTTCTATTAATTGTTTACTAAACACCCAAGTACCTGTACAAACCGAGTGTATGTTATAGCAGAGCCTCCGGAATAGATGTATCCACCCAAAAGTCATCCCACCAGTCTAAGAACTCAACACTAGTTCCAAAGGCATTCACATTAGGACCATTCTCGCCAGGGAGCTGGTAATGCTCTATCTGGGAACCCAATGTATCAGGCCCCTCCACCATTGGCACATTGGTCCGTGCGATGGCCCCATTTTGTAATGCATCCCTTTGTCCATCTAACACGGTATATCCAGCATTGGGCTGGTGATTTAACGTCTCATCGAGCAGTCTTGTGATAATTTCGCTAACTCGGGCACAATCCCTGTGTGTCACGCTGATATTGCCGTTGGCGTCATCAAACCACGAAACAAGGAGACTGAGATTGCGAATGATGGTAGATCTAGGGACAGAGCATGGAAGTGGTGTCCCCCGCACGGTACATCGATGAAGCTCTGTAGCTAGCACACCAGCCGCTGGCAGGGCATAGAGAAGACACTAGACTGTAGGTTAGACATTTGAACAAGATTTCAGAAGGCAACGTACAGTCCATGCATATTTCCGTCGAATATCACGTATGTGGTCATGAACCTTGGTGAAGTCAATGACCGTGGAGACAATGCGCATCGATACGTCAAGTAGGTCCAACATAGCGTCTGGGTTTTCACGACATCGTATGCGCTCAAGCTGGGATATCGTCTGAAGATACTCGAGATATGCAGCAAGGCTGACGATGGACGTAGATGAATCTATCTGTTCCCAGCCAGTCTCATGGTAGTGAAACTGGCGGGGTATTTTGTCCCATAATTCCTTACACTCCTGGTACACGGTCCTGGCATATTGTCAGCATCGTGTGTGAATATTTTGTCTTGGACATACTGGAGGTCTGCATGGAATGTCTTCGTTTTTTTCCCAATTGATAAAGCCAGCACCTGCTCTCTCACAGTGCCTATCATGAACCGCACCCTGATAGCTGTCGCTGGACGAATTCTTCCATCGGAAGAGGCAGCTGACTCATTCCATCCATCCGGCGATAGTTTGCTCAGCAATTGTTGGAGTGGCGCCTCATCCAGCATTAGACTATTATCTTCAATGTCTAGTGGAAGATCCGTGTCGCAATATAGACCTGGAAGTCGCGGTGGCCTTCCGAGAAAAGTGGCGAGATTTTTGTCGGTACGAAAGCATGCGATAAACACTCTTTTCCGCGCCTCCGACAGAAAAAAGGGAATGTTTAAGGTGCAGGACTGGCGACGGTGAATCCCAAGAGCGTGCATATGTGAAACCAATTCCCCAAACACTCTGTATATGTGATGACCTGTGCCATGTCAGTCAGGAAATAATATGGCTAGTGGAATAGATGGTCGCACTGGTTTCCTCAAAATACTCCGACGCAAGGACAAAGTGGGTATAATGCAGCCATATGATTAGATCATTAACATTATCATATTGTTGACAAATATCCAAACAAGCATTGCTCGCTGCTGCCATTTCCGCTGCAAATGCATAGATTCCTCCTGCCTGCTCAGTGTGACTAGATGATAGGCGGGTCTCACTCGGTGGCTCAATATCAGCCAGACCGGCAAGGGTGAAAATAGTACCAACAAATTCCCACCGTAAGTTTTCCCCAGTGAAACTAGCAAAAAAGCTTTCCGGCGTCGTATTAGAGTTGATATCGATCGACTTTTCTGCCGTATTGCGTGTGATCATAGACACCAACTCATCATCATCTCGAGGCCATCGACCGTTGTCAAGACTGTCACGGAGAAGTTTCAATGGTTCGAGAATGAGCGGTGCTGGAATGACGGTGAACCTCTCCTCCTTATATTTCTTCTTAATCAACTCTTCATACATCGTTAAGGAACGTAAAAGTTGCACCAATCTCCGCGCAACGCAGCTAAAATCGCCAGTCCATCCCTGTCGAAGAACAGAAGAGCGGGAGTATGCAGAGATGACAAGGTTGGGATTTATGTCGTGGAACACAGACATATAATTAGTCGGGCCCAAATAGGTCCTCTGTGCTGTGCTGGATGGCGTGCCTTCAGATACTCCAGTTGAACTGCCGGGGGTGTGTAGAGGACGACATATCTGAGTACTATCATTACACACCGAAATGGGGACTTTTTCCACTGGGGGAGTGACGGACGGGATGGGATCCGACTCCAGTTGTTTCTGGCAAGACTTCTTCCCGACTCGAGTTAACGGAGCGGGATGATAATAGCACTACGAGAATGAGCCACGGCGTTATTGTATATTGAAAGCCCTATTCCTCACCTTGGGAGTGAGGTTTCTCGTAACACATCTCTTACACGTAGGCTGAGCATGGTCACATCGGATCTTTGAGATGCGACATGGCTCGCAGGAGATGGGCTTCCCGTTTTTCCTAAGCAGTTCTCGTTGGACTTTGAGTGGCTTCATACTATTGACAGGCTTCTGGAATCATGCCAGGAAAGGTGTGCGCGAAGATGTAAAACCAATGCAGGGGAACGGAGTAGATTGCGAAAGGGCGGAATAGCCCGTATTAAATCGCCGTTTATTCCGATTCCTTATTACTCCGCTTAGGTATTCCGAGGCCTCGGAATAACGTTTTAGCACTATGACACATTTATACTATCCACTTTAATGTCTGCGTATTACACATTCGCTGGCATTCTATGGAGCTCGAAATAAAACTGTCATTATTATAAGAACTGGGCATTAAGATGGACCGCCAGAAAGTTGATAGAGGGGTGGAGTTGGCGGTAATTATTTCCAGCTCTGGCAAGACTTATATGAAATAAATATAACTTTGTTCCAATATGTTCAGTACTCGCAGACTTGTCATACCCCTTTCATCCTTCTGTGAAATAAGCCACGAAACGCGAGAAGGTTAATAAACTGGCCATGGAAACAATGAGACAAAACGTTTTCTGAAAAATACGATCTGCTTAACAATAAAGTGGCTAACAATCTAAGGCGAAGCATGGCGTCCAGAAGAGCTTCCATGACACGACTTAAAGCTTACCAAAAGATTAACCCGAGGAAGGTCCTGATGGGAATCATTATGCATTTTTCTCCTTTATACGGCAGGTACATTCAACTGTGCAGTGGCCATAGACATGAAACAGCTCCTTGTCCCCCAGCTTTGCAGCCCGTGGGTATGACAGTAAGGGCTTCTCTATGAATCCAGTTTTCGTACGCTATCATGCTATATGTACGCGGTATAGAGTATCGGCCGCTGTCCAGGACGTCATGCAACAAAGTGAGTGAAAACAGTCCCGGTGGCTCGAAGAAACTGGCAAAATTTTTGGCTTCTTCCTGAAAGTGCCGCCATTGCGCGAAAACAACTAGCATTTAGGATCGCAATCGGATGCCAAGAGTCTAAAGACAAGGAAAGAATAACCATTAAAATAGCAAAGGAGATGAATCTCTGCATCGCACGGAGAGCTAGCCGTTTGACTACTAATCGGTTTAAATTTAAAATCCACTGGTCATAGACCGTCGATGTACGCTGCTGCACTAAACCATGCTGCATGAACTCAGTTGTCAATACCCGATAGTGCGAGGATGCGACATGCTGCAAGGCCTTGTCTTCGACACGGCCATCCACAACAGCGTCGGTCACGTATAGTCCCATTGTTACACAATCATCTACTGGGGCATTGTTTTTATGGAGTCCATTTCTGGAAATACATCCACTTAGTCAATTCGCATACTGCAGAATAATATTAGTTATGTCCCATGCGGTTAGGCCTGGCAACATGGTCGCCTCTAATGGAATCTTCAGCGGGCGAGATTGTGATAGGCCCTCGTTGGTGTTGGTATCAATTTCGGTATGAAATATGGAGTACGTGGGGTACAGAGCAGAAATACCGAGGGATCAAGCGTAATGCTGAATGTCTGGCAGAAAGACTTGTTACTACCGGCGCTGGTATGATTGATGAGGTGCAGACAGTGCACCTTGATAGGCTTCTAAGAGCCTGACTAGGATACTCCTAACGTCAGCATGTCTTGGGTTGTCGCACTTCACTTTCTGAAATTGTGTCAAGTGCTCGTCATGTAAATGCTACACATGGTGACATGTTAGAAATAGTTAACTATCAATGACAATACACGATGTTTAATATCGTTTAATGACTCCGCTAATACACCAGTAAATTTTTCTACTTGTTCATATCTTTATAGTCAGAGTGCGACAGATGGACAGCTGCAGTATGTCATTTCAAGTCAGCCCCAAAACCACCAACAGGAAAGAGTACCTGCTTGGTTTATGGCATTGTGATCCAAGGGGCCAGGCTTGTCGCATGAGCTGTGATGTGCTGGGGTTAGTATGGAGTACACCAGCCTAATTCGGCAAGTCAAATAAGCACTAATGCAGTCGGTCACAGCCTAGATATGTGGCTAAACCAGATCTAGACCAACCAGATTATATTCCTCGGCGAAATGGGGATTCCGATTGGCCCAGAAGGTGTCAAGGCAGCAAAATCTGTGCCACTGCTCGTATTGCATATAGTATTGTGCAGAATATTCATCCCACAATACTCCATATCTTCTACTGAGAGACAGACTTAACAGAAGAGAGGAAGCATTAACACGCGGAAGACCAATACTTTCCTAGGCAATCTCCCAATCACCACTCTCAACCCGCTCAAGTTGTACTGACTCCAGCCAATTTGTCTCCTTCATCGCCGCATATTGGTCCTGTGAGATGTTTCGGATCACCTTAGCTAACTTCACCCCGCGCGACCCCATCTCATCCAATGCCATCTGACACCACTTAACTTTCCCCGGCGTTCGATGCAAGAAGAATTGCTTTGCAGCCCATACGGGCGTCATAAGGATTTGCAAACCCGCCATGGCAAACCCTGGCCGCATGCAGAATGCCACACTTTGGCACACTCGATGGGCAAAGTGGGCGGCCAATTGTTCACTTTCTTCGGCACCACCAATGCCTCCTTTCTCAATTAGCAATGCGGTAAGAGTAGTATCCGCATTGGGGACTTTAACAGCCTCTGATAACAACGTCGGTCCAGGCAGATTCACCTCCATCTGCCACGGCACCTCAGCTCCGAATGTATAAAGGACTACACAGCCAAGCCAGTATAGCATGAGCAGCTCGAAAAGATGCTGCTGGCTGAAGAAGGCAATCTGGGAGGTTTCGTCTGTGACAAAACGCTCGTCCGTGGGCAGCGCGTATTGTAGATCGAACAGTGGGACAGTTTCCTTGCACTGAAGCCGCCAATACCACTGTAATAGCTGCACTTCTAGCTGGCGAAACTCACGCAGAATGTGTCTCAAAAGCGAGTCGGGAATAGCCTGTCCATATCTTTTTTTGTAGCCATCCATGAGCTCCATTAGTGCAGGCATCTGGAGGAGAATATCAAGTAATTCGTCGTGACTATCACCTCCTAGGATTGCCCTCCATTCCGGTCGACCGAGAAATGTTGGTTTTCGTCCCCCACAGGAGTGGTATAACTGGAAAATGAAGAGATCAGCTGCAACCTGGGGCATTAAAAAAAGGATAAATAGCATACTGCGAAGTTTCGTAGTCGACGGTAGAGGTTACGATCAAAGGTTTCGTTGGTACGAGGCAGGCCTCGTTTTTCAAGCAGCTCGCATCCCAGCCGTACTTGATGTGTCCATCCCTGAATCCCGGATGGGTTATATACTTCATATAGAGCCATAGTCATGACACAACCAAGGAGATTATCCAAATTGAGTCCCCTGGTGAGATTGGTATTTGCAATCTTCTCTGACACGGAACTGTACAGCCACTCGCTTTTAATAAATAAGTCCATATTTGAATCTAGGAGGCCAATGAATAGCAGGCTCATTGCCATGAGGGCTTCATCATACAGGTCGGACTGTCCCAATGAGTCGGGGAAGTATTTATACCACATACACACTGATTGATGGGTCGCCCGCGCCTGAATCGAATCGTTTGGCATGTACATGCTCATGAATCTGCCTAATATCTGAAGGCGCCATTGTCGTCCACTATAGGGAATGTTGATCACCAAGGCCCTTTCAAGGTTACGGGTAGCATAATATTGGGCTGACTGTCTGGACTCTTTGCTCTCCCTACCAACGTATCCTTCGCACAGAATATTTGAATGACCGCATCGTTGACATGAGGGTCTTCTCTGATCACACTGGAAAGCTTCATCAGCACGGCGAGATAGTCAGTATCATTACGGGACTCGTTTCTGCCTACCCGCACTTTGCGTCTTCGACAAGTGATGCACGTATTCGATCTCCAAGCAACTCTTCCCATGACTGGTAATACAGCTAGGTCCTTCTCAAGGTAAAGTACGCGACTGGGGAACGATGCTCAGAAAACCAGTGCAATGTCTTGGTTTTGTTAGTGGGCGATTTGCGGGGATGTATGACCTTGGCGACTTGCCCAATTTGCACAGCCTCGTCCATGTGTACGACAGGTTTGTCATTTAATGAATCCTTGATGCATTCATTCTCCAAGTCTGTTGAACCTTGAACCTTGCTTATCGGTCCATCTGATCCATAATTGCTTTTTTCTTTCTTTTTCTGTGGCATTAATTATAGGTACAGAGCACTTCGGTGGGTGATCTTCAAACTAATTGTCACAGCCGGATAACGGGCATCAAGTCTGATTGGTTGTAAATTGGGGTCTCTTTCTCCATTCCTAGACTAGCTAAATGTGGCAATTTGGGGAGAAGAGGGTCTGTTGGGTGTACAATGTTGATTGACAAAGCCTCACCGTAGGTTGAAGGGCATTTGTTGGTATGGAGAGCAGGGTCATTCAGGATCATTTGAGCGCGACCGCTAAAATGGAAGCTACTGTTGGCGAGCTTAAGTTCCCGGGTATTTTTCTTCGCTTTCAGTTAAAAGGCTCGTTATCCACTCAAGGTTTTGGTTTTGCTATGAAATGGGATCGATGAACTGGACACTTATGTTTGGGTGGCAAGAAAGGTACGTGTACGAGTAATGGTCCCAGCCAAGTCTGATTATTTTGTGTGCTGTGCTATAAATAGATCGGTCGCTGGGGACATACTTGGACTTAGGTATTTTGCAAAGGATATTCCAATTGGAGTTTGCCTGCTTGAATAGCTTCACCCATCAATATTGGACCTCCCCGAGAAGTCTTTGACATTGAGCATCACAGACTAGTATTACTAGGTCCCAGTCTCACAGGAGGTGTTTCGGTTCTTACGGGAACGACTCCCACCTAGAGCAGCCCCAAGCCCATCCAACGGGCCAAGAAACAGGGCGGAGGATTTACAGCTCCACCCGGATAGGCCAGAGAGACAGGATTGGCCCCAGCAGGATGGAGGGACCCACCGGACGCGCAAATCTACTGCCCAGAACGGCCTACTGCTGGATGACTGATCAGCGCCCGATCTGGAAACAAAACAGCTCATTCACTATTTGAGCCCGTTCACAACGTTCAGAAGGGCTCCAAGATAAATTCCCGAGAACAGGCCTCATTCCCTCGGGTTTTGGAGTCAAGACTCGTCCCTCATCCTTTCCATTCCACATGTTAACGGTATAGGTGCTACTGCCCCCGATGCGATCAATGCGGCGTTGATCTCCCTGTCTTCCAGCATCGTCTGGTCCGGATCTTCCGGGAATAATGCTTACAGGTCCTGTGGATTCGATGCCGTGGATAGGGCGTTGTCTGGGATCGTTCTTGCGATTTTCGGCGCAGCATCTATGCCAGCTCTTTGTGGCCTACCTAATATCCCTCAGCCTGCTGATTTTGGCTCTCTTGTCGACACTGAAGGGGGGCGGCCTGTTCATACTCAGCAGTGCGTGCTCTGTTGCTTGCCGCATGTCCATTGCTAACATGCTTAAAGAGCCTCAATTATCGGGACCAACGAAGGGCTTAGTCCTGGCGAAGTCTAGAACGGAGGACATCTCTTGGGCGTATAATTCAACGTCAGGGTAAGTTTAGTCCTCCTCGGTCTTGGATACGACTAATGGCTCAGATGGAACTTGTTTATATATACCTCCGATGGGGAGCCTGGCTTTTATTCCACGCCTTCTAACAAGGGCCGCGAGGGGATGGCCTACCTCACGCACATCATCGATAACTACGACAGCCTTACCGACGTTACCGTTTTCATGCACGGAGGAGCCAGCCAGTGGCATAATGACGTCGGTGACACGACCTCCTCTTACCTCCTCTCCAGACTCAGAATTGAATCCATAAGGCGGAAAGGTTATGTGAATCTGCGTTGCGAAAATCGCCCGGGTTGTCCTGTAGCAATACGTCCCTGGGACCCAGCCTTCACGTCAATAGACGACATCGTTTACTCAAACTTCACCACAATATATACGGAACTCTTTGGTTTGCCAGTTGAACAGGTCCCACAGGAAATTGGTGGCATCTGTTGTGGCCAGGTTTCAGTGACCAAACAACGCATACTCGAGCGGCCACTTGCGGAGTACATCCATATACGAGACTGGGCTCTTTCAACGAGCCTGGACAATTTCACCGTGGGGTCGGTATTTGAAATGCTCTGGCATCTGGTATTCATGGAGGATCCTGTCTCGTACGTGCATTCCACTGCGTGGTCACTCCTGCTTTTATATACTGACAGTATTGAAAAGATGCCCCGATGCCACGCAGTGCTATTGCGAGCTTTATGGATTTTGTAACGGATAGCCTATATGCTTGCGATATAGGCATGTTATTAACGACCTCTTTAGAATCATGGAAACGTAGACTGGATTATACAATTATGTGCAACAATATGGAATATGCAATTTAAAAATAGTATCAGAAAATCAGAAATGCCGAGCGTGGTCAGCGCTGAGTGACATTTTGGGAATGATATGCCTCAAAAAGACAAGCTCAAGGGTAAAACACACATGTCCACCATTGCATACTGCAATTTTGACTGCTATTCCCAGCACCATTAGGGTGTCTTTGACATTCATTATATCTCTTCTCAAGGGTCATAATTCACTCCTCAATGATATATGCCGCAATTCACATAGGCATGCTGAAGTGACTGTGATGGTCCCGGTGGTTTCGGTTTGATTTTACCATTTTCCAGACCTCATATTCATCTCATACCAGACTGGATAACATGTCCACTTCACTCCTTCGTATCTGAGCTTCTCCTTAAATTTTCCTTGAAGTCAAATGTTACGTACGGGAAACTGTCGCCGGTACATATGAGATACCCCCACTAGGATAGTATCGACAAGCTTGATGTTGGATCTATATCCAACTTCTCCGAAAGGTTGTTCAGGGAACCACTCGGGTGTAGAGCGTGTTGGCATTGCAGAAAAATGCATAAAATACCAAATTATAGCTCTCCTAGAGCCCATGTGTTTCTATGTGACCGAGCGGTATTTTTTCATGTTCAAAGGAGTCTCTCAAGGCGTAATCTAGGGGTCTCCGCGCTCATGTCTTGTCCAATATGTGGCCCAATGCTCTTCGAGCCTCCCTTTCTTCCTCAGACAAGGGGGCACCTTCGATCTTCTTGATTCGACTTCCTTCCTTCATGATCATCGCACCAGCCGCCATGGCCACGACGCAGGCCAAGCCGATGAAAAGCCCGGTCGTCCACGGCGGGCGTACGTGGCGGTTCATTGCCCACATGCACCCAGCAAGACAGCCCTGCAATATTGTGTTCCACACCATGTTATGCACCACGAAAGTCATCTTCCACGGTGCTGTCGGGGGCGCACGCACACCAGTCAAAGGCGTTCTTGGTGCCTTACTAGGCGGAATCGGGGTCAGGGCCTCGCCTCCCTCGATGTCTGGTAGCGGCAATCTATACCAGGAGGCATGAACTGCGGCAAGACGGGCGATTGCGCCGTTGCGGCGCGCTGGAGTTCGGCCAAAATGCCAGAAACACCACCAGTAAAAGTCGCGCAGGCGCAGCGGAGCGAGGCCAAATCCAGTGATGCAGAATAGGCCGTTTAGTATCTGCGAATCGAGTTCGATCCATACACGACGCGACGAGTTAATGTCGTCGCACGAGGGATGACACATGGCAGGCGCGGCGTTGCAGATTAACAGGAACAACATGCCTCCCCACGCCACTACATTGAGCATATATACCGTAATTAAAAAGCCAGTGGGAGTGAGCATCCAACGTCGAAATCGCTTCAAGGCGATAATGAACTTCACTTTATCGGGTAGAGGAGGCAGTTTCTGTGAGGAGCTTTCTAGGATTGGAAGGGAATCGGCGGAATCATGAAATCCACTTGCGGACAGTGGAGGCAAGGATAGAGAAGAGTTGTCGCTTCCCTCGTGGTGGCCCATTTTGCTCAGTGAAACGCATGGCCCTGAGAATCCAACGCGTAATTCTTTTCCTTGAGGACCACGAATCATTGGGCATTGTCCAGATTAAATAGAGCGAGGCCTTTAGAATTATAAACTTAGCCTCAAACACTAACGTTTATTATAATGCCACGCTATCATTATTTTGGCAACTAGATGGATATCCTTTTGCCTATCTCTGCAGACATTGAAATCTGGCAGCCGGAGAACCACTTAATCTTGCGCCGAGAGTTCGTCGTATTCCATACGAGCTTCTAAATTGGCTAGTCTTCCGGTCGTGGTGTTTTTAGTGCGTCCGGAGTCTATTTTTGTCGATCCACTTCGCCGTCGTATTCGCCTGACATACGAGACTGTCGTATTCAATTTTTTTTGGTGTAAGTATAGAAAAATACAGAAAATACTACTATGGTCGCTCTCCTAGAGACAAGGGGTTTACATGACTGAATGATATTTTTTCATGTCACATTGGGGTATATGGGGATTCTGCAACGTAGACACTATAGATCAGAAAAGAACTTCTAGTCCAGTACACCAGGCTATATTAAGAGCCCAAGAGCAGATATATAATAGTATTAAGCGTAGAGCTTTAAGAGGATACTTATCTTCTGGATCCCCCCAACCAATTGTCGTTGCTTAAGCTCACGAGGACGAAGCCCGTCTCGAGGACAGGGACAAGGGCGACGATAATTAACTATGTTAAGGTAAGAACTAGTTCGAAACTATTTTAAAACTAGTTATATCCAGAATTAACTAATTTTTTTTAAGTTTTTTAAATGCCGAGCTATCTCTTCGGCAGATTGCCTCAGAGAATAATACTAATATAGTCTATCAGCAGAGGCGAAAAGACCTTAAGCTATAGTATTAAAAAACTAAAATACAGTATCTCCAGGTTATAACCCAACTAATAGTTCAGGGAAGAATGCTGCCAGGTCTACCTAATTAATTAGTTACTAGTTCCCTACCAGTAACTACTCAGGGACCAATTATACCAAGTTTTACAGAAAATCCTCTACAGATTGCAGCTAATTAATAGCTAAGTATTAAACTTAAGAGATCACTATTACTATATACCTCTGATACACTTAGGGAGTATTAAGACAGTGAGTAGACTGGTTAGTAACTAGTACCAAAGTAGTTATAAATTAGTTTGTAATTAGGTAAGCTATTAATATTTATTATATTTAATGTTGGAAATCAGGATGCCTAAGGCACCTTCGTATATCCTAGTCCCGCAGCGATGTGATATATCATATTCAGGGGCTAAGGGACACGTAGACATAAGGAAGCGTTTATCTACGCTTCCTCTCCTAGATAGACGAACATACTCACCATGCGATACTAGATCGCACCGATAGTTTCAATATACTATCCAGTCACCGCTATCCTAGCACCTCACGACATAGCTTCTTCCCTTATCTTCCCCAAGATTCTCAACATTTAAACATATATAAATATATATTTACATGACAAAAGATACAGCTTCTACAATAAGTATGCTTTGTATTATTTTAGGATTAGTAGAAAAGTAGAGATAGATGGCTTTAAACATATATAGGTGTTATAATATATATTATCTATACAAGAATACGAACTATTTTCCATCTAGTTAGTAACTAGTTGCCAACCGGTTAAGAACTAGTTATGTTCCTTCGCAAAACTCAAGGCGGGCGGCGTTTTCTGGTATTGTCAGGGGATTGAAAGGGCAAAATACCACTAGGCTGAAAAGTTCGATGTCAATCGGAGGGTCTTTACTAACAAGTTCTAAAAATAAAACGTTGGAGCATTGGATGCTTTGTTTCTCCGTACTACCCGCCTACCCGCCCCTACCGTCCTGGCAGCGTTCAACAACTAACAACCGGTTAACAAGAAAACTAGGTAGCTCTTCCTGTGAGCTACCTAGTAAACCGCAGGAAAATTGCAAAAATTGAACACTAGACACCTTTATCCTTAACCACTCCAAAATTCCCGCATAAAATCTGCTGTACCGGTGTATATAATAGAAGGCTGACGCTTGTAAGTCTGCCCCTTGTGCTAGTTAAAATGACTTTGATTGCAATCTCCGATAATGTTTAACCTGCAGAGACGAATATAGCAACAATTCGCAGAATAAGTAAATTAACATATGTTTTCCTTGACCTTATAAACCATACCCTAGATGAAATTGAAACCCTTTGTCCTCTAAGTTATAGATGGCACTCCGGAGCTTCGCACTCTTCGCTTGGATTGTTGGACCGACTTCCTTCGGAGCTCCTTAATATAGTCCTTGTTTAGCTTGATATACTGTCTCTAACGACCTTTCGGCGCGTTAGTTAAAGAGCTAGGTGTGCTGTAAACTTACTTCCCTAATACAGCGAGATTGTTATGCACACCCCAGCCTTAATTCGTGGAAGCCTTAGCATCGGCACCGGAAGTTGGTTTTCATGCCATAAACTGTACGAGAAGCTCTGTACAGCAGAATGCGATAGTTGCGGTGACTTCGGTGGATATCTATATATTATTACGTGCCGGCGCGTTTGTTTTCTCTGCTTTACTGAGAAAACAGACTTATCTTCCACTACTATGAAAGGACGCTATGCAAAAATTTGGACTTCGCTCCGAGGACCTAACAACTTTGCCTTCCATGAAGAGCGTTCCCGGTCGTTATTCACCGCGAGGTATTAAATTTCGTGCTCGACTTATATTAATTAATTATGGTACTGCACAGCAAGCTGGTATTACATTGGATGGATTTGTTAGCGCAATGGAGCAGCACGCCTCTAAACTAGTATTAGAAGAGCTCGAATGGTATGAGTCCCGGAGATCCCTGTGTAGGGCTGGAGTTATTTCAACTCTACGTCGACCAAGATATGGGGATGAATTCGATGGGCGTTTATCTAATCCAAAAAGGTTTATAGGAGTTGTTCGTGCGCCGTTTCTAGATCGTATGGGATCCCCCGAATGGGGTTTTTATTATTCGGCTTGTAAATCCCACCATTATAACAAACCACTTTATTGGCGTCGGAAGTTTACAACAGAGCGCTTCGATAAGCATATCAGAGAATGCAGCGAGATTGTACAAGGAAAACATAATAGATAAGCAAACAGGCAAGAACAGAACGAATAAAGGTATGAAATGCCGTAGAAGTCTATTTCCTAGGCTTGGACCGTCAGCGGGGACAGTCGCCGGGATACAAAAAAGCTAATATTTATGTCTTTTTCTTCTAGCTGTTATTCAATGCTAGACACCTGTCCGCTGCTCTTGAGCTATCTGCGCATCTTATCCTTGCCAGGCTTCACCATGCGTCGAGCGCATATATGGATGGTAGGATCCAATGCTTCCTGTCTCACTGGAGAGTATTTAACATTTGTACCCAGCCGATTGTTACATTGCTTAAACTCTTCAATATTCGTGCAACCGCATATGTACGACCGATAATACTGAATACACATCTTAACAAAGTCAGTTCTTTCTGACCTCTGTATGTAGCCAGGTAGAGTAGATTATGGATAGGAGACACAAGAATAAATCATCTTCTGATCGCGTCTGATCATTACTTTAAGAATAGACTTCTCTAGCAACGGACTAGGAGACATTTTGCGCATGACGCCGGGGGAGGATGGTGAGCTGGCCTGGCACCCGTTGTTGGGCCCACAGGGTGATGGGACAGAAAAGCGCACGACGGGAGCCCCAAGATTCCCAGCGGATGCAACAGGATCGCTCTTCCTGAGTAACATAAGCGGAGATGGTCTAACCGACATCGTCTAGGTCCTGAATGGCAATGTTGCTTACTGGCCGAGCCTGGGCCATGGACAATTTGGCGCCAAAGCTATAATGGGAAGCACACTGTTTCAGCCGGATGGAGGGAACCTCTCTCCATGCTGGATGCGAATGGCAGATATAACCGGATTTGGGGGCACGAATTTAATTTATATGCTCCCGAGGGCGGCGCGGTGGTCTATTACAATCGGTGGGACAACAGCTGGACTAATGGATATCGACTGGCTGCACTTCCACCCCTGGATGGGTTTTGTGCCGTGGACGTGTTCGACATCGGTGGCCGGGGGCGTATCCCCGGGGCGTTGTTTAGAAGGCGCTATAACTAACAGTCGATATGACTTCGAAGAGCTGGCTGCAACGACTGCAAATACTGAATCAAGTACAGGATATTCAAATTCACAAGAAAGCCGAGGACCTTATACGTAATATCCCCCCAGAAGGATACAGGGCGCTCATCGCTAAAAATCGAACACTGTACTAGGGGCGGTATCTTGGGGCGGTATCTTAATAGACCGCTACCCAAAAGAAAGCTACCCAAAGGAAAGTTACAGCAGTTTTCCGTCCAGTGGCAGAGCTACCAGCTCTTTGCTACAACAAAACTCCTTGTGGCGGTGTTGACGGATCCGTCGGGAGGGGCATTACTACCTCTAGTAACCTTAGCTCAGGAGCTTGGTAAAGGAGGCCACGTGGAACTAGAGCCAGATGAGTAGTGGGTACCATCAACGCGGAATCTCTTTGGAGATGATAATGTTAGTAATAGGCTGCCCGCGGCTAGATTGTAATTCTACATTCCAAATGGAGAGATTGATCAATTTGGAAGCAAGTTACGGCAAAAGTGTGACTGCTTCGGCTTGCTTAGAATAGAGAATGTAGACGCCATGGGAAACAAGACCATGTTTAGTAATAATTACGCTTGCCTACGACTGACTCTTATTACCGACGCAAATGGGAACAGAGCCCAGACGGCTCTTGACCCCCTCGGCTGCAGGGCAGGAGTGGCCGTCATGGGCAAAAAGGGGGAGCCTGTGGGAGACAGCCTGGATAAATTCTTAGCCGACCTAACCGAAGATTAATTGCAACAGTTCTTCAGTAATTAGTTGGGAGCGTCGGAAGAGCTCCTACAATATGCAGGGCAGCGGACAATATATAGCTCGGGCTGGTTTGGGCAGGAGAACGTAGCTCCAGTATTTCAAGCGGAACTCGTGCGTGACACGCACTATAAGGATAGGCTAGCCTAGATCTCGATTAGCATTACCTACTTTAGTGGCAATAACAGGGCGACGCAGGGGGTACGCCTGTCTAAAGAGGACCAAACCAATAAATGGCAGTTGTACAGTGCTCTGACATCCAACAAAGGGCACGCTGTCAAAAAGTCTGCTATTCTTTAAGCCAACATATAAGTTCTGCTTCCAAACCGATATAGCTAATACACCTGCCACTAGATTTCTGCTGGACCCCCTTGATCGGGTGGTGGGGGTGTTAAACGCTGACTAAACATGGAGTAAATCACGCTTTTTATTATGGGCTCCAATACACTATGATGCTGTGACACTGTACGCATAGAAGAACCTGCCACAGGTAAAGTTATTGGGAGCTACTTCCAAGCATTTGACAGGGTCTCCTACTATCCTACATGGTACTATCAAAGACAGAAATCCGGCACTCCCGAGAGGAGAAAAAGGCAGCAGCTAAATATCATGCTATAGCAATACTCCAACGTCCATCATATAAATATTCTAGGGCAAGAAATCTCACTAGCTCGACAATAGTCCCGGGGCATCCGTAGGATCCGACACAGGTATGATAAACATGGTAATATCTTGGCACTTATAAATGTACTGGACTGTCCTGTGACGACTACCCGATACAATCTGCTGCTGGGGCCACTACATAGTGTAAACATAGACAGGGGGGCTGCTGGCTCCTGTCAGATTGTAATAGCCTGCCAATGCTGGCATAGTCGTCCGGAGGGCCAAGGAAACGGACTTCTTATGATCTGCCCAGGAGAGTTAAGGCTGTCAGAGTCCAGCCGATAAGAACCGACAAATATAAAGCCCTTGTGGTTAAGAACTAATATGGAGAAAGCTTCATGCCAGACCCAGAGGCGAAGAAACTGAGAGGCCAGCTTTACCAGTGTTGCGATTAATCCGGAGCGCAAACCAATATCTACTTTGACTTCAAGGGCAACTATATAGAGTTATCCCTCCAATATGCCGGCAAGTATGATGACCTTCTCGACTGGTCTGAAAAGGTGAACCTGGCACCCAGCACGTACAGGACCATATTAACCTTTAATGCGGTGGGCCACACTCTGTATACAGTTACCGCTGGTAGACAAGGTATAAATAACATATTCGAGGTTGCCGGCCGACTAAGGCAGGTAAATGCGGTTGCTACAGACGATGGTCACACTAACACCTCCCATGTTAATAACATTGAGTATTCAGAGGGCAACAAGGTAACGCTAATTAAATACGGGAATAGATTATAAAAGCTTCGCACTTATTATCTACTGACGCGCAGGCTTGCCAGAACCAGTATTACCCTAAATAATAGTAAAACAGCCCTGCAGGATCTGCTTGGAAAGATCGTTTAGAAAACTAACAAAGCTTAGCAAACCAAGTATTTTAATAATCAGGTTGTTAAGCTAAATTAAGAATTTATCTATAACGCATTGGGCCCATTGTGTTCGGCAACTGGTCGAGAGCAAGTTAATATTCCAGGACACTGTGTAATTCCTTATAGTCCCGCACTTGGACAGCGGAACCCAATTCCTGGGAATGGAAGTTAGTTGATCGAATACTACAAGACATAGAAGTGTGATTTAGTTGGTAATATCCTAGACCAAACATAAGCCACTAAATAACTCTATATATTCACCATGGACGCGAACGTATGCATATAAAATAACCAATAACTAATAGGCTTATTAGCACCAAAGTTGGTTCCACAACAGATTACTACAAATATAAAGATAATGCTAGGCTTAATAGCTGCATGACCTATATAGCTGGATATTCTTTGGCTTGGGATTATAATAATCACTTGCGCTTTTTTACCACACAACAGGTCAAGGAAGGTAGCACGCCGGAGAGAACATGGTATGTCTACAATTCGCAGGGTAAGCAAGTTTGCAAGGTGACTATAAGAGATATGGGCACCAAGCTAAAAAAGGTAATCCATCTCACTGTAATATTTTTACGACGTATACTGGAGATGGGGTACTAGTACTGCGGCAAACAACTTTAACTAGCTTGGGCGGATTAAGTGCTTCCAGCTCTCCAGTGGTCATGGTTAAGACCAGGACTGGGTATAGCCTTCTTCGGTATCAGATAAGCGAAAATTTGGAGCTGGATGATACAAGCAAGGTGGTTTTATATGACATATACTGCCCATATGGATCCACCACATATCAAGCTCGGACGACTGAAGCTCCTCGGAAGTATCAACGTGACAATAAAAGTGGGCTCTATCTCTGTAGTGAGAGATACTATGCTACATGGTTGGGGCGATGGACGTCTGCTGATCCATTGCGAACTTTCGGCGGTCTTAGCCCTGTATGTTTTGGGATTCGGCTCAGGATCTCTCCCGAGCGGTTCCAGCAACGGCCCGTAGATAGTTTCCCGCCCGGGACTTAGTAGCACCAAAGATTTTGATATTCAACACACTTTCGTTCCCCTAAGGTCAGCCTGTCACTGCTCGGTCTTCCTATGCGGCTATCCCCTGTCCTAGTGCACTTGCCTGTTCCTGTGTGGTTCCCTACAGAGAAAAGGTGTGAGCCAGTTTAGAGCGACATAACTATAGCGGGGTTACCTTTTATGGCTAAGTGTTATTTTGACAAGACCCTATTAGTTAGCATTCTGTTCGATTATTCGGGGTTGTCCTAATTAGGAAATAGAGTACGATTGGTAACAAGGTCTTAAATGGACAATTATTGAGCTGATTGATTCTCTTGGTATGATTCTCTGTTCTGATGATCACTCTGGTAGAGGTTTGGCCGCTATTCTAATCACATGATTTGGCCTAAATAGGTCTAGAGATCCCATATTATTTGACACATTCTTTGTTGCTATCACTCCGTCCTTTGCTTGTCAAAAATACACCCATCTCATGTTGCCTTTAATTACAGCTCGAACATAATACGCGTCCTACTGCGTTTGGCCTGCCACGGGGGCTATGATACTCAATAGATTAATTTAGAACCATTGCATGATCTTCAGGATATCACCGTTGTGTGCTCCACAGCAACAATGGGAGAATTGGATGTAACGGCTGTTGGTCGGACTTATTTCCGAGTTGACAGAAGTATAAACCATTAATCAGTGCCCTTAGAGACCGGCCCTCAAGCCGTCACCTATCGGTACCCAGCACTAGTTAATAAAATGGATGCAGCGTCCCCCTTTAGGGAACCCGGATTCTGTCTAAAATGAGGTATTTCAAGGATCCTGGCACAGTGCATAAAAGAATGGTGAAAAAAGAGGGCTATTGAATGCGAAATCGGACTTAGTCTCCGTAAGCATCATTCTCCATTCTCGGGATTACTGCCAAAATTGGCAGGAGGTTAACGAGAAGTTTAGTTTCTGCGCACTTTTCGGAGAATTCTCTCAATGCTAGAGGTATCTGGGCCTAATACTAAAAGAAATCATACGTTGTACCCGTATCAACCGGTGCCTGACTACTAGTTGTGGGCTGGAACAACGCTAAGCAAGGAATTGAATTGTATAATAAATGAAAGATACATCTTTCACGAGACGGTTTAGTCACTTACAGGAAAATAGCAAAATATGGAGATTGTATTTGGACCTTGTTACTAGAGAAATCTACAAAAAAGCAGTTATTCTTTTAACGCTGTTTAAGTAGCTGCAATCCGGCTATGTCCAATATATACTTTCAGTGTTGTGCTTCGTTTAAGCTCCCCAACTATCCCTTTATTTATATACCTTCATTCTAGCCATGGACCTGCACATTAACTTTCTAACTATGGTCAAATAGACGGCGAGCATGCAATTGCTTCTCTGGACACTTTTTTTGCCTTCTGCATCTGCCTTTCCTTTTGAACTTTCGCCTGAGCTTATAGAGTATGCTCCCCCAGTCAATAATTCCGAAATCGTCCATAAGCATCTCTTCAAGAGGGCCTCAGGGTACCCAGGGTTGACATTTTCCTCAACATGCGACGAAGCCCAAAGAGAGTATATTACGGAGGAGCTCGATGAAGTAAAGACTGTAGTAAGTATATATACTCGCTCCACATTCTCTTGTGGGGAGCTTGCAAGCGATGAGGGTTAATGGTCGTGGTAGTTGACGCAGGCAAATCAACAACTCAGGGCAATACGACGGGTTATTCGAGACAGAGAGCAGCCTAAAGATTGGGGGAGTAGCTATTCCGATAATACCAGGATTCTGAACACCTGGCAGAGCTATATAGGGAAGATTCAACTTAACCGACGGGTTTCAGGTGCAGGGCGGACCTCATGGGCGCAGACGTCGAAAAACATGCAAACTTTACTGTGTTAGTATTTGTTTTTATTTACCCATGAGCCAGGCTTGTGTGGGAGGAATTGATAGCAAGGAGAGCGAGGAATGATAGTGACTAATCAACAAATCCGTGGTAGCTATATATAAAAGAATCCACAGCGCCTTAGCAGATTCGACCTTGAAAACTCTTATTCATTGCAATGATGATTTCTTCGTTTATCAAGAAACTCGCGACAATAAACGTGTGTCCCTTTTAGCCTAAGTTCGAGCATCATTAACGATAGCTAACATTAAAAAATATACAGGTATATATAGATATATGCGGAAAGAAGGTGTACCGGGCACTGATATGTATCTTGGATCAACTGGAAAATTATGCCATGAGTCGGAGCTTGCTAAGGGATAGGCTATCAAAAACCAGGTCACACTGCAAGACGAGATCTGCAATTGTCCAAATACATTTAAAAGAACTAACACAGCGAACAAGCTAACACAGTACGCTAATGATCCAGGTGTCTTACAAGGAAAGAAGCTTGATGACATGAAGGGTGACGCTGCTGCTGGTACACTTCTTCATGAACTTACCCACAGCGAGAACATTCTTGGCACTGCTGCGACAAGTAGGTCTATTGCTTGCAACCAGGTTTTGGATATCGAGAGCTGACAACGTATGTTATCAAGAGGATCATACTTTCCCATACGTAATCAATGGCAAAGAAGTAACCCTAGCTGCGTATGGAACAGGGCCAATTGCAGGGCTTGCTTCTGTAAAACCGCACCTTACTTTGAATAATGCCGGTACGTTTGTACCACAATCTCCCCCCCGAGAAACTAGTTCATCTACTGACATATAGTAGATACCCTCGCATATTTTGCTCTAGGTTCGTACACTGCTAGAATTCCCATAAATAATCTATATGCTAATCTATAATCCCGGCAAAAGCCATGTATTACTCTAGGTGCGACTGGTCACGGTACCAGTGCGGTATAGATACATTTAACTTCAGAGAAACAGACGAAGAAACCGGAGTGCTGGGATATATGCATTTTGAATATCAGGAGCGATAGATCTGGAACACAATGGGTCGCGAGTATTTAAGAGCTTTTTCGGCAAGGGGGTGTTTCGTCCATACCGCTGGGAGCCATATGCACTTGCAGTAAAATCCTAGCTTAGCTTAACGGGTGCTATGGAGGTGAAGTAACAGAATCAGGGAAGCTCGCCGAGTAGAGAAAACTAATATTTATATATATTTTAAGACTAAAATCAAGTGGTAGTTGTAATTACGGTCACATTATTATATAGGTCTTCACACAGCTAATGTCAGATTGTAGTGAACCTACGGTAGGTCAGAGGAATAGGCATCAGAATAGAGAAACCGAGTAAGTTGGAATTGAACGAGCGACTCAGTTATCACACTAGATACATAGTTACATACAACGTTTATAACCGTGAGCCCCTGAACCCTGAACTAGTGGAACACTATTATATCCATATTCATAACACAGTTAAACCAGTTAAACGGCAGGTTTCAGTTGAGCTGAAAGTGGGGCTTCGGCTGATAGCAGGTCACTAACTCCTTTTGAAAGCTAAACGGGGTGACCGTTTTAGGAAATAAAGTACGATTAATAAAAAGGTCTTAAATAGGCAGTTCTTGATTATATTAATAATTATGTTGGTTGTCTTGATAATTATCTTTCTCACCTGTAACCTGCCTTTTTGTTCACCCCTCTTTAGTCACATGATCCTGATGACGTACGCCCATATTATTTGACAGTTGATTGAGCTAATTAGAAATAGTGAAGAGTTTTCAGTACAATCAGTGAGCTTCCCCTCATCCCTCGTATTTCCAGTTAACTACTCCCTCCTGACTTCAGCACCATCGTCGTCTTTAAAACCAGTCTTGTTTAGATATTTTTGTTATCATGAGTCAGTTAGATCAATTGCCAATTGAACTGCTTGTTTTCATCGCACGATACATAACCGACCAGAGAAGTATCTATGCTTTGGTGCAAACTAATAAGAACCTATACCACTCTTTATATTTTTTCCTCTGTCAATATAATATACAGCATCATCAAAGCTCAGCTCTGTTATGGGCTGCACAGAAGGGATATACCCATTTGGCGATCAAACTGCTCGATGCTGGCGCAAACATCGCCACGTTTGAGAACCCAACAGAAGTAAATTACGACAAGGAAAATACAGAGGATCTCTCTATGATTAATCCACTCTTAATGGCTGCCCAGGGTGGGCATATTACAACACTCAGAGCCCTGCTTTCTAAAAAACAGCCAGACCAAGCATGTTCACCAGCTCAGCTGCGTACTGTCCTTCACTGGGCCATCCGCACTCACAACAGTGAGCTTCTGGAGCTGATGATTAAGCACGAGGCACCCTTAGACCCCGCGGGAGATAGTCAGGAGGCCCTCTCCGCCCTGGGTGTTGCTGTTTCCTCGCGCTATAATTTCATTATTCCCCGTCTTCTTAAGATAGGGGCGCGATCAGGTTATGGAGAATATCCATGTCCCATCGAGCAAGCTATATGCACCGATCAGCCACAACTTGTTGAGCTCTTTCTTAAGCATGGTATGCGACTGAATGGTGATAATGGTCTATGTTATATAGCACAACAAGGTGACAAATATCTACTCCAGCTTCTTCTCGACTATGGACTGGATCTGGATCTGTACGGAAATGCAGCACTATTCACTGCAATTATGGAAGGCCAATATGAGATGACTGAGTTCCTTATTAATAATGGCTCAAATCCTCACCTACTCTGTGAGTTATGGAGACGTGATAAGCTTTGTTTTATTGGTGCACCTACATATAGCTCCATAGAGTTTGCTATACACTTTCAGCATCTGGACATTCTGAAGCTTCTGCTAGAAAAGGGTGTTCTCCCACGGCAAAAGGAGTTTGACTTGGCAGTAAAGGAATATAAGGAGGCTGTCGCCCTTCTTTCAAAATTCCCTAAGGATTCATCTCGACGAAAACTTATAGAGGTCTACGTTATTTTTGCAGGACAAAAAAGATGGGAGAAGGATCCTAACTTCAAAATGCCATTCACATCGGCAGGGGTCTGGGACTCTACTTCTACTTCATCTACAAGTGAGCTTACGACGATTAATGGTGAACCCGTCTGGTTGGAGTAATATATGCATATAATACAGACAACGACACCGATAGCTATTGGATAGTGGCCATCTGAGGTGCTTTTTTGCATACAAGTTTCTATAACATCTTATCTCCAGCTATAAAAACACAACAACTATTATTTTAGGAATTTTCTATCTTCTTTACATATGCTACTAATTCTCTTATTAACATTCCAGTATCCGTTGACAGATAGTAAATCATTCTCAGCTTTTGTCAGTCTAGAAGGACGGACCATTCTCCTACTAGTGAATGAGAGGGAAATGGTAGAACTCCGAAGGAGTAGGTCAAGGAGACAATCTTAGACAGTTCAGAAGTTGTGGGCCCCGAGCCCACAAGTTCCTGGCAGGAGAAAAGACAACATGCCCTTTACGCAACTGCGTCCCGTGGTCTGTGAGGAGGTTGTTGATTGTCTATTACCTCTTCGAACGAGGACTTAAGATAATCGTTATCCATACAAATGTCACGTGCTAATCCCCCCGAATTCCTCCACTACACTAAGGAAGGTTTCTAGTTACAAGGCATATGCCCCTGGAATCTAAGCTTTTTATAATATACAAAGTATATACAGCGCAAATCTCCCTACTACCTTTAAACTATTTACCCTATTATCTGCCCCCAAGCGCAAGCGTGCTTTACTAAAAAAAAGTTATAAAGGTAAGTATAGTATATTTCCCTTATACTAAGTATTTACTAAGAACTTGTAGCTACTAGTAGCCAGAAGCAGCCGGTACGCAGTAAGAAGAATACTGCCGAGATAATACCAGAGACTATATAGGGTATATACACGGTTGGCTTTTAAAGATAAATTATAAAATCTAGGAATAAGTAGAGCAAATACTAGTCTGTTGTGGACTCAGGGGGAAATGGGGCGTAGGGAGCTATTCTATCAACTACAGGCCAACTAGCCCAATTAGGAAGTAGATGTCATTCAGTGGAAACACCAGGAATCGTAGTATCTCAACCAACTGAGCCTACTAAGCGGTTCCCTATATTCTCATCGAGGTGTTCAACTATCTAAAGGATTCAGGGGTTGAATCGATCGTCAGATACTCCGCACCGCCAAGTCGGGCGGATTATAGTGTTTCCGTAACACTCCCCTTCGTTCAATACCCCGTAGCCTTTCCATAAATGAATGAAATGAAGCCATACAGACTTCCAAAACAGGAAAATAAAACAAAACAATTGCGGGGGGGTGTTGAACGCCTCTAATAATCAATCTGAAGGTCCTAGATGTTGCATCCATAGGATCTTAGTTCTCCAACCCATTAGTTGCAACTTCTTGACCATTTGCTTCAATCCTTCGACCCGTACAGCCTTTGTGAGTCCATCCGCAAGCATTTCAGATGTAGGAATATAAATTGCCTAATGTCACCATGTTCAATGAAATCCCTGATTGCATGGTATCGGATGCGAATATGCTTGCTCCGCAGGTGATTAACCGGGTTGTTTGCAAGTGCCAATGCTCCCTGGTTATCAACACCTAATCTAACTGCTCCGCATGGCTTGCGAAATAGCTATAAGAAAGTGTCTAATCCAGATTGCATGCTTAGCAGCTTCTGCAGCAGCAATATATTCAGCTTCAGTAGTAGAGGTGGCAGTTATTGGCTGCTTTCTACTGCACCAGCTAATCGGTCCTCCGGCCATGCAAAATATGTACGCACTGGTTGAGCGACATTTTGTTGCATTTCCATATGATGAATCAGAGTATCCAATTAATCCTATTGTTCCTTCACTCCCCTTTAAGCTATACTTAATGCTATAGCTTATTGTCTTCTTCACATATCGGAGAATGTGTTTCGATGCTCGAAGATGAATATCCCTGGGTTCTGCAAGATGTTGGCTTAATCGGTTGACATGGAATTGAATGTCGGCTCTGGTTCCACCAGCCAAGTATGTCAAGCGTCCAATGATTTTCCTATATTTTTCATGCAGATCCCAGGTTAGTTTGCGGGAATTTTCATCATTCAGATCAATACTGGGACTTAATGGAAGATCTTGAGCTCTTGAATCTAGCATTCCAAATTCCTCCAAAATAGAATATGCATAGAACTCCTGGTCAAGCTGGATAAAGTCCTTTCCCCAGGTTATCCGAATCCCTAATATCTTTTGTACCAGACCAGAATCTTTCATGGGATGAAACTCCTTCAATTTCTTCTTAGTAGCATCTAGATTATTTGGATCTTTGCTAAAGACTAAGATATCATCCACATATAAGGCTATAATAACCCCGCGGTCATTAATAAAGACTCCTGGGTCTGCTGTGCTTTGCTTGAATCCAATAGATGTGACGAATTCTTTAACCTTTTGGTTCCAAAGGTATGCGGATTGCTTCAGCCCGTACAAAGATTGTAAAAGCTCGCAAACATCATTTGGATTGTGGGATTTTGGATCAATTCCTTCTGGGATCTCCATGTAGAGTTCCTTGTCCACTTTTGATCCAACAAAGGCGTTTGTGGCGTCCAGCAAGTGAGCTTTTAGATTATATGTTGCAGCTAGTGCAAATAAGATCCGCAAGCTCTCCAATCGCACCACTGGTGCAAATATCTCTTCAAAGTCTAATCCTTCTTGTTGGGAGAAGCCTCGAGCAACAAGGCGTGCCTTGAATCGATCCACACGTCCGTCCGCAGAGTATTTGACATCAAATACCCATTTGGTGGAGATAACCTTTTGGTTAACTGATTTCTTGACATATCTCCATGTTCCGAAGCGGATTAGGTTGCTCAATTCAGTCCGGATTGCTTCTTTCCATTGGGGTCCATGGACAGGATCAGATATTGCTTCCTGGTAGGTCTTCGGGATTGGAATCTGTCCGTCGAACTTGCTATTAGCCTTGGCTTTGGTTCTGAAAGCAAACTCATTGTTGTCACCAAGATGAAGCTCTAGCGCTACAGCTAGGTTTGCAACTTCATGGATTCGCTGCAGTTCTGCAGTGGATATGCGCGGAGAAGGTTCTTTTGCTGCCTCCCTCTCTTCTCTGCGCTTCTGGGCTCGTGGTTTCCGCCCATATATTGTCTCTGTCTGGTTGGATTCGATTGCTGCTTGCGTAGGCTTTCGAATTCTGCTTGGTCTGCGCAAATCAGAGGTGTTTTCGGGGTTGGTTGCGACGGTTGATGGGATTGCTGAATATCTCTCTGCATGTGACCTTCCTGATTCGGTTGGTCAGGTGACACGTTGTGGTCTTCTTTGTCTGCTTGTTGATCTTCAACCTCTTCCACCTCTTCAACCTCTTCAACCTCTTCAACCTCTTCAACCTCTTCAACCTCTTCAACCTCTTCAACCTCTTCAACCTCTTCAACCTCATCGACCTGTTGACTATCTTCTGCAGATTCCTTCTCTTCTTGATTCTTGTCTGCATGTCCTGCAGATATATAAGGTATCTGCTGCGTGTCTCCTGAGCTAGGTTGGAGTAGCAGTTGCCCTTCTCCAACTACCTTCTGGTACATTGACTCTTCCCTAATATCTCTGCTTCCTGGTTCTCTGCTGATAAAGCCTCTCTTGTCTTCCAGGAAAATGGGGTTCGTCACTCGATGGATTGTCCGATCCTTTCTAGTCATCACCAGGTAATGACTCCTGCTTGATTCATAGCCAATAAAGACTCCCTCTATTGCTCTTGGTTCAAGCTTATCACCATCCTTTGGCTTCCGGTGAAACCAAACTCTGCAGAATGGGGTTCGAAATTTTGAGATATCTGGTGGGTGGCCATTCCAAAGTTCAAATGGGCTCTTTTTGGTGTCTCCAACCATTGTGGTCCTATTCCGTAGGTGATTTGCCATCTGAATTGCATATGGCCAGTATTCCTTTGGAATATCTGCTCCAATCAGCATTGCCCGCACCATCTCCAATAGCAGCCTATTCAACCTCTCTGCAACTCCATTTTGTGGAGGTGTATCTGGCTCAATAAACTCTAATTGAATCCCCAGCTTTCTTGCCCATGGCTTCAATGCATGAAATTCCTTTGCATTGTCTGTGCGTATCACTAGGAGCTTGACTCCTTTCTCCCGCTCTGCCTGAGCTAACCATGCATCTAGAGTCTCCTGGACAGTCTCTGCCTTTCGATCCTTGGTCAAATATACCCATGAATACCGTGTGTGGTCATTAGTGAGTGAAAGGTAGTATCTCCATCCCTCGTTGCATTTGGTTTTACTATATGGCCCCCAAAAGTCCATATAAACTCGTTTCAGCGGTCTAGAAGCTCTCGGAACCTCTCCATGGTTCTGCTTCTTTGTACTCTTTGCCTGTATACATGTCTCACATGTTCTTAAGCGTTCTACAGCTTCCTTTTTAACAGTAAGGCCCATTTTCTTCACCATGTTTTTGAATCTTGTCTTTCCTGGGTGGCCAAGTCGTTGGTGGATTAGTTCCCAATCTACCTGCTTTACCAATCTTGCAGATTCTCCCTCTCCGAGTTCTTCTGCATCTGTGGCTAATACATTCTTGCTTTCTACCCATCCTAGGTAGCTTGTTCGGCCAATATTGTATCCAGTTGCAAGAACATTCTCTGTGCCTCGCTTGCGGAAGAATCGGTATCCCTTCTCGGTATGCTCGTTCCAAATGCGGTCTGCATATAAAGCTTGGTTGAAAGCAGGGTTTCCTTCATCCCAGGCACGTACAATGCGTTCGAAATCCTTGCCACTTTTCCACTACTTAGTGGTATCTTCATTGTGCCTCTGCCAGCAATCTTTATAGATTTCCCAGCTGTTCCTAAGCTGCCTGTATATCTCTGATCCAATGACTAAATAGATAATTTTTCCGCTGCAGGTTCTTGTTGCTCCACTGTCATAATAGGGTCTTGCTCCCCTTTGCTCGGTACGCTTCTTCAAGCACATATTTAAACTGGTTGCTAATCCGTTTGTTTAATTGCACTCTGTGTACGCTTCCATATATTCGGCAGGCACTATCTTTTGTGGAATTGCTTTTATTCCCACTTGAATCACTGTCGGTATCCGATTCCTCATCCGCGGTCCTTGCCTTTCCTTTTTGCTTTGGGCGTCCTCGA